AAGATGTACTACACCACACCACGAGTCTACGGACGGCATAGTGACCGTGATAGGGCCTCCGGACACTAGGGCACCACGCCTTTGACGGAGAGACTACACCTGCGGCACAGGAAGCTCTCCGATGCATAGCCAATGCTCTCCTTCTCCAGCCCAAGACACGCCAGATACTCGTCAATCTAGGGCATGGTCCACATGCAGCGGAAAAGCTGAAAGTAGGCAACCGTGCCTTCGAACCTGGAAACAGAGCCGTATTAACTTGCAAATAGGAAGAAAGTATCGACACTGAGTTCCTCGCCGCCCGTATCCTCTTCCTCACAACATACAACGCGAACCTCGATTATGCACAACTCGTCCGCGAGAACCAGCTAGCCGACAGCATCAATGCAGCCATCACACGGCATGCGAAACGATACTCCAAATCCGCGCCACGCAGAAACGAACAGCCCATGGAGGCCATGGCGCTCTCTGAGACACTCAAGCTACTCTTCAACATCATACATCATAAACAAGACCTTGCTCCCCTCTTTGCTCCCTCAATACCCAACGTCTTCAAGATCCTGGTACGGAGAGGAATATCATCACCGCCATTGTCCGGCCCAACGCGCGAACTAGTCAACATCCTCCTCCATCTAGACATCGAAAACGAACAAGGCCGAGAAGGCCTCTTCCCATCATTCGACAGCGAGGTCAACATCCGCCACTTGATCAAGATTCTCGACCAAGCACTCATTGTCTACCCACCCAAAGAACTCGATGAGACCGTCACACCCCTCCTTACCCTCATCCACCGTATCTACACGGTCGCTCCAGCAGAAATTGCCAGCACAATGGAGAAGTTACTCCTCCCCACAACCGAAGAGCGTGACCGCCCCCTCGGAAAGTCAGACACGCTGTCCTCTCGACTACTCAATCTATCCACGTCCGCTTTGACACCCTCACTGCGAAACGGAATATCCATGTTGCTGTGGAAACTCTCGCATGAAGATCCCGCGACATTTGTGCATAACGTCGGCTACGGCTTCGCTTCCGGTTTCCTCATGTCAAACAACATACAGATGCCTGAGGAACTAGTCAAGGAGCATGCGCCAGAGAGTGGCGAAGAGGGTATACCGATCAATCCTATCACGGGGCAGAGGCTGGATAAGGAGGAGCAGGTACAAATGGAGCCCATGACGCAGGAGGAAAAGGAAAGGGAGGCGGAGAGGCTATTTGTGCTGTTTGAGAGGTTGAAGGCGACGGGGGTCATGGATGTGGTTAATCCGGTCGAGGAGGCGTATCGATCGGGGAGGATCCAAGAGCTGAGTGACGACGAGGATTGAGGATTTGGACTGTGCGATTTGCGGTGAACTGGACATATGGGTCACGGCGTAAGATTTCTGCTTTGACCTAGTAAAGAAACATGAATTGACGATATTGAAGACTAGATACTGAGTTGCCTCGCCATATACCCGCTTGATCCCTGAAATATGCGTATTTTCACGCCTTGGTAAGTTGTGTTTAGACCTTTAGTTCCCAGATAAATCTCGGACGTAGAATAGAATATAAGAAGATGGTCCTCCAACGCCGTGGAAATACTGCTGGAGATCGCCGAATAATGTGAAGGGTATATTGCGAACCGAATGTGGCTTGATGTTAGAAGGCGGGTCGGTTGTTTAGTTGTTCGTTTCCGTCAGGAGATCCCGATGGTAGCATATGTTGAAAGTAAGATGTGCTGAGGATGTCGTATGCTGATTGGCGTTCATGTAGAAGGGGCAGAACGATCTGGCAAAGGGATGCCTTGCATTACACATGGTTGGGCCGTGAGCCATGAGTCTCCCACTCCGTCTGATGGTCGCAGCCGATGTGGTCTTCGAAACGTCGGTTGTCCTTGTCGCGTGGATACGCAGCGGGAATCTCGATACTAGGCAGAAACCTCATACCATCATCGTTGCTGTACTGATGTACCCATATCGGGCCGAGAAGCTGCTTCAGCAAGCCGGCTATGAGGTTTCCCAGATAAACGTTGAGTTTGCACACTGGATACGCAGCAACCCAGAGTATGAGAAAGATACCAGCACCCTTCTGCCAAGATGACATGCCGGCGACGGTCGCGGTAGTGCCTTGATCGTGAAGTTTGGTAATATTAGAGGGTATATTTCCAAGCCAGTCGAGGATGCCGGATATGTCTAGGAGAAATGCTGAACTGCATGCGCCGGCAGTATAACCGGCAAGCCTGGTGTTAAGCTTGTACAGGACGGTAAACATGAACAACGTGCCGATGGTGGCCAGGAAGCTTCGAAAAAGCCATGTGACAAGTGCTGGTATTGCGCTCAGAAAGGCGAAGCCTTCGGCGATGTGCTCGGTTTGCGTCTCAAAGATGTCCAGACGTTGAGCGATACTGTCCACCTTGGAAAGAGAGCGATCTGCGACATCGTTGGTTTGGTGGATGGTGTGTTGTGTGGCGGTCATATAACCCGCTAGCACATTGTAGCTTTCGACCTGCGCCTCGTGATTCGATTGAATGCTGAGCTTGGCCAGTTCGTGATGTTGTTGGAGCTCGTCAGTGAAGTATGCAACGAGCTGGGAGCTCTCCAGCATCAAGTGTTGCGAGAAAGCCTGCATTCTCTCACGTATGTGGTCGATTTCGTTGGTCTGACTCTCAGACAGAGCAGTGATGAGGTCTGAGATCGATGACTCCATGAAATTGTGAAACTTTGCGTCAAGCGCTCCAACTGTAGCGACAGCCTTTTCCTGCACAGCTTGAATGTCTCCTTTGAGCTGCTGGTGAGAGTCGCGGGCTTCTTCGGAGTACTGCCTTTGCTCACGGATCAACAACTCGTATTCCTCAGTCGTCTTCTGCATAGTCGATGTCACATCACTCAGAACTTGGGTCAGATTCTTGAAGATGTCGAGATGGTTTTCTCGCTCGATAACATCTCTGCTGGCCTGGCACATGACGACTGCATTCTGGCGAGCATTGCTGAATGAAGTCCAGTATTGAGGTGTGGATTGGAGGCTCTTTAGGCACTGCATGTAGTAGTACTCCTTGAAGTCTGGGTAGCATTGCTTGTCGCTGGGAACTTCTGGCCGAGCATGCCACCAGCCACCGCCTTTCCCGCAGTGTCTTGATGCAGGAACCAGTATGTCGCAATTAGGCGGTGGTGTTGGATTGACTGGCTGGGCACTCAATAGTTCGCAAACAGCTAATTTGGCGGCATACTCGGTCTTGACATTATCCAGGTACGCGTCTGGGCGAGATTTGGCGAAGTCCGGTGCATGTTCTAGGAGCTTGCATTCGTTCATTAGATGGGAAGCAGCCATTCTGGTGCACGTTGGGGCTGTCTGCATAGACACGACGAATTCAACCGCTTGTGTTATCACCCTGTGGTTCCTCGATGTTGTGTACTGGAACAGTGAATCAACATTGACGGTTGGAGCTGCATCTGCTGGTGGGGAGTGGTACTGAGAAAATGCCGTAGGAAGGATCAGCCCCGCTGTGATGAGCCTCGCCATAGTCAGTACGTTTCGAGGGTTCATATAAGCAGCTTGCCGGTGGAATCAGGGTTATCGAAACCACAGGGAAAGTTGCAAGCGAAATAAAGCAAAAGTCAGGAAATGGAGGGCAGTGGAGGAAGACGAGGAAGCGAAGGATCAAGCACGGTAAGATTGTTATTTGGATCAGCCATGTAAGTTTGCGATGCAGTGAGAGAATGAGGAAGGCGCAGTGTTTGAGCTTCCGAAGCATGCTGGCCTGCTGCGACAGCCAGGTGAGGTCAAAGTTGTGGTAAGAGGACACGCTGTTAGTCGAACAGCAAAAGATTCAGGCCTAGGTGAGAGACCGACTGGCCAGAATTTTCAAACATCAGCTTCAAGCACTTTATCGCACAACATCCTCCGCCAAAAAGAGTGATGACGGTCGGAGTGTTGTGGTGTTGAGGGGTGTTTGGTGGGGGAAAGTGCGATATGCCGACCAATCAGAGACGGCAATGACGCGCTATCACGGGATCGGATGAGCTAGCCTCGAGCTGGGGATCGCCGAAAACTCTCGCGGTCGTACCTGTCGGTATCAAGACAAAATGTTCGCCCCAGCACGACGGCGGTGCGCCCAAAGCCTCGCGAAGGCCTCGTGCCAGACGACCGATTCAATACCGACTTTCCTGTTACCCGTATTCTCCCGGTCCACGCCCGCCAGGACCTTTACCTCCACAGCACCATGTCAATCGAAGATCGGGTCCCTACCGCTCTCGTTACCCCAGGGAGTCACATTCCAAGTGGTTACGCCTTCGGCTAAGGCCAGGAGCTCAAGAGTGCAGGCAATGTCTACAGTACACATCAAGGGACCGCTCGGCGAGCTTTCAATGAACATTCCTCCATATATCAATATCAACCAGGACCCGGCGTTGGGTGGTCCAACATTGACAATAGAGGACGCAAAAGATGCGAAACAGAAGGCAATGTGGGGTACGCGTGCTGGCTTCGTAACGTGCTGCGCAATTGGCTAACTTGAATTCAGGCACCACCCGCGCATACCTCCAGAATCACATCCTCGGTGTTAGCGAAGGACACAGTGCCATTCTCCGCTTCGTCGGTGTCGGTTACCGTGCCTCAGTCGAAGACACTGCAACTACAGTAAAAGCCGAATTTCCGGGCCAGAAGTTCGTCAACTTGAAGGTCGGATACACACACCCTGTCGAACTCGCTATACCAAAGGGTATGACCGCGAGTACACCGCAACCGACACGTCTACTATTAGAGGGGCCGGAGAAGGAGGTAGTCATGCAGTTCGCGGCCAAGATAAGGGCCTGGAGGAAACCTGAACCATACAAGGGCAAGGGTGTTTTTGTCAATGGAGAGACCATCAAGATCAAGAACAAGAGAGTGGGCGGCAAATAGAAAGGATGATGACATTGTGGATGTGTACCATATTTGTTCGCTTTACATCATGAATCATTGGAACCGTGTCACCATGCGTGGTTGGGTCCGAAGACGGAGCATATACCACGGTACCGAAGTACACCTCGGTTCAGGCATCCATTCTTCGACCTTTGTTTCTGCGATTTCGTCTTGTCCCAGCGACTCAATTTTGGTTACACTGCTGCCTGATGAAACCTGGTGACTGGCTGGCTCTCTACGTGGAGAACAGACATGAGTGATTTCCGTATATATACTGACCTTGATCCTTGATCTTAAGTACCTACATCCACACAGTCGCCAATTCCACACCATGTCTACCTCCCAGCCCCCGAAATGCTATCTTCTACGCATTCCTCGTGAACTGCGTGACGCAATCTACGCCTACTATCTCAGTGACGATGGATACTATCACCAACCCGAGTCGAATACCTTGCGACATGCTGATAGATCAGCCATCGATCTCGCGCTGACATTGAGTTGCAAGCAGGTCGCGGCGGAGATGATAGCATTGCCCTTGAAGCTGAATGCTGTGGAATTCAGAACGCACCTGGCACCTATCGAGACAGCTGGTATTGGAGAGCGGAAATGGCTATTTAGAAAACCTCCACCTCGGGATCGTCACAGCGACGATTACTCCGCGCCCCCTTCAAGGGCTGGGCATTTTCACTTTCTGCTGGCACGCCTACACGACAAGGAGGCAGACGCTTGCGTAATCGCTTTTAACGCATATGGTAAGACAAAGCTTATACACGACTTCGTTCGCGCTCTTCAGTCAAGGTACATGCTGACTACGTGCGGCAGGTACTGAGGAACTCGCAAAATGTATCTCCGAACGATTCCCCCAAAGCTGCCTGGGCAAGCAGCTTCAAAAACTACTACCAAATAAGGTCACAGAAGCTTCTTACTATGAAGTAATGGACCGGTTTCGGAATTCGACATTCTACGAACGCCAAGCTATGCAGTTTCTCCTTGAAAACATATCAGCTTTTGCTACTCAAGCCAATATTGTCAACGAGTCTAATCACAAGAGTGAGAATGAATTCAAGCTCCCACTAGGACCTATGAGCCGTCATGCTTCTGAGGTTGTGGCTTCGAGAATCTCATCCGTGGAGTGGCCACCTTGGGTAATGCCTACGGCGTTGCATATATCAAAGTTGCACGAAATCGTCAACTCTGTAGATAAGAGCGACCCGGAGCACGGGTACTGTTCAAATGCGCACAAGCTTAGGTACTACGAATCAGCTGCCTCGCAATGTATCCGCTTTCTCGGAATGTTAGAACAGGACGCGAGTTTCCGATTGCGGCATCTGATTATACGCGAAGACCGCAGATCTTGCACAAAACCACGTTGCCATGCGTATGGTCTCATTCCATATCTCAGGGGTCTGCCTCATCTGCGCGTCGACCATCACGTTGATATGTGGCATGTCATGTAAGTTGTGCATCCTTTCGAAGAATGGACACCTTCTAACAATGTGTAAACAAGCTTTACGACAGATTACAGTGGACTCGCCAGACTGGGCCTCGACTTGCGATCCTGGCCAGACCCCCGGTTTATCCCTTGGTTATCCAACGCAGTAGATGAGACCGCTACCTGGATCAAGGAAGCGATGCATTTACGACGCGCCGGTATGCCTCCTTCTGCCTACCGCCTTCATCTCGAGGCACCGATGGAGACCGTTTAGGATGTCTGGGGTATCATCAAGTCGCGCGCAGCCCTTCACCACTTGATCTCACACCTTCCTGTTCGTAATAAATACAGGTCCTTCCGTTGTGACGATGACTTTGTGTCTTGTGTACGACTCATTCTGTCTGGAGATTCCACTGTACATTTGCCGTGTCCTGTAGGCACTCTGGAAGAATTTGAAGAAGAGATTGGTCGTATAAGCGAGGATTTGAACAGTTTGCCGAGAAACCTTTGGGAGGATTATGGCATTGATCTCGTTGAGAGGGCTCTGGACACTTCGATGGTTGATGTCAAGGCTATTTATGAGTTGTATATAGACAGTCCGGCATGAAGCGGCCATAATCAATACGGATAAGGGACTTGAGAGGGGTCGGACTGGAACGCTGTAAACTCAATACGATTGATTGTTTTGGTATCTCATCAATATGAAAAGTACCTTGCATCAGGAACCGCAGCGCGATCCAACTTGAAGTACCCAGGTTGCAGCTTCTGGAAAACCTGCGTCGGATCATACCTCTTCGCGACAGTCTTCAACTTACTCTTACTAGCCAATCCGTAGCTCGCAATAACATCTTGGAACATCGCTGCATAGTTCATGTACACCCAATCATTCTGCACACCCAACTTTACCGCATCGCTCTTGATAGCCTTCATGATATCGGACATGACCTTGTATACGGTTTCATCATCCGCAGCATTGTTCCACGAGCATGCTAGCTGGATAATATGAATAGGGCTACCGTTGGCATCAAATCCCAATGCGTTGCCACCGTTACGGGTACTGCCTTTGAGCGAACCATCCGTGATGTGCTGCCAGATAAGCACGGGGAATGCGCCTTCTACTGCTGACAGAGCGTCGATTGAATCGAAGAAGATGTCCACGGAGCGCTGAGCGATCTCGTACGAGGCTTTGACTGTAATGTCGTAGAAGATCTCACGCTGTCCATATGTATTGCTGGCTTCGTTGTCCACTACGTAAGAGGCATGGCCACGAGTCTTTGTGCTGTCTGATATGGCAGTGATGTTGTAAAAAGGCGCCAGAATGGCAGACTCGTTACCAGCTGGTGCGCCATACCAGAGCTCGGTCGAAGCAACTTTTGCGCCGGCATTTATCCAGGCGATCCAGCTGCCAGCCTTGGGGTCTTGGGCTGAGTCAAGTGTGAGGTCGATCCATGCTTTGACTACATCTGGGAAGACGTCCTCGGTGAAAGTGCGAGTTCCGCCCCAGATTTGGTCGTTGTTGAGTGGTTTTGTCCACAGGTTGAAGTTGGTCACTATGCCGAGATTGTTTCCTCCACCACGGAGAGACCAGTACAGGTCTGGGAAGGTCTTAGGGCTTGCTGTGACTATAATGCCGCTCGCTGTGACGACCTGATGAAGGTTAGAAGAAGACTTGTGAGGTATATGCAATTGCTTACATCGAAACTGGCAACGTTATCACATGCCAGACCATACTCGTTAGTGATGAACGAGATGCCTCCACCAAGGGTAAGACCACCAACACCGAGATCACCGATTCGACCAGCCACGACTGTGACACCAGTGGTCGACAAAGCAGTCAGCACGTTACCCCAATTGTTTCCTGGCTGTACCGCGACAGTCTTCTTGTCTCCGGAAAGTTTGATGCCCTTCATGTTCTCGAATGATACGGTGATACCACCTTCAATGGTAGCTGCGCCAGCAAACGCACTATGACCGCCAGACTTGACGGCAAACGGACATTGTGAAAGCCGAGATAGAAGTACCATCACAGAAACCTCAGCAGGGCTTGAGGGTTTGAAGATACAGTATGGCCTCACATCGGCCGAGATCCCAGACCAGAACCCGGATGTGAATGCAGTGTAGCCAGCCTCATTTTGAAACTCGACAGACTTGTTGCCGTAAAGAACTTCGAGTGAAGAACACTACGTTTGTTTCAGCTCTATCTCTGGTCAGACTCAAGAACACTTACAGCGATGTTGCAAGCCAAATCCGAAGACCGCTCCACAAGACCAGCTAGCTCTGGCAATGCTGAGATATTGACACCTTGATCAAGTAGAGCCTCAGTGACGTTAAAGTCGGGAGCTTCAAACGTTCGGGAAGCGACGAGCGTAGCCAACGTCGCAAGCAAAAATGACCGCATATTGACTTGGGTTGGTATCGACAAGGTGGTGGGGAACCATTGCTATACGAGCGCAAGATCTGATTTTATATGTGCATAGCGCTCTGACACTCTTTCCTCAAGGATCAGAGACCCTTCTGGAAGGAGTCTAAGGCATCAAATGTGCGCAAGCGAATTTGTCGCTGCTGCTTGCCACCAAAGGGGTGCGGCTCGATGGCAGCCTCGCTCTTGTCCTCGCCTTCTGCATGCCCACCCGTGCCTTCTGACTAGCGGCACTAAGCTAGTCAGCGGGCCGTGGGGAAGACGCGTCGTTCAACCGGTGCCAGGCACTTCGTTTCTCCCAAAATGCGTGAAGAGACGGCGAAGACAAAGTCTTTCGGTATCGCTCTCATATATTCGATGAGGAGCGACTCGAGCACACTTTTCTCATCGGTAATCGGGGATTTTACGCATGAGCAAAAAGCAGATGTCACTTCCAGACACGACTGCGCCGCAGTGCTGCAGTTCGGGGGAGGATATTACCTCGATCCTTCAGCAGGGCTAGGTCCGTGATTGGCTCAGGCAAGTTTAGCGCTTCCCAAGATCCCGTCCGCCTCTTTTCATGCCGGTCGTTCCATCCCCAAAACACTTCACGACAGCACATGTGCTTCCTGCCGCTCGGCAATTCGGAGTTAGAATCAAGCAGGTAGGCCCATTTGCGGGTCGGTTAGATAAGCCTGCAGTCCCTATCCTGATCCTTCGGCTTATGTCCGCGAACCGTAACATCGGAAGGACTCAACTTTGGTCATCGTTTCGAAGACATCCCTTGGTGAAATCTCGTTTATGCATGATGCCACTTTCAGTCAAATTCTAGACTTACAGCTATGAAGACGGCTCGCGTCTGAACCGGGCTGACGGTAGATTCGTCGAAAAGACTTGTCGCCACTTTGTCCCACCCCGCAAGAGATTTGTACATGGCTGAGCCGATTGCATGGACAATCAACTCTCATCTCTGTAAGAAAATGCACTTGGAAGTCGTCAGTCTTCGCTCTGAGGGAATCGTGAACATCTTAACATACGCAGTACGTAACGATATTTTCTGCTTACAAGGGTTTGTACTCAATATCGACGTCCATGTTCTGCTTTGCCTCACAGGTGCATTACTTGTAGGATCCTTCAGCCGATGGATCAAACATGAAGAACAGGGAAAGAAGGCCAGGGTGTGGGGGTACACATCACGTCGCGGTAAGTTCCAGGAGGTCGACGTGCGGACATGATCGTCTCTGTTATCGTTAAAGACTTAGCACTCTTGCTCCCTGTGCACAAAATTTCCATTCTCCAAGTACAATTTCGCAGCCTTTTAGTATGTCTTCGAACGGCCTCACCGAAACTACCCTTCGTGGTACTGCGATCGGACTCATGGTCGTGACGACTGCCATGGTTTTTGCGCGAGCTATACTACGAAGCGATCAGAAGAAATCCATCCAATGGGACGAGATCTGGTTGATTGTAGGATATATGCTCTTCATGGCTATTACCGGCGTCTACATCAATAAGACTAGTCTTTTATTTCGACTCCTAGCGGTCGAGGAAGGTCGCCTCGCCCCATACCCGAGTGTCAGCAAAGATGGATTCAATGCGCAGAAGACGTTCTTCTTTACTAGTCCAGGGTTATGGCTCACTTTGTGGAGCATCAAGTTTTCTCTACTGGCATTCTACAAGAGGATTATGGTGGGCGTAAAGCTGTACCTGACGCTGTGGTGGGTTGTACTTGCATACTGTGTGCTTGTGAGTTCCCTAGATCCAATGCATTTTCCCGTGAATAACCTTCACTTACATCTCAATAGACACTGGTTCTATCCATTATGTTACACATTACTGCCTGTGGATCTTCACCGTCATCGTGGTTCGTAGAGAACGGATGTGGAGCCGACAACGTTCGAAAGAGCCTGATAAGCTTCTGGGAAGGATTTGCTGTGGACCTGTCAACAGATCTCATGAGTAGGTGCCCTCAATACCTTGCAGTGGGACGATATCCTGACGCATCCAACAGTAATGCTACTTCCAATCGGCATCATACGCAACCTTCAGATACCTCTAGCGCGCAAAATTCAGATCGGCGGCCTTTTTGCACTCGGCATCTTTGTCATCATCGCGAGCATTGTTCGAGTGATACAAGTTGGCGCAACGACTGGGGCAAGCAATACAACACCTTCATTGACATGGCTTGCTCTATGGAGTATCATTGAGTCATCTGTCGCTATCATGGTTGGCTGCGGTCCGGGTCTATACCGTAAAGCCAAGGCTGTCTACAGTAACACCCCAGTACATGCATACAACAGTCGCGGCTACATCAAGACTACAGCGGACAGGAGGCCAGAAACGAAAGGGAATGCAGATGACGAGTATGGCTTTCCGATGAAGACAATGAGCATCGATATCGCAGCTCGGGTCAGTAGAGGCGATAGTGAGGAGGAATTAGTTAGTCAAGAGATAAACGGTAAGATCCGAGTCACGAGGTCGGTTGTTGTAAGTCACAAAAGCGAGTAATATCGGAAGGGCTCAATTTTACTAGCTGGCTTGTCGCGCGGAGCCTCTTTACAAAGAATTCAATGCTATTGGACGTATCATTGGAAGAGGATCGTGATCATAGATTTCATGATTCGTCGCTACGTTGAACGTGACAAAGATACTGGAAATATACCCGAAATATCCCGTAAAGCTCTCTGAGAATGGTTGTTGTGAGTAAGGTTGCAAAGGAGAGGACATCCACATCTCGCGCGATCATCTTGCCCACCAACCACTGCGCAATTCGGTTCCAGATCATCAACAAAGACCTGAGCTAGGCGTTCTTGCTATGTTCTTCATCATCATCGTCTAGCAGATGACCTCTGAGATCGCTGTAGACCACGACAGGTATGCCTTTGGCCCACCAGATGTCCAAGCTGCCGTACCGCTCGAAGCACTCCTCGTTATAGAGCTGCAACACCCATCGATCCTCCTGGCTCAACTCATCCCATGGTTTCAAGTCTTCTGTCAGCGAAAGTCGGTTTATCTCCTGCTCGACCATCTCGCTGTCTTCGATATCATTGATAGGCTCGTCGAGAAGATCTCGGTAGAGTTGGACGAGGTCGGGTGTTTTAACGGGCTCGCTCCAGTTGGTAGTAACACAGGGAAACTTTGCACGTTCTCGATGCTTCATCATCTCGGCCTTGGCGATGAACGGAAGGGTGTGGATAGAGACATCGGTTCCGATTCCAGAACCGAGCGCTTGTATCATCCTCGGCAAATCATTGTCAAAGACGGTCACGAACTTCTGCTGGTTCAGAAAGGGCATCTGATTTGAGTATCGCTCGGATGCCTTTGTATAGTAAGCAGCCTCGATGCTCAGGTAATCTCTGATCTTGATGGCAGCGGGCTCGTTCGCGTTCGAGGCAAAAGCGATGGTTACGAAGGGATTCTTCACACCAAGACCACCGTAGGCTTGTGGGAGATGGATGATTGGCTCAAGATCTTGCAGACCATGCTCCAGCTCGCATGATACAAAAGGTCTGAGCATATTTGCAACCCATCTGGTTAAATCGCTGCCACCAAGAACGATAGAGTAAATACGCCTGTACGTTGCTTTGATCATTCCGGTGTGTTCTTTATTGAACACGTTGGCAAGGGGGCCGAGCAAATGGGCTGCATAAGTACCGACAGTATCATTCCATTCATGAACCCACTCGAGTACGGTTGAACACGACTTGAGCCTCAGACTTGCGTTGGCTGCATAGAGGGCGACTTTGGAATCGTCGATTCCGACTTCGATGCCGTGTGGTGAGTTTACCTGAAGGTCTATATCCAAGAATCCGATGGACAGCTTGTCAGTGGAGAAGAGACTGCGGAATTTCAATCCCATAACGTTGGAAAAATCAACAATTACTTCCTCAGCATGGCTAATTTGTACTTGCGTGCCAACAAAGTAGCAGTGGTCATGTACACGGTACATGTACGATCCTGTTGCCTTGCGTATGGCAAGATCGAGGAAGAAGAGTACGGCTTCGCTGAAGAAAATCTCCATGGAGTAGCCAAAGGAAACTCCACTTTCAGGCGTCATAGTTCTAGCCGCTTTCTGAGTAGAAGACTCAATGCTCAGCTTGGGCCTGAGAGCGCGGTTGAAGAGGCTGAGAAAGACGTCCGGAACACCAAGAAATCTCAACACCGTGATGATGGTACAGTGCGGCAATGTAGAGGCCAACGGATCGAAGTCCAGGGTTAAAGCGTTGACTTCGCCATCGAAAGCCCTGCGTATCTTGCATTCCACAGCCAGGGTTTTGATCAATCTTGCCTGGATGTCTTTCGACGAAGTCATCTTAGGTACGTCGCCATCATGTTTGGGCAGACGTGACATGAAGAAGTGCCGTTGGTAGTCATCTCGTCGTACACTTTCAACGTCCGTGAGTATGTCTGGTGGCGGCGGAGGAGGATACATATGGATCACATGGGGCGCTGGGGGTACAATTGGGGTGAGACGCATGGTTCGAGGCTTCGTCTTACTCCTTCTGCATCCCTTTTTGGATTCGGGTGGTGGTGGAGGAGGACAAGGAGGACCCGTGTATCCACAAGGCGGTGGAGGCATAAATGAAGTATTGTCGAAGAAGAAAGCCCTCTTGTCGGCGTCTGCCCTTGCAAGTGGGGCGACTTCGAACGCTTTGGACTTATCAAAGTAGTCCCTGAGACATTCATTCAACTTCGTCGCCCATCTGATTGCACAGCAATGGAGGAACAGCATGTCGATAACTTCAACCTCAACGTTGACGTAGTGCTGTCCACGGATTGTCTTGCGTGTATCGACTGGTAAACCCACTTCTGCGTTCTTGTAATTCCATTCGCGATAGCCCCTCGTGTTCAGCATTGCAGTTACCTCCAGTAACGCGTCTGGCGACTGCAGATAATTGATCAGGGTCTCTCTTCGCTCCTGGCTGATATGCTCTGATCGAATCAGGTCCGTGATGATCCATTTCAGAGTTTCTTGATCGACTTCAATGTTTCCGTTGCTAAGATCACTTCCGTATGCTCGCATTCCGTTGCGAATAGCTTGCAAATGGTCTTCTTCGCCTGCGAATAAGCCCGAAAGATATTCATCAATCGAGGAGCTATCCACAGTTGTCTGCTGCGAACATGTCCTCACAAAATCTTTCAGAGCATCTTCACGGTCGTCATCAACAACCTCGAAATCATCTTCCACGGCCATGTCTTCAAGAAGTCTGGTAGCTGTCGTGTCGGTGTACACGTCTATAGCCTCTTTCATGAGTCGCGAATGTAGGCACGATACTTCCATGCGATTGCGGAACCTGCTCAGCTTATCGAGGAGAGCTTTTTCAAGCTTCAGCAGCTTGTTCTCGGTAACGATTCCGCCATCACGGGCTTGTTCAATACATCGCTTGGTGGTTTCTGATGTCCAGATGCCATCCTCCTTGTCGAACTTTGGATCAAGGTTCTCGATATCCTCCAAAAGCCTTTCGATTCGTCTGATAACACTGGGCTCTTCAGACTGCTTCGCATCTAGGAGATATCGCTGCTCGAAGGACTGTTTGGTATGTTCCAGCTCCTCCAGGCGGAGCTCGACCGCCTGTCGAGTGATCGGCGTGATTGCAAACGATGGCATGTTGTCTTGAATAGATGCCAAAATTGAGTGAGTAGCTGATACTCGAAGCTGGCTGAGAAAGCTGCTGTTTATCACTTAAGTTTGCTCACTTTGTGTCGCCAAGTCCGACCCAAGCACGTAAGTCGCTGCATGGTGAGGTAGTCATCAGGCATCACGCATTTGGAGGCGAATGAGACACAGATTTGAGGGTACACAAGATTAGTGTGCATGTTGTGGCAGGTCAACAGAAGAGGCCGTCCAGTGGCCATTTGCGACCCGTCCACGCAGGGTTAGCTCCAGAGCTTTCCCCGCACTTTCATCGGTCGCGACCATAGCATGCCAATCATGCTTAACATGAAGACACACCTGGGAGCGTGACTTCGCTGCTTGATTCTGTGAACACGCGCATCTTTGGTTGCTTTTGCTCAACACATCGTCATTGCCGTCACATGATGCTAAGGATGACGGATACCGGGTATATGTGGGTCTCATCCCACCTTAGTTTAGCTATGTAGGCCTAATACATGCGATTATTCTCCATCCACACTGTACAATTGCCTACAATACTATTTCATTTTGACACTGCCCTTCGGCCTACTGAGTAGCATATGTGGTGCAGACCCTCGCAACTTCTAGGCAGCAAAGCTTTACTACCACGAAGGAGCAGAGATTTCCAGATATAATCGCCACCCTTATGTTGTGCTCTATTTGTCAAAATGCGCTCCAAATATTTTGGGAAACAACAGAGGGCGAGATTGCTCACCACCCTTCACTTACCAGCCTCGCACAAGCTATCGAAGAAGGCTGTTTCCTATGTTGCTGTTTAGAAGACTGCTTGGAGTACCACGACATTGACATGAAACAGCCTGATCTCGATCGCTGTACACGATGGCGTGTGTATGAAAACGATCCGAATTGGAGTGTGAACGATGTTCGCTGCTTTGATGTATGTTCCTGGGACAAGGACCATCCCGATCATGCAGAAGTCCAATCGCAATGCTTCTCTCTAAGATCTAATTTCATCCGCGCTGACCCTGCCAGCTCGTCTGAACAGAATATGGATAGCTCTCTGTCGATCTTCTCAGACTTTACGGGCTCAGACCAGACGATATCGCAGATAAAAAAATGGCTTGAGATATGCACATCAACGCATGATTCATGCGGCCACCAGCGCAAGAACCTATGGATGCCATCGCGTTTACTCCAACTTTGTGACCTGGACAAAGAACCCAAAGTTCGCTTACGGAGCAGTTCAGAATTAGAGAGCGAACGTTACCTCACTCTCAGTCATTGTTGGGGCGCTAAGGGCAGCCAAAAACTGCAGCTCACCAAGGAAACTATCGAAGATTTTCACCGAGGTATTGCTGTTTCAACCCTGCAAAAAACGTTCCAGGATATGGCCAATGTCACTGCTCGTCTTGGGTTCCAATACTTTTGGGTAGACTGTATGTGTATACTGCAGGACGATCCCGAAGACTGGAGACGCGAGTCTAGTTTAATGGGAACAGTGTACGCAAACAGCTGGCTCAATATATCTGCCACATGGGCAACGGACAGCAGCTATGGTTGCTTCACCCACCGCGATCTTTCGCGAGACTATCTCCACGTGGAAGAACCCATGAATGGGTCGGAGAAGAAGAAGAACTGGATATTGACGTCGACATATGACTGGTCGGGTCAGGTAGAGCAAGCGCCAGTGAACGAAAGGGGTTGGGTCTTACAGGAGCGCATCCTATCTCCCCGCATTGCGCACTTTACGGGAACTCAGGTCGCTTGGGAATGTCAGCAGCTGCAGGCCACAGAGACATCTCCTGATGGAATTATACTTCAGCAGGCCTTGTACAAACAATACCGGTATAATATCGCCATCGACAATTCTATCAAGCACGACGGCCATGAAGATACCGAGTACTATTGGAGTCGTATACTATACAAGTACACATCGTGTCAGTTGACTTTCAGTACTGATAGGTTGATCGCCTTATCTGGAATCGCACGAAAAATCAATGAAAGTAGACCGTCCGATTATATGGCGGGTCTATGGAGCAAAGACCTGCCTCACTGTCTCCTGTGGACGCTATGGGACCCAAGTCCTCAACCGAAAACCTATGTCGCCCCTTCTTGGAGCTGGGCATCTAGATCGGGAGAAGTTATCAGTTCCGGATTTGCAGATCGAGACAACTCGACTGCGTACGTGACAGTGCTGGACTATGCCATAACACTCCGCAACCCAGAGGATCCATATGGTCAGATAACAGACGCATCTATCAAAGTGCGAGCGAGATTGGGAATTGCGAGGTGGAGTGGAATGGAATATTTAGAGAAGCAAGGCGAATGTTCTTCCATCACGCTATTGGTGCCTGTCGCACATTGCAGAACGGAAACTTCTACGTCGACATTAAGATTCTGGGAGGGTGCAATCGTTCTTGATCATGATGGGGATTCTGATTTGGAGGAAGCATATTTTGCAGGTGTAAGCACAAACCTTGGGTTTCCGGTGGAGGAAGTGAATAAGAGTGAAAGTAGCAAAACCACAACGACATCTCAACGCGACAGTTATCTCGGGGGGCTACTGCTCCGGCGTCTTGCGTGCTCGCGGTTCGAACGTATAGGACTCCTAAGGTTGGACTTGCATCACAATGATGACCCTTGTGTTGACCTACCGGAACGAGAAATCACCATCATCTAGAGGAAGATAGTCAAGTATGATCGGAGCGAATCATTCATGAACATGTGCTTCATCAAAAATATTCTGAACTCCTAATCATGACCGTGATTCATTGCCATTCAAAAACGCCAGTAGACCTTTATCAACGTCGTCCATAAGCACCCGCCTCCGCCCTCCTCTCCGTCCTCTTGAAGCCCAGACTCCCCGCCTTCCTACTCTTCCTAACAACCTCCTCCCCTCTATCGTCATCATCGTCCCCATCCAACACCTTCCTCCTGCCATACATTTCCATATCCTTCGCATCATCATCATGCTTGCGATCATACTCGCTCTCCCGGCTAAACAACGCCATCATATCCTTCATCGTCAAGTTCTTGATGGCCTTGCCACCCTCGATGGCCGCATTAGCGAGTTTACGCTTGGCCTCTTGTAATTCGAGAATGCGCTCTTCGACGGAGTTGTGGATGGAGAGGCGGTAGACTGTTACGTCGACGGTCTGGTTGAGACGGTGGACACGGTCGATGGCTTGTTCTTCTACGAACTGTCGATGTGCGTTAGTAAGCCGTTTTCTCGAGACGGGAGGATAGGGTAGTACTTACGGGGTTCCAGAATGGCTCCATGATGACAACGCGACTTGCGGCTGTGAGGTTGAGACCGAGACTACCGCATTTCAAACTACAGAGCAGGACGCGTGTACGCTTATCTTCACGTAACTTCTGGAGACTTGCTTCGCGGAGATCGTTACGCATGCTGCCGTCGTAGCGGGTGAAGTTGTAACCTGCGCGTTGCAAGAAGGGTTCAATGAGGTCGAGCATGGAGGTAAATTGCGAGAAGACGATGACCTTGTGTTCATCAGTCTCCTTTTCGAGGATGGCGAGTAGTTGCCGGATCTTCGTTGATGGTACTAGGTCCGAGGCGTTGTAGGAAGCTTCTGAGGTCTCGGACTCCGAGGCTGAGGCTTCTGAATCGGACTCAGAGTCCGAGGCGTCTGAATCACTGCCGCTTTCGCTGTTGGCTTCCTCACTGTCTGCCTCTCCATCTTCTTCATCAGAGTCAAGGCTGATGACCTTTTGTGGCTTCTTGAGTAGCTTCTTACGAGCAACAGGCGCTTCGTCTTCGCTGTCAGTGTCATGAACGACGAAAGAATCCAGATTGCTCCTGCTCTCATCCTCATCCGCAGATGTATCTGAGTCGACAGTAGCAAGCGTATCGCCGCCTCCTTCAGCATTCTCATCGTCGGTGCCACCAGCCTTGCCCAAATCTTCAGCATGTTGCTGGTCCTCAGGAACGAGCCATTCGCCCTCCTCTTCTTCGTCGTCACTATCGACAACGACGCGGCGATTGCGAGAATGCTTCGCAGCGGCTGGTTTTTGCTCCTCTTCTTCGTCGTCGGACTCTATGACTGGTTTCGCTTGCCGGCGCTTTTTGGACTTGCCATCCTTGTGCTTATGTTTGCGGTCTTTCTTCGACTTGTGCCTAGTATGCATTAGTATATGGCATTGTCGAGGCTCTGCTGGATGCTGGCTTACTTCTTAGACTTCTTAGTAGACCCTAGAAGATCTTCTTCGCACTCCGTACAACGCGCTCCACCGGCAGCTGTGTTATCACTATTGAGGTGGTTCTGGCATATGTCACAGCGCTTTGCCGCAACGCTGAGTCCACCTAGAAGATCTGCTAGGTCGTCGGCATCGTCTTTGGCTGCGGCCTTCCTAGGAGTCTGGAGGCCAGCTGCAGCGTTCGAATTCGAACCGGTAGTTAAGGCGTCCTTGTCACCCTTGACATTGCTCTTTGTGAGGTTCGGATGATTACAAGCCTGGCGCAGGCGAAGGAGCAACACCAACGCTCCAATATAATCCTGCTTCTCACCACCCATCATCTCGTCAAGACGAGCTTGTGTGCGGTCTCGTAACCGGTCGTAGAAGATGCGCTCTTTGGTTGTGAATTCTCCTATGATGGTCTCGACGTTTCGCGCAACAATGTGGAAAGCCGGCCGCTCCTCACCTTCCTTAGCTTTGCCACCGAAACTCAGTGCGCCGTCTTTGCGCAATACGTCCTTCGTGCGACGCTTCATAAAAGCACGCAGAAACACCTGCAGTCGCTTCATAGCAAGGTTGCCTCGACCGTTCTTCATTGGTTGCGCTATAGAGTCCTTCCAAGCTGAAAGCTCACAGTACGGTTGTATACGAAGGAACTTGATCAGACTCTGTAGCTCGTCGATATTGTTCTGCATTGGTGTACCAGTCAGGCACCATCGGTAATGCGAGCGCAGCTCGTAACAAGCCTTGGCCATCTTCGTGGTGCGGTTCTTGATCGTATGCGCCTCGTCCAGCATGATGCGATACCATGACACGGCGAAACAGCCCTTCTTGAGACCATCGGGGCCGTCACCACATTTCGCAAAATCGGTCGCCAAGCTGTTGAAGGTGGTGATGACGACGTCATATTGCTTCAGCTTCTCGGCTGACTCTGTGCGGTTGGGGCCGTGGTGTACGAGGACTTTGAGAGCGTGAGACTTGGTGACTTTGTCCTTGATCTCGGCTTCCCATTGCTTGATCAGTGCTAGTGGAGCAATGACAAGAGTGCCCTTGCCGGTGGAATCAGAGATCTTGTTCTTCTTGTTCTCTGGCTCTACGCCCTTTTCCGGTCGAGGGTTTGAGAGAATGAGCGCAAGAGACTGTACAGTCTTTCCGAGACCCATGTCATCTGCTAATATACCGCCCTTTGGCAACTTGGCCTTCTTGTTGTGATTGCCAGTCTCCTTCTCGATCATCCAAGCCACACCGTCGACCTGATGAGGCAAGAGCTTCACTTTGAGACCTTCCACTGTGCCGTCATCTTCTTCTTCTTCCTCTTCAGGTTCAGCCTCGGCTTTAGTTTCCTCGTCCTTAACGGCAAGCGCTTGTAACCGGTCAGCTAGAGAGTTGCCAACGTCTTCCTCTTGTTGCTTCTTCTTCTTCTTACGAAGACGCGTCCTGGGAATCTTCTCGTTTTCTTCATCAAAAGCGCCCTCAAGTAGCGCCTTGATGTTCTCGCTAGTCGCAGCAGGGTCGACGTAGGCGTATGGATCTGGCTCGCCAAATCGACTACCCTCTCTTCGGATGGCCTCATCTGGGTCGAAATTGTCTTCATCGTCCAATATCACCGTCTGGCGCGCTTGTTGTAGCGGGTTGTGTGTTCTTTTGTTCAACGGCGCGAAGTTATCGGCGTGGCCCATCGAGGAATAGATCGGTCGAGGAGGTGGAAGACTAGTCTTGGCTGCGGGGTTGTATGGTCGGGCGATGGGTACAGGGCCGCCTTGGGACGGTCTGGGTTGGAACTGGGAGGCGGGAATTTCGAAGATGTCTGAACCAGTCGACGAGGTAGACGCCGTGCTGTATCGTGAACTTGACGACATAGACGGGACCTTGAAGGGTCGCTGCAGAGGATCGGTACTTCCGCTAGCAGCTGAACTCTGCGACGGTCTAGAAGCTGCAGAGTATTGCGACGGTAGCTTGGTCGTCTGACTATGCTCCGGCCGCATCTGTCCTGGCTTGGGCTTGTTGAAGAGGTGAGCAAACTCTTTGCTGCGGTCCTTCTTCAGAGGGTTCCTCAACGGGCTAGTCTCTCCAAACTGTGGTGCTGTATTTCTGAGGTCTTGTAGAGGCTTTGGTGGGGGCGCCGTTCCATCTCGTGGTGGGGGAGCCACGGGAGGGTCTCTCTCACGCACCATCTTGAGTCTGTGTTGGAGGTCGGCCTTCTGTTTCGTGTGGCTCGCAGGGCTCTCGATGTCGTCGAAGAGGTTGCTCGAATCGCCGAGTAGGGAAGTCGACTGTTCGTGAGGGTAGTCGCTATCGTCGGACGTGTACGTGGGCTTGGTGGCCGCTGGTGTCTTGAAGGCAGGCTTCTGGGCGGAGGAGAAGGTATCGATAGGTCGAAAAGGCGCACGGTATTTTCGCTGGGTGCTTTGGCTCATCGACTCATCCAGACCGGTCGCTTTGTTGGTGTTCCTGCAAACTGACTGTTGTCGCGACGAGTGTGCCCCTCGTGTTGTTTGCCAAATTAGGCGCTCCACTCGACGCACGTTGCCACGACGAAGGGTAAAAGTGGGGTCCTCAACACGTGGGACACGCGTAAACAACGACGCGCTATCACAGGATCTACACTATCAGCTTCAGGGTCTACCCACACCACGGGTGCCTAGTAGACACGTCATCAGCCCTTTCTTGGATACGATGGCATGAAAGCAGGATGGCCGTCTTAGATTGGCTTCGCCGAAGACAATGTAAGACGGCGGCCTCAGGCCAAACTGGCAGTCTTCTAAAGCTGGCATCACAGTGGATCAATCGCCGGTTCGCCTATGCCTATCAGAAAGACGTTCAGATAATCCTGTCTTTACCTCAATCGGAAACGCACTCAACAGCTAAAGCTACAACTATAGTGCACTGGAGGCTTGCTATACCTGAATGTTCGCCCATTACATCTTCACCCAAACATCCTCCCGTTTCTGCCGCCTCTTCGCTTCACGTGCAGCCAATATGATGAGCCCTCCAGCCACTAATACACTGCCCGAAAATGCCTGTGCTCCAGCATATGATCCCCCACTCGATGTAATGATAGCGCCACATACCGGAGAACCCAGTAACGCGCCAATTCCAATAGCCGCGAACACAATGCCAAACGAGGCTCCCATCTTAGACGTATCCGAGATAATGATGGGGACGATCGCTAGGGAGAGCGACTGGACTCCTCCGACAGAGAGACTGTAGAAAGTTGTCCACACGTATAGCCCGGGAGTCGAGTGTACCGGTATCCAGGTATACATGCATAGCGCAGAGCAGAAAATGAATGTTATGTAGACATTCATAGTACCGCAGTACCGGGCAATCAAACTTGGTAGTAGCCGACCTGCGAATCCGATGCCATTCAGAACCAGGGTAAGGTTGAGAGAGTCGGTGTATGACATTCCCCGCTTCTCTCGTGCATACGAACTGAGGAAGAAGAATGGGAAGAAGACGCCCAAGAAGGCCTGCAGTTCTGTCAGTGGTGTGAGTGGGGAGGCATAATGTCGACAACCTACCAAAAAGGATCCTACGAGGAGTAAGTTGAATGCAGTCTCCCTAAAGACTGACACATCCAACAGCGGACCCGACTTCCGCGCTGCTCTCTTCGGCTTCCCACACACCAGCGCAACCGCAAAAGTACCCAACTGTATAAACCCGATCGCTCTCAATGTCCATCCAAAGCCAATACTCGGCAACAGCGTTCTCACCATACTAGGGTAAATGAGTCCCCCAGTCACACTCCCACACGCCGCAATGCCTGTAACAAGCGGTAGCCTTCTCCTGAAATATGTCGTGACAAGCGTCGACATGGGCGTAAGTAAACACCCATTCCCAAGACCCGTGCAGACGCCCTGTGCGAGGAGAACTTGCCAGTAAGTCTCGCTCAGAGAAGTCATGAAGGTACCTAGTACAACCAGAAACGCTCCAGTGGCTGTGACATAGCGGTAGTGGCCTGCGTCTGTGAGACGCCCGCTGACGATACCGGTGAAGAAGAGGAGGAAGACGGCTATGGAGCCTACCCAGGCGATGTCGGACCGTGTTTTGTGGAGTGTGGAGACGTAGTAGGTTTGGAAGACACCGTAGGATATTATCATGCCCCTGTCTTGGTCGTTAGTAGAGTTTAGGTGGTTGGATTTGGGGAGCTTGTTACGCACCATGTGTTCATGATGGCGAGGAAGAAAGCCACGACTGTCAGCAGTGATAAATCAGCATCTCAGCGAACCGACTGTTGCCGACCTTGCAACTTACCTGCCAGCCAGGCTACTAAGCCTCCTTCGGGTGTTGTTTGAGCAGCTTCTCCCTCATGGGGTTGGTCCTTGACACTCAAGCTCGAAGCCGCTACAGTCGCCGACCCTGCGTCCTCATGTACTGCTTGGTCATGATCCGGTGTTGTCGAGGATACGTTGCTCTCATGGCCTTCCACAGTTTTGCTCCCAAACATGATGTGCTTATCTCTGACTAAGTTCGCCAGAGAAGGAGTGTTGATCTGATGAAAGTTCTGCGAGGAGATGCTTCTCAGTCGTGCCAGGGGTTGGAACTATATATGATGAATGGCTCACACCATTGATGAGATGAGAGAACTCCCCACTTGTCTGAGAAGTTCGTACGAATTGATAATCAGGTACTAAAGCCACGCTTTGCTCAATGACATGCAGTTTCTTAGGTGTAGATGAATTTCGCGCTATGCTCAACGTGGTACCATATGCCGATCCACAAGTCTTTTCACGTACACAAAAGCTCACAGTCTCTTGCTCGCTGGCACATCTAGTAGGATCATGTTCACAGACTGATGGGCAGACTTTTCCACTCCCTTGGAGGTTTTATTGCATGCATTACTGCTCGTCCTGTGTAAAATTGCCACTCCAGTTCTTGAAGGTTCAAAAAGTGCGTTCGCGCAAATGATCGCTCTACTCTTATACTATATGGTGCTTTATTGGTTAGGAAAATATACACATTCTCAGGCTTCATGATCGAGTGAGCCACTTTCCTAACACACGGATCACACATACTGCTGGACATGCTCGTGGAAAAGATTGGGCATTGTGTGTGAAGGAAGCTGAACACTTTGAGCAACCTCTTTAAACATCGCTACTAGGCACCCCAGATTTCAATATGCAATTCAAAATTTGATTTTACATGAGTGGTATTCCTATATATCCCCAACTCAATTGATCTCCACAGCCTTACCAGGGTTCAGCCAACGAACCTTCTCCAGGACGCCTTCCTCTTTGAATTCCTGCGCGAGCTCATTTCCACCTTGTTTGAAATGATCCCACGACTCGTAGTGCATAGGAACAAGCACATCCGCCTTAAGGTCCTTCAGGAGACGAGCAGCCTGTCGGCCATCCATGGTGATCTGTAAACTATCGCCTGGCTGACCCGGCTTTCCCTCATCGGTGAACTCGTAAAAGGTTGCTTTACCGCAATTCATGAGGGCGACGGTAATGTGGTATTTTTCTGCGATCTTCGCCAGCTCCTCGATGTATACGGTGTCACCAGAGAAGTATATGGCGTTCGGGCGACCATCAGCTGCCACTCCAAAGTCCTCAGTGTGTACAACGAATCCGACACATTCGTGTCCAGGCCAGTGCTTGCAGGGCGTGGCAGTGATGTGGAACATTTTTCCTGCGATGCGAACATCTCTCTCTTGCCAGTCGCTGAAACCAAGAACACTGGGCCGGGGGGCGAGGTTCTTTGCGCCATCGTTGGTTGTTACTACGTGACGGCCGTCGAGGAGTCGGCGTCCGAACTCATCGAGGTTATCGGGGTGGTTCTCGTGACTCAGGAGAACGGCGTCGATGTGCGGTAGTTCTTCCAGCTTCAGAGCCGGGTCATCGTGGACTTTGAGGGCTGCGACGTCGTTCCACTCGGTACCGGCAGGGGAGAAGAAAGGGTCGGTAAGGAAGATGATGCCATCAATGTCGAGGATGGCAGTAGCCGTTCCTATATGTGTGATGCTGACTTTGTTCTTGAACGTGGAGGCTGACATGTTTCAGTGTCGATATCTTGATGCTATTTGGAGAGGAAATTGCCGATGATAGACAATGTGTGGAAGACAGAGTATCTGGCTGGCGTCTTTCGATGCACTGCAGTGCAGCCACTGGCTTTATGCCAAATTTCATCAGTGATAAAGTCCATGGTGAATTCTAGTTTTGAGCAAGTCGAACGCTGATGAATAATGTACTCTCTTGCTTTATCATCAGCAAAAAATTCTCACGCGATTATGATGAGTCTTGGTAAAGTGAATAGGAAACGAGATCGATGTCTGGGTGTTGTGACGCTATAGCTGCAGGCGCTAACATCAATCCAGTGTAACGTCGGAACGGCTCTAACATCTGCATAGCTAAGCCGGCGCTAGGCTCAAAAAGGCAGCATTACTTCCTGCAATGCGCCTGCGTCACTGAGCTCACTGCCTTACATCCCAACGTTCAAGCGACACCTTCTCAGCTAATCTCATCGTAAACCAGCTCTTTTGGTGGTGCCCCACCCTACACTATTCGCTTCAGGAGTAAAAACCCGAACCCGATCTCTACTTTCCGATTGCGGTAGTATATCGCGGTCGCTTATTTGCTCACCTGTGCGTACCTCTGCCATGAAGGTCAGAAAAAAGAATCTCTGTGACACTTGCCGCAAACGCAAACTCCAGGTCTGTTCATATCTCTCTTTATTTTCGGAGCAAGTAGGCTAATTCTATTGGCCCTGGAACAGTGCGACGGAAAACGCCCATCATGTACTCAATGTGTTTTCAGTAATCGAACATGCGAAGGATACCCGGACGCCCTATTTGTACCCTTCGTTGCCACCAAAGCGGCAGTAAAGCCAAGAACTGCGCGTCCAAAATCGGTATCGCGGACAGCACAGTCGGTCTCGACGTATGCGCGATGTCCCTCCGCTGCTAAATCGGGTTCGGTTCAGGATAAAGATTCACCTATACCTTCCCGAAACGACACCAATTTATCCGGTGGTTCGCCTTCTCCAAATCGATCTTACACCCAGGGTCTTGCTACGATACAAGATAAAGTCGCGTTAATCTTGCGCAACTTCATTCCCTTACACGAGTTGGAGTTCAACTCGGCAGACGCGACTGAGCAATGCTCGCGGTTCTGCGGCTCCTGGGCGAAAGCCCTACCCGAGCTGACCGCTGATATGACTGGCCCTTTTGCTCAATGTTTAGATTCAGCCGTCAGTGCTTTAGCACTATCCATAACCGCTTATCGAAATCGCCAGAATCTCCTAGATGCTATAGTCGCGCAATACGAGGAGAGTCTTCACCTCCTAGGGCAGAGTCTTGCGGCTGCAGGAAACACTTGCAACAGTAAAATTGTAGCAGCAGTTATGTGCTTGGCGCTCACAGAGGTATTGTCACCCACTCAGGAGTCCAGTTGGCTAGTACATGTTGAAGGTGTCAGCAACATGGTACATCTTATGCCGCCCGGATCCTTCGCATCTGGTATCGAGCACATTATGCTTATGGGCTTCAGGCCACTTTTGGTGAGTATGCAGCTATGTTGACAGATTCTCCGGTCTAATTGTTCTATGTGCCAGATACTAAGAGCCTTCATACATCGCAAGCCCACTTTTTTCGCGGACGAACCATGGCTCACACTACCCTTCCAATACCATCAACCTGCTCCATTGCAGAGTTTACTAGGTGCCGCTGCACACATCCCTGGTGTTCTGGAAAAAGTCGATGTTATTCTACCTCGTTCCTGCGATCGCGCGGCAGCGACTGCTGATCAACTCATCACAGAGCTATTGGCGAGCATATTACGCCTCAAGACGTGGCATAACTCGTTCTTGGCAAGTACTCCGGAGGTACTATACTGTTCTCGAAACGTAGAACACGATTTTGGTGGTACTTTCGAATCGCTATGGTACCCAAGTCTCGGTATCGCCAACATGTTTGTCTACTTTTGGGCTTTCCAGCTTCTTTGTCTTAATGAGATTCGAGATTTGTTGGACCGGTTCCCACATTTGAAGCATACGGTGCATGATGGCGCAGCATACAGCGCAGAGGCTTTCCGAGAAGAGTGCCTTGAGCTTAGCACCTGCATATACAAGAGTATGGAATATTTGTTACGGACAGATTTTATGTTGTATGGAATCTCGTCAGCAGGGTTTCCGTTGAGCATAGCATACAAGACGCTCCAGTCGGACGCTGAAGGTCAAGCAATTCTGGAATCACTCGACCACTCGATCATCACTCGGTGCAAAATCAGGGGTGTGGGAGATTGTGCAGACGGCCTTTGCGTATGACGCATTAAGACCCTCGGTTGCACGGATAACCAGCGCTTATGCCAAGGAAAAACAAAGCATGTTGCGCATTCGATTTGCCATTGGCAAGAAGAACAAAAGATAATACGACTTTGATCTTGTCGCAGATGTCATTCACTGGAAGCAGAATTAAGAGTACATTACAAGCATCTACCATCATGGCAATCATCGTCTACGTCTCAAGACGAGCACCGGATCAGTTGTTACACTGCGCACCGTCCGTCATGTTAATCTCGGTATATACCAGATGATCTTGGTTGATGAAGCCAACAGCAGTACCCTTGTTGCAATCAGGAGCTTCTTGACCGTAGCACCGGAACGTGGTTGCGGCACTCTGTGTTCCACCGATTGGTTTGGTGTCCAGCTCATAGATCTCGGTGCGCGTGTGAACGAAGCCCATAGGGGTGAGTGGTAGACCAGGTACACCGTCGATGTGGTGCGTGATGCGAATGAGGCTGCCGAGTTGAGAGTCGCTCGCACCAGACAGCTTGTCAGTGAAATCAGCGTATTGTTGGTTGCCGACACGGAGTGAGCCCATGGTGTATGCGGCTTTTACGGGAACACCGTTGGACTTGAGGTCTGTGTAGGCGATACTTGCTAGACCGCCTCCCAGGCTGTGTCCGACAATGATGGTTGAGTAACTTGGTTTCTCGGCACGGAGTTCAGCAAGCGCCGTTGTCAGGTCTTCTTGAACGGAGCGCCACCCGTTAAGAACACCGCCGTGGACTTGGCAGCCGGTGCAGCCTGGTGCAGTATCAAAGGGCATGAAGAAGAAGTTGAAGTCCGTTCCGAAATCTTGGACTGAACTTGTGCCAGGGAAAGAGACGATGAACTCTTTGGCGGCATCATCTTGGAATACAGCGACTTGAGTGTCGGATAGAATATTGTTGACTGTGCGAACGAGTTTTGATCCAAAGGGCGGGCTTTTGCATGTTCCGAATCCGTACACGAAGGTTGCGAGTGATGCTACTGCATATCTGGTGTATCGTTGCAGAACTGGGTAGAGCTCGGGTTGGACTGTTGAGGTTAGTGATTGAAGATTGAGAACATGATTGATGTGGCATACTGAGTTCCCTAGGTCTTGTTTGTCTGTCAACGAGCTGACGAAGGTCAGCCGGAGCTGCTTGAACGATAGGCGCAGCAAGCGCAGCGGCAACAGCGAAGGTGGTGAGCTTCATGACTATGTGATGATCTGCTTCTCAACAACAACTCATCCACGAGAACGCCATCGTGTTATATACACATTCCTCAACACGGAGTAAATCCCACGACTCAGCGCAAGAGTTGAGCCGAGGGACAAAAGCACGCTCTAAACACCCACCCTCTACAGCCCACGCATCGCGTGCCATGTAGATCGCCCCTATGCGAAGCTACCAGCTGTCAGGTACAGAGCGTTGCTTGGATGACAGGTCTCGCGCCATCCAATGTTTTTGCTCTAAAAGGGGTCTGATGCAGCCCGGTGGCGCAGAGTGATCGTTGTGACAGGTTGGAAGCGACGGCTTTGAGGATTTAGGGCGTGTAGCGCACAGCCGATCGGCCTGTTCGCACTTCTTTTTGCCGCTGCGCCTCCATATTAGTGTATCGAAAACCACAATATAAACTTCTTAGCCTCGGGTTTGCGCTCTTTAGCAAATGTAGGGCGCGCGGGAATGGCCGGCAGCACATGGACGGAGTGGGATATGGGGGATCGCTCCAGGCTTTGTGAAGATCGACCCCGCACTTATTCTCATCGCGGTTGACAAGCCGGGTCGACTTGCCGTTTGGTGGCTCTGCACGCTACAACGCTGCTACTACAGTGTCGCGTGGTTGTACATACATAGTCGGAGTACTACCCGCACCTGTCCGGCGATTCGATGAAGGCTCATGGCGTCGCGACGGAGAATTTTTCGGTGCAACTAAAGGAGTGAAGCTAGAAGATTTAAGGGAACATGCCCGCTCAGAATATCAGGCCAGATGTTGAAGAAGTTGGGTACTTGGATATTCGCAAGGAACAAAGTTTGATTCCGGCGTTACACGGGTCGGAACTACAGGTACGCCGTCATCGGAGATTTCCTTTTGCTAGTACATCCTACTACAACGCGGTTCTAGAAAATATATAGATACCTCGGCTCTCCAGACTCGACTATCTTTCCACGTTGCTTGACACTACGGCTTTGAGAATGACAAATGCCGCGGGCGCAAGCCTAGGAGCTGTCTCCGCGATCTGAGGACTGCCTCTTGCGATCACCAGACAGGTTTTCATCTTCACCTTGCATGAAGCGTTACATAACAATAAACAACATCAAGAACATATCCCAGCATGGTAATAGTCCCATACTATATCCATATCCCTGTATCGGTGGCTTCACGCACGAAGTATCTGTCGAATCCGGTCAGCAACTGATCCAATCAAAGTTTATTATGAGTAAACATCGAACAGAGCCATGAACTTGCACATCAAGCTATGCTTTGGTTGAGCGGGCACAGAATGTTTTAGCAAGTCTCGTAGTCACAAAATACACAGTTCAGATACTAGGAAACAAGCCAAGCTCTATCCTTTGAAGGACAAACGTAGTAGAAGATGGGACATCTTGAACGGCCGTGCCCTACATTTTTACGAGAACAGTTTGACGGAACTGCAATGTCGTCTATTCAATCCTAATCTGGCCAGGCATCTTCGAGAAACTATATGCTACAAATAAGACCAGTACTCCAGAAACAGGAAGATAAAGACAGTACACCAAACGAACAACATCATAAACAAGTCACGATCTATCTGAATCCAAAAGAACAACAAAGACCCCACAGAGAGTCTGCATTCACAATACAGTCTTATCGTCATACTTCCCCCGCTCTTCCCCTAATGTCTCCTAGCTTAATATTGTCATCCATTTCGAACAGACGTCGATTGTCCGCAGCCATTAATCCGATAGGTTTTGTACCCAGTTCCTCGTCAATATTCTCAGGTGTGACAACGCCCGTATCCATTCCGCTAGGACTGGCCTTCGCGCTACCCGCCACCTTCTTTGGCTTGAGCCCATATGCCGTGTTAAGCTCCTGGCGCATCTTATACTCCTTCTCAAACCATGTCAAGCAGAAGCCCAGGCCAGCGAGTATAGCGAAAACGATCCACACGCACTTGAGACTCTTGGTGAAGGCGTTGACAATCTCAACCTTGATTATTGGGGATGTAGCTTGTGTGGCGATGAAAGAAGCGGTTGCGCGTTGGTAGGCTTGCCCGTTGGCAAGTTTAGCGCGGGCAGATTCAGAAGAGATTGTTTGGAGAAGGCAAGCGAAGCGGACGTTAAAGACGGCACCAGGAATCGCGACACCAAAGAGTGAACCCGTGCCACGAAGAAAAGCCCAGGAGCCTGCACTCGCACCAGTCGTAGACTCAGGAAGCTTTACCTGAACAGCAGGAAGCATAGTGCTGATAACTATGCCGAGACCTGCTGCTGTGACGAGTTGGAGGGTAAGCCAAACGCTGATCGAGGTGCTGGCTTCGAGAAGTGTGCAGAGGCCTAAGCCGAGGGTTGTCAGGGAGAATCCGACAATGTGCATGGGTTTGTATCTGCCCCAGAAGCTCAGTAAGGGGCCACCGACTGCTGCTAGAACGACGACGACGAGGGTTGTGGGCATGACTTCTACACCCGATTGTGTAGGCGAGGAGCCCTTGACGGCTTGGAAAAAGGGTGGGAGGTAGAATTGGAAGCCGTAGGTTATGAAGCCGTGCATGGTGGTGAGTGCAAAGGCGATGTTGGTGGTGCGGTTCGAGAAGATATGGGGTGGCATAATGGGGTATTTGCAGTAGGAGCAGCGTTCCCAGAAGCCGAATCCTACCAGCCCAAGGACACCAAATATCATTGGAACGACCACGGAGGAGTGAGACCAAGGTCTTGGAGCGCCGCCTGTGCTGAGTGCGACGAGTAGCATGAGGACGGAGCCAGTGAGCATGCCGCTTCCCACGTAGTCGACCTTCTTCAATTCCTCCTTGACGGATACTTCGGCAGTGTCAATACCACCACCGACATTTAACCATAGCCAGATTACCGCCAAGGAGATGGCGCAAACCGGTATGTTTATGAGAAAACACCATCTCCAGCCGTGCTCTGCGAAAACACCTCCAAGGAGCGGACCGAGAGTGGTGCCAATAGCGAAAGTAACGTGTTTGATAGCCAAGTACGGGCCTCTCTTTCTCAGGGGGACAATGTCACAGAGAATCATCTCAGCGAATAGATCGATGCCGCCCGTTCCCAGGCCTTGGACGATTCGTCCAGCAATCAGTACAGCGCCATTATGCGCACCACCACAGATTGCAGAACCGACAGCAAAGACGGCCACAGCAGCCATCATAGGCATTTTCCTTCCCCACATATCTCCAAACTGGGAGTATAGGGGTTGGAAAATGGTGCTTGCGAGCAGGAAGGCAGTTGCAACCCAGGAGAATTTGGTGCCGAGATCCAACGCTTCAGAGATGGTCGGAAGCGCGGTATTGGTCACGCTTCCCTCGAGCGCAGAGAGGAGAAGCGGAAGGCATATTGCGACGAAAGAGCGCCAAAAGCCCTCGGATCGTTTCCACTTGGCGGAAGGGGTCTGAGAGGGGAGGGAAGGAGGTAGTGTAGGGCGGCTGAGGCGCCGGGAAAGGCTATTCCTGTTGCAACCATTGTTGAAGGTTTGGTGTACTTTAGAAAGCGGATCGGATCCCAATTCTTCTTCAATAATGGAAAAGTCGACTTTGCGCTCCGCCGTTGTAGTAGTTATGGTTGTTGTGGAAGATGAAGAAGACATTATTAAAAATTAATTGAAGTTACCGCAATATTCTTGCGGTGAACTGAAGAGTGAGGATAGGGAAGAGAGCAGGCAACAACTTTTCTTCACAGCTGCTGCTCAGCAAAAATTCTTCCAGACTTAGGGTGTGGTACCGCGTCCACGTTGCTTCCAGCCCAACACACAGTTTGCTCTCAAAACCTCGTTGCACTGATCCTGTTTTATAGACACCTTTGACATTACTTAGCTCAACATATCCACTCTATCCATACAACAAACAAAGGATTGTTAAGAGATTATTGCATTACGAGTGTGTCGTCGTGTTTCCACAGGATGCAGGTACGGTACCGCGGTAGAGAAGATTCTTTGCGTCCAATTCAAATATGGATAGCGAATGGAACCGCACACAACTCAAAGACCCTGACAGATCTGGCTGTAGGGACACGTAATTTAGAGTACCTCTTCCTGTTCCAATCATTGTTGTGGATCATGCCGGACATGTGTAGCTAGACGGTAGTGGACTCGTCTCTTCTATCATCCTTTGATCGTTTGATTGGATCACCGAAGTTACATTCAGCTCTCGTCCTGCGCGCGCTCCGAGTATTGTCTCGTGCCGTTACGGGGCCAGAGGCAATGATGACATACTGAAGATATTATCGGCAGTTCAAGATCCTCTCGTCGTACTCCAAGACCATGGCCTTTGCTGTTGCCAAAACACCGATCTTATCGTGTGGCAGACAGTGCGCTTTATCGAAATCGAAGTGATGCTGGGTTGCGACGATGTGCCGTATCATATGCAGGTACTTTCGTTCGCCATACCGCATCGAATATGGCGAAGGCCCTGAACCGGTGTACGAAACCAAGAAAGAAGCGCCAGTCGAACGGGACAGATCGGCGGTACCAGACTTCCAGCAGGGTTTCCACTTAGTCGTTCATTTCCGTTCCTGAGCGAGACGCCTACACTGCGCTGCAGAGAGCGATTGCTGCAAGCTAGACGGTTCAAAGCATCGATCCAAATCTCCCTCACCTCGCGCCCGGATCCACAAGTTCAAATCCCGGTAACTGCATCCTGACCAACCTCGGACAACTCCTTAGCAACAAACTCGCAATCCGCGTACTATCACTCCCATCCCTCACCTCTTCATACCACCTCTCCCAATCTCCCTTGTTCACATAGGTTTCAACGTTCCACCTGATAATTCCCTCCAGCTCCCCTTCCTTCAACTCCTCCTGTCTCACGTGCTTAGGCCACGGATCCAGATTCCCTCCATAAGCGTGATGCACAGCGAAGGAACGGACGGCTTCGCGGTGGGGAGGTGAGGTCCAGAATAAGAGGGCCAGGGGACGTAAGTACTTGAAGTCGTCGCCGAGGAGGGTAATGTGTGTGTAAAGGTGAGCGGTTGCGAGGCGGTTTATGGAGCGCGAGACGAGGCAGAGGGAGTGCAGAGTGGTCCGGTCTGGGGTAAGATGGAACATCAGATCGAGGAGCTCGTTGGGCAGGGATTCGAGTTTGGAAGTCATAGTTGCGGTCTGACAGATGCTACTGTGCGCGCAGATCACAATGATAATAATGATGATGACGATGAATGCTACTTAGGTGGCAAGAAGCTGATGATAGGAATCGCGCGTGAGCTATGTAATAGTGTCTAGGGATGCAAGCAGAGGAAACAAAAGAGAACGCGGAATGAATACGCGCGCGATGTACATATCGATGAGCACTGGTGTGGGGCTATAGACATGTTCCATGTCATGGAGCATAAGCCAAGACAAGGGTCCATTCAGGTACGATGCACGGCAGTTGCGATGTCGCGATAATCCTCGGATGTATGAATCGTCCTTACCCCGCCCCCGCCATCACTAAGGCCTACATCGATTACAGCACAAGGCGCACGAAGAGACTAAAGAATCACGAAGAAAGCAGTGTTGTTCATGAAATCTATTTCGTCAAGACAGTAATCTACGTCACAGTTTCCGGGGATTGCTATCTGCTATCACGTCTACTTGAACTCCTTCATGAACTCCTCGTGGAACTTGACGATACGGCCAGTCCAGTCCGTTCCAGGAGCGAGGAAAGTTGTCCTGAAATGCAGTGTGCCTTCCTTCTGTCCGAATCCTGTACCGGCAACGACGCAGACACCAGTGGCGTCCAACATGCGGAAGCAGTAGAACTCATCCGGCGCGCGACCTTCCTTCTTGGCTTGTTGTACAGCCTTCTCTGGGAGGTGGATGGTAGGGAAAAGGTACATGGAGCCCTGTTGATAAGATTAGCTGTGTTGTGTGTGGCAGACCGTGGGATACGCACCTGTGGCTCATTGCACTCGACACCCTCCATCTGCTTGAATGCCTCATACAAGGCATAGGCGCGCTTCTTCAGTCCGTTGAAGATGCCATCGTATTCCTGCTTGTACAGCTCATAGCTTGGCTCGCCCTCCTTTGGTGGGTTGACCATCATCTCCACGATACATTGACCCAACACGGGTGGGCACAGCTGGATAGAGATGAACTTGTAGACTTCCTGCGCAACCTCTGGGTCGAAGCCGATAAGCTCAAAGTAACCACCTCGGTGACCGCACTCGCCAACCATGCCCTTGGACACCGAGTGCAGAGAAGCGAGCTCGAGGTGGTCGTACTGGCCTGGAGATTCCTTTTGCAAGTCGCGAAGAGCCTTCTTGAAAGAGATGAACTCGCCGATGAAGACGTTGGTCTGGTAGACCTCGTCTGCGATTACGACGAGACCCTTCTCGGCGGCAAACTTGAGCACGGCCTTGATGTCTTCAGCGGGCAGTGATGCTCCAGTGGGGTTACCTGGGTTGATAACGCAGATGGCCTTGACATCTGTGCCCTCCTTAACAGCCTGCTCGTAAGCAGTCGCAATCGAGTCAAGTGATGTGCCCCATGCTTGGTCTTCATTGAGATAGTATGGTACGCAGCGAGCGTCGAGGACGGAAAGGGTCGCGGTGTAGAGCGGGTACTGTGGGATTGGGACCATGATACCGGTCTCGGGCTTCGCGCAGATGGTGTGGAGGAGAGTGTTGACGCCTGACGAGGCGCCGTTGCTGAGGTAGATATCCTCGAACTTGGCCGGGTAGCCATCGCGTCCTGTTTTCGGTCAGCCGAGTTCAAATATGAATACAGTAGGATGCGCACGCTCGATGTACTCTGCAACGCTCTGCCTGATGCCTGGTGCACCCTGACTCTGACTGTATGCGCCAACGCTCTTGACCTCCTTGAGCAGCTTCCTCGCGCGCTCAAGCACGTCCGACTTGTATCCAAGGCTCTTGAGCAGAACGTCCTCGTGCTCCAACAGGCCAGGGTTCTCGAGTATACTCGCGACCTGCCTGAAGAATGTGATGGGCTTTTGGTCTAGCTGCTGTGGGTTTCCAATGTTGGCCGCGATGACCGTGTCGAAAGGAAGGTCCTTGCCCTCGCCTTTTGCCAGCTGGGCGCGGTACTCCTCCGACTTGACGGCTAGTTCACCACGGACGGCATACTTGGCTGCCTTGACGTGTGGGTTGATGTTGCCAATCTGCAACACCTTCTGCGGTGCCTTGGACATGATGTTTCGACTCTGTGGAAGATGCGACGGCGGAATATGAGTTTGGACCGGTAAGCGTCCAGCGAGGAATGGTGATAGGGTTTGAGGGGTGGAAGAGGTGAATGGTCTATAGAGGACTAAAGTGGTGAGCACACGTCCAGACTATAACTTAGCTCAGGCGAAAAGTATATCTCTCAGCGCTACTCAATCCCGCGACGTACTCGAAACACGTAGAAGATGTGCGTCAATGGCTGGTCTATATTTTTTATGCTGCGTCGCGTGGTGCCCCACTACTTGTAGAGCAGAGCCACTACGAGGCTGCCCCTCCATAGCTCGGCGCGTTGCGGATGTGCCATTCTCTTACTCTACTCGTCGGGCATATAAAAAGAGCAGCGGGATTTAAGTACCTCTAGAGCCCACGCTGCTACCAATTCGGCCATTTGCCATGGTTTGAGGGCGAAGTGAACGGGCACACACCCGAGCCGATGACGGCGACATGTTGATGGACCCTGATAGATGCTTATCGGCGGCTGCTTGAGGCGATGACCCCACCCTAGCGGGCGCTCAACCGACTGCTTGGGTTGGAGCTTGTTACGAGCGATGTAATGTAAGCGTGGGTGCAGGAGTGGTATTCGAGGACCTGAAAAACCGCGTGGGCTTGTCGCGAGGTTAAAAGGAATATTGCTTTTGCGTTATCTCACCGCAGGTTCATGACACTCTGGTTGAGCCGCAACCCCCGGAGATATCGGAGCTAGCCCTGGAGAGCCGTATCGCGAATATGGCAATGCGACGCGGGGAAGCTGAAACAGGACAGGCGCGGACAAGTCATGGTATGCTTTTCATTCAGCGGTCTTTGCGCTGTTGTCTAAGTCTACAATGCCCTCAAGATCATTACACATGCACTCGTCATGGCTGAATCTAGCCACGCTCACTGCCCCTCAGCCTAACGGCCTGGCCGTACTTCTGTAGCTTGGTGATAAGCTGGTCACCCTGCTTGACCACGTCGGCATACTGCTTGTTCTTGTCATCGGGTCGGTTTGTCTCGATGATGCCCTTGACGCGGTCGATGGTGCAGGGTATGCGGTCGGCAGCGATGAATCGGGCGAGGTCCCTGTTTGCTGTTAGTAAATAATACTAGGTTGTAGGCGTGGGATGCCACTTACTTATCGAGGAAGTCAACCGTGACACCAAAGTCCTTAGCCATGCTCTCGAGGCCGACAACTCTGTATGACTGGAGAAGCTGCTGGTATCCCCGCAGGCGCATCTCACGCACGTACCAGCCACGGTGCTCGTACATGTAACGGTCCTGGCTGAGGAAGTTGGTCTCTACTTCACCAAGAGCGCCGAAGAAGGTCTTGTAGTCGCCCTCGTACAGGCTCTTGACAAGCTTCGACAGCGGTGTGAAGTCGACAGGTACTTCCTTCTCCTGTTGTCCGCCGAGGGTGGTGAGATTGACAAGGGTGGGTACTGGTGTCGCTGTTGAGCCTGACGCATCGCCCATCTCTTCGTCACCAGCTGTTGGTCCTGCCGATGCCTGACCAGTGATTGCCGAGAGCTTCTCTTCTGAAGTTCCAACGATAGCCTTGATCTCAGGCGCATCCACGACCTTGGACTTGAAGTCGACACGCTTGAGCGATACAGAGCCGGCGAGGATAGCGTAAACGACGAGGTTTGAGTAGCTGCACAACTCGTAACTGGTGAATGTCGACAAGCTGTCAAGGAGCAACGGGGCGGCCTGTGAGTGTGATCGCACGGTGAGGTAGTGTAGACCAGTGTATGCCTTCAAGCGGTTGCGACGATCCCAGTCACCACCACTCTCTACCAATGCGCTTGCCCGGTCAATCGACTTCTTGGCCAGTATCCTGTCGCCGAAGAAGAGCGCAACGCGTATTATGGCAAGAACGAGGTCGATCTTGGTGCCTAGGATGCCCGTCTTCTCGAAGATGGCCTCGTAGCTGGCAATGGCTTTGTCCTGAATCTTGGTTAGATGTCATTCATGTGACCACATCCACTTCTCTTCATACCTTGTCGCCTATGCGGTTGTAGAGCTCTGCGCGCTTGCCCCTCGCCGCTTGTACTTCGGTCTCGCCTGCCTTCTCTTCGGCCTCTTCCTCCTCCTTCTGTATCGCCTCCAGCTCCTTCTCGCTCTCTGCTTTGAGGCTCTCGTACAGCTTCTCGTCCCACGATAGCGGCACTTCTAATGAGGGATTCCGTGTGGCAAGCATAGTCGCTAAGCTTGCAGACGGTCTCCGGTTCTTGGTTGGCTGGTCTGAGCTGCCCTCGCCCTGTGCATTCAAGACACCCTCTACCGGGTGAGCCAAGTACCGGTAGAGCGGCGCCATCTTGTTCTCGGTGATGGCATCTTGGACCGACTTGAGGGCGGATTGCTTGGCTTGTTTGGAGGCGGCGGGATTGGTGAGCTGGAAGATGTGCTGCGACAGCTGGAGGTCAGGGTACTTGGCGAATTGCGGGTCACCCATTTTGGACGCTTCTTTGAGATGTGAGGGGGCGTTCGGTGGTGGGTGAAGGTGGGCAGGGCGTGTCGTGTGCGATGTTGATATGATGATGATGGAGGCTCTGTCCGCCGCTCGACTTCCGACGTAAAGCTCGCGCACGGCCCTTGGGCGGTCGACCAGCGGAAACTAGAACCACTGAAGCTACGCAGAGTCGCTCATTTCACCTTCTCACTCTCTTTCCACATCATACGAGGTTTCAAGATTCGATCTTGACACAAAATCGATTCCTGCACGCCCATCGCATTACTACAAAGACTACCGACGTGCATCAAACGCGTCTCACTTCGAGGCTGGCCTTCAGACGCGTACTACAATAGTTTCCAGCATGGCGAGCAACGACCAAGGCAGAAAGCGCGCGCGCTCACCCTCGAGATCGCCGTCACGATCACCACCCCGCCAGCGAAAGCGCCCTGGGGCGGGTGCCCGAGTATCAGCCGCGGACCGCGAAGCCGCCCGAAAGCGTGCGCAAGCGAGAGAAGAAGAAGCGGCTAGGAGGGCACAGCAGGAGGCCGCACAGAGAGGTGTCCACGACGTCGTCAAACAACATTACAACTCGGTCCCGGAGCGAGGTCGTGAATGGCGCAACACAGACAGCAAGATCAAGGGACTGCGCAGCTTCAACAACTGGGTCAAGTCGTCCATCATCCAGAAGTTCATTGGCGACGAGCGGAATCTCAAGATCCTTGATGTCGGGTGTGGAAAGGGTGGTGATCTGGGCAAGTGGGAGAAGTCGAGGAAGGTAGAGCTGTATGTTGGATGCGATCCCGCAGACGTTTCGATCAAACAGGCCAAAGACAGATTTGCCCAGATGCAGAAGAAGAACCGGCGACTGTTTCATGGCGAGTTCTATGCCAAAGACTGCTTCGGGGAGTGGTTGGGCGACATACCCATCATCAAGGAAGTCGGCATTGATCCGGGAGCTGGCCAGGGTAACGCCATGAGCCAGCGTTGGGGCGGTGGTGGCTGGGACATGGTCACAATGATGTTCTGCATGCACTACGCTTTCGAGAGCGAGGCCAAAGCAAGAGGCATGCTACGAAATGTCGCAGGCGCATTGAAGAAGGGAGGACGGTTCATTGGCTGCATACCCAACTCGGACGTGCTGTCGCAGAAGGTCATCGAGCATCACAAGGCCAAGGGCACAGCACCACCTGATGTAGATGGTGCCGATGACGACGATGACCGTCCGGCCTTTGCAAGCGACGACGACGACGACTGGGATCCTGAGAAGAGTCTTGACAGCCCCAAGCCCGCTGATACGGAGCACACGAACGACGACAAGTCTGGAGAGTCGAAGAATAAGGAGAAGGAGAAGGAGAAGGAGGAACAAGAAGACGGCGAGGTTGAAGATGAGGGCTTCAACTTTGGCAACAGTATCTACAGCGTCAAGTTCCCCGGCAAGACACCTCCTGATGGCGTGTTCCGTCCTCCGTATGGCTGGAAGTACTCATACTGGCTCACTGAAGCTGTAGAGGCGCCCGAGTACGTAGTTCCCTGGGAAGCTTTCCGAGCACTAGCAGAGGACTTTAATCTCGAGCTTCAGTACCGCAAGCCTTTCAGGGAGGTCTGGGAAGAGCAAAAGGATGACCCTATTCTGGGTCCCCTAAGTGAGGTCATGAAGGTCAGGGATCGCAACACTGGTCGACTACTGACTTCGGAAGAGGAGTTGGAGGCAGCAGACTTTTACCATGCATTCTGCTTCTACAAGGTTTAATCGGGCAGCATCATCGGCGTTTGGGATCTGGCAGATATGCCTAGGGTATCAAGGTGGAAAAGTCGTTTTCAACATGTAAAATATTTGGTACTCTACTAGTCAGTCGTGACGAGTCGCGACAACAATGGAACATGTGCAAGAGGCCTCTCCCTGCAATAGCTGAAGACATGATGCATTGCGACAGCCATAACTCCACGCCAAGTGCCAGCCATGCTTTATATTCACATGCTACCAGACGCATGTGCAGACGGGAAGAATTACCAAGCCCAGTCACGTTGCTCGTGACGCAGATGGATCGAGTTGCCGAGGTCGGTCGCTCTTTCCCCGGCAAACGCGATCGAGCATCAAAGCCCGAACCTCCCTGCGCTTCCGCACTGCACCATCTCCGCATTCACACACCCCATACGTTCCTTCTTCACGTCCAACTACCCCTAAACCTCATCTCCAGACCAAGCGCATCCTAGTCGGACAAGAAGGAAACAGGAAACGACGACTTGAAGCTGGACTTCTCTCCCTCGCGGTATATCCTCAGCTTGTTCGTTGGAAGCAGCAAAGCCGATAAGATGGTTGCGGATGCGCTTGTCTATCACCCGACGGTGTCGCATTACCTCAAGTTCGTTGCAACGACCGGTACGCTATATTTCCCCCCCTTGTGTCATTCATGTCTCGACTCAATCCCCATAACCTACTATCTGCTGACAAGAACCTCCAGTCGGACGCGACAAAGTCCTCCGTACCCTCCAATACTTCTCTCGCTTCCTAGCATGGTACTTGTACCGCACGAACAAGCCCGCCTCGTCCATCGCCCCGTATGAAGCGACCAAGAAGACTTTCGGCGCGACGCGCAAGTTGATGCGCGTGGGCAAGTTTGTCGAGCACTTCCGCGCTGCGGCTGTGGCCAGTGACGCGAAGACTATGGACCCCGTGTTGAGGTTTACCGCCGTGGGAAGGCAGCTAGGATATGCGTTCTACATGCTGTGTGATAATGCTTGTGTGGTATGTGATGCTCATATCTGTGCGACGTCATTGGGAGATAAGGAAACTAACAAATCCCCAGCTCGACGCAACATCCATCCGCAAATCCTCCTTCGCCCCACGTCTCCTCCGCGAAGGCTACCGTGCCTGGTTCGCCGGAATCTCCTTCTCCATTGCCTCCGGCCTGTACTCGTACTACAACCTGCTCCAGCACTCCAAGACTATTACTTCTTCGTCTGACCCGGAGAAGGTCGTTGAGACGAAGAAGCTGCAGAAGGAGCTTAACGCTGTGAAGGTGCAGTTGATTAGTGATCTCTGCGATATCACTATTCCTAGCTCGGCGCTGGGCTGGGTTGACTTGGATGATGGAATTGTGGGATTGGCGGGTACGACAAGTTCGCTACTGGGGGTCTGGAGTCAGTGGAGGAAGACTGCTTAGGTGGGATGGTGAGAGAGGAGGGGTGTGTAATTATGGACTTGGAGAGATTGAAAGAATGGGATGTATGGGATACCGAACGTTGTTCTTGTCACTCGATTTATCTTTGTTTAATACTCCGATCATCTGTACATTGCTATTCTTCGAGACATGTGCGTTCCTCTCATTATGTCTCCTTCCCTACCTTCGCCGTTTATTGCTTATATATTGTCGGCTTGAGACTCTTTTTTAGCATTCGTAAGCTTTAGGTCTAATTTGGCATATTCCTCTTCCAATATCAGACGCTAAATGCCTCATCACATCTATCACAGATTTGGTGGGAGGGCTCTGTGGCGACCGAAATTTAGACAGCATGCATAGATGCGAGCAGTATGTGCATCATAGACCTAAGCGGCAGTAGAGAACTGGCGTAGGAACAGTGAACTGAGTCAAGTTTCATTGTCCTCATCATACTCGTATTTTGGTACCTCAGCCGTAGAGACTCTGTACTCCCTAGCAGTTCTGGCAGCCATGGCAGACCTATTTGTTGTGGTCGCTATGATAGCCGTCTTGAGAAAACTTGATATGATCGACACGTATGTACAAAGTACTGCATTGAGAAGAGATGCAACAAAGCAAAGAGAGCTGGTTATAGGAAAGCAGGAGTGAAAGTTTGATCCACGGTCTTTTTTGGAAAAACTTGCCTGATTATTAGGGAGTTTGATAGTGGGATGAAGTGGAACTACATGAAATTGTGGAGAAGATGTTGAACGTGCATGTATATGTGCAATTACCCGACCATGACCCCTCCTACAGTAACAACGGCTTATGTGCACATTCAGCTTCTTCCCCACAGACCCCGCCCGACAGACAGAATCAAACATGCTACCACCGAGAACAACGTAAGATCTACAAGGCCTCTAAATCGCTCATTAAGTAGTGCTCGTGCGATCAGACATCATTTCCAACATACTTTGACACTACGACTGGACCACAATGTATACCTTTCTGTAACTCCTCCGCAGGTTTATCAGAGATACTCCGAGAAGGAATACTCACCTCGAAAGATACATACTGTTTGGAAACAGCATACTGCTGCTGCTGCGTTTATCGTGACCAGGGTGTACAAGGTGACAGCCGCGGAAGATAGACCATTCTTGGCGCTAGAAACCGAAGGATCAATCAACCCTGCAAATATGCAGCACAAACCGCAATGCTGACATTTATGGGGAATCAACTGCAAGGATTGTTCACTGTTCCTTAAAACCCCGCATGGACAGTATGTGTGAAGTAGCAACAACACAACCTTTGGCCAGTAAGGAAGTGCAATAAGGCCAACATGGACATCGACAAAACGTTCCTGACCCAGACATCCATAGGACTGGTGTTGATTTATACCATCGTTTCCATCATACGCTTCTCACTACGCTCCCTTCCACCAAAATACTACCCTCCAGGACCGCCCTGCCTCCCTCTGATCGGAAACGTGCACCACTTCGCCTCCGACAAGCTCCACGTCAAGTTCTCCGAATGGCGTCAAACCTATGGCGACATCGTCGGGCTAAAAGCGGGTCCCTTAAACCTCGTCGTTCTCAACAGTGCTGAGGTCGTTCGTGAGCTGCTCGAGAAGCGAGGCAACATTTACTCTGGCCGACCTACTGACTATATCTTCCGAGAACACATTGTTCAGGACACGCAACACATTCTTTTCTTGCAGAATGACGCTTATTTGAAAAGATATCGGTCGGTGGTTAGATCGTTGCTCGGTCCTGCAGGATGCGAGCAAGCCCTGCCATTGCAGAATGCAGCAGGAGCGTATTTCGCCTATAGGCTTATCATGTCACCTGAGAAGTGGGAAGATCATCTTCACAACTGGGCCATGGGCACACCGTTGACAGCAATCTGCGGCCATCGAGGAGCACAGAAGGACAAAGATCTCATCAAGCTGTTCTATGACAACCAGAAAAACTGGCTGGAGCTGCTGAACCCCGGATCCGCCCCTCCAATCAACATGTTCCCCATCCTCAAGTACGTACCGGCTTTCCTGGCTAAATGGAAGGGTCAAGCCACAGAGCTGCGCAAGAATCAACAGTACTTCTACAAGATCATGTTGGACTCGGCTAAAGAGGAATTGAAGCTCCACGAGGCGGGTCAGAATGCTAAGCCAAAGGACTTTCTGTCTCTGATGGCGAGGCTGCTTCAGGAGCAGGACAGTAAGACTGGTTTCGACGACCACCAGCTCGCATATCTAGGCGGAGGCCTCTACGACGCAGCTGTCGATACCACGTATCTCACTTCCTTGCACTTCATCAAGGTCCTAGGCGCTTATCCCAAGATCTTGAAGCGTGCACAAGCCGAAGTAGATGATGTTTGCGAGGCAGGCAAGCCGCCTCGTGCGCAAGATCTGGACAAGTTGCCATACTTAAAGGCGTGTTTCTTCGAGGTAGGTCCTCTGTTCTTCAAGCTGTTCGTACAACTACTAAACGCAAGCAGGTTCTTCGCTGGCGCCCAGTGGCCACCGTCAACCTTCCTCACACCCTCGATGCAGACGATATCTTCCGCGGCTACCATATTCCCAAGGGCACGACCATCCTCCAGAACATCTGGGTTGATTCGCACGACCCAAACCTCTTCTCCTCACCCGACACTTTCAATCCCGACCGCTACCTCGCAAACCCTTACGGCACCGATCTTTCGGTCGAGGAATGCCAGGCAGAAGGTCGGAAACTGATTTATGCATTTGGTAGTGGCCGTCGCCAGTGTCCTGGTAATCTGTTTGCACAGAATGGGTTCTTGGCTATGGCGGCTAAGCTTGTCTGGGCTTTTGATGTGAGAGCGAAAGGGGAGCTGGACATGAGTGTCGAGACGGGGTTTCATGGTGGACTGTTGTTGGGTAGCGAGCCTTTTGCGGTGGAGTTTGTTCCGAGGAGTGAGATGCATCGTCAGGCTGTTATTGAAGACTGTGAGAAGACACGGTCGTGGCTTGATTGAGGCTATCAGCATGGAGAACAATGTCTCGAGCAAAGAACGTTAATAAAGATGAATCATCATCTTGATGGGGCGTGGTGTTCATTTATCAGCTACTTGCGCCATGAAAGTCCATCCACTAGCTGTAAACCCTTTACGCACATACAGATACACGCTTGCTCGCACCGCCAACGCTTATAGCCCCTTATCGGCGGCTCACGACGCAACGTTCCGTGATTCCATTCTGCCATCGCCTCCTCCTTCTCCCACCTCTCGTATGCCTCCTCGATCAAGCCGTTACACACGATCTGCGCAAGGCGCGGGCGCAAGTGCCGTTCCTGAGTCTCTGCCGCCACGAGTGCATCGACAGCTGCTGGTGTGGCTCCAGTACGGGCATTCAGACAGTTGATGGCGCTGGTGTCGATACTCCGACTATTTCATCAGAGCCTCTGGTGTGATGCTGACGAGAGGAAAGACGTCTCTGGGGAGTCTGACTTGTATAACATATAGAAGTGGAACGGTGTTTAGTGCTTGGACGTGCGCCCCCCATCCCTTGATAACACAATTACACTCTTTTCGAGTTAACCTCCGAGTAGGTTGCATTCATGATGAGATGAGTTTGCCGGCATCCCGTTGAGTCGCAATACGGTGTTCAGCTCAGTATCGAGAATCGTATGTGTATCCATTTTGAGATCGCGTGTGAGCTGCCTGTATGAATGTTGACTGGCATGTGTATATCCGACAACATGAGAGCAGGACTGTTAATAACATTATGGCCAGGCTTACTGGGCATGGAAGTTCCGTGATTAGACCAGGCTTCGTCGCTGCTTTGGAGCTGCGAATTATTTAGACGTCGTGTTTTTAATATCTCTCGGATACTTGGCGGCTGTACTACAAGGGATGAGGTGAGAAACGTCCTTTCAGCACAGGCTGATGACGCAGAAACCGACGTCCTGCCGTAATTGCTCCGGCTTTGCTCTAGATCTTGGGGTAGAAGATAAGATCGACTTGGGTGACCATGATAAGCCCGAATGTGGAAAGGCCAAGGTCAAAACCCAGCGCGAACCTTGGCTTCATTTACTCATATGTTCTCTAAGCAGCCGCATGTGGGACCTTACCACCGGAACGTTTATCGTCCGACTAAACGGGTGCACTGGCAGCGGCCACGAGTCGCGTGTTTCTCCCAGTTCCGTCGTCACGCAAGGTGAACCTGCTCTTGGGTCATACAGTGGATATTCAGGAGGGGTTCGAGAACAGTGTCGGAGAACCATCTGTTCAAGGTAACGCTCTGACGGCCCGAGTCCTAGTGGAAACCATCTGGCAAAAGGCTACTCATCATGATGCAGGATCAATATCGAGACCTTTTGAATGGGTATGTACAGTATAGTATGTTATAGATGTATGTGGAAGCGATCCCATAGAGAAGCGACATATTCGAGCTCGACTGAGCCTGGCAATCTCGGTTCGCCGTTGGACGCATCAGTGACATCCATGAAGTGGGCAGCCAGCGGGAACGGGAACCGCCTGAAGAGCCATGTTGAGTTTCTAACCGTTGAGGATAGCCACCGGATCTTTTTGGGAACCAGGGTCCGGGTCAGTGTGGATCAAACGGTCAACTAATGACTGGAATGACTGGGGCGCTTGACTGCATTTGCAATCAAATCTACAGATCTTCCCTCCGACAAAGGTAAATTGGCCGTCGCACAACGCTCGATTTGAATTCCTGATGCACCCAAAACGTAACCGTTTTGTTTAGTGACGAAACCAAGCCTTTCGTGTGATGTACGCGAAGTGGTCAAGGCGTGCGCAAACGAGTTGGTTCCCACGAGTGGTGGGAGTTGTAGATGCAGTAGGTTTTCCGTCCTTCCCCAACCAGACTCTCACCCTAAAAACAACCCCGGTAATGTGAGCATGTGCAGTAGTGAGAGTGATACTGCGTTTGTGGTATGGCCTCGAACGATGGCGCGCGTGATTCCACGCTTACTGTGTACACCCTATTGTGATTGAAGCGTTAATTCTCTTCCTCATCTTTGTAGCGATAAGAAAGCAATTATGCCGAGATGTAAGCTGTACAGTCAGGATAGCTGAGAAAGAGCAATATAGCTCCAGAGTCCAGACATCGTATTGTGCCTTGGGTAGTCGGAGCCGAAGGGTGTGTTGCTACGCGACGACGTTGGGCAACTGCCCTGTTGATCTCGGATGCTTTTTGCAGACCCTTGACGGTCATTCATGACCCATGCATCTTCGTCAACGCTCCCCCTACACCCTTTCGTTTCATCGCTCGCCATCTGACCTCATCATGGATACAGACTGCCGGGTGGGTTATGTGAGCAGCGTTGCGTTGATACGAGCCAGCAAAATTGGGGCGACAAGAAGGCACGGTGACTGGTAATTGCTGCGGCGTTGGCTCTTCTTATGATGTCTGACCCATTGTGCAGCAAGCACGCACTTACCACGACTCCCTTATAGCAACACGTACACCGTATTGAGGAGTCGTAAGATTCCTAGAAGCATGAGTCGCTGGAAGAGGCCCGGCGGCCTCCACCAAATCCAGTGGGGTTGCGCTTGCAGGCTTCCCTTGCCGATATGTCCCCGAGGCGTAGTCCTCAATGGTTTGCAACCCCGAGGGCTCCAGGCTGAAATAGCCATTCCCGATAGGAGGTCAAAAAAGAAATGGGACAGAACGGGATGCTACCTTGACTATCGCTGCGCCGCTACAGAACCGTCGTCGCGTCATGCCCGGCAAAGCCCCGTCGAACCCGCGCGCGTTCGACGGCTAGTTGTCCCCGATAACCTTTGCGAAACTGTAGTTCGCGTCCAACTAAGTCGAGATTGGCACTGGTTAACGACTTACAAATGCCATGCGAACTATTCGTTAGCCATACGGCGCGGCCGAGATCACCATCGCCGCTGTGGTCATCGTAGCCATGAGACGTTGCAAACAGGGGTACTGGCTATAGTTGCTCGCTTCGAGTGGTGGGCCCCGGAGAGGAGTGAAACCGAGTCATCTAACCTTGCGGACCGTCAGTGTTCCAACGACCATTCATTCCACATCATGCTCCTTCCCATGTTCCCATTCTTATGAGCGACGCCACCAACGGGAGCTTCCTTCTTAAAGGATTGGATCTTCAAAGGGATCCCCTGTGTAAGATATACTCGAGTCTCCTGTATACATCATCCGCTTTATTGGCTGCCCAGAATCGAGCCGGCTTTCTTTCCTTCAGGAACAAGCGGCATTGCGGCGCACCTTTCGCGGGATTGGAGCAAGGCTAGAAGAAGAAAAATCAAGAAATGGAGTGCATATTGAGCACCTAAAGCAAACCTAAGCAACAGAGTTCTAGGCTATCTTGTTTCAGCCATCCGCGATGCAAGGCTGTTTTGCGGGGTACCAATCAAACTCGACTGTCGGCAGAGTGCCCGTTTGCCACCACACCATGTTTTTCTCGTCGACCAGTTCCTCATTCTGTTCAGCTAGAATGTAGCTGAACGACCATCGATCGAACAACCTTCATGACTTGCTCGCGCCCCCTTTGATGTGGATCCATGCGGCCCCCGCGTTGTAGTTTGAAGTCAAGTGTGTAAACGATAGGTTACTCTCTTAGTCTAACACTGTCAATTAGAAAAAGAGGCGTCGTCAGGGACGCAAGTACCAGTGTCTCATGACGACCGAGGGGAAGTAACCCTTACGCAGCAATCATCACACCTATCACAGCAGGGATGCGGACATGTACAGGCTTACCTGCCGCTAGTTGCACGACCCCATTTTTGATCCTCCATGCGGGACAGCAGGGGTTACACCATGTGTCGTAGGGAGGGTAACGCACGCATGTCATGACTTGAACGTTCGGCACGAGAGACCCACCGTTCAACGTATTAGACCGCTACACCTCCTCGTCTGATGCAGCCTCGTTCCCGGCCACGATTCGGGTCGATTGTAACACTGTCTCTTGCAGGTCCAACCTCATTCTTTCCATATTGGCGGGACCATGTAATGGAGTTTTATCGCAATTAGCTACACTACCTTCATCGATCTGAAATCGCTAACCGATACAACCTCCGTTCCGCCTTACCGTAATATCTCCTGGTCGAGTGCGCAATCATGAGCACCAGCACTGCTCTTTTACCAGATCCAGCACAACATCCAGACAATGCCAACTTACCAAATGTCAACGAACCTGAGACAATCCTTGGCCTCACAATTGCTTTCCTGGTATGTGCGATGATCGAGCAACTATACACTCTAGACATCTTTGTACTGACTTCATCAGTCAGTCGCCATCTTTACATTGAGCTTGCGGTTATGGTTCCGTATCAAGGACCGTCTTTGGGGCTGGGATGACTTGTTCGTGGTCCTCGCCGCCGCTGCGAGCTTTATCGGAGACATCATGGTTTGCATGAGTATGCATAGCGATATCTCACCAATCGAGGCGTGACTAATCATTCACAGTGCCAGTCGATGGTCTCGGTCTGCACTTGTGGACACTTGATGCTGAGCATCTAACGTCGTATTTCAAGGTACTAGATCAAAGTTAAATAGTTATTCGGACTCAGGCTAACATCAATTCCAGCACATATACTCGACAAATGCCGCCTACACTGCGAGTACAGCACTAATCAAGCTTTCTATCCTCATACAGTATCTTCGTCTCTTTGCCGAAGCCGCGCCTTCAGCGACTCATGCTCAGTATCGCCTTGCACGATGCATTACCTGGGCCATGATTGTCATATGCTCATTGTGGGGACTGACCTTCTTCTTTCTCGCGCTTTTCCCCTGCAATCCCATCGCCAAAAACTGGAATCCAACATTAGATGGCACATGCATCGGATGGGGCAGCAAGAACCCTCAAGACTTTTTTCACATGTTCTTGGGACATGCTGTCAGTAACTGCTTGCTCGATATTTTGGTCCTTCTTCTACCTGTTCCTTTCGTAACCACATTGAGGATTGCGGGTAAAAGCCGAGCAGGCTTGGTCGGTCTATTCAGCTTAGGCTGTGTGTAAGTGGACAGCGTGCCTTCGGAACGGAACCGTACTGACAACACACTAGCGTGGTCATCGTGGCTATCGGTCGCATGATCGCCATGTCTGTCAACAAAGCGGGTACCGAACCCGTTCTTGACATGTCTTTCCATACCCCCATAGTGTACATCTTCGCCGTCCTCGAAGTCAACTTCGCCATCATCACAGCTTCCATACCCATCTTCTGGCCTGCCATAGCAACATTGGCATCCAACAAGATTTTCGTCGTCAATGAAGTGCAGATACATGTTGAACATGTTACAAGAAACGATAGCTTCGACTCCAATGCCGGTGGCATTAGCCTTAGTGACAGAAAGATAACATCATCTGGAGGGGATAGTAAGATGGGTGTCATCACAACGATATCTGATCAAATGCCGCGGAAGTCAGGGGAAAAGTCATCCCCTATAAACCATTATCATAAATCGAGCAATGCTTCCTCTATTGGTCCCACTCTTGGGGGCTTTGGAGGTCGGAAAGCAAGCACAGCCTCATCTGTAGGCCGAACAATGGGCATGGATCTCGCCGGCCGCCCCAGTCAAGATTCACTACGACACCTATACCGCATTCCGAGCAACGAGAACCGGAGTTCAAAAAGCCTGACGCAGAGCGAGGGTGACGACTGGTTCATGGAGATGGACAGGGCGAATTCACGAGGACAGGTGACGACCACGGTCCAAAAAACATCGATTCCGTTTGAGCACATCAAGACGTCTGACAACAAGTAAAAGACATCTTGTTTTTGGGAGGAAGGATCGGTACATGTCTTTGCTAATGTCTTTCGCGTGATACCCTGCAGCAATGCAATATGCAACATGTCTTTTCTTGTACGCAGCACATACATAGATGAGTATGTAATAATGTAGTCATCTAATCAACAAAACCATAGATTGGGCATTGGTTCAACTTGCTCACGTGGATCCTTCGGTCTTGTTACACGTTTCCAAGGCTCCTCGGCCCGCAACCACAGGTATCGGTCCGATGTGGTCGCAAGATGGAGTCGATAGTTGCTGATTCAATCACCGACAGTTCTCCCGTAGAGATGCCGTACGGGTTGGATCTCAACACAATCGCGCACGGTGCTGTTGTTCGTGTTCCTTCGTCTCCTTCCGCTTGCCGCAATCTATACCTGCATGAGCATGGATGTTATCAGCTCGATCTGAAAGTTCATCCGAGCGTCTGTTGCTCGTTGTTATCGCTTCTTGAGCGAGACTAAGAGGAGCGCGTTAAGGCCACCTGCGTGGCCTGGTTGGTGTGAAATCTTGCCTGCGCTGTTAACAACCCGGGTTCTCGTAGCCCCAAAGCTGGATCAGCATATAATATTGTGCCTACCCCTACAAACTACACAGTGAAGTATTACGGAATCGATTCCGATGTTCGGATGCAGTATGGGTCTGCTGTTTTGAGCATCGAATGCCATGCTGATGATCGCGTGCTCACATGCCAATTCGTTCCAGCAGCTGCAGGACAAGCTCCGTGTGGCGTCGGCAATGTCAGTACAACTAACCTCTTTAGGTGACGCGCAGGTGCTTCGGTCGCCTGAGATAAAGCATGGCAAAGCTTGAAGCTGAACACGATGCCCGCCTTCCAGGATGGTTTCGAAGACTTTCAAGTCATAACTACCGATCGCGCTGTTCTTCACCTAAGAGCGGCTGCGGTCTTTTATTCCCGAGAGCCATAATACCCGAGCGGCGGAGGCCGCGCAATCATTGACAACTTTTTGTAGTCCCAACCTCTTATGATCGGTATTCCCGGCGGAGATTGTACTTGCTGTATCGAGTAACAGCTCGTGGGCCTCCGAATCCTACGCCTCGGGTATTGGAAAAGCTTTCGCATGTTGTGAATGGTTCGTTGACCCCTCGGGTCTGCACCAAGCCCGATACGGCCCATAGCAAGGTGATCACAGGGTCTTTTGCGGTGAGTGGCACAAAGGTAGCAAATGGGTAGCGAGTAAGATCAAGTTTTGGTGTGAACCTTGGAACCCTTAAAGCTTGAGGGGTTCGCCTACGAAAGCTTGTCGCTGTTGCTACGAAATTCTTACCATATCACCGCGCTGGAGCATCGTGACGCAATACCCTCCTGCAGCGCATTCTGGTTAAGCCCCACGCGACATTACCATGGCTTCAGCCGCAGAAGTCCAGCCTGGCCTATACAATGCGACTGATGAGAAAGGCGACATCGAACGTAGAGGCAGCGTCGCAAAAACAGAGAAAGGAAGATGGGAAAGGTTATGGCCTGTGATCGCATGCGGAGCTGGACTTTTCAGCGATGGCTATCTCAACAATGTACGCAGAAACCGACCCAAAAAGCGACAACAAGATATTCTCCAACGCGACAACATCGATCCCCATCCCAAAGCAACACCGCTATATACGAGTAAAGACTGGAACTGTGAGAACAGAAATGCTGATAGAGGAATTGTAGATTATTGGACCGGTCAACACGATGCTGAAGACTATTTACCCAGATTCGTATGCGAACTCCTCTGCTCAAGCAAACGTCGCAAGTATAACTTTTGCTGGCACAGTCGTTGGGATGTTGTTCTTCGGGTACACATCTGATCATTTTTCAAGAAAATGGTCGTTATTCACTTCGACCATCATCATCATACTTTTCGCCATCCTGGGAACGGCGTCTTATGGAGCAGGTGGAAGTCCGAGTGGTTTATTGACGGCGCTCGTTGTATATCGGTTCTTTCTCGGAATAGGCATGTGCTACACAAAACTGTGCTTGTTTGCATTCGTTGAATTTGCTGACTTGTGGTAGGCATCGGTGGAGAGTACCCAGCGGGCAGTGTCGGTTGTGCAGAATCTACTGGCGAACTCAAGCAAGGCACACGGAACAAATGGTTCATCCTCTTCACCAACGTGCAGATTGACCTGGCCTTTTTTATCAGCGCCATCGTCGCTACTGTCGTCGTCCTTGCTACAGGGGAGAACCATCTACGCGCCGCCTGGCGTATCTGTCTTGGTATCGGTGTCATCCCGCCTCTCTCGCTACTCTACCTCCGATTGAAGCTACAAGAGCCAGAGGCATTTAAGCGGGAGTCTCTGGCCAAAGCGAAGACACCATGGTTGCTTATCATCAAGTACTACTGGTTCCGGCTCAGCATTGTCAGTATCATCTGGTTCATCTATGACTTCAGCGCCTACTCATTCGGTATCTACGCGACATCTATCTTAGCCAATCTACTGGGCGAATCGGCGCCGTTATGGAAGAGTCTGGCGTGGAACATCCTAATCAATTTCTTTTACATGCCCGGCTGCCTTGCTGGTGCTTTTGTTGCAGATCTACCATCCATGGGCCCTAAGAAGACGCTATTTATCGGCGTAACGCTGCAGGGTATTATCGGATTCATCATGGCTGGATGCTATCCTTGGCTGAACAAACCCGAGAACGTTGCTGGATTCGTCGTGGTATATGGGATTTTCCTTGCGCTAGGCGAATTTGGCCCTGGCGATAACATTGGTTTGGTTGCGTCGAAGACCTGTGCAACTGGAATTCGGTACGTCTTTTCATCGCCTTGTCATCCCTCCGCTTCTAACATGTAGACAGTGGCCAATACTACGGTATCGCAGCAGCCGTAGGCAAGATTGGTGCGTTCGCTGGATCCTATGCTCTCGATGCGTTACAGAAGGCTGCAGGTGATGATGAAATAGCTGCAGGCCGTAACCCTTTCTTCGTCGCATCTACTCTAGCCTTCGTAGCTGCTGGTCTGGTGTTGCTGCTTCCGCATATCGGCCAGGATACAATCGACCAGGAGGACGTAAAGTTCAGAGAGTATCTCACCGCAAACGGATATGATACAAGCAAGATGGGCCTTCAGAGTGGAGATGCGGCGGGTGTCGAGGGTGACGAGAATGGCGTTGTGCCCGTTGAGCAGACATATGTGAAATAAGTGGGTTGGTCTGGGTTGAGGATGATGTTCGATGATGACAAAGACCTCTATAGGTACATAGGTGATTGAACACCCATAACAACACGCATCAATCTCCGCTACAAGTCTCATACCCTTAAGTATGCCAAAGTTCTGTACCAAGGAGCCGCATGCACAGCTTAGAACATCTCTAGAGTTCTCGACTGCTAGAGAAGTCCCTACCTAGGTGGGACGTTTTAGGCTTAGTGTGCTTTCGCACTGCCGAGGCTATTTGTAAAGCCGGAGAACTTGGAAGCTATTCAACAACCCACGTCACTAGCAGCTCCCCACCATGCACGACAGACGACAGATATACCAGAACCCAGCCCACTTGATCCTCGCTGTGCCGCCTTAAACTGGACTTACCGCGCGTAATGCTATTATACATTGAATACCCGGCAAAGCTTGCCTCACGTGCAATTGGGTACATATGTACCTAGGTACCTCGGATCTCCGTCCGCCAAAGCAGGCTGGAATAGAGACACCAAGCCCCGTCGGCAATATGGAACTACATGGAATGACACTGGAACAAGCCGCGTTATCCCCACACAAAGGATGAGATGGCGTCTTCATGTGGACCCTAGTATGTCTGGAAGCGTGTAGTTGCGCCCATCGTCCGGCTTCCAGGGAAGCAGTACTAAAGAACGGCCATATAACCTCTCTTGACATGACTGACGAAGCAAATTAACTCATAATTCTCATCCCATACACATAGATTCATTATTACAAACTTCGAGTCCTCGTCATCCACCATGTCTCCAGCAGCCGTAACCTCGACCCCTCCTCCCGCTACAACACCCCACACGAACGGAAAATCGTCTACCAAACCTGTCATAACACCTTCGTCGACAGTTACCTCGCAAATTCCCGCTTGGGTTAAACCCGACCTTTCCCGTCTCCTCCACGTAGAACGCAACCCAGGTGCTTTTACCTCACGCTCAGTTTCTCTTGTCAACCTCCCCCCAGGCGCAGTCTTTGCCCGCATCACAAATCCCACACCAGCCACCGTAGCGTACTCCTCTGTCCAAGCTTCGCGCGACCTCCACATTGAGCTCAACTGCGACCTCGTCTACATAAACCACAGCTGCAAGCCCAGCCTAGTGTTCGACATGCAGCGCTGGGAAGTAAGGGTTTCGGAGGATGGAGAAGGGCTGAAGGAGGGCGATGAGCTCACATTTTTCTATCCGAGTACGGAGTGGAGTATGGCTCAGCCCTTTAACTGCTTGTGTAAGACGGGGGAGTGTGCGGGAGAAATTAAGGGGGCGAAGGATATGAGTAGGGAGGTGTTGGGAAGGTATTGGTTGAACAAGCATATTGAGGAGATGCTTGCCGAGAGGGATGGGCAGTAGAAGTCTTGTTGATGTATGTCTCAAGAGATGTGGATGTAAGATCTGGACGCTTAAGTGTCGACTAGAATACAATGTCAAAACACCTTACATTATACGAAGAGATGAAAGTTAGCATTAGCTTCCATCTCAATGTTCCTGGTGTACTATAGCCTTCTTGTTTGTATGATGTCGGAGAATTTCCGGCTTTGTCATTTACCTAGCTTATTATCGTAAGTATCCCCTACTGTTTACATATTTTCTATGACAGCTTTTCACAAACACCTGTTAGACTATCATCACCCTCACCCCGCCGTAAACGCCCCGACTTTCTCAATAGTAACCTCCCCAAACCCCTCCCCGAAAATTTTCCCATCGCCCACCTTCCCCTGCCATGGCACCCCTTCCTTCCAACTAGCATTAACATCAATAGCAACTTTCTTCCCCCCTCCAAGGCACGCCTGAAAGCCGAAGTCATGGTCTGTACGAATGTACGTCTTAAAATCGAAACGTGTCCTTTGCGCGGCCTTCGCGCCTCCTGGTATGTATAAAACAATGCGATTCGCAAGTTCAGCAGTGAGGTGGGCCATGACTGCCTCAGTGGCGAGGAGTGTGGTACACAGAGCGAAGGTTTTCTTAGTGCCGCCGGATCCGAAGGACGTTTGGGTGATGACCCAAACATGGTGGGGGAGTGTGATGGAGGTGACTTCTGATGTTGCGGATGAGACTGGGTCTTGGAGTGCAGGTCGAGGCCATAACAGCGACGATGATGGCAGTGGGAAGAGCGAATTTGGTGTGAGCGAAGCTTTAGTCTCTACAGCAAAAGATTCTGGATTTTGAATGTCCTTGGGTGATTTGTGGCGCTTTTGTAAAGAGCGAAGTCGCCTTTCTTCCGACATCTCTCTTTGCTTGTCGAGCTTCGCTGTGCATATTTCTCCTTTGGCCGCTTCCTTGGCCTTTGCCTTGTCGGCTTTGCTCAGTTTGGGTACTCTTGCTAGCAGCGCCTTCAAGTCATCGAATTGTTGCAGTTGCTCCGTGGTGAAGGGGTGTTCGGTTCGCATCCTCTCCTCGAATGCTTCCCTCAAGAGCCGGGTGCTCTCTTTCTCTTTTTGATATGGAAACATGAGTTGAGAGAGTCTGATGATATGAAGGTAGAGCTTTCTGGTAGTAACGCCTAGCCAGTACGGGATCTAAAAGCGAGATTCAGCCGCAGGGCCCGGAGTTGAGGTGGTGGTGAGGTATTGTTTAGTTCGGGTGGTGAATGATGGCTAGTGTATGATCCGATGCCGTGAAGAGCTTTTACACCTGCTTGCTAGCAAGCTAAGTACCGCGTTGATTGTGATGGTCCCATGTCGAGCCGGATAGGGCGAGATCACTTGTACGCAGTCTCTGGATGTGGCACATCGACGTCAACCTAAAACCCGAGTTAGTCCCATCATCTCATGCTTCCCCCTCCATCTCATAATCCACATACCTGTCCGTACTGCTGTCCATCTTTGTACGCAGTCGGCCGTCTATCATCCATCTCTACGCTCCAAACTCCACCTTCTGCTTCTTCCTCGTCTTCCAGCTTTCGATACCTGCTCTTAGACCCAGGCATACGCATCTCGGCATTCACGATTGCTGCTTTGTTCTTTCGATCGCGTTTGTTCTTGCATATGACCAGACTGATGATGAGACAGAACATGCCGACAGTAGCGAGGACGGAGAGGATGATGACGACGATGAAACCGCGCTTTTGGGCATCGTTCTCGAAGATGGAGTTTCGGGGGGTAATATGATGAGTTTTGATGGGTAACGACATGGTAAGATGTTCCAGGTCACGATCAGATGTTGGAAAATATGAATTACGGTATCGTTCAATTGTATAGGAAAGAACGATGAAAATGGAGATAGCAAAACATGAAGAAGACGCAGCACACCTACGATATAAACATGTCTCGCCTTGTCTCACGATACCCACACAGCCGCCTCCTTCTCGACACCGCTTCGCTCACTGTCCATGATCTCCCCCAGGGTGGTACGTCCCCAATGACTCCGCTCGGTCCGCCTTAAAATAGCGACTTGCGTTGTGCGATGCCTCCTGCCAATCGCAATAAAAACGTGTCGTGCGAGCATGACGTGGCGATGTCCGTGTATGTAATCCTAACACTTGGAAGCAGCCCCCGATGGTAAACGTCGAGATTGTTACATTAGAAAGAGAGTTGAACGGTGCGTACTAGGAACTGTGAAGACATAAAAATAGGGAATTAGGCATTGAGGATTGGTGGTAATGAGGCGCAGTTGTGGGCGGCCTTGTGCAAAGCTCAGATCTTAGTCGGTAAGATGAGATGTGGGGACCTTCGTTCGTGTTCATCAAGACATTCAGGCTCGCTGATTCAGCGGCTACCTCGGGATATGAAATATGTAAAAGAAGCTGACGACGTTTAAATCCTGAGCGATCATCTTCCACAAAGGAGACCAATTCATCTCAATTCAAAGTACCCAGATTTCAATTGCCACAAAGCTGTCACATTTGTTCTAGGGACATAAATCTAACCGATGATAAAGATTTGCGCGAAAAGAAGTGTACTGGATTGATGGAACCTGTAACCAACGCCATGAAATGCATGAGCACATGCTATGTTCAACTTCGTAACAACACCGACAGTCATGCTTCATAACCTCCCTCACTCCCAAACACCCCTCATTACCGTATGCGAAAAAGGAACACGGGCCGAAGCCCGGACAACACAACATAACGATCATATACGACACCCCATTCGTCCCCACCTCCACTACATCCTCCTATAATTCTCCGCCAACCCCTCAAACTCATCCAAGCTCTCCACGCCACCTCCAGGGCACTTCCAATCCCTCTCATACGCTTTATCTGGCAAGATGCCCGCCTCGCGCCCCCGCCTATAACTCCACTGTGTACTCTTCTCCGTCTCCCACGTCCAGTAGAACCAGCCCCAACCAGCTTCAAAAGCATCCATCTGGCCGATAGCAAACTGGTACAGCCACTTTTTGTATTCGTCAGAGTAATTGCTAGGGTCGGCGTTGGCTTGGTCGCAGGAGCACTGGGAGGATTCGAGCGGACATTGCGGGGCGAGTACTGCACCCGACTTGTCCGAGGCTTGCAGAGTGCCTTCCCAGCGTGTACCGGTATTGACATTGTTGATGTACTGCGTGCAGTCTGTGTCTGCTTGGGACCATTCTCCGCACATGGTGGGACCGAAACCGGTCTTCTTGTCCATGGAGCGCTTGGACTGCTGAGTCCATGCTTCGCAGGCAAAGTTCAGCTTGTCCCGGTGCTTGAGCTTGATTTGGTCCGTGTTGAAGATGACATATTGGTGCACGTCGAGGAGGAGGTCGTCGTTGCCTTGGAGCTTACCCTGCCAATTGTCGAGGCCCATGAAGCCATCGCCAAAGATAATGATGCCCTTTATGCCGTCGGCGCGAATTTGGTCAATGGCCTTTTGCGTCCAGGCGACGACTTTGTCGGTGTCGAGTTCCACGTTGCGTGGCTCGTTGACGAGACCGTACATGGTTACTACATTCTTGTAGCGGTCTTGCGCGAAGAAGACAGAGAGCTGGTGATGGACGTCTAGTGTGCGTTGGGCATTCTTGTCACCGTCTGTGCCATTCAGCCAGTTGATCTGGCCTTGACGGCCGGAGTGGTTCCAGCCATTCTGACTACCTGGTGCGCCGTGAAGATCAAGATTCACGCGTAGTCCGTTTTGGCGACAGTACTCGATACCACGCAAAAGGTAGCGCCATGATACCTGAGGTACGTAGACATCGTCGTCGTAAGTCCTCACCATCCAATAGCCGAAGGGGAAGCGAACATGGTCCATGCCAGCCTCCCTGATCTCAGCAAAGGTCTGCTTGGTGATGAAGGTGGAGTAGTGTTTTTCTAACGTGTCTTTGGCCTTCGCAGGTCCAAGCTTGCTGAGAAACGTCCATTCGTCCACTACATTGTCTTTGGATCCATACTGAGAGAAGTAGGAAGGAGTGATGAAGGGTTCGAGATTGAGCCAGCCACCGACGTTTACGCCACGTATGGGCGTCTTGCCATATTCGAACGAGTCTGAGAGCTTCGGTACAGAAGGGTTTGCTTGGACGTCATCGTCCCAAGTGGAGTTGAGACCGATGATGGGTAAACCGCCGACGAGTTCGTTGGTGTAGGTAACGTTGAAGTCCTGGGTGTCGTACCATGCCCATGGATCCAGGATGCCGCCTCGATCTGCTTCCGGTACGCTATTTCGGTCCTTCCCAGCTAGGTTGTCTTTGTTTGGCCCCGACGAGGTGGCCGCGGATGAGCTCCCTTCGCCTGTCTCGTCGTTCTTGCTTCCTTTGCTCGAATGCAGGACAGCTACAGGTATGATGATAGCGAGGAGTACCACAACGGCGACTATCGCGAATATTATACGCTTTTTGTTCTTCTTCCTTCGTGCCAGCTCCTCCTCTGTGTATACTGTTGGCGGACCGCTGCCCGCGCCTCCGCGCTTCTCCATCATGTATCGGTACTCGGAGTCGTCATCGTCGATGCGGCCTTCTTCAGCCAAAGGACCACTAATAACGCGACGCTTCTTCTGCTCTGTGCGGTATTGCTTCTCTTTCCGTCTCCGTTCTCTTCGCTCCTCAGCTTCCGACGGTGTGTATTTGGGCTCTTGCCTTCGTCTTCTTTCCTCTCGTTCGTCTTCTGTATATGTGCCTCTTGTTCTCTCGAGCTCATCATCGGTCTGACTTTGCTTCAGCGCAGCAGCCTTCCGCCTCTCTTCCCGCCGTTTTCTAGCCTTCTCTTCGAGCAGAGCGGCATCGCTCTCTGCAGCGCGTCGTCTAGCCTCCTGCTCTTTTTGTTCTCGCCTCTTCTCTTCTCGCTCCTCCTTCAATCTCTCCTTCTCCAAGTTCTTTTCTTTCCTTCTGACTTCCTTCAGGTACTCGTCGTCATAGTCGTAGCCTCCCCAACCTCCAGCCTTCTTCGCATTGCTCTTGTCAAGCTTCGCTATCGCATCAAGACTGAGAGGGGCTGAGCCTCGACTCCCACTTCCACTGCCCTTTGACCTAGAATTACGCCGCGAGCCTCGTGCTTGACGTGGGGCTGGGGATTCCTGCTCTGTGTCGCTCTGGTGCATCGAAGGTCTTCGTGGCTTTGGAAGTAGGTCGCCTGAGGAGTCTGTCGCCCTGTGTCCTTTTCTCCGCCTTCCCTCCTGGTCGTAAACCGTGTGTTCACCTCGGGATTCTCTCCGTCTTCGTCGTTCAGGGTCCACGTCGCCCTGAGATTCTCTGCGTCGTCGTCGTTGGTCGCCTTGTGGTCGTCTGCGCGACGGGTCACGCTCGCGGTCGCTCATTGGAAAGAATGGTGGTGGTGGTGGTTATAGCAGTGTAGCGAAAGCGCGGTGTAGAAACGAGGGGCTAGCATGCACTTGATAGAACGCCTGAAAAAGCACGAAAGGAAGAATAACACGCTCAATGGTCTTCGCCAGCTCTCGGGCGCATGTGAATATCGGTAGCGAATATGTATAATCAGCGGCTGGGCACATGCACGAGGTTGGGCTTGCTGGGATGTTGGTGTCGTTGCTGTGGAGACGTGGTGTTGATAGCGTGCCTGACGTGGCCGAGCACTGGGCGCCACAAGCCGCTTGGATAGCTATCTTGGAAAGCACAACAAACTTGGACATAGGAAGAGGAATCGGCCTTGTGTAAATGTTGTTGATGTTTGACAAGGCGGGTATCACGGTGACGATGCTCTCAGCTAATACTTGGAGTACTTGGTAGTAGAAAGGCTGCGTATGCCTCTGTGGCTATGCCACGAACACAAACAAACTGCACGAGACTTTCCTTAGGACACCGGAGCATGTTGCACGCTGGATGGCATTTCATGAAAAATGCCATAACGTCATCCGGGAATATCATATCTCGACAAAGCCGTGAAGACCCTGCCCCGAAGATTAGCAACGGCAGGGAAGATCTGCCCACGCAGCCGCGGCCTCGCTTCTGAATGACATCACTGCCCCTGTCATAATTAGCAAGTTGCTGCGTGCACCTCCACGCTCCGTGGACATTGCAAATGAGGGTTGAAAAACTATCATCATGCATTGTTGAATATGTGTGTGGTATCATAGCTAGAAATGTACAAAAACAATGCGCCGTTGGTCATAAGGGTTTATGCAGCTCTTTACCCTTTCCAGCCAATCAAGCCTGTGGAGGCCCACCCGTGCCTCTCTAATAAGCCGGCATTTAGGTGATCGTGACGGTGTAATGAGAGTACCGTCTCTACAATGCCAATTCAGATTGCCACCCAAGCGTAATTATTGACTAGCGTTGACCGCACCACGCGGCGCGGCAGTCCTGTCGGAAGTGGTGGTACATGCGATTCTCAGTGCGCGAAGGGATCATCGCAGATCTGTAGTTGAAGTCGTTCAAGAAGCGGAAACGCTCTGCGAAGATCCAGGAGCGTCGGCAGATGCTGTCTCTTTGCCCTTGTCTGCTGCCTTCTTCTCGTCGTCGCTGTAGAGACCGTGTTCGTAGATGTAGTCGACGACCTTGTCCGGGATGTAGTAGCGGATGCTCTTACCCCTCTTACGGAAGAGACGGATCTTGGTGGAGGAAACGTCGTTCTGAATGAGTTGCGGAATCACGCGGATGTTCTCCCTCCACTGCTGGAGTTGTACGAGCGCGTCGTCTGTACATGTTAGTGGTTGTAGAGCGCTATGCTTTAGATTCAACACACCAATATCGGTACCACTGCGCTCGAGAATGAAGGCGCCATAGTGTCCCAGGATCCTGCTCAAATCCTCGCGAGCCCACAGGCCGGGTGTGCTCATGGTCTGGATGAGGTCGGCGCCTGCGAGCAGCGCCACATGGATGGTCTTCTTCTGGCCGTCCTCGGTCGCAATGCCTCCCATAACCTCGTTGAGTTCATGGTCGAAGTGGTCAAGCACCTTGACGGTTGGGAGATACTCCTTGTGTAGCGGCTCCCATGGGTCAACACCAATCCATTTCGAGCTGTCCTGTACAGCGATCCTCGTCATATTGATTCGGTGTTGTGCGGAAGCCAGCCCGGCTTTCTTATATGCGTCGCCGACGGGGCTGAAGAATCCGCCTACGACCTCATATTCGGTTTCAAACTCGCAGTAGTCGGCTGCCTCTTCAAACATGCGCAGGTGTAGGTTGGTTGGTGGTGAAAAGGAACCGCATGATACGAGTACGAGGGGTTGCTTGTTGGGATTTGAGAGAGTCTTCTTCAATCGCTCCTTGGGGAATGTGTAGTTGTCGAGCGACATGGCTTCGACGTTGGGTATTCCGGCGTCGAGCAGGATATCGCGGTTATCTGTCGAGGACATGGCGGCGACAGCGATTTTACTTGTTGCGATGCGCGGGCGGATAGCGAGGGGTGACCTCGGAGGGGTGAGTGGCCGGCTATGTAGTGGTGAACTGCGGAGGTAACGGCGGGGTGGGGTCGCGGCGACAGGTAGGATGTGCGTTATATTTCTAAAAGGCAAGGTCAATTGCCGGCGGGAGGGGAGCATTTATGAGTGAAAGGCTTACGAATACCGCGATAAACGGGGTCACCGGGAGACTACTGAGAGACTAGGCAGTAGTAAGAAGTGAGTCGATAGGAGCCTTGTTATGACGCGGGGGCAGCGAGGCGACACCCGATGGAACTATGTTTTCAGGCAGTGGGCGCAACAAGACGGGCTAGATGAGACTGCAAAGGTGGGATATGCCTGGATCGGATAGAGGGAAATAGGTGCACAGCGCAATCCGGCCGTGGAGGAGGGGGCATCTTGTACCATTTTACGTTTGCTTCTAGGCGGCCGTCGAGACGCTGGAACGCGGGCGGCGGGGCTGCCCAGGGTTCCTCTTTTTGCCTGCAACCGCACTTCTCGCCGTCCCATAACTCCGGCGCTCCAGCCAACCTGAGCCGCAAACTTTGTGTGGCGCCCGCATATGAAACGCCTTTTGCATCCGAACATTCGCCAAATGGCAAGCCATGTCTGCAGACTGCTCGAGGAGAAGTGGGAGACCTCACGTGGGCGTGTCGGCATTTCCCCGACCCCACAGGTACCCGGTTGTGTCTTCGAATTAGTCTTCTTGGGCCTAGGATCCGTATGCTGAACAATCAGAATGCTTGGCCCTAAAGCGGACGCGATTGCTCGTCTTGGAACTGAGTTACGCCGACCCTGACTTGCAACTGTAGGCGCTAGAGATGACTGGAAATGGGCTGATTACTCACTAGGGAACCCTGAAGCGAAGTCGGAGGACAGAGTCGCTGTAGGCTAACATGACCCAAAAGTGAATCGAGTTTACCATGTACCTATGCTATGAAGCATGCTGAATGTTGGCGTGATGAATCGAACAATTTGGGAAGACTCCATAGCCTAGAAGTCGTGACGAAACTTCTCAGCCCAATGTGTGCGGCCATACACCACTCACTGGGGGGTCCTGATAACAACGTATCCAACAGTGACGTGCGCACTGCTTCCTCCACACGCACTCGAACCTTGGAAGATGATTCAGCCTCAATGCTTTCGTCCCAACCCAGTCGGGTTGGATAACCAGAATTCACAATGGAAGACCGTAATTGCCAGACAGGCTGGTGAGAGGCCATGCACGCGTGTTCAGGAATTCAACCGTCCATCAGCCATTCACCGCTGGCACTGCGACAGTGCAACAAAACACGCGTATAGTAGGTACTCATGGTGAGTACTGGCAGGCAGGCGCAGGTCATACTTGATACGGTGACTGCGACCCTCTATCGATAACAGCAAAGGCGCTAGTCAGGTCACGTAATTAGCTCCCTCTGGCATGCAGGTGGGTATCGACGTCTAGCATTCGCCAGCGTCACTACAGTATTACCATCTCTTTCTATTACCCATCACACTACCAGAGCAATACACTCGTTTGCTCTGTTTGATTCCACCGACCGCCCTGACCGCCACCAACGCCTTCCCTGTGTTTGCACCTACCGCACTCGCTTGAGCACGCCTAATGGCGCGTCCTTGATGGCATCCAGAGGACCTCGTGAAAGGTAAATACCTTCCTACTCGACCCTTGGCCGCTGCAGTTTTCTTCCACCCCACGGTTCAACACCATCAACTGCTGTGGTTCTCAACCAAGTCTCACGTTGCTTTGCCGAAACAGAAGTGCTGCACCCACCGGGGCCACAGTCTGCGCGCATCTCGATTTCACAAGCCTGTATTCACAATCTCATGTCGTCCAGAGTCACTCGCTCGCAAAGGCGCCAACCCGCCAACACCAACGACAATTCACCGCCCGCACCTCCCCCACCCGCAGCCCTCCCGCCGCCCGCACCAGCTTCTTCACGCAAGAGGAAGACTTCAGCGCGGGATCCCAGCCCAGACCAACTGGACAACGCAGAACCACAACCGAAACGCGGTGCTCGCAACAAGCGAACCAAAGTCGACGCTCAAGACCCGCCCGCTCCACCTGCAACCAAGGCCAAGAAAGCTAAAGGCAAAGCAGTCATGTCTTCATCTGGGTCTGTGCCAGCCGCTCCAACGCCAGAGTATGCGCTGACTAAAGACAGCCCACCATCAGATCCTATCGACGAGAAGTCGACGCCACAACCCTCGAAACGATCCAAGAGTGGCCGCAAGAGCAAACCCTCTAGCGCCGCGCAAGACGCCGATACTCCTTCCACATCTCGCCGAAGCTCACGAAAGTCGAACAAGGCCGAAGACGATACAAGCATGGACGATGCACCCGCAAACAACGCTGAGGAGGAGACGCGCCAGTCTGGCGAGGACCATACTAGCGACGACGAGAACGGCGACGAACACGGAGAGCGATACGATGACGATGACGACGACGATGACGATGATCCCTTCACCAGTGGCTTCCTTGGACGCAATTCACACAGCCTCTCTGCGCTCAGGCAGCTTACTGGCATGATGGCGGGCACAACACAGCGCCTGCGGGGCATCTTGGATCAACTACGGTCGCCAGACATGTCCATACAGCTAATTGCGTTGCAAGAGCTGTCCGAAGTACTCCTCATCTCTACCGAAGACAACCTGGCTGGCCATTTCTCCCCCGATGCCTATGTCAAGGAGTTGGTTAGGCTCATGCAGCCGAACGAGTTCACAATGGAAGAGAATCCAGAGCTCATGTTGCTCGCCTGCCGATGCTTGGCCAATTTGATGGAAGCTCTGCCTCAAGCGACCGCCAACGTCGTTTACGGTGGCGCCGTGCCTGTTCTCTGCTCAAAGTTGCTCGAGATTAACTTTATTGACCTGGCAGAGCAATGTCTGAGCACATTGGAGAAGATCTCCGTCGAATTTCCGGGAGTCATTGTACGGGAAGGCGGTCTCACAGCGTGCCTGACGTTCCTCGATTTCTTCGCCACAAGCACCCAGCGAACAGCTGTCACAACAGCCGCCAACTGCTGTCGAAACATCCCAGAGGATTCCTTCCCAGTCGTGCGCGATGTCATGCCCATCCTCGAAAACATCCTGAACAACAACGATCAGAAAGTCGTAGAGCAAGGCTGCATCTGTGTATCAAGGATCGTTCAGAGCTTCAGACAGCAGGAGAGCAAGCTGGAGGAGCTGGTTAGCCCAGGACTTCTTAAGGCGATCCTGCGACTTCTACTCCCAGGTAGTACAAACCTCATTGGGCCCAGTATTCACACCATGTTCCTTCAGGTTCTCGCTTATACGGCAAAGGCGAGCCCACGTCTGTCAGCTGAGCTTTTAAAGACGAACGTGGTCGATACTCTATATCAGATCCTCACTGGTGTTTCACCTCCTAGCGGCACTGAAGACGTCGCAGCGAAAATCGACTCGGTGGTCATCATGCAAGCTCTGATTCATCGGCCCAAGGACCAGGTATTCGAGACGTTGAATGTCATTTGTGAACTGCTCCCTGATGTCTCAACCGATGGCCTGACTTACCTTGACGATCTCTTCGATGCGGGTTACCCAGGCGACGATCTTCTTCCGCTCTCATCTACGAACGAGAAGACTGCGAACGAGAAGCGCGTTGAGCTGCTGGAAGATTGCAAAGCAGAGGTTAAGCGCTTCGCTGTGATTCTTCTGCCGACTTTGACAGATGCTTACTCGAGCACCGTCAACCTCAGTGTTCGGCAGAAGGTGCTCACCGCACATCTCAAAATGCTGTCAAATCTGGACACCGATATTCTAGAGGAAGCCCTACGGCCAGTTCCGTACGCTTCGCACTTGGCATCAATCTTTACCCAGCAAGATCATCCATCTTTAGTGACCTATGCATTGCAGGCTGCTGAACTGCTACTTAAGCGACTGGAGCCCATTTACCGATACCAGTTCTATCGTGAGGGCGTCATCTCCGAGATCTCACAACTGGCAAATCGCCCATGCAAGGCACTGGAAACCAAGCCTAAGGACTCAAAACCAGCAGTTGAGGTTGAAACGGCAGCTGAATCAGGCGCTAGCACTGTCTCCTCTGGTGAGCAGGAGGTCGAGCCGCATTCGAGCGAAGGCGTGGATGTGGAAATGCAATCTGACGATGGAGAGGACGTGGACCCGGATGACGAACAAAACGAGAGCAGCCACAACCGGGACGAGGATGACGACTCGGACTCTTCATCATCTTCTGACGAGCGGGAACCACCACCAATGCCCAACGTCGAAGACATCATCACGCTGCGTGCCAAGAAGTTCATTGAGGCTCACGAGAAGGACTCCGATAAGCCTATACGCGACAAAGCTTCGGCGGTCCTAGATGACCTAAAATCGCTCGCTGAAAATATCAAGGACTGCGTTGCTGATGGTAACGCAAGCGACTGCATGACCCTGTTCACTCGGCTGGCTTCTTATTTCGAAGGTGATGCTTTGGAGAGCATTACAAGCTACGAACTCAAGACCTCAAAAATTGTGGAAGTGTTGTTGGAGCTGTTTTCGACCCCTACAACGAACAAGAATGTTGATCCCAGGCCTATCTTCTTGGAAGCCTTTATGGGAGGTAGTAGCCAGAGCAAGATCAAGACCGCGAGCACTGCATCTCCAGCTACGCCTTTTAGTGTGTTGGTCCACAAGCTCCAAGATTTGCTCAGTAGGTCTGAACACTTCGACGTGATCACCGTTCACCAGAACATGTACGATAGTCGAGGAAGCGCGACTTCAATGCTCGCAAAGCAGCTCAGGCTCAAGCTTGTCGCCGATGACGAGTCAGGCATTCCAAAGACATACAGGAACATCATGGTTTCCATTCATGCCATCGCAACATTCAAAGCCTTGGACGACTACCTTCGACCTCGCATTAGCCTGGCGGATCGACCACGACCGTCCAAGTCTCGGGACCAGTTTCCCTCTAGGGATCAATTTGAGGCCATGTATGCTCAAGCTCTGTCTGAAGGACGTGCGCCTCCACCACCGCACACCCCTTCTGGCACAGCAAATCGTGCTTCGAAGAAGTCTTCACGATCCAAGGGTGCTCCGACTGATTCACCCCAACCAGGACCGAGCTCAGCTACCCGAGAGAAGTCCCGGCGATCCAGTAGGCGTCAACAGAATCAGCTTCCTCCACCTCCGCCACCACCTCCAGCCAAGGCACAATCGCAAAGCAGCCAAGATCCAGTCGAATGCGCTGATGAAGCGCAGCTCTCTGACGGAGATTCCATGGACGAGGACAGCGCTTTGAATGCTATTGTTGACGAGCTGGACGATGAACTGGACGAGGACATGCCAGATCCATCAGCTGTTAGTGTGGAAGTTGCATCAACAGGGCAAGCCACTGCTCGGGAAGAGGATGGCACCAGGATCGCCACACCGGTGCAAAACACGCCGTTGGCAAAACCACCTGCTGAGAACCGAACACCATCATCCCGTTTGTCCGCGCTACTTCAAAGCTCAGCCGCTATGCGCCAACAGTTGGGCGGTGCGGCAAGTGCGCTTTCATATGCTGCCGCTGTGCAATCAACCCCGCAAGACTGGCACATCGAGTTTAGCGTGAATGATCAGCCACTTTCAAATGAGACGACAATCTACCGCGCTGTGCATTTCAGTCAAGCTCAGCCACAAGATGGATCACATCGCTCTGTTTGGAATGGCATTCATACTATCAAGTTTAAGCGGGTCCAGGGCCCTCCACCAAGCGAGCCCAGCTCCTTGACACCGCCTCCAGAGTCACGATCGGATGTCTCCGGTATGCCAGCCTCACTTGATCAACACCCTGTGACGTCTGGTATCCTGCGATTGCTAAGTATACTCCACGGGCTGAACTCGCACCTTGACGACATTCTGCTCGCGAACAAGGAACAAGTCAAGCTGAATGCCGAGCCACTCTCACAGTTTGTCAACACGAAGCTTACGGCGAAACTGAACCGTCAGCTGGAAGAGCCTCTCGTGGTAGCGAGTAACTGTCTCCCTAGCTGGAGCGAGGATCTGGCACGTTTCTACCCATTCCTGTTCCCATTCGAGACACGCCATCTCTTCTTACAGTCCACCTCGTTCGGCTACTCACGGTCGATGACACGATGGCAGAACTCGCAGCCCACGAGCGACTCACGTGATAGTCGACATAGGGACGAGCGGCCATTCTTGGGTCGCCTCCAACGCCAGAAGGTCCGCATTTCTAGATCCCGGATCCTGGAATCTGCGATGAAAGTGATGCAGCTCTATGGACATTCTGCCAGTGTCCTGGAAGTGGAGTACTTTGAGGAAGTTGGAACCGGTCTAGGGCCAACACTGGAGTTTTACTCCACTGTGTCGCGTGAGTTCTCGAAGAAGAAATTGAAGCTCTGGCGAGAGAACGAGTCCAACGACAGTGACGAATATGCTTTCGGTAAGCGAGGTCTCTACCCGGCTCCTATGAGCGCTGAGGAAGCGAGCACCGAGAATGGCGAGAAGCGTCTTGAGCTTTTCAAGATCTTGGGTAAATTCGTTGCCCGCTCTATGCTGGACTCTCGCATTATCGACGTCTCTTTCAACCCGACCTTCTTCCGCATCAGCGACGGCACTAGCGCAGCGGTTGCACCCTCTCTTGGAGCCATTAAGGCTGTTGATGAAGATCTAGCCAAGTCTCTGCTACTCCTCAAGCAGTTTGCCGATGCGAAGAAGAAGGTCGACAACGACAACATGAGCGCAACAGCAAAGTCCGCAGCCCTGCAAGACATAGTCATCCAAGACTGCCGGGTAGAAGATCTAGCTCTGGACTTTACACTTCCAGGCTATGATTCGATCGAGCTTATCCCGAATGGTGCGGACACACCAGTCACGATCGAGAATGTCGACACGTATGTGGAGAAGGTTATTGACTTCACGCTTGGCTCCGGTGTACAGCGGCAAGCCGACGCTTTCCGCGCAGGCTTCACAGAGGTCTTCCCATACTCTGCTCTCAAGGCGTTCACCCCAGATGAGCTAGTCATGCTGTTCGGCCGGACAGATGAGGATTGGTCGCTAGAGAGTAAGTTTCCCGGTATCCAAATGTTGATCATTGTTACTAACCACATTCCAGCCCTTATGGATTCTATCAAAGCGGACCATGGCTACAACCTCGACAGCAAGAGCGTGCGCAACCTACTCGCCACCATGAGCGAGTTTGATGCACAGGAGCGTAGAGACTTTTTGCAATTCATCACCGGTAGCCCCAAGCTCCCGATTGGAGGTAAGTTCTCTACTCATTCCATGACGAACATTCACCATACTAACACTTCCACAGGCTTCAAGGCTCTCACGCCAATGTTTACGGTTGTCTGCAAGCCCAGCGAACCACCCTTCACTTCCGATGACTACCTGCCTTCTGTCATGACGTGTGTCAATTACCTGAAGATGCCGGATTACAGCACTGTTGAGATTTTGCGCGAGAAGCTTAGTGTGGCTATAAGGGAGGGCCAGGGGGCTTTCCACCTCTCTTAGACTGCTGGATGAGTGGGTGGTGGTAGAAGTGACGGTTACACTAGTGGGGAATGAGGAGGATGGAATGGTGGGAGCATGGTAGGAGTAGGGCAGGAAGAATATGGGATACCCTGGGGCTTTTTCCGTACGGGGCGCCAGGGGACATAGTTTTACGCTTTTTTCTTCTTTGCTGGGACATGCATAGATTCAACGCCTTTACCACGATGATGTTCGTGGGTTTTTAGTATGCATTGTAAAGTTAGGGGATGGATGGGATGGGGGCGTTTCTGAGTGTAGGTAGTTTAGTCTGTATAATTCAGACTTTAGAATCGTAAAGGGATTTATGACTAGCCTGTTTTGTTGGGTTTGATAGTCGCTGATGTGAATGTTCTCTAGTCAGAGCGTTGTGCTCAGTATGCATTCATAACCACTCACATCATGGCTGAACTGAGAGCATACTAGATGCTATCCGAGCTCTACTTTCGATCGCGTTGTCAGAAGGCAAATTCTAGTAGCAAGTTCTACCAGAAAGATATGAGTTAATTTCGTAAATGCCCATTTCTGGTATTGCTCATTCATGAGGTATCAAAATGTATCTATATTACGCGTTGCGGCAGCTGTCAATGGCTCGGCTATTTTGCGTCTCCAGAATACCGCGGGATAAAGTCGATGATACCAAAGTATGCATTGCTCACACTAAGACCACTTCTACGCTGTCCTCTCTCCTAGCACAGCTTCCGTGCATTACACCGTGCAAGTATGTATCTCCAACTAATCGGTGGTGTGCTGGTGTTTCAGACTGTCTTCGAAGTATGAACGGTACATCAGAACCGTGGATTACCCAGATTTCGTCTCCAACCTTAACATTCGGGAGTGATAGACCAATACGACCTGAAAATGTTATATAAAGTATCCTCTGGTCCAATGCATTTGTACAGGCCGTTCTGTACCCCCTGGATAATTCATTCCAGTTGCCTGTTGCCCAGAAGTCGCTCCATTCGCTATCAGTGGGAAGATCGACGTCATTCTCCTCAAGCAGTTCTAAGGGGCCAGCTCCCCTGTAGATAACGCCGCCACACAAAACTTTGGCAAAAGCGTCGATTGCTTCATCAGTTCTGACTGAAACTCCATTTTCCTCGCAAGTGCGGCGCCAGTTGTGAACAGTTTCCTCAATGTTTCGCGACTCCCAGATATATGTCTTCATGGCCACGGCTTTTACTCGATCGATGAGAATTCCATGTGTCAGCAGATGCTTTCGGTCCTTCACTTCAAGCTTCCCAGACAGATCTCCACAGGTTTTGAAGAGATGATAATGCACATGGGTACGCCTAAGCTGAGGTCTCGGATCGAAGACTGCAGAGAAGTCACGCACCCAGGAAGGCAGGTTGAACCTTTCGCTATTGAATCCTCCGCCAAGTAGGCACCGAGGACTCATCTCGGCCTCTTCTAGCATCTTACAGAAAGCCTCCACATATACCTCTGACACTTCCTTCGTGTAATCGGGGTACAATTCGATTTTGGATGAGTCAGATAATCCCAAGAGAGAGTATATCTTGTCTAGAGGGTTGGAGCATTGTCGACAAATATAGGCAAGGCTGACCTCGGAAAATGTCTTGAAGCCTGGTGCTGCGCGACGCGATCCTTCCAACGTCTGTATGTAGTCCGCTACTTTGATCAGGGACATTGTTTTACTTGCACCTAACGCTTGATAAGCGTCATGACAACAATCATCTGTATGATCAGAAAAGTAACTTAGCATGCCCTTTTGATACATTTTAAAACTCTCCCAAGGGGTTCTCCATGAACCACATATGACCACAGCTTGATCTGGTAGAACGGCTTCCTGTACCGTCCAAGCCCTATGCCACCATGGACTGCGAGCAACAAGCTCGAAACCTTCCCAAATGGAGTCAATCGTCCAGGTAGCAGTAGATTTGTCTTTGTAGTACCCTTGGGAGTTCGTACAAATGCTTGTCTGCCGCCAAATGTTCCACAAGCGCGAACGGATTGCTTTTCATCAAATTAGAGTCGTCCGGAGAACCAAGCCAGATGTACGCCTGGTCGCACAATCTGTAAACCAGGTCCATGTGCGATACTTGGTGAGACTTCTCAATGTTGTCCGTTTGGTCGATACAAATGGCATCCACCCAAATGACGATCGGTTCATCGGGGGATCGGATGTGCTGCAGTGCCTGGAACAAATTTGCTCCAACCCCCATCTTCTCGTCGTTGACTAGGATATAGTCGACAATCGCAGCATCACCCCATGTATATGAGAGAGCAGTATATGGCGCTCGTTCCGGATCATTGAGATCTATCTTGGATAAGGAAGCTTCGATCGTAGTACCCCTGACACCCGGTTGTATGCAGAGTACTCTGATACTCTTCTCGTCTGATGGAAGCGGAAATTGTTCGTGAAATGTGTGAGTAGTCGTGGTACTTCGGCGGGTTTGGCTGCGTGTAACAACCATGACTATGTTGGATCTAGGGAAGATGGATAGCTAGAACCATGAATGCAGCAAAGCAAGGGAACTCGGAGGTCGACCTTGCCAAGGCTCTGCACCGCCTCACCAGGATCAGGCTGTAGCTACAAGGCTGATGAATGACATCACTACACGCATACAAATCAAGGGAGCGTGATCCAAAAATGCTAACGGTAAAGCGTATGCAAGTCATGTATTCGCTGTTTACAAGCACTTTACTTGGAGAAGAAAAAAACCCCAGAGACAGAAAACTTCGCGTTAAATGTAAATAGCATTATCCGTTAAATGATCGTGAGCCCCAAACCATTCCAGTCTCTATCATTACACAGCCAAGCCAAATGCCTTGTTGCGGTACAACAGTCTCAATTCCTCACATCCTGCATTTCGAAGGTGTGTGTGCCAATAAACTACTCGCCATAGTATTGATCTAGTCCTCCTCCTGGGAGTCAGCAAGCGCGGAGTCGGCGTCAGCAGCAGACTGGCTCTTGCTGCCTGAGGCCTTTCCATTGCCAGAAGCTCCGTTGGAAGCGCCGGTGGAAGCGCCAGTGTTGGAAGAAGCACCAGTAGCGCCAGTAGCACCAGTGTTGGAAGTAGCGCCAGTGTTGGCACCAGTGTTACCAGTAGCACCGTTGCCAGTGGCCGCACCAGTTCCAGTAGTGGAGCCAGTGGTAGACTGTCCAGCGCCAGTACCGGCCGAGCCACCCTGGGCAAGCTGGCCGGTTCCTTGCTGGGTTCCAGTAGTAGAGCCAGTACCCGCAGCACCAGTTCCTTGCTGGACACCAGTAGCAGAGCCAGTTCCTGTTGAGCCAGTTCCTGCAGCACCAGTACCAGTCTGCTGACCAGGAACGGGAGGAGCAGCTCCACCAGCCGGAGGAGCAGGAGGGGCAGCACCGCTTGCAAGAGGAGCGGGAGGAGCGGGAGGGGCAGCGCCGTTAGCAGGGGGAGCTGGGGGAGCACCACCACTTGCAAGAGGGGCGGGAGGAGCAGCACCGTTCGCTGGGGGAGCAGGAGGAGCAGGAGGTGCTGCGTTGCCAGCGAGACCAGCAGTGGGAGGAGTGGGGGGAGTGGCAGCTCCAGCGCCCTGTTGGCCTTGGCCAGCACCTAGAATATGTCAGTGTTTATGCTTGAGGTCATGAAATCTTAGACAACTTACCGGCAGTGGGAAGGTTAGCCTGGCCGTTTCCAGCCTGACCATTGGCACCAGTGTTACCACCTGCTGCGGCTGTGCCGTTGTTGGCGGCGCCCTGAAGAGAGTTAGCATGTGTGAAAAGTTTGAAATGATAAGAACTCACGTTGGCACCAGCAGCACCCGCGGCACCCTTGTTGCCCTTACCCTTGCCCTTGCCCTTGCCCTTACCGTTGCCGTTCGCGGCGCCGGCAGCAGCAGTGTTGGCAGTACCGGCAGTGTTGGCAGCGCCGGCAGTGTTGGCAGCTCCAGCAGTAGCAGCGTTGCCACCAGCAGCGCCGCCCGTCAGTCCACCAAGAAGGTCACCAAGACCTCCGGCTCCGCCTGCTGCTCCACCCGCAGCTCCACCTGCTGCGTTGCCGCCACCCGCACCGCCAGTAAGACCACCAAGGAGGTCTCCAAGTCCTCCAGCGCCACCAGCTCCGCCAGCGGCACCTCCTGCTCCACCGGCTCCTCCAGTCAATCCACCGAGGAGTTGGTCAAGCTGACGCTTGGTCTTGAGCTTCTCGGTGGAGAGCTTGCGGACGGTGGAGACGAAGTGTGCGGGCATTTTCTGTCCACCAGTGGTGTCAACCCATCGCTTTCCAAGACCAGCGTTGGTGAAAGGAGCCGGGGCCGCAACAGCGGAGGCAGCCAAAGAGGCGATGAGAATGGAGGAGTCGAACTTCATATTGATATTTGAGAAAGATTGAGATGAACTGCCCGGCAGTGAAGTGTATAGAGAGTGTGTGGAGAAATTAAAGCCGGCTAGCAGCGATATGTACAAGGAAAGTTGATGAAGGGAAGTAGAGAACAAGGACTGAGATGTTCAACAAGTATCGAACTGAAGAATGATTCCATGATTAGGCAAGACATTACCTCTATATATCATCACCCATGGGGAAAGGCCCGATCGGGGAGAGGACGTCCGGTATCAAACAGCTGACGTGTTCTGGCCCTCCAGTAGATCGTTTTGTCGATCATGATGGTAAGTGTGAGGCTGTAGCAATGCGTGCAGGAAGTATTGCATGCCCTGAGGCCATCATGCTGTTGCGCGACCTTACTCTGCCGTAGTCTGCAACTTCGATGTGAGAAAGGCGAAACACTGGTCATGTAGCTGGGTCCCCGCATTATACAAAACACGTGATTGCTTGTTCCATGTGCGACCTGTAGCTCAACCGTACGCTGGGTCTTGGCGTAGCATGAAATCTCTAGGGGACGACCGCACACCGTGTTGACTCCTGGATTTAGACGAGAGCGCGATATCCTTCTCGCGCTCAACGGTATCGCAATAAACGTGATGATCTGGTATTCCTCTACATGCTCATCGTCAACCGTTGACGTTGCTTCCAAATAATGGTGTTGCTGTTTCTGTCGCAGCTCCCGTGAAACGACAGCTTGGCGCGTTATTTCTCCGGTTAAAAACGCGTGTTTTGGTTTTGAAACTAAGGCAGATCTAAGGTTCGGCCTTACAACTGTGACAGTCGATGTGCGAGAGCGTTTTTGACATGTTGTTGAACGTTTCGGGATCGATTTAGTTTGAGGGAGAGGTGACAAAGATGAGGACAGCGGACGGCGAGTGGGGTTCAGCGAAGCTTGAATGTTTAGCGCGCCGCTAGCCTCAAGGGTAGGGAGGCCGTAGCACTTCACCTGGCGCAATAAGCAAGACCTGAAGACCTAGTTCCTCCAAAAAGACCTTCTATAATGTTCCAGTTCGACTCCAGTCCAGCGCTCATAGTGGTCGATATGCAGAACGGCTTCTGCCACAAGGATGGCAGCTTCGCAAGGCTAGGAATACCGACTGACCCAAGAACGATTGTTCCTCGTATCAATGAGCTACTCTCAGAGTTTCGCGCTACTGGACTCCCTGTCTACTTCCTGAAGACAGGGTACAAGGCCGATTACTCGGATAGACGCGGTCGCGATAGACATGACCGACTCGAACAATTCCAAGGTCTCTTACGGGGGTCTTGGGATGCCGATATTCTAGAGGAACTCACGCCTGAGGCTGCCGACAATGTCATCAACAAGACAAGAAATTCTTGCTTTTTTCGCACGTCGCTGGAGACCACACTGAGAGAGCGGGGAGTTGACCATGTGGTTTTGACTGGGGTGGGAACCGATGTATGTGTAGAGACGACGGCAAGAGATGCCTATCAATTGGACTTCGCCGTCACTACCATAAGTGATGCTACCTGGGCATGCAATGAGTCGGACCATCTAGCCGCTCTGCACGCCCTGCGAAATTTTGGTGGCACAGCGTCGACATCGGACGTGATCGAAGCCTTGGAGAAGTTACGAAACTCAGACCATGTGTGACGGCAGGAGCTTGGACCTTTGGTGCACGTGCTTACGCGTTTGCCTGGCATAGGCCACACAGCTCAGTAGAGAGCTCGACAGTGATTACACAGACGTTTCACCACCTTTCGATTATCCTACTTCGTGGTCTCACACCATAGAAGAATGCCATTGGCGTGGGATGATACCACATATATTGCAACGTCGAATTGCGCCATTAGGAAGTATTTCTGTGGCTTAAATTTGATTAACCTCTCTCAATCGTAGCCAAGGGCGTTAAGCCGATCACAATCCTCGCGCTGTGGTAGCCAAGCCTTGTTCCATACCCAATTTGTTCGACATCACAAAAGTACGCACCGAATCGATCCTGCACCGACAGCATCGGAAATTGGTTACACTTGTTTAGAAGGAATCATGTGTGAGGACCAGAAATCTTGTATTTGCATAGGTTCTTTTGATCCCTTAGTCGATCGCAATCAATTACAGCGCTTCGCTAAATCACTACAGTACGCTAGTGGTATGGTGATTATGGTGTGTACACCAAAGAGCGTCGAGCCCGATACATTGCTGAAATGCTCCAAGATCACACCTAAGCATCCAAACTATGTCATCATCATCTTCTTCTTGCCAGGCCCGTAACGTATAGTTCTCCAGGCTCCGCTTCTACCTTCCAGCCTTCATTAACTAGCGCCTTGAGCACAGCAGGCCCAAGCTTCCCTCTTCCACCCTCGCTGTGTCTGCCTAAGCCAGTGATGATTCTGTATGCCTCACCCCCTCCTCTCCGACCAGCACCACTCCATTCTGGTATTCTTCGCTCGCCTAGGTTATTCCACCAAGCTTGCGTTCGTTGCTTGGCAATTCTTGTTGCATCTGCCACAGTGACGCCATGCAAATCCAGATCAGTAGGACCGGATTGTTGCGAAACGAAAGCGTCGGCTTCGGCTGCGTTCATTGCTTTCAGATTCGCGTTTAGGTCACGGCCTTCTTGTGCGTAGTACGCAGCTGCTTGTCTCATGAGGGGTGTGGATTTGCCTCTACGGTAGGCTCCAGATGCTTTTCCAAAAGCTTCGTTTCGAGCAGCGGCTGTGGACATTGCGTCACGTGGCCGGGCAGAGGGAGTCAAGGTAGGAAGTTTCGAAGATTCGGAAGGGTCGGATAGATCGACAGGAGCGTATCGTATGTCGAGCTTGATGCCACCTTTGCCGCCCGTTTCGCTTGCAGGTTGTTGAGTGAGGGACTTTGCTAATTCCTGAGCTTTTATCGTTGATGGGGCAGTGAGGCGTACTATGGCAAGAGCATGCTCCAAGTCCATAGACGGAAAGGCTTCGTTGAGTGTGATCGCGTCTTGCACTAGCGCAGCGTCGGGCTGACTTTCCTTCTTGTGCGTTGCGATGTCCTTCCTTACGATCGCTAGTACAGTCGCCGAAAGAGAAGTTCCGTTTGCGTGGTAAAGTGACGACACAGCCTTCGCCGACAGCCCTGTGCGCGATGTTATGAAGTCCACGTCGCGACTTGTGCTTTGCCAACGATTTGCCGGCGCATCTGATTCGACAAAATGGCTAGTGCCTGCTTCCAGAGATAACCTCTGCTTCTTCTTGCTCTTCCCCTTCTTGCCTTTCTGCGGCACGTGGTGATCTTCTGAGAAGGCCTCAATACCCTTCGCGATTGGACCTTCTTCAGTAGGGCTCTTCCTACTGTCGTCAAAGAAGACTTGGTTCAACAGTTCATCCGTCGCTTTGTCGTAGTCGTATCCGCATTTCTTCAGCGTATACGTCACCTGTGCGAGCCGCAGACCTGGGAAGGTTTCGGCGAGCAACAGCTCCTTTGTCGGAACGTCGAATTGCTCAGTGTCCTTGTAGTATCCATCCTCCAACGACCCTTCCGAACTCCCTGACCGTCCGTTTACGCTAAGTGTGGAGAAGTCGTTCGAGAGAGTCGAGCGGTCCGTGGCTACCGTTTGCGTGGTCCACGATTCAGCGTTCGAGTCGGCATCGGTGCTGTGCTTGTCTGGGCTACCCTGAAAAGCGCCTCCACTGCTGCCCGAGGGGTCGAAATCGAGGGCTTCTGCCTCGGCTGTTAATTTCAAGGGTTCCAGCAATTGCCTAGTGAGGTCAATCGCGTTTGGCTCCCCCGCGAAATCCGAGTATATCGTATATAGTAGTGTGGGATCTATTGCTGGGCAGTACTCCTGCTGTGGATCGCATTGCCGTTAGCAACCTCATTCAGCAGTACCTGGTAGTGTCCTTACCTCGAGCAGACGTAGATCCTCATCCATTTTGGTTCTTGTAGTATTGACGTCTTCTTATGTGTCTGTACAGCGAGTGCATACTCAAACTGGACTTTGAACTGATGGAATTTGTCGCGCAGTCAATCCGTCTGAAGATTTGTGCGTTTGATGCGACAGGACCGAGTATGGCTAATCAATTATGCGATAGGTGGTCGCACAGGCAGAAGTGCGTGGGGTGTTTTGGAACAGCGCCGGCGCGTGATCGCGAAAAACGTGGGAGGGGGAGAACGTAACCGAGCTTCGCGCATAGAGAGCAGTTCACCGTTGTTGCACCATGGCGACTGTAAATATAAGGAGACGAAGGGTTTGCGATTTTCAGTGTGTACGCTACTGGATTCTTCGCGCTGGCTAGATGTTAGACGTCATGTCGCCCTGGATCGAATCGCGCGTCATCCACCAATTTAGTATACGCTAATGCAAGCGGCTGAAGCGTATCTACCACCGCATTCTCGACAATCTCACAAATCGTTGGCATAACAATCGCAAGCCCTGGATACCACCATCAACCCTTACTGATATCATAAAGATGGTCGAGAGCGGCATGTTGTACCATCAGGAGGTGGTGTTTGGCTTGAACAGCATGAGGCATCCTACACCAGGATCATGGACGGGCACTGTTGGCGAGACATCCAAAAGGACATCATCAGAGCGTCCTGTGGAGAACTTTCTAATTGGATCCCATTCGCTTGTATCGTCACTGTAGACTCCGTCGGTTCTGGTTGGGGCAGATGATCTGCCCAAGCACCTATGAATCAGCCTCGCGCCGCCATTTAGGCCCCCAAAGTACGCCCGACATCTCCATCACATCCATGCCAGTGCAAAGGATCTGTGCCGCAGCATGCATGGGTTTCGGGTCTGTCCCACTCCAGTTGTGTCTAGTTTAAGTACACCTCAGGCCCCCATTGCGTGGTGACATTTCGCAACTTCGATCCTTTCGTGTTCTTCGTACTTCAACCTGCCTTCACGATCTCGACCGAAGCGCAAAACACCATGGCACCCCTACAGCGTCGCAGCGCAAATCTCTCGCTCCAAGGCACTGTAGCCGTCATCGTTCTTGTTGTTTTGTTCCTTTCTGGCGTCTTCTGCACCATCATCTTCTTCAAAATATGTAGCAAACAGCGGAGGCGCGAGAGGGCCATGCGCAGGATGCAAGAAGAGCGCACGCCATTTGTTGGCGCCCAGTATATTGCGCCTGCAGGCGCGCCAAGCAACGGAGACGAACCGCCTTATGCAGGACAGGAGCCTCTACGGACAGAGCTGCAAAACAAACAACAATACGAATATACCGGCCCGTCAGAGTTACAAAATGATCAGGAAAATACTGGTCCACTAGAACTGCAAGGAGGCGAAAGGCCTGAGCCTTTGCCAGCGCAACAGCTGGACGGATACGTAGCAGCGGTAGGTACCGTCACTGGAATATTCGTGGTGAAGATGGAAAGTCTGACAGGCTACAGCCAACTTTCGATGACAGCAAACCCATTGAACTACCCGCGAATGTAATGGTGAACGACGCAAACGGAAAAGCCCAAACACAGAGTGGCAAAGCGAAACACGATATCTGAATGAAGATGTCAAGAGATCTCGCATTGTGATGGAGATCACCCTAACTATTTCAGTGCAAATCACAAACCACGTACCAATAAAATGTAATCGCCACAACTGAAGTACCGTAGAGCAGATTTTTGTTTGCAGTATGGGTATGACCACGAAGAATCGGCAACCATACGGCAGTGGCAGCAAGGGAAACCTTCGTCATCCGTCTTGAAGACATCGAGCACAGCATCCGGAAGATACGGAGTAGGGTCAACACCTGCCGCCTCAATAACCAAGCTCGAAGTCAAGGTCATGGATGTGGCAATTATCGTAGTCGTTGAGGCGGTCGTGGCGGACAACGTGGCTTCAGGGGCCACTTGGCCTTTGATGGGCAAGATCTTGTATGAACGTAAGCCATCTAACTGATAGTGCACAGCTGAACTACAGGCGGTATATATAGGGCTAATGTGCTTCACATCTTCGGTGGTTGTACATAAATATCTAAACATATAGTAAACACCCCCTGACCTTGTCATTATGTCCTGTCATTCGAATGACAAACACGCATAGAAGACTACACATATACTGCGATTTACTGAAAGACTCCAACTTGCCATACCTATCGTATTACCTGACACAACAGTGCGCTCCACATCATGAATAGTACAACCACCACATTGGCGCGCATAGCAAGCTTACCAGTAACTCTTCTTACGTCTATTCCGAGGCCGAAGTTCTCTTACGTACCCGCGGCACATGTCAAGCTGAAGGCGGACAACATTGTAACGGTGTTGATTTGTATAGTGCGACAGACCTGGCTATATCTAGAGGGTTGGAGAGATAGCAGAAGACGAAGGAACAGGGACGATAAGGATAGGAAGGAAGGCGAACGAGCCAGGAGGCATATGAAGAAGCGGAAAGCGCTTGGAAAGGCGAGTAGAAAAGCAGGCAAATGCAAAAAGGCGAAGATCATCGCGAAAGGTAAATACACGCTGGTATTGCAATAAAATTGCCAATAAGGTTGCGTTGTATAAAGAATATTATTGCGTTGAGCAACAAGCAACGATCTATTCGCTTTCTGATTCAGAGTCTTCCTCCATGTCTGCATCGTCGTCCAACTCGGAATCATCTTCCATAGCCCCAATAATGTCTAATTTCAACCCCGCTGCCTTGCAAGCATCTTTGGTTTCCTTTGATACTCCCTCTTCGCCCTCAACCACCACCATAGTTTTCCAATTCCTTGCAACAATGTCTTTCTGCTCAATGGTGGCTAGCAGAAGGTCCGTAACTTCGGTATCGCTTCCCAGCTCGTTGAAAAACTCAAGCGTTTCCATCACCGGCGGAAGACCGACGGAATGAAGACGAGGCTTCTTAGACGACTTTCCAAATAGCTGGTAATCCCAATTCAGACGTAATGTCTTAAGCGCCGCAAACTCTCTCATACGTAGCACCTTGCGACCGGTAAGCGTTGGGTGATCGATAGTGATGCTCTTTAAGAATTCGGCTTGTGATTGCGCAGCCAATATGTAGTCTCCAACGTTATCGGAGCTTTCCTCCAGGTCTGGCTCCGGCACCTCCGCTTGCGTCATGACAAATTCTTCGAGCGCCTCGGGTAGTTCGAGTAGATCTCCAAGAGAATCGTCGTTGATGTCGCATTCGATCAGGTGCAGCTGCTTCAGTGCTGTCATGTGCGGCCGCTCAATGTGATCGAAACCCTTCTCGTCTAACTTGGCTCTACGAATTGTCAAGGTTTCCAGTGTGGGGTGTGCAAAGATATGTATGTTTTCGCGCAGGTCCCAGTAAGCATCGTTAGCGCACTGATAGAATAGTGAACAGGTCTTTAAGCAGGTAAGGTCGAAAGGTCCGTTGAACAAGGTACCGATACCGTGTAAGAGCACATCGGGAACCGATATCTCGAGCTTCTCCAAATTTGACATGATCGACAACGTCCGCGAGAGGGTGTCTGAGGTCTTTGGATCGAGATATGAACCATGGACGGGCGCGTCAAGCGCCAGTTGCGATAGCTCTGAAGAGGGATACGCGAGTTTGACTTCATAAATGGATGAGCCACGACGCGGTCGACGGCTTAACGACTCGCTGAATGTGAGGTGGAATTCAGGAGTCTCGAACAGAATGCTTTTGTACAGAACAGCGTCACTGAGGCGGTGACATCTCTTGTTGACGCGCGATACGTTGCAAAGGTCGCGCCTGGATATGCAGCCGACCGCCTCGAAGATGCGGAGTAGCAGCTCATCTGGCAAAGTGCTCAATCTGTCGCATGGTACTGCGCTCTTACTGTCCTCATCCATTGGCATATCTGATATCAAGGTATCGATACGGGATAGAGCGGACGAAGTATCCATGCGCGAGGTACTTCGCAACTTTCGCTGCGAACACGTGGAGATGGCCTGACTCGCTGGAATGCGGGGGAGCTTGTGGAGCTGCCGATCCTCAATCAGGGCACTGGAAAGGATACAAAGGAAATGTTGCCTGAAGGGTCGGACTTTGGATTTGCTCTAAACATGAGGATACAATGTCTGTACGTGCAAGGTCGTGAGAACGAAAGAACGGCGGCGGGTGATACAACAGTCCAGGTCCAGGGGCGGACACTGCAGAGCGCGCACGGCCCGCCACGCGTGGCTGGTCCCATGACATCACGCCAGAAATCTCCTTCCTCATGTGACGCTTGCATTCCCACAAATGACATCTCCGCGCGAGGCGTGTCGAGCTTCTATCTCATGGCGGCGTGGAGTTGCTGGGCAAAATTGCACCTCGGGATCTGATTCAGATGACCCATAGCAAACCACCGGCTGCTTTTCCTACACCAAAACTGACGCACGCCAGTAAACCGCGCACAGCTATGTTGGCACTGTATCTCGCAGCATATACTCAACGAAGGCTTTACCATTGGTATTAGGCCCACCAACGCCCACGGATACTATGTTTTGAGACTTGTTCTCGGGGTGTACGTTGGGCACATCTTCCGAGATGCTAGAAACATGGTTTCACACTGTGTCAGTCAGTGAGCACTACATGCATAGTAACAATGCGTTGAATCAAAGCACCGTACGATATGTGCTCACCACTTGGATCGCGGATATTCAAAACTTTGCGCAGTACGCACTATTTCTCCCCTATGTACTAGTCAATAAATGCTTGAAGATACAGAAGAGCTGAGCGGATTGCAACTTACCCCTTAACACTTCAGAAGGAAAGTACATTCTAGACGCGCAAGGCCTCAAGAAAGAACAGTATGGGCCAAACACCGTCTGTTCACGCGCTGGTTGAAGCAAGCGCGCTTCATATTTCACGTCCAAACGGACAGGGACTATTGGCCGACGAATGTACACTCTGATCGATGCTGTTCAGATGGTCATGCGCCCAAAGATTCCGCTCGCAAAACAAAGCATTGCATCTGTTGTAAACGTCGCCATACTTCAGAGCCAGAGTCTCGTACCCGATTGGGGTAGAGAGATGTTCTGTACATAGCGTGGAAGCCATAACCATCGGCGCCGCTGGTGTCACTTGTCCCAGGCTTCGTTCCGTTATTCGAGGTGATTTACCGCCAAAAGTTACGTGGCATCGTGTAACCATAAGGCGCGGGTTTGTCCATTCTGGAAAGTCTCCATCTCATGGTCATAGTCTCGCCTCGAACGAACAATGAAGAGATTCACCCGTTCTGCTACCTAATCAATACAATTTTGTTCATGTGACTGTACGCGTTGATATACATATACTATTGTTAAGTGAGCAAGCGCAGAACTTAGTCGCATTGAAAAGATTCAATCTAGACCTGCATACTCGTGAGTTCGGTCATAGTATAAAAAGCTCTAAAGCCTGACCACGTGTGTGATATCAGCAGCTTACACCATTATTATGATTACACCTAATTCACATTGACGCTTGGTTTGTGGAAGTTGCAAGTGGCCCGCTTCTCGCTATGGATCGTGACTGTACCAGTGGACGGCTACCAATGTACGACTTGCCAGAATTTCCATCTACAGAATGTGCTTTGGTAATTTCTTGGACTGCTTTGAGGAGATAGGCCCAACGTACTACGAATTTGGGTCAGCCAGGCAGCCCCGTGAATTGCATTGGTCATGGGTAATTGGTCTAAGCATTCGACTCGCTGTACAGCACGACCCTGGTTCTTCACACTTGCCAATGTATATAACCCCTGTGGCCTTGGTCTGGTACTGTGCACCCTACTTGAAAGTAGCAAATCAACCACTGTGGGAAGGAATAAATCGAGTACTGTACTATTTAATTAACTCGACTTCCATCACTTCTTCCTTTCTACATCAAATCTCTCTTGAGTACTTCAACCCTCGTACAACAACAACGACTTACAATAATATCTCTCCAAATCAGCAAGATGTCTACCTCGGACCTCTCTCGCTCTGTCAGCCCAGATCATGGCAGCACCCCATCTCTCTCCCCTCCACCTTCCGAGACCCAACAGCTCGCAGCAGCCCTAACCCTGAAGACCGGCCGCGAAGTCCTCTCTCACTGTCTCGGTCTCTCCACACTTGAAGGCGTACCCTCGGCTGCCGAAAACATGATCGTCGTAAGCTTCGACACCGAGAGTTGGGTTGCCGACCACGGCCGGCTCACCGAGCTTGGTGTCTCGACCTTCGACTCTCGGCATACGCGTGGGCTGAAGGAGGCTGGTATGCATGGAGAGAACCTGCTTAGGCAGGTTTATTTCTACCATGCGCGGATCTTGGAGAACGCATATCTGCGTAATATCAAGTATTGTGTTGGCGATCCTGACAAGTAAGTCTCGACTACATCTCTTTCTTTGCCATGTAACATGAACTGACAGAAAATCAGGAACCACTATGGTCAGACTCGCTTCTTGACCAAGAGTCAGACCAAGGAGATGCTCGAGGAAACGTTCCAGTGGCCTGTCGATAAGCAAAATCCAGAGTTGGGTTTCTGTCCCGTTGTGGTGTTGGGCCATGCTCTCCATGGTGATATGGCGATGCTGAAATCCACATTGGGCTTCGATGCCATGGCTTTGGGTACGGTGGTTAAGATTATCGATACTCAGAATTTGGCCAAGGAGTGCGAATACGCCCCTTCTGGCAACGGCAATCAGATCGGTCTGGGTAACCTCGTTGCCAAATGCAGTTTCGAATATCGAGATCCGCATACCGCTAGCAACGACGCGGCTATGACGCTCATCTCTGCTGTTCAGATGCTGCTTCCTTCCGAGTTGAAGCCAAATGACGGAGGCCTGCAGAAGGTTGTTGACAGCATCGAGGTGGATAGCCAGTGGCAAGAATGGGATTGGGGTAATGATCAGTGGTGTCTTCGGTGCGGCCAATACGGTCACACGAGGGATGACTATCGCGGCAAGCGTTGTTTCGCCAAGGTCAAGTGTAGCCACTGTACTGCTTCTCAGGTTGCGAAACGCAGGCAGGCTGCGGGTAGTCATCGAACGGAGTGCTGCATCTCTTATGCGATGCGTGGACCGGAGGTGGTTCCTACAGTCGAGACTACGGCTACCGCTCTCGCTGGCTTGGATCTCGCAAGCGACAATTGGTAGTTATCAGGCCGGCTTATGGAATGACATAGTACTGAATTACACTTGATATCTTCTCGTTGAATGTTTCCTCCTTGTTGGTATGATAGTGGACATTCGACTTATCGCTTCAATCTGAGCAGTCTTAAAAATGGTCGACGTATGTCCAGCCAGTTGTGGTACCTATACATGTATGACAAGAATTCATGCCAATACTTATGACTTTCGAAGTCGTGAGTCGCTCCTGATATACGCTGCAATCCTGACCCTAGAGAAGTTCAATCCGTGCAGATTGACGGGAAGAATTGATACGTCGGTGTGCAGGCGAGATAGTGCATAGCAAGAAATTGCCCGCCTGCACACCGCCGTCGAACAGGCTATGGGGGAGCCATAACTTCTAAGTCTTCTCGACAACATCCTAGCCGACATAGAGGTATTTTACTTCCTGTTCATACGATCCTCGACACTTGATAGCTCCGTGGAAGCTGTACAAGTACCCAACCCTGTCGCATTCTTTTGACCTCATATGATCATATGATCGAATTCTTCCTCTTTCACTCTCACCTTCGTCTCGCTATGACCGTCGTGTTTGCCTGGCAGGGTTGATGGAGGCACATGATTACGCACGTTCACTGTTCATCATCCATAAAACACCTGGTCATCTTGCTTTCTCATGAGCACCCACAGTCATACCCACTGCCTGTCTCTCAACCCACTCCTTCTGTTTACCGCGATATCAATCGACGACTTCGACCTCACCCCAAGAGACACCGCCGAATTGACACCGCCAGTTTATAATAGACACCACACGCTATAGTTGATTGCACCTGTCGCAACCGAATACCCACCGAGAACCACTCTATACGCATCTACCATCTCTTTAAAGCAACATAGTCATGTCCACCAGCGCTCAAGACACACCTATTCCTGTCGTTGCTACGCCTTCCGCATCCACCATACCCACTATACCAGATACGCGAGATCCCGCCATTATCGCACTAGAAAGCTGCTTCGAGAAAGCCACCGACCTAGAAGTATGGCTGCATTGCATCGGAGGGCCACGAGTCAAGAACATCCCTGACATCGCCGATGACCTCGCAGACCATATCAACATCGTCTGTCTGGACTGCGAACACTGGTCGACCAACACCGATGAGACCACCGAGGTCGGTATTGCGACTTTCGCGCGTCAAGATGTTCTACCCATCGTGGCGACGAAAGACTTTGGTGACCACGGTGAGCATCTTATGGAGCAAATCCGCTTCTATCTCTTCCGCACGATCGAGACGTGTCACCTCCCCAATCAGAATCCAGACTCACGCGGGGTCGATGGAAACCGGTTTGGCAAAGGCCAATTTGTTACCTTCGCTGAAGCTCGTCAGATCCTTGCCAACCTCTTTGTCCAACCTATCAAGGACCCTAAAGGCCTAAAGGGTAACTACCCCATCGTAGTCCTCGGTCATGACGTTGGACACGACAAGAACAACCTCAAGTCCAAGGCGATTGCTTTCGACATGGACCCGATCGGCACAGTCGTCCGCTACATTGATACTCAAATCATGACGCGCGACAAAGGTTACTGGATGATGCCTCGAAACGAGCAGATCGGCCTCAGGCGCCTCGTAGAAGAGCTTGCATTTGAACACAGTGATTCCCACACCGCCGCGAATGACGCGGGTCGCACGGTAATGTGTGCCTTCCAAATCGCGCTCGGCGGAGACCCATGTAAGAGAGGATGCCGTAAGAGCATGCTGGAGGTTGCCGGCGATCTCGAGTACCATAGCGTGGCTACATTCGACGAAAGCCTCGGAGGTGTCGATAAGTACTGTTGGAAGTGCGGCACAGCTGGCCATATGAAGGCGGATTGCACGGCAACTGACCTTCATTGCGACGAATGTGAAGAGAACGGGTGCTACATCAAGCCTGGTGACGAACACGTCACCCTTCATTGCATGTGCATTGCCAACGAAAAGGCTAAGGTGCGGCGAGCAAAAGATGCTGTGGCTCGAGCTCTCAAGAAACCAAAGCCCAGGGACCTTTCTCGTGGGATGTCCAACTCCCGGGCTCGGTTCATGGCACGTGGTGGCTTTCATCCTCCATCTGGTCTCGTGTCGCACTTTGGAGGTACGCAGCACTACACTCTGTCACATGATGGTCCTCCTGGCGGACCCGGATACGTCCCACCTAGCCCTGGAGGAAACCCTTCCAGGGGCTTTGGGGGACGTGGTCAGGGTGGGTACGAAAATGTCTCGTGGGGTCGAGGTCGAGGCGGATCCCATTTCCAACAGGGTGGACAAGGTTACCTCACATGGGCTTCTCATTGAGCGTAGCAAGAAGGTCTACAGATGGTTTAGAGTGCTAGTTTGCAGATGTCTTGTTTAGACTGGACGGTGTCATGGCGTTATCGGTGTTCAGACGGTGGCTAAGAACGTCTTGTTGAAGATACCCTGGGTCTAGGATAGATGCAAACAATATAAACTGGAAGTATATCATGCCGGATACGGTGTTGCTTGCGAAAGAGGTGATGTGCGGCTGACTAAGGCGATGTCGCATGCAACCGCGTCATCGGTGGCCGCTGTAAGCCGCAACCCTGCCGTGTAGCCGTCAACAACTCCCACCATGATAACGACAACACGACTGCGGTGCCTTGCGAGAGAATGCGGTTGACTTCGTAATACCTGCGATCATAGCACACCACTGCCATGATCGAAAACACAATCCCCAAGTACCTGCTCATCAGGACGTGCATCCTAGGCTTTCGCGCAATCACGCCTTTTAGCATCTTCTGGGTTTCTTTCAGCATCGCAGAACCCCCACATTCGGCCTTTCGACGTTTTATGCTCACGTGGAGCATAATAGAAACTGGCTTTTGGTTGCTCGTCTACCTACCCCGCAAGCGCGCGCTCCAAGCCTCTGCACAACACCCACAACCGCTCGAGAAAGAGGAGAGGAAGGAACTGTTCTGGCGATGCTGGGATAAGATACCGCACCCGGAATATTATATCAGCCGATGGTTCCTGGGCGCGCGGCCGGGCGAGATACGACGTGAGAATGTGCGCGAGTTCTATGCGTGGGCTTTACTGAACCGCGGCTCTGAAAGCGACGAGGAGCGAAGGAAGCGGCGACAGGCACACCCAGAGGAGGCCAATGCTGAGGACGACGAGCTGAATGAGTATGCGGACGGCATAGAGACGATGCTTGGGAGGAAGCTGGAGCCTGGATGGGGTAGCGCAAAGAGCCTTCGGTTGACGACCGACCAGGTCAATATGGCGCATCGGCCCTTTCTGTGGTACATGGTATGTTCGATGGTCTACTCAGGTTATATACGCTGACAGCGATAGATTGTAATGCTTGTCGATACGCTCACTGCCGTTCGTCTGCGCTACTATGGCTTCATACTATTCCGCACCCAGCTCCGCTCCTCGCTGGCCATCTTCCCACCGCGGCTCGCCAGTCTCACCACGCGCAGCATCTCCTCTGCACCAGACATGAGCTACTGGTACCGACCACATACCTCGAAAACACGACTGCCGATTCTCTTCGTACATGGTATTGGCATCGGCCTGCACCCATACGTCGAGTTCTTGAACGAGATCAACAAGCACGATCCGCTTGCGGCAGAAGACGGTCAAGTCGGAATTATTGCGGTGGAAATCATGCCTGTCAGCTTCCGTATAACTGGGCCGATTCCTGACAAGGACAACATCTGCCGGCAGATTAATATCATCCTAGAACGACATGCTTTCGACAAAGTCGTCCTGGCCAGTCACTCTTACGGTTCTGTCATCTCCACCCACCTCCTCCGGGACCCCATCACCGCTGCGAAGATCGGACCGATGGTCTTTGTCGACCCTGTTACATTCCTACTACATCTGCCTGATGTAGCATACAACTTCACAGCACGTCGACCAAAAGGTGCGAACGAGCATCAGCTCTATTACTTCGCTTCGACCGACATGATGGTTGCGCAAACGCTAGCGCGTCAATTTTTCTGGGCACAAAACATCCTGTGGAAGGAAGACCTTAAAGACCGAGATGTCACTGTCAGCCTCGGTGGTAGGGACCTTATAGTTGATACTGAGACGATCGGCAAATACCTCAATAGCGCCGACCTCAAGGGTGAGGATCGAGCATGGAAGGACTCCGAGTGGAGAGGCCATGGTTTAGAGACGATATGGTGGCCGACCGTAGACCATGCACAAGTTTTTGAGAGGAGAGAGGGTAGGATGAGACTAGTGCATGTTCTCAGAGAGTACGTCAAGCGCAAAGCAGAGGACGAAGAAGTAGAAGAGCTTCCCTGAGAGTTATGCATATCCATGTACAAGACTTCAGGGTTCTGTGGCTCTGCCGCACCATTTAGCCGGATTTGTCTCAGCCTCATCGCAGGCTCAACGTTCAGGTACGAAGGAGCTGTAATTCATTTTGCGGGGGCCCGTCCGGACGGGTTTGAAACGGCGAGCCGGCCCCGCCGATCCCGAAATGGGTGGTATATACCAAGCACGAATGCGCGACGACAGCATGCATAGACTTGATAGCCTGCTTTGAGAATCTTGTTGTGTCTTGTTCTTCGAGCGATATATCCATATTCACATCATGCCTAACGGAAACTGGATTCTTGGCGACCTCTTCACAAAGGACTACGGACATCGCGGCAGCATCCAGAAATTGTGGGAACAACGTTGGAAGTTCCCATGCACCAAAGGTGTTTACCCGTTCCACGATGGAAAGTTCGAAGACTTTGAACCCATTTTCAAGCATCTCATCGACAACAATATCAATGATCCGTACGATGATGCATACACGAATGCCTTCTTGCCAACAGCGCAACGCCTAGCAAAGGAGGCTCAAGAGACGGAAGGCAAAGACAAAGAGGCAGCAAAAAAGCTGTACCTGAATGCAAACGCTGTGTACAGATTGGCAAGATTTCCATATATCGGCACCGAGCTCAAGAAGAAGGTCTTTGAGGAGCAGAAAGAGGTCTACTTCCGCGGCGCACAGCTATGGGATATCCCACTAGAGGAAGTCGTAGTATCACATAAGCATGCCTCCAACGGTGATGGCGACAAGATTCCAATGTACATCCGCAAACCTACAGGAGACGGCCCATTCCCAACCGTCCTACTGATTACAGGCCTCGATGGCCACCGCCCAGACAACACAGAGCGCACACAGGAACATCTTGCCCGCGGTTGGGCGACAGTGATTTGCGACATTCCCGGCACCACCGTCGACTGTCCAGCCAACAAGCGCGATCCTCTCTCCCCAGACCGATTCTTCACCAGCATTCTAGACTTTATCAAAGAGACATCATATCTCGACGAGAAGAAAGTCATCGCATGGGGCCTCTCAGCCGGTGGCTACTACGCTATCCGCCTCGCGCACATGCACCGCAGCCAACTCATTGGTAGCGTAGGCCATGGCGCAGGAACACATCACTACATTGGCCGCGAGTGGCTTGAGCAAATCGACAAGCACGAATATCCTTTCGGCCTCGAACAAGCTTACACGCAAAAATACGGGTATTCTTCTTTCGAAGAGATGAAGGAGAAATGCCAGGATGAGTTCTCGCTCGTCTCTGGGAAAGGCGAGGGTGTGGCTGTTGTGGCCCAGGGGATGAAGAGTTGTAGGTTGTTGCTCGTGAATGGGGTGCTGGATGGGTGTATGCCGATTGAGGATAGTATGCTGCTAGCTGAGTATGGAAGTCCCAAGGAGATGCGGTTTATGCAGCAGAGGTTGCATATGGGATATCCTGAGGCGAATAGTACGGTGTATCCGTGGATGGAAGAGGTTATGGCGAGTAAGTAGATATCTGGTAGATAAACCTGCATTGAATGTGTCAATACTCTACTGTACCGATGAGTAATCAGGAATGACGTCTCAAGTTTATACGCAGCAAACTTGACGCGTACTCCACATGCTATAGCAGGCGTCAAGTTGTGGATTCTGCTTAAGCGACAAGTGTTGTTCATCTTACCAACTCACATCACATGCAGGTATCGCTGTGGCGGCTCCCGCTCGGACCCGCCCCACGAACATCAACACCCCGCAGCATTGCGCACCGCGTCCTCTCCAACCTGAGGACTTGCAGACATGATTGAGCTGCCCTGGATATCATAAAATCAATAATTTCATTAAGAAGCTCTACTCGGCGAATCTCATAAGACACCTGGTTTCTCCAATCGCGGCTCTATAAAGAGACGATCTAACTGCGTTCACCATCCACCACGATCACGCATCATCCGCACGGATAAGCAGCATTCAGTGCAGTATCCTCTTCAGATCCCCCCTCCACGCAAGTGGCCACTGAGCCGAATTCATTATGGAGCAAGAACAACCCACATATGTCGTTCCGGTTAGTGAGTCCGAAGCTCCGACCATTTGCACGCCATCGGTAACCTCAGACAACACAACGAAGGACATTCAAAGATGCGAAGCTTCACAGTCTTCTGCTCCATGGCCCGGCCGTACCTTTATAATTCGATCTCACGAGAACGGACAAGTCATCACATTCCTGGACGGCAAAATCGTACTAGACAAACCAGGAGGTCTCGGCACATTCAGATGGCGGTGCGTTGAGAAGAAGGGATGGCTAGGTTTTCGAGACCCAGCTTCTGCTAGGTTTCTAGGCTACGACCAACATGGATATCTTCGCTGTCTTGTAGACCACCATAAGGATTGGGAATACATTTGTCCGCGAAAACGACCAGAAGGTGGATATGTTCTGTTGGTGCTGGTTAAAGAGGAACTCCTTCCTTTGGGGGTACAAACACAAGAGACAGAGAACGGTGCGGAACAAAAAGTAAAGATTGTTAAATGGGATTCTGGAGGAATAGTCTGGGACTTCATTGAGGTATCATGTCCTTCGACGTAACGGGCGAAAGCGACAAGAGAGAATGACATTGCGACACTTTCCCCTCGATTGTTCTATTATGCTATTGCTTATCCTGATGTCTTCAGATGGGATGCTACAATCTGGAGAGCATGAGAAGCATTGGACCCTCGGAACTCGACATGCCCATGGTACAGGCTATAGACTCCAAGTTCCCCCTCACACGTTGCCTCAAGCATCTCGGGTATATCCGAAGAGTCTAGTAACGTTCGACCCATATGTTTAAGAGTCGAGAGTTTAAAATGACTCAAAGCAGGAAAGTCTTTTCCAATGTATAACAGGAGCTTCTTCCACGCCAACCCAGTGGCATAGTCCAAACGGACAGTTACTAATTCTATCTCTTGCAGAGTGTGTCTGGAGTTGCAAAGAATCTCTTGGATAAAACCTGCTGGAAAACTCGATCTTGCCAGGCGTAGTCTCTTGAGCTTCACCAAAGGTACTCCTCGCTTTACGTATGTATCGAATGGAACCATTGCGCATCTCCCTCTTGCGTCAAGACCCTCTAGTGTTAGATCTCCCAACACTGGTGCGTGGTAAAGGAGCTGATTCAGCAGGTAAATCGACGCGGGACCATTTTCCATCTCCACATGCGCCTCTCGAAGTATGCTGAAACCCGCTTTCTGGTTCTGGTTTCTCTGGTCGAAACGGAATGTTACCTTTGTGACCCACATTGTCATAGTCTCGACCCGAAGCGAAGTAATTCCAAGGTTTGCAGTTGAGACAGTCTCTAGAGCGAGTGCGATGGTAGCTTCTTTATCTGCACCAAAGCTTTCGTAGACGCCTCGGATGATCAGAGCATCTAACAGAAATCGATTCTTCTGGAGTATGGTCTGTATCTTGCTAACGGCTATCATGTCTGAGTCCAGGGTCGCAGGCTTTTCGCGGGGCCAACTGCGACATTCTCTTCTCATCTTCCGGATTTTTTGTTCACGAAGTTTCCATCCTTTCGGTATTGCCTCTTCTGGAGGCGGAGTGGTGCGAAGAAGATGCTCTCTGATATTCGCCCCGTCGTCTTTGATTTGGATTGTCTTAACATATCTGGCTAACCGGCCACTTTGGGAAATCGTTTCTAGACGATCGATATCGGAACTGATCAGAGTAGTATTCAACGTGGAGAAGAAGCGACGACCCACAGCGCGCGAAGTGTTCGAGTCAGCAAATCTGCAAGTCGAACGGAATTCGAGGAGATCTGGGTCGCACAGGTATTGTGCGACGGCCTCGACGAGCTCGGTAGGCATTTGAAGGATAGACATGCTGAGAATATGCTAGTCTTTTCTGCCTTTGAGAAGAGGCCTGGTACGTGAAGAACTGTGTGGAGGTATTTGGGGGTGTACCAGCCGGTAGTGCGACCGAGGTTGGGATGGACGAGGTTCAGAATGCAGATTCGTTGCGAGAGCGAGAGTGAAATTGTGTGGAAAAGTTGATCGGGATAGGATAGAATATATAATAATTTGATGGAATGCGAATGGGTCAAGAAAAGGTAAGATTAAACACGTTCGCGAAGCGACGAACAGTGTGTTGCATGTCGTACCGAACAAAACCGCCGATTACCTATTCGTAGTTTATCTCATTTGACAACCCGTCTTTCGCGTGATGCTCGTTTAGATTGAGAAAGCCGTGAGTGGTTCGTTGTTCTTCGGTACATCTAGTTCAACTATGGTACAGCGATGCCCAACAATCGATGATAAGCCACTCACAGTCCCCATAATTTGCCTACTCCATATGCGAGAAGAGGTTCTGGAACGAAACGAGCATCTTGCGAATACAAGCGACTCAGGCAGCAGATGCATTTAGGCGATATCAGTCTTCCCTGCATCGTCGCAGTATCGGTGGATGGGGCGGATCAAACCTTGATCAGATAACGCACACAAACTCGTAAGAGTGTCATGAAGCAAATGATCACGGGAATGAAAGATGTCATGGTATCTTAGCCTTTGGCAGATACGTGCAAAGGGATGCCTTCATAGAACGTGGAACATGCTAAAGTTTTGATGTTTTAATTTGTTTTCTACTGTAACCAGAAACACTCCCCAGTACTGTGCGAGTACGCGTTTTTATCGTTATATCGCCTTGGATCCGTACTTGCGATGCAGTGATCACATGGCGGCTTCCAATTGGAAGGCAGACTACTCGAGCGTTTAGAACCACCAGCCCTATAACCAGTACTACTCTGTGACCTCAGTAGTGCCGCCTCTTTGACTATCCTCAAGCATTTATCAGACCTATGCGTAAGTGCCGCATCTTTCGTGAGCGGATCCTTCATACAATGCTCACAGCTGAAGACTCGCACGCCACAAAACGAGGCCGTGTGATGTTGTGAATCGCACTTCTCGCAGAATCTTGTAGAACCGTAACATCGGCGATCGTATACGGCAGTTTCCCCAGCTGCTCTTAGTCGTGTTTTGAGGTCCGCGTAGCAGAGCTTGTTAGTAAGAAGCTTGTTCTCAGGGGAAGAACAAACCATGAGGAATGCAGCGATCATCGTGCATACAATGTCGTTGCCTGCATTGTGAAGATACGGTTCCTCGATGTTGTATTTGGCAAGCAGGTTTGAGAGGCGCATCTTGCGGGATGGTTCGATCAGTCCGTGCTCGACAGCGAGAACCTGCGTGTCGATTGTAGCGACAATAGTGCCGAGTTGTTGAAGATCGAGGCCGAAACGAGATTTGATGATCTCGTAATCATTGTCGATGGCGTGGCCTACGAATATGACTGGACGGAGGTTGCCAAATTCGTCCCGACGGGTGAAGATGTCGTGAAGCATAGCCCTTGCTTCATCGACGTGGACGAAAGTTGTCCAGCCAAACTGGAAGGCCTCTGGGTATCCTTTGCAGAGGTCTTTGTTGATAAGGTGGGCATGCGGTTTGATGCGGACGTGGTGATTTTCCATGCTCGAGAGGATATCCCACGCCGAGGACGAAATGGGCTGTGAGATAAAACGTGGATCCAAAACGGAGGCGCCGAGTTCTGTGATGAAGTTGTCGTCATGCTCGTACCATTCGGCATCGAGAGACACAATAACAGCGTCTTGAAGTGCTGCGACTGCTGCAGCACTGCCAAGAGGGATCTCACTTCCTGGACGTTTCATCCAGTGTTGAAGGATGGCTGACTGGGTGAGACCTTGGTACAACTGGGTTTCAATGTGAGACTCCAGCCTCTTTGGGGAAATTTGCTGAGACATGGACGGGACGTCGTTCTTACCCTCCAAATATGATGTTTGATGTATGTCGTGAAGTTTTGGTGGCCAGATAGAAGTTGAGATTGAAGCGCCAGAATCGATGCGACAGAGGGAGGGGAGAGGGGGGAAGTCTCTAAAAGAAGCAGAAGCCGACATTGTAGGTGGGCAGAGGTGATGTGAATGGTTGATGGTGTTGTAATGCTGGTTCGATTCGAATCGGGACGACTGTTGGATCATCGTAAGGGCCATGATGTCGATGTTTTCTCGCTACTGTAGCAGAATTTGTATGTGTTTGTGGAATAAGATTTTGAAGAGAGGGAGGATTGAGGACGAAATATATATTCGAAGGAAACCACGTAGAACGAATGCTTGGAAGCGAAGAATAATCGGTACCATGGATACATATTTGAACCGCGAATCGTAGGATACCTAGCTTAGCAGGATGGACCAACCTAACACCAATCCGAGAGTTTATACGCTGAAACCCTTCTCAGGACACCCCAAAAGATCAGATAGAAGCGACCAGATACCCAGAAATATCACCCCCCAAATTATGTGATAAGAGCAATCCTCCAACCAGAACCTTTCAGAGTATTCACGTCCCCTAAAAAGGATTAGATAGAAGCAATCCTTTACTAAGAGCTTGCCTAATCAGGCAATAATGTCTAAAGGTGTCGATAACTTCGGTTACTCTGACTACATCGTAGCTATATCTTGGTGGCTTAGAGACCTTCTATCTTGTCTACCTAGGTAAGTTCCTTTTATCTTATCTAATCTTTTAGGGTGCGCCGAATAGCATCTGGGGTGCTCCGAAAAAGTTTTCCCTAATCGTTTCTTGGTTGAGGTAGAAGAAACAGGCATCCTGGCCCCTCTCTGCGACTTTCAATATCCTCGTCACATCCAGAGCGGTCTTCTGCCCAGAGCTGTTCATCACGTTCTGTTTCCCTGTAAACATCGATGTTATCGTCGCTGGCCATGTCCCCGTTGTCTACGAACCCGTCGGTATTGTACTCTTCCATCGCGTTGTCTTGATTAGAATGCCCCATTTCGTTGTCTTCTTCGGATCCTTCCATCTCGCTGTCTTCATCAAACTCACTTCTTCCAGTATTACTCGTCTCATCCTGAAATCTGTCTCTATATCACGACCCTTCGCTTAGTAACAGAAAAAGACAGTGTCTAGACCACAAATCAGCAAAAGCCACGGTTGGGAATTGGATGACGTGAAGGTTCGTTATAGGTTCTGAGACGATTGGTGTCCAGGCCCTCTTGATGGCTTCAGTTCCAAGTTCGAGTGCTTCGTTCACATCTTGACTCATCGCCTTGGATACAGCGAGAAGCGGCGTCAAAACCATAATACCGAAACTCAGCACAGCGGCGGTTTTGCTCTCAAAAAGCCCCAACTCTCAAATTAGGATCGCTCCTGTCTTCCTCGAGCCATCCTGGAATGTTCAAGTGCTTATTGCTGGTACTAGACTGTTCAGACCCATCGGTATCTTCCTGGATAAGATCTTGGGAATAATCAAAATTGGCCCGATCATAATAACTCTATACATACCTGGTTGTGCATCAGGACCAGGCAAACCAGACTCCGAGGAGTATCTGGGTCGCGTATCCACTTGCCGGGGTCCCACTGAACCATGCAGAAATACTAATCTTACGTCAATCGAGTATTCATAGATTGTGTCACGAAACTCGCGCGGTAAGTCGAACAAAGGAAAGTCGGAGACTTTTAACTTCAATAACAAGGTACTCGTTTCTAAGAACCTTTACACTTCTAAATGTGCGGCAGCTTTCTTACATGCGGTTAGCGATTGATCCGTCGGCATTTCGAGTGACGCGACCAGTTTGTATATGTTTGCAGTGCTCGAACGGAGATCACACAGTGATATCGGGTGCTGTAGCATCAAGAGTTTGAAAGAGGCTGATGTAGGGTTTACAAGAGGGGGCTGGCGTTATCGCGACGCGCCAGGACCCGCGTCAGCAGCGCCTGTGGGGCCGGGCCAATGACGCCAGAACCTAGCAGATTGCGACAACACCGAATCATTTACCAATGCTAAAACGAATATGCGGTGTAAGTTTATTTCTGTTTAATTTATTGAAGATCACAAGAAAGCAGTGGAACAGTTAATCTGAAGTGAATGTTTGGCATTAAAGTAGGTAAGCTAGCCATAACCCAGCAGCCGACGCGTCCAGCGAGCGGCACCTGTGATCACGTAGCCTTACATACGCAATAACTAAGTTCGAGGGGTATATCGTTCAACAGTGATTCGTTAATCGAATCACAACATCATACATCAAGCGTCTGGACATCAGCCGCTTAGATCTTCTCTTGAGTAAGGCTAGCACGCCTTTCCTGGTTGATGCTCTGGCGCCTCTCGACATCAGCAGCCTGTTCCTCCGTACCAAGGTGACCAGTGGGCAGCAGGTTGAGCGCGTCTTCCTGCTTGTCCATGGTGCGGTAGGCGAAGTGGAAGGCGATACCGGTGACGAAAGAGATGATGGCCACACTGCCGTAGTTCCAGACGATGTGGGGGTCAGCGGTAAGAGGAGTGAAAGCCTGGGCAAGGGCAGCGGAGAAGGCAGTGGTGAAGAGCTGCACAGACTGGACGAGCGACCTCATGTTCTTGGGCGCCTTGGTGAAAGCGTACTCGAGGGTAGTGACGGAAGCGAAGATTTCGGAAATGGCAATCAGAACATAGACACCAGTGACAGCCCAGACGGAAATGTCAGTCTTGTAGTCAGGGTCGTGAGTCTGGTAGTAACCGGAGGTCTTGTAGATGTAGTGTTGGAGAACCGCAGCCCAGACCATGGCGAAGGCTCCGAGGATGAAACCAGCAGTGATCTTCTTGATGGGTGTGAAGCGGATACCACGCTTGCGAAGCATGGGGTAGACGAGAGAGTCCATGATAGGCACCTAAAAACGATTAGTCAAAGTTTCCTAGAGCTTTGTTTCCAGCAGCACTCACAATAATGATAATGGCGATGGGGTCGAGGTTGGAGAGAATGTCGTTGGGAACACCACCGAGGTGCATGGTTGCGCACATTTGGGTCAAGTTAGAGTCCATCTGACGGTATGCAAGCCAGAAGATAGGGACCCAGAAGAAGACAGAGCAGGCGGCGAAACCACGGGCAACTTCATCAACCCAGGCGTCATCGAAGTTGTACCACTTTGGCGCAGCGCTACCGAGAACGGAAGGCTTGACAGCGGTCCACATGTTACCATCGTTCCAGTTCTTGTATGTCCTGACAGGGTTGATGCTCATTCCACGTCCAAGAGCCTTGAAAAGAAGCTTGAAAGCTGGGCCCATGACGTTACCGCTCGGGGGACGGAGGATGTAGAATTTCTTGCAGAAGACAAGTACGGGGAGGGCAACGATGAACATGACGGTGGGGATCAGGTAGGCGAGCCAGAAACCAACATATCGCTCAGCGTAAACCATGCTGATTTGACCAACAAGAGCACCGATGTTGATGAAGAAGTAGAACCAGTTGTAAATACGAGTGACAGTGACGGCGGGGTCGACAATGACACGCTCAGTGCCGCGAGTCTCAACACGCATCTTCTCCTGGGGAACCTGCTCGGCGATAAGAGGGGCAATGTTGGGCTTGAAAGTTCCAGTTCCGAGACCCATGATGATGAGTCCAAGAATGAAGACACCGAGGGAGGTGTTTGAGTTTTTGATGACTGATGGAGCAGCTGAGGCGACTAGGATCAAGTGACCAATTTCAGCAACCAAGACTGAGTACAGAATAGTCTTGAAGCGACCGAGATAGGTGTCGGCAATCCAGGCTCCGAAGAGGGGGCAGACGTAGACCCAGAAGGCGTTGAAGGTAGTTAGAGAGAAGGCGACCTGCTTGCCCATGTTGAGAGCACCGGGCGACTCTTCACCACCAGGGTCGCTAGAGGCTCCGGTGGGTGTGGTGAGGGGCTTGGCGATGAAGTTGGAGTACACAGCAACGGTTCCGTAGTAACTCATGCGCTCAACAAGCTCGACGAAAGCAATAGTGAAGATCTTCCATGGGATCCTGGCGGGCACACGACGAAGCGTGGCAAGCTCTTCCTCAGTGGGGAAGTCATCAGCCTCGTCGACGTAGCTGTCCTGAAGCGTGGCCTTGCCCTCGGAGTGGAGGAAGGCTGGCGCAGCAGTAGTGTGAAGCTCGGGGTGCTTGCGCGTGGGGTCGCCAGAAGCGTCAATGAGAGCGGGGTCCAAGCCGACAGCTTGCTGCGGGCGGTGTTAGCAAGGATAGATTGCTGTTTGAATGCATTATCACTTACGACTTCAGCAGCGTCACTGATAGGCATGGTGGGCGTACGTTCACCTGTATGGATTGACAGAGGTGGACCGTGGTTGACCGACTGACACAGCAGCCGAGAGATGATTTATGGGATGCGGTGAGGAGAAGAGAGACCCTGGCGAGCAAAACAGAGTGGGTGGTGGTGCATTTAATTTGAGCACGCGAATCACGGGTCCAGCGTCGTGCTCTACAGCTTCAGGCCCGATAAGGAAGGCGCGCACACCTGCACAGGGATAGGCACCGTATCGACTCCTTCACGATAGTCGTCCCATCAGCAAACGCATCGCCACCGCGGCTGTTGTCCCCAGAAGGGCATTCGGGGCGTGCGCGATAGGTGCTGCACGATGCTCTTTTCGCACCGCACCGCCGAGGCGTCCTGGACTACTCAAGCCTCGCCAAGTTGCTAACCACCACTGGCAAGCAGCGACACAAGCAGAGCTTGCCTGTACCAAGATAACAATTCGCTGTGGCGCCCAGGTCGCATTTCATCGACTAACCTCCTGCCTAAAACGGTCGACTATCACTACCCCGCGACCACCCCCAAGGAATGCCCAGGCGCACTATTGTAGCGCCTCCAACGACAATTTGCCCTACTAGGGACCCAGCCATTGATCTCCCATGGCGGTATCAGTGCCCTTGCTCTTTTCGCCCGCAAACGCGGTTATTTGCGGGTAATAGCGTCGACATGCGTGTTCTAGAAGACGATTGCAGCGAGTGATTCGAGAGAGACATCGCGAGAGACGTCGAGGGAGCATGCAGGCCAGACCGAGACGTTCACACCAACAACCATGCTGTGGGGCCGCCTGCAGACAGTCAAGATAAAGGCTGGAAGCTTAGGATACGGACAGGGCCCTAGCCAATCGCGCCATGGAGCCAAGACCTTTTCCGGACGCTACGATTCGTTCCTGCGACGGCCATCCCTCCCAGGGCCCCTCCTTGAGGCGGGTCTCCGAATGTTCTCTGCGTCGCCCAAGACCTGGGCGACGGACCTTGATCGTATTTTTGTCCACGGTGATTGCGTGCTCAGGGGACTGCGACATCACGACACCGGCTACCGGCATCACGAAACCCAAGCGACCGACAAGTCAGACAAGCCTCGGCCAACGGGCAAGAAGACGCCGTGGCAGCGGTTGAGGCTTCGTGCCCAGCCTCGGTGGCATGACAGGGCTTACCCAACCCTTCCTTCGAGATACGGTCGCTGTGGTGTGTGACAGCCATGCGGCGCGGTCTGGCGCTGTCGCGCTTATCCTCGATGGCCATGGTCAGATGCGCGGTCCTTTTTCGCAATATGAGCGTCACGACGGTGATGAGGTTGATAGGGCGGAAGACGAGGATTGGCGGAATCCAGGATCGGCATTTCGCTTACATTAAGCTTGATGAAGGCGTCCACTGCCTCGGCAGGCGCGATGCCGCACGTGAGCAGCTACTCTACACGTTTACGGCTGGGGTTTATTGAAACGCCTAGTCCGTCCATATGCACGGCTGAACCGCAGCTGCATCTTGTTGTGTTGGTCCAAAGCTTGTCTGCCATCGCTCTCACCGTGCGACGCCGCCTGGGTATGCTTGTCCCTGACAAGCCCGCGGAACCATGTTGTATATCATCTTGCATCACCTTTACGTTGAGTTGTCGAGGCCTCTCATGCTATTTCCACGGCCCTCCAACCTGGCGTAGAGGCGGGTCTAACCGCAAAATGGTCAGCACCGTATAACGACTACAGTGGGACGCCTTACAATAGCAGAAAGCCCATTTACTGACCACGGCCGTTCACCGTCAGCTCGGGTAGTACGGGCGCATGTCAAAGCACTGAGTATGGCCAAGGCCGTAGTGAGGTAACAGAAGTTCGCACCTTCCCAACGCTGTGGTAGCTACCGCCCAATCCCGCCCCATCTGACCCCGCTGCATGTCTCCCCATCTGTTCTCAAACTCGACAATCTCCGCCACCAGCACCGGTCCTTCGTATAACATGCACCGTCCTACAGCACACGGAACGCCTAATGACAGTTGGTAATTCACACGTAACGCCAAGTACATCGATAGACATGATCAGCCCAGGCACATGCCAATGAGCACATGGGCTACGACCATCGTTACGTCGCTGTATCGATGGTGTTAATCACTCAAGCCAGAGACACGCTACTCCAGTTTTTCGCGAGCAAATTCACAGGCTAATTGACCAGGCCAGACCCTTAAATCAGTAAACGTCATTCTAGACAGTCAGAATATCTCATACAACCATTCCCTTCTCTTGCAATGCCCTCAACCTCTCGGGCGTAACAACACTCAACGCCGTCGCCCCACCGATAACTATTCCTAGCAGCAACACTACAAATAAATACATCGGATCCACTCCGTTGCTGCTTCCCCTCACCCCCTTCTCCGCTCCCGGCGCATACGGCCCCACCATCTTCTTCAACGGCTTAACTCCGTGTTTCTGCGCATACTCATACCCCCGTCTCATACCCGGCAGCCCATCAATACTCAACTGACTCTTCCACGCCCAGTAGTAGTCTATGCTCTCCTTCTCATCTCCTTTCTTGGCCTTTTCTTCCTTCTTCCTAAAATGCTCGTTCAAAATGTCGCGGTGGCCGACAAAGTCGTAGTACGGGACTGAGAAGCCGCAACTTGTGCCGCATTGGTGCACGTCAACTATGATGATGCTACGAGAACCCGGGATAGTTTCAACTTTGTGGTCGGCAACAAAGGCTGAGTACTCTGCTGTGCCGTTCTCGAGAGGGCGCCCGGTGCCCCATATGCGGACGATCTTGGGGGGACCAGTAAAGGCCATAAACTGTGGGGGGGGACTGTCAATACAAGTCTCTAGTATTCCCAGCTTATCTCGCATGGCGCTAAATCAGTCTCGGGGGTGGAGATGACTTACCATGACGCAGATCCTCCCATTTCCTGGTTCGTGAAGATGCGCGTGCGTCTCCACTCCACTTCCTGTAAGATCCATATACCAGAATGTCCGCTCATCTAGGATGCCAAAGTTCTGACCTCCTTTAGGTGAGATGTTTATGTGGCCTTCGCCTGACAACGGCGCTGAGCCCACCCAGAGCATTTGCTGTTCTTTGATCCATGGCACTAGACTATTGGGAATGGGTTCGTAGAAGACGCCCATTTTGGTACGGTATGTTTGTTGTTTCCAGGTTGGGGGACTGAGACGACGGACGGCCGTTTCTTCGCGCTGAAGGCTCGACGGGTTATCGGGGTAACCGGTATCGATATGGTTGTTGATGATACTGTTCGTGGCAATATGAAAGGTAACAAACAGACGCCAGAAGACGCAACTCCTGGGACAAAAAAAAGGGTTCACCAACGATCTTCTAGTCAAATGTCTTGAGACCAGATGCAAATTTCTAACTCACATATGATTCACAGCTCGTCAAATGCTCAACCGTACGACGGTACCACCGGCTATGGGTCCGCGGCCGGGTACTGTCGTGCGTAAGCCTGCCTTATCCCTAAGCTTCACTTTCTTTGGCACTGACCAACTTCTCGTTTGTTGAAACCTGTTGATTTTAACGGCGTATGTTCCGTAAGTAGTGATGTACAAAAACACAAGTTCCGAATGATCTGGCTAGTGGATAGCGGCAGCGGGGCATGCGATTGGGGTAAGCCGAGGATGTGGGTCAAGGGTCTGATATGCCGTGATTGGTTCAACAGAAAGTACTGATTGATAATTAAGGTGTCGCAAAGGAGATATGAGGGAAGGGTATGCACATGTGCTTCATATGTCACACGTGCAACACGCCCATCAAGAGACACAATCATTGTGTACTCATCAGACAGCACATATATTTACACAAGATACCAGGCCAGACACCAGCATTCAAGCCTCGAGATAACCTCCTGCTCTTCTACTACACATTGAAGTCTGGGCTCTCATTTCTTCGGAAGCTCTCGAAACACCTCCTTGAAGATCTTCTTGCTGTTATACAGATTCACCAGCCTTAGACGCTCATTGTCCAGATGCGCGCTATCACTTGCCTGGCCGCACGGTAGATGCGCGGCTGGAGCGTTGAATTCCTTCTCCAGGAACCTGATACTGGGAATAGAGCCACCCTCCCGAATATAGAGAGGCTTACGAGACACTCCTTCGCCCCGAGCGTTGTCAGGTGTCGAAGTGCCAGACGACAGAACAGGTCCTGAGAGAGCTGGGTCTGATGAGTTTGCCAGAGTATTCGATGTCGCAGGCGCAGGTTTGTCTTTAGTAGCAGGCGTTGGAAGTTCAGCATTCGCTTGCGACAGTGGCGAGAAATAGTCTGGTGACTTGACTGTAGATATACTCTCTCGCCTCTGTCCGAGTGTTGGACCCCATACTGACATAATGGCGCGCTCAAGCGTCTGGAAAATCTCGTTGTTGAAATCACCAAGCCACGGCTCAGCTTGGTGATCTATTGTTACCTTGAGTTGGTTCTTGGAATCTAGCTCTTCGAACTCTGATTGCAAAAAGGACTTCAGACTCTCTGCTACGTTGCCTGCTTCTTGATTTGGCACCAGCCGTATGGAGAGTGCGGCCTTGGCAAGACGCGGAATAATAGTCGAGTTATCAGGACCAGAAGTTTGGAAGCGATGAATGGTGAGCGAAGCTTCTCGCCATCTCCGCATCAGTGACTGTGCTAGTTCTTCAGCATCGCCAAGGTCTGGGTTACTGCGTAGTAGCGTCCTGGTGATCTCTGTGTACAGCTCTTTCTCATCGTCTGTTAATGGCAGAATGGGATCATAGAAGCCTGGTATTTGGACTTTGCCATGACGCGCAGTCAATCGCGAAAGCAGCATGACAAGATCTTTGAGGGGCTCGTCCAGCAGAGCACTTCCATCCACACCACTGTGCAAGTCGGGATGCTTACTTTCAATCTGCACGGTGGCGTGTATGACTCCTCGAAGTCCGTATGTCAGGCACGGTACGTGATCGTCGAGCCAGTAGCTGTTAGCCAGCAGGATCCAATCAACATCACCAATGAGATCCTTCCTGGATTGCACAGCCTTCTCGAACCCGCGAGAGCCACTTTCCTCCTCACCTTCAATCAGAAAGATGATGTCGGAGTCCAAGCTCTGCTCATTGGCGAGCTCATGGGCCGCGTAGATGGCAGCCATGATCGGTCCTTTGTTGTCAGAAGCGCCCCGACCATACAAGTAGCCTCCTTCTCCAGTCAGCGCGAAGGGGTCGTGTTTCCACTTGCGGTGCTCGTTTTCTGCAGGGATAACATCGTAGTGCCCATAAAACAGAATCTTCTTACGCGAGGCCGCTGTAGCCGGATTACCGCGAAACTTGGCAAATACAATTGGGTTGTACTCGCTTGTATTGATCATCTCGGTCACAGCGCCAAAATTGTGGAAAACGGAGCGCAAGTAAGACGCCCCTCTACGGCAGTCAGCGCGATATTTGGGCAGCGATGATACGGTCCGAAAAGAAACGAACTGGCTCAGGGACTCCACCATGAGATCTGCACTACGCATTAGTTGGGCTAATCAAAGTTTCGAACGTGTACACACCATTGTTACTTCTGCGTGAGACGGCATTGGGTTCCGCACAATCTCTGACTTCCCAGATAACCACTGTATTATCGTTGCCGCCCGTAACGAGAGTGGGTTTGTCATTGTAGCGGGTAAAAGCGGAAGCGAGAATCAAGCCGTCGTGTGCTTTGAAGGACGTGATGCTTTCGTAGTGCTCGTTGAATTTCTATCAATATTAGTCATATCCCTGACAAAGTGGCCGCAAACACCCACCTGCATGACACCTGTTTTACCACCAGCGTAGAGAACACCGGCACCCAGCGTCAAAGTATGCACGTCGCCAGTAGTCGCTTTCAGACTTCTCACTAGTTGTCGGGTCTCCAGGTCCCATACGTTGACCTCGCCGTCGAAGCGTCCACTGTACAGGAAGGAACCTTCTCGGGCGAGGGAGAGTATAGATTCACCTTCTTCTCTCCCATCTTCCAGTGTGTAGATGCTTGTTATAGCACCACGCTGCGCAGGGTCTATCCGCCATAGCAAGATACGTCCGTCTCCTCCACCAGAAACCAGAACCTCTTCAGATGGCGCCTCTGGTAGTATCCCCGTTCCCAAGAGCATGCAGTGCACGTATCCATAGTGGGCGAATTGGCAAATATCATGGCTGTCAATTTGTAGTTCCTGTCCGCCCACTGCGTCCCGTGGCCGTGTGTCCGCCCCGCTAGGTTTTGGGGTCTGCGCGCCGCCAGGTCCAAGAGAGTCGAAGAACTTATTCTTCCGTTCGGCAGGATGTGAAGAAAGACTCGGAGCCGGTCGAGTGTCTTTCTCTTTCAGATCGTACCACTGCCATTGTCAGCGCATGCGCCTTTCCGTCAGGCTTGTCTCATACTTGTATGCTTGTGTTCTGGGCTCCTAGGTAAACAGTGCGATGGTGGGATGAGTATGCGACGCAGAAGATGTCTCCAATGTCGTATGGTGACCAGAGAGCGTATAGGTGTCTGAACGTCGACGTGCACCAGACCTGCTGACTTAGCACATACCATGTCCAGCGCTCCAGACGCTCTTACATTGACGATTGGATCGGCTGCGCTCGAGAACAGCCACTTGCGGTCATGCGACAAGCACAAGCCGAGCACGCTGCCCTTGTGCGCATGTATGACGCTGCGTCGGTCGTAGGTATCGAGGCTGTACACCTGCACGTCATAAGTCTAGAGCCTCGAGAGCTCGCTTAGACACGTACTAGGATCTCTCCTCCCTGAGTACCGGCGAAGATGTACTGTGACGATACTGCCAACGCGAGGATCGATTTGTCGTGCTTCATACGATGCGAGAGCGCAGGCGTTGGGTTCGCATCGGGGGCAGGTCTGTCTGCACCCCGCGTCTCCATGATGCTATCATACTGCGGAGGCGCTGCTGTTGGCATGGTCAGCCTGGCTCGCGTTGTGTATTTGGTGTGTCTGCATGGTCGCGTGTGAGGCTTTCGCGATTTGGTGTGGGAGCGAGCGATGACGGAAGAATCAGGGTCCAGTCACCCAAATGGCGCCGGCTGCGGGGCCAGGTGCATCGCCCAAGTCGACGTACCTTTGACTTCTACGACACGCCTGTCTTCCTGTGATGTAAGCGTTCCAGACAAGTTGCACATGGTCCTTCGTTCTGCTGAGCTGCAGCCTGCGATGAGATGAAAAGGAAACAACACAGAAGACGAGAGACAAGTTGGATCGTGGTTTACCGTGTGCGAAAGAGAAAGCCGTTCATCGGCCTCGTCTACATCGTTCAGTGTAGAGTTCGAGGACGTCTCGTCGTCGCTCCATGATCTCTCAGGCGAGCTCGAGCCTTGGTGCTCGCACATAGTAACAAGCTCACCGCTTCTACATGGCGAGCGATGTCGCTGCAATGACGCCATTTCTGAGGGTGAGTATGTCTTACAGTAAGCTGAGATGGGGGGTTATCATGGCTGCTTTCTTTTTCTCGATTGTTGCAGCAGTACAGTAAGTCACAGCAAGCGCATAGGGATGCCAACATGTGTGTGTGCACCAGCGTGCAGTGACTGCACAGTCGGTGTATGCACCTATCCTACCCTTGGCACCGCGCTGTCAATCATGCAGTCGCTACTCCAGTCCGCGAGCATTGAATCAAGAGTCCAAGTTGACCGTTCGTGGACCCGAAGACGTGGTCGCGCTACAAAGAGCGACTTGCGACGTTGAAGCTACTCATTCACATGACGCTGTCTGCATGGCGTCGAATCGCTCTACGCCTAGGCTAAGGAGACTTAGGACAGCCTCACGGGAACTTGCATATTAGGGGGCGGGAGTGGGAGGCTCGTATCGTATGCAGGTAGAAGACTTTGAGACAAGATCGTCGGTGTACATTCTGGAACACTCTCGCTGCCAACTTGAAAATTGCGAAGCGCGGCCGGGGATTGGATAAAAGAGAGAGGGAAATCGGCGAGCAGCGATGTGTAATGCAGAACTCAACAGTTGCCTGGATCGACTGCCCCTAACTAGTCGTCGAAATCCCTCACCAGGGCGTACCTTACTGTCCGCGTGGAAAACGTGGGAAAAGTGGGTAGAGAAAAAGGAGCGTGGATGACGCTGGAAACCCAGACTATAGCCACACTGAAGGCGATGCAGTCGAGGCTGCTAAACCTCCGACAACCGAAAATGACGCGGCTTTGCGTAGTGTTTGTCCAACCAAGATGCCATCTTGAGCAACTTCAGCTTGATGTTGGTGGGCTTTTCGAGTCTCGATCACCTCCCCCCACGCTGGGGCGCACCGCCACAGGCACCCGCCACAGCACACAGCCACGGCTCGCGCGGTAAGGGTGACATTCCCAGCTGAAGCCTGTTCCTAGGGTCGATCATGCCAACTGGACAATGATTGACAATCTCGATTCTAGACACATCAGAATGAGATTTGGGCAGCAATACTCGGGTTACCGCTGCCAGATGGCATGCATCGTTGCATCAGCACGCGTGAGAACTGAGGCTGCAGCAAATTAGTTGTCCACTCAGCAGCGACACGTTCACGATGGCTGCAGTAATAAAGCATGAATGTGATCCGCACCAATGACATGCAAAGCCGGGTGCTCTAAGAGGCAGCGTCTCGCTGCCCGCATAGCCGGCGCCATGGAAGCGCCTCCAGTTACATGGCGACACGCGCTTCAACTATACCAGGAGTGTACTGGTTGAGGCTTCACGACGCAGCCCACGAACCAGGGCAGGACGTCACAGAGGTTACTGGCGAAGTATGCGGGCAGTCTCGTGAATGGCTTTGCTGCAGGTCGCTTCGGCCACTCTGATCGCTCCCCGCGTCCCACCACCATGACGGCTGCGTGTCTCAGTCGGTAGAAATCGCCTCACTCCGCGCGTAGTGTTCCGACAATAACGCCGGTCAGAACTGACTCTGAAATCCCTTATAGTCCCAGCCAGACCTGCGACGACTTTGATGATCCAGGTGGGACCTTGTGGAGTTGCGCCAGCTGCCGTTTCCGCGAGCATTGATACATGCTCACCGCCGCCTTTTAGGCCCAGGACACAAGTACCATTCTCACCGCAACCCCTACTCCCGTCACACAAAACCCCTCTTGCCGCGCGCTGTGCAGCTGCTGCAGGAACACAACGTCGCATACGTCAGAATGGCCGTCGGACTCGGAGAGACTATTACTGTGATTAACAAGAGTGGGAAGGTAGTGAGCAGTGTGAGTTGCCCGCCCGCATGCCCGCCCGCCCGATAAGCTGGCTAGCCCCCCGATAAGCCTCGTACTCGTTACTGACTACCCGCCCCCAGAGCAAGCACATTGTCAACGTCTTCAAGGAGGCCAAGGCCGCCTACCGCGAGCGCAAAGCTGAAATCAAGGCTGAGCGCGATGCCGTCGTGAAGGAGAGGGAGGTCGCCAAGAAGGCCCTCCGCGCTGCCGGCGAAGACGACGATGCCCGCTCCCAGGTCTCGCACCGCTCCAAGGCTTCCAAAGCCCACACCCACCGCAAGCATGACCGGCCGACCATGGAGCGCGGCTACAGCGACAGCTTCTATGCCAACGACAGCCCGCGGAGCAGCAAACACCGCCTCGAAAATGACCTCGGCGGACACGATGCGCACAACAAGGAGATTGCGAGGAGGAACTCCGACCAGGCCGTCCAGCGTTCGTCCCAAAGCAAGTCGCGATCCAAGTCAGTCGACATGGACCTTTGCTACGGCGACGTGCCCCCGCCCCTGCCCGAAAAGAAGTACGACGACCTCGAGCTCAAAGAGAAGGCTTCCAAGATCGAGATGCTCCTAGACGAGGCCAACTGCCTCCAACATACCGCCACCGCCATGATCGAGAACCTGCAAAAGAACCCCGAGGCCCTTGCCGCCGTATCCCTCACACTCGCCGAGATCAGTGCCATCGTGGGCAAGATGGGTCCCGGTGTGCTCACGGCGCTCAAGGGTAGCTTCCCCGCCGTAGCTGCTCTACTCCTCAGCCCACAGTTCATGATCGCTGGAGGTGTCGCTGTCGGTGTCACCATCGTCGCGCTCGGTGGATACAAGATCATCAAGAAGATGCAGGCACAGCCTGCGGTCGAAGAACCAATGCCTGCCGCGCCTCAAATGCCTTTGCCTGTCCGTGCCGCCACCATGCCGCTGCCCATCGAAGATTCCAACAACGAGCTCGACGAGCTGGAGCCTCAGGAACTAAGTCGTGTGGAGAAGTGGCGTCGTGGCATCGCAGACGTCGAGGCCAACAGCTCCGGCACCAGCGTCGACGGCGAGTTCATCACACCCGAGGCATCACGCACCCTTGTCGCAGCTGGCGTTCTTGATGAAGATGACCTCAAGTCCCGTCGCAGCACCAGATCCAAGAGGACCAGCGACTCAAAACACAGGGAGCACAAGTCGCATCGTGCACCAAAGTCTGACTTCAGCGTCAAGACAAGCAAGACCTCCGACAGCAAACGTCATTCTAGCAAGGAAAAGTCCAGCAAGGAAAAGGTCCCCTCCAGCAAAGTCGCTCCCAGCGTCTCAAGCAAATCCGGCAAAGAAAGCAGCAAGTCCAAGAAGAAGGAAAAAGAGCCTTCAGGCCTGAAGATGTTGTTCCGCGCTCACACCGTTGCCGTTTAGTTGCCCTTTACCGCTATATCTCCTTGTCATCATCATAGCGTTTGGCGTTTCCTTCATCATCGCACATCAGCATTTAGCGTTGCTTTACTCTCGTCACGTTTATACCATTTAGACGACATTACATGGGCATATCAAGATCCCGTCGTTGGCCGCTTGCTGCTTTGGAGTCCTTTTGGGTCGTTTGGCGCATGGCGAAAGTTATGGGTCATGATTATCGCGCAGTACTACGAACCTTTTACGCTGTTTTATGTAACGCATACGTATCAATTACAAACTTACGGACTCACGAAAGAGAATTAATTCTTACCTTACCTCTACCACAATCACCCTCACCACGATCGCCCTCTACACTCCTATCCCTCGTCCCTTCCACGTCCCCACCCGTCGCACCATCAGTCTAGCATACCAGCACACGACTCTTCCACTGCTTTCCCCAGCCTCCCGAATAACCTGACTCTCTCCCTGACCGTAATTCGTTCTTTCCACGTATACTTACGATGCATGGTGATAGGGGAGCTATCCTAAAACAGCGGTGACTAATTGAGGAGGCTGGTCAAGGACGACGTAGCCTCCAAGAGTTAAAGAGGTGGCTGGGTACACGTACGACCAAGAGGCTGTGTACGCAATGAAGTGGCGACGCACAGAGTAGCAAGATGGAGAAGAAAAGGCGGTATGACGATGCTCATGTCTGCGAAGCTTTGACATTAAACGAGGTACGTGATGCCTACCCAATACGAATAGTTCCACTGACAATAGGATTCTCTCCACTGATGCGCTTGAGACATGGCAAGTCTCTGCAGTCGACATGCTTATCTTGATGGATTCCGATTAGTGATCAATTGTACTATTTGCACGATCCCAATTTGGTGCCCCGCAGTCCACTCTTCTTGCGATTGCTATTCGAGGGCAGTCCATACGTGCGTAAGGCTATAGCTCACGATTCCACCTCCGCCTGCACATCAGAGCTCATTGTTTTGACACTCTTCTATCTCGCCATCTCTACATTGTATACTACCCACGTCTCTAAACATACGCGCAATGGAAGCTCGATACAAGCATGGCGGTGGCGACTTCATAGCTACACGCCACTCTACGAGTTACGACTACATATCGCCTTTGAAACTGAACCTGACAGGCAAACACGTCTTGGTCACCGGCGCAGCATGGGAAGACGGTGTTGGGTATGCCACAGCTACGGCGTTTGCGCGCGCAGGAGCAGCAGTAATCGCAGTGGCTGATCTCCATGGAGTGTCGGACGAGTTGGCCTCCAGATTGAAGGAAGTCGCAAAGCAAGCTGGACACGCTGAGCCTACGGTAGTGTGTTGCACGGTCGACATCTCAAAGCTAGACAGCGTGCAGGCCATGCACGAGACTGTTTCGAAGATTTTCGATGGACGTCTAGACATCGTCGTAAACAACGCAGCCCACATGGAACCGTACGTGTCATTCCTTGAGACCGATCCAGACGTATACTGGCGATCTTATGAGGTCAACGTCCGCGGCCTCTTCAACATGTCCCGCGTCTTCCTCCCCTTACAACTCTCAACACAAACCAATCATAACAGCCTCTGCACAATAATTAATGTATCCTCTTCTGGTGCGCTGACTGCTCGTCCCGGAAGCGGAAGTTACCGCAGCTCCAAACTCGCCATTCTCCGCTGGACAGAAACCCTACAACTGGAATACGCTGATAGGGGTCTTCTGGCGATCTGTGTGAATCCAGGTGCGATCAAGACTAAGATCACAGAGACGGCGCCTGAGGAGGTGAGAAATCGGTTTCCGGATCGGCCCGAGGTTGCGGGCGATACAATTGTTTGGTTGGGGGCTGAGAGAAGGGAGTGGTTGGCGGGGAGGTATGTGAGTTGTACGTGGGACATGGAGGAGCTTGTGAAGAAGAAGGATGAGATTGTTGAGGAAGACAAATTGAAGATGAGGATGGCCTTTTAACCGTACTGATGCATCAGGTCTCCTGCAATAGAGAGTAGAATTGGGTATTATGTGTCTTCTTCCATCTCTTGCGCCCACGCAATATGCAGATTTTGTATGATATCATCGCACGTATCTGGACATTGGTCTTCGTTTCGATGGATGTATCTGTCAATCTTTCGACATGTATGATAGTGATACAGGAGGCTCGATGCATCGATGGTGTAATGATGACATAACCATCCTGAGCCCCTTTTGACTGAGTGTCGTATCTCAGTCTCACCCGGGGTATAACTCAACACGGCCTGTTACCCAGCCTTCGCTTTCTCGTCAACCACTACCGTCGCTTCGCACTCTCCGGGCTCATTCGCTTCGCGTTCTCCTGCCGCCGTTGTCTTCCTGTCAAGCTATACGGATCGTTAGCACAAGCTCTTTCCCTCATCAGCGACAATACTCACCCATCTGACCACGAACGCGAATCCGATAAACACGAATACCACCACGATCATGGTGATACTGCCCTTCTTCCAATATGGTACATCTGTTGCCGGGTACATAACAATACCCCACCACGTGTACAAAATCTGTCCACCGAGATTCATCGTATACAGCGTCACACTCCTGACAGCATCGTCACCCGCTCTCTGGCAGATTGTAGTCGCCCATCCGTATAGAACAGGATTCACGATAAAACTCGTGCCACTGATGTAGTGCGCTGTAAAGATTCCTGCATCTGGAAGGTCTCGCACTAGCAGAAGCGACGCCGTAACGAGTTGCATCGCTCCGGCGAAAACGACCATGGGCAAACGATGGCCAGTACGGTCGATGAATGTTCCAGCAACAACCTGAGAGACGATTGCAACAGCCTGGATACCAAGAGGGTAAGTGTTGATCGCAGACTGAGAGAAGCGAGCTTTGTTATGCTTGAGCCAGAGGAGAAACATGCCCTGGAAGGCGAAGGCTTCTGTCATGGCACAAATGACCGAGAAGGCCGTGAGGACATATCTGGAACAAAATCAATTCCGTAAATTGGCGTGACTGTAGGGCTACTTACATGGTTGGTGTCAAGAGAAGACGCTTAGCAAGGCTCTTGATCTCGATACTGTGGGTATTCGCCGTTTTCGGTGGCAGGCGAGCAATGGCGAGCTGCCTTTCTTGCTGGTTAATATAGGTAACTCTTGTCGACTCTGGAAGATCGGGGAATGTGAACTGCGATCATTGTTAAACCCGGAACTCGATGTGGTCCATCAATACAACGTACGAAGCCGAAAAGACCGACTGGTATTCCCATTAGGCCATCTAAGCAGTGTTTGTCAGTAACGCCTGCGATCATGGTACATTGACACACATACCAATAAGGAATACCCATTGCCAACCTTTCAAGCCACCTCTACCTTCCATGGTCTTATGCATGGCTGTCATCATTATACCTGCGAACATGCTCCCAACCTGTCCAACCGCTGTGAAGATGGCGGTTCGTTTGGCGATCTCGGAAGGCTTGCTGTGGACTATCTTGAGCCTCATTTCCAGGGAGGTGGGCTTCACTTAACTTACTACCATGAACCCAACACATATATTGTACCGCTGTACAAACTGGCTTCCATCAAGCCCTGGAAGAAGCGTACTGCGCAAAGCTGTTTGTATGTTTTGCACGCCGCCGAACACATAGTCAGGCCGGACCAGAGGAGGAGAGTGAGAGGGAGCCAGATGCTAGGGCGGACCTTCTGGATGATAAGCCCATGGGGAATTTGGCCAACAACCATGCTGAAAAGTTGTTAGTTAGGAGCAGTATGGCGGACTAGTGCATTGGTACGGACCCGGCAGTGAATATCGACAGCAGAATGCTGTACTGATTGCCTTGCAGATTGACATCTTCCCGCAAACCAGCGACGTAGGCATTGGCGAAAGCTTGACGATCTGCTTCGCATTAGCATACGATATTCTCATTAGGAACTTGAAGTCAGATTTACCGAGGTAGTTGAAGAAGTAGCATGCACAGCAATACACCTGGTGAACATACTCAGATACTATAAATCATCGATCCTTGAAGACGACTGACCATGATGAAGATGTCTAATCACGTGGAGGTCAGCATGGAGGCGTTATGGTGGGGATGACTATGCTGGTACCAAGCTTCATAACGAGTTTCCTCTCCATTGCCTTCGTCGCATCACCGGTACCACCAGTCTTCAGCCCTTCATGTTGGCATTAGCAATGGGACAAATATGCGATTCATCGAATGCGGATCTCTCACATCCTAAAGCACCCATCTTTGCTTGGGTGTGTTAGCAGATCAGATAAAGGGACGATTATCAGATTGATTAGCTTGTACCAATCGCTTACTCTTATTACATCTGATACTGGGTACGACACGCGAGGGGCCAGGCCTAGCCTCGGAGCTGGCGCATTGCCTACGAAGATTCTTCGCGCTTGGTGATCGACCGAGCATCGGCCCGTTGCTAAAGTGCCATAGAGCCTTGGCCTTACCATATAATTCGAGGACTTTAGCCAGAAGTCTACACTGGCGTTTCCAATCTGCTGACTTTCTAGTCATAACCCATGTCTACCGCCTTTGCTTACTTGCGGTCTTGAGCGAAAGCGGGAATACCAAGAGGTTCGCCGGAGAGTTCTTGACCAACTTATCGGTAATCTGGTACGAAAGCAGTATGATGTACATGCTGTTGAAGTAAAACGGCCGCAGTATGCGCGACGGAGACGAGTACTGCTCTCTTAACACATTGGTGGATGTTTTCTAATACTGCTTACTCTTCAGCCGGAGGATTTGTCCTGTACAACAGCAACTCCGGTCGCGCACAACGACATTTGATCACCTTCTAGAAATTCGTTTGCCTCCAAAGGGGTGTTGGGGCTGGTATGATATGGTTACGAAGAGCCTGACCGAAACTCACCCGACTCAAGAAGTTGTCTTCGTCACAAGTAATCTCTTACGACCTTGCCTGTATTTCTCATCTCAGGACCATGAGAGGCTCTCGGGCGAACACGTACTTCGAAGCAAAGTGAACAGGTTTCCTGGGTTACTTTACCTGCTCAATACACGCATAAGAAGTTCAATATCCGCAAACACGTCTTCAGCGTCTCCTCTACCCGGAGTCAGCCCTCACCTAAGAGTGAGCATCGAAAAGCCGGCATCTACTCCCAAATCGGTCCCTCCCGTCTCTATCGCATCCAATGTTCCACAACGCCACGTCGTACTCAACCCTGCTTCATCACTACTATCCATTACACGATGTCTCATCTCGCCATGGGCGATCGCAGACCCCCGAGCCAGATAAAGCGGAGGTTGTTAGTACGGGGAATAGTCTGAGCTGTAGTGTGGGTTGTAGTGTGGGCTGTAGTATGAACCATATGAATCTTCATCAGATGCGGAACGGCCGCGGCCGTACCTGTCGTCATGGCCGTCGTCACGCCTTGAACCATAGTCATCATCGTAGCCGTCATCGTAGTCGTCATCGTGCCTAGAGCTATACCTATCACCATAGTTGTCGCCCCTGGAACCGTGCCTTTCAGCGTATTCACGGTCGCGCGTGGGGTTGTAACGACGCGGAGAGTGTGGCCTCGATACTACAGATTCATTTCGGTTGCGCGGAGCGATCCGAGCAGGCGAGCGGGATCGATGGTCTCTTGAACGAACGTGGCCGCGTCTTTCATCATAATCGGGTTCACGCCTGTCGCGATACCGATTCGGAGAATATGGCCTAGATGCCACAAAGCTTCTCCGACTATGCGGAGCGAACCGATCAGGCGAGCGAGACCGATAGCTAGGCGGCGACGTCTGTCCAGATAGGCAAGCAGGTCTAGATTCGCGGCGATCTAAACCTTGAGTAGACGGCTCTTGGGAGCCTTTCTTTTGGAAGCCCATCCTCCCTTTGACGTTTATATTCTGCTGTCCGCTTCCACTGTTCACATTTTGATTGTAAACTGGCGCCATCGTTCGCAAATGCGTACGACCATGTGGGTCTCTCAAGGTCTGACTGTAACCATTAGGTCTGTCATCACCAGCCGTCTTGTTCTTGATGCCATTCGAAACATTAGACTTCTGCAGTCCGCTGCCTCGTTTCTCATTGTGCTCAGATTCGAAAGGGATCTCATACTCGGGTGGTGCGGCAGTAGGAGTATAAGACGACGGAACCTCGAAATCGCCAATGACTTTAATGTTCTGCTGGCCGGATCCGCTGTTCACATTTTGATTGTAGATTGGCGCGCTGTTCGTAAGAAAGTTGGTGGCGGAGGGATTTTCGAGTGTCTGAGAACCAGCCTTTGCGTTTGTGGAATTCTGGACGTTGGCGTTACCACCTATCACACGTTGAGGACCGTCCTTCTGATCTACACGCGCAGAGGATACAGGTATAGGATGAATAGGCTGACGCTGTCGTCTTTCTGATGGATCGAACGCTGGTGATGAGCGAGGCGATAGCTTTCCGCCGCGCAGAACCAACTCTCTGCCTTCAACTTCATCATCCCCATCAAGACGCTGTAGCGGGACTTCACTTGAGGTACGCGTCGCAGTCGAAGTGCGCATCAGACTCATTACAGCTGGCGTATCTGTGTCGTGTTGGTCTAAGTTGACTGTTTAGATTTGAGATGAGTTGATACAGCGTGGTTGGGTAGCTCGCAGGAGCGGCCAGAAGAGTCTTTATCCTCCATAGCTAGAACTGTGACTCTCACAGAAAGACTTTCACTGTCTTTCATTTTCTCAATCGTTTGTTCACCAAACACCGATAGTTGAACATAGAAGAGAAGGGAAGGATGAAGGTAGAGATTTGGCGGAATCGCGTCGGAGATGACCCGTGGATCCGAAGTAACGGCATCCTGAACTCACGCCACTATCGTGCGTCCACATTACTATCTACACAGCGGTGCAGGTGAAAGCCGCGTTACGAGCTTGTGCGTCCGTCAAAGGCAATTCCTGTTGCGTCGGGAAATAAAGGTTGCGTGCCTGGGGCCAAAAACCCTGGTGTAACCTCAGTCGGCTTACCAAAAGCGTACAACCACTCAACCGAAAAACCGACGTCATCCACCTTTCTCCACCTCCGCACTGCAGATCACCCCATGTTATCCCCAGACGCGACATTCACACCCGCCACCAATAGCTCGGCAAGGCTTCCTGCTCACCGTTGCATCTTGATCATTCGCCAACGTCTTGTAGCTAAGAATGGTCCCCGCAATTACTCCGTCAATCATACGGCTCGCGGCCAATTCGCCGAGCAAGCATCGTGACGTTTGATCACTTCACTCTCGGATTACAAGTTCCGCTAGTGGACGTTATAACATATGAGCATGGGTATACTAATGTAAAGGGTCTCCCATCGGGCGCGCTGGTCGCTTTTGCTGTTTTGTTGCGCTCGTGTCTTGCGTGTTAGGTTGGAAGTTGAGACCAGCATCATGTTCCATACACCGCATTTCAACTGGTATGGACGAGGCTTCAAGCTTCGTGCCGCCATCACCATCGCTTGCCAATTAGCGTTCGTGCTTTTCGGTTACGACCAAGGTGTCTTCAGCGGCATCGTCGGCAATGAGGACTTTTTGAATACTTTCGATCATCCCTCGCCTGGCCTCGAAGGAATCATCGTATCCATATACAACCTAGGATGCTTCACAGGATGTATTCTTAGCTTCATCTTTTGCGAGAAAACGGGACGGAGACTGGCTATGTGGATTGCTATGGTCTGGATCATTGTAAGATGTTCAAGTCGCTGGTGTCAGTATTGTGGCTGATAGTATCAGGTCGGCGGCGCTCTTCAAGCCAGCGCGTACTCAGTTCCACATATGATGGTAGCTCGGTTCCTGACTGGCATTGGAACCGGCATCGAAACTTCGACTGTGCCTATGTATCAATCCGAACTTTGCGAAGCGAACAAGCGCGGCCGCCTCGTCGCGTCAGAACCTCTCTTTGTTGGCGTAGGGATCGAAATAGCATACTGGTTCGACTACGGAATGTCATTCACGGCAGGATCTATCGCGTGGCGCCTACCCATTGCATGTCAAGTCATTTTTGCCATTATCGTCATCATCCTTGTTTTTGGTCTTCCTGAATCGCCAAGATATCTCTATGCGCATGGTCGACACGAGGAAGCACTTCAGATCCTCTGCGATGTTTACGATGGCACGCCCGATGATCCAAAGATTGAGAAGGAGAACAGAGAGGTGCTCGAGGCACTGCGGGTCGAGCGCGAACATGGAGAATACAGGTGGTCGCAATTACTCAAGAAAGATCATGTGCAGACTGGACGCCGTGTACTGCTCGCGTACGGCGCGCAGTTTATGAACCAGATGGGTGGTAAGAAGTTCCCCTGCACGAACTGCATGTGAGACATACACTGACTCGGTACACGTACATTCAGGTATAAACCTCGTCGTTTACTACATCACATCGGTGCTAGAGCAGAACGTCGGGCTCGACAGGAACCTATCACTGCTTCTCGGCGGCGTCATCAACCTCATGTTCTTCCTCGGTTCTCTGCTTCCAACCTTCACACTTGATCGCACCGGCCGCCGAAAGCCAATGATGTGGGGCTCTTTAGGCCTCGGCCTTTCCATGATGATGATTTCAATCCTCTTGAGCTTCAAAGGAGAAGACGGAAGAGTCTTGAAAAGTACCGCCTCTGCTAGTGTCGCATTCTTTTTCACGGTAAGTGGATCCCCCGCCCCATCGGTTTCTGTGAAACGGAGCTAACAAAGACTAGTACATGCTGGCGTTTGGCATGACGATGAACTGCATTCCTTGGGTCTATGTGCCCGAGATTTTACCATTACACGTGCGAGCAAAGGGAACGGCTGTCGGTATCTCCGCAAATTGGATATGGAGTAAGTATCCCGCGTAGACTGCGTTCGAGAAGTACACTAATCTTGATATCCATGTATAGACTTCTTCGTTGTCATGATCACTCCCACTCTTCTTAATAGCTTAGCATGGAAGGGCTATCTGATTTTCATGGCACTCAACTTCGCGTTCATTCCCCTTATCGTAGGTCCCCGGATTTGCACCCGAACTTCACTCGCTAACGTGCTGCAGTACTTCTGCTATCCCGAAACTGCTAATCTGACGCTCGAAGAAGTTGACTGGCTCTTCTACGAAGGCGACGTGGTGAAGCGGAGTCGACGTGTTGCGAAAGAGGGCTGGGAACAAGCGATCGGTACCGATCCCGCTGCGATCATGGAGACTGGTAGTACTTCGAGTGGCAACAAAGCTGAACATAAGACGGAGAAGGCAGAGCATGTGTCACCTTGAGAGCTGATGAAGGCACTCCCGATATTGTTTAGATACCCTGTCTTATATTATTATATTATAATGCTTCCGAGACCTTTAGGTCTACATGAACACCCGTGAGCTAATGATACGTTCCGTTAAGCTGACTCGACATCAACCGTATATGTCCTCTCAGCGTAGATCCTCTTATCATGCATCGGTGCAGTGCTCTTATCAGACGCGCCGTCGTGTATCCGTTCCCAGGCATCCTGATCGCGCCCATGATGCACAGTAGACAAGCTAAAGCCAATGTCCGCGTGATAGCTGTCGCCTCTCCTTTTCCGTGAGGTGCCGCCTGCAGTGGTTGTTGCTATGTATCGCTTACTGTTCGGATCTGTGCTGCCGTCGCGATCGTTGTTGAAGAAATGGCGTAGTGCCGGTAGGGAGGATGCAAAGCACCCGATTCCGGTCTCGACGTTGGAGCAAAGGACGATATGGGCAACCCAAACTGTGTGCGGGTCAGTTTGCGTTTCTTGGATTTAGAGAGACTACATGCTTACATGGAAGATTGGTCTGAGACTCAAATTTGTTGACAAATGGAATTCGTATCATAGTAATGATTGACGCCAGTGAGGCGAAGGACAGTAGGCCGAATGCTTGGATCTTGGCTTGTCTTTTCATCTGTGTATTCCATAAGATGATAGCCGGCACGATGACCAGGGCCATGTCGGTCAAGATTGTCGACACTGTCGCAGTGTGCGCAATGATGAGAAAGGTCTCCGCAGAAGCGCACCTTCCTTCGCCGCTCATGATCAGCGTCGGAGTCCCTGTAGGTATCGATTAGTCTTGTCCGACCTGCAGTCTGCAAATCTGCCCAACTCACATAGAGACCGCACTGGCTGGCAGTAAGCCAATGTTCCGACAAAGGTGACGAGAAAAGATGCCCATGTTACGGCCAGTAGAACCCAGACAGTGATCCTCATGGGCTTTTTGATCGAAGCAATCCGCCTGATCGTGATGCACACTGAAGATTTGACGGTTGCAAGTGCAACAACGTATACCAAGATCCAGATCAGGTAATACTTGATAGCTTCGGACTGCTGCCATGCATTCAGATCCTCGTTCATTCTGCCTAGGCCGACCAGACATCCGTAAATTGCAAGACCTGTAACAGGAATGTATGCGATCTGTGAGGTCATGTCAGCATAGCCCAAGCTACAGACCCTTAGCGATAAACATACCGTGCCAATAACCATGAACGTGTCTTCCAGGCCAAATATGCGCTTCTTGATTCGAATGAAGGTACGCAACGCCACAGTAACGACAGAAAGCATGAAGAAGATGGATGAGATGGCGATGATAGCAAGTGGTAGCCCATCCGGTGTGATCAGCCTCGCGGATGGATCGACATCACTCGTAGGCGTCGCCATTGCAGGTTCGAGTCGACTGTGAATAGCAAGGATGCAGACAGGGTGCAAGACCACATCTTGAGGACAGTATTGTTACTATATACATTTACGCCGATCTTGACCGTACCCATAAACCTGGAAGTCGGAGTGCAGGGTACAAGCAGCCGTTAATCCAAATCGCCCAGGAGCCAACTAGAAAAGATTGCTGGAAAGGAGAGCTAATCTCAGGCATTTTGCACCCATACAACGACGCCATTGCGATGGTAGCGAAAAACTAGTGGACCGATCTCCCGCGCCGGCTGATCCTGAGCCGCGATCTAGATGGTGCTAGTGTCATGCGTCATGCTCGAGACGAACCCTGACTCTCCAAATCGTATCGTGAAACCACAGAGCAGGTGTTCCGAGCGAAAGGCCCAGCGTTCTCTGGTGTTCTCTGGTATTTAAACGGTGGGTCAAATCGTAGGTCTGGCACTACGAGATCGCTAATCTGTCATTCTGCATCGCCACAATGGATCTTTCCAGGAATCTAGATGCGAGAGTGCGAACCAATTCGCCTATCGGGAAGGCTGCCAGCGTGGTACTAATCTTGCATCGCGTCATGTAGCTGCGCAGTCGCCAACGGCTCCATGCCTTGAACCCGCCTCTTATCATCTTCAACCTGAGGCCGTACAATATTGACTGCAAACATGATGCTCAATCAGAGAATTCTGGTTGCCATGAACCTCAAGATGTCAACTGAAAAGGAATACCGGGCATAGAGATCGAGCTTGCTCTTGAGTATATATTGCTGTTGCATTAACTTTCTTGCACATACGACCATAGGACACTGAAAATTAGGCTTCCCGTCCGCTCAGCCATATACAAGCAGTGTACCGGCGGATTAGTAGTTAGGTGGGTGACCACTAGCGAATCCCCGCTGTTGTATGTTTTTGACCTTGTTTTTTGCTCATGGACCCAAAGGAATGCGAGCCGGGCCAGATGTGATCGCTTTTTAGTACATCTGTGACAGCAATCCAGAGTCCGCAGAGGTGTTCAGTAGTCATGCAATCACAGTGAGCAAAGGTCTTTTCCGATGCTCCAGTCGTTCGTTCTTCAGCCTTCCACTTCACCACCACCGTGCCCGGTCCACCCGAACAGCCCCTGCCATGGCACGACCACTTACCGGCGCGGAGAGAGCCCGTGTTCGGGCTCACATGGATCATCTTGACAAGGCTATGGCCGTTGTCACAGAGTCAGAGTTCGATCCCGACAAGGTCAATGCTGCTCACGAGGCGGCTGCCAGGGCGTATCCCGTTAGCAAGGAATTGTTCCAGGCTTATAGAGCAGAGGTCCTGACAGAAATGGCCGACCCCCTGAGGGTGTTGAACGACTTATTTGATATCCTCAAACCAGACGCGCCTTGGGGTCTGGCCGTGTACCGTGCCTCATACAACGACGATGCGGCTTGGCATCGTATACTTTCTGTGCTCCGCCGAGATATCGAGTCATCACTAGCAGTATATCAGGCTCAACCAGGCCTTCTCGCAAGACATGAGTTGGTCGTTATGGATGATCAGTCCAAATTCGAAGGAGCAGGTCCCGAGAAGATCCGCGAGCATTTCAATAGCTGGGCTGTAGATGAGCTACAACGTAACTGGCGTGCCGACCGCGAGCCTGCGGCCAAGGACGAAATAACTGGCGCAGCCGGCAGTACCGATTATCTGCACCATGCTGGATCTCGCTACAATTTCTTTCTTCTTGTCGACGACATCTGCCTCGAATCCATTGAGATGATGGACGAGCCCGTGTTCAAGCTCGTCAAGAGAAACTGGGCGCCCGATAGAGAAGGAGACGAAGACGATGAAGACGAGAAGTTTGACTGGGAGGGCGGAGAAACAAATAGTGACCATGAAGACGTCGGTTGGATGTACGTCGACACCAGTGACTACGTTAATGTTCAGGATCAGTTGCAAGAGGATGATTTCTGGCCGGAATTGTATGTGAGGCCGCCGCTCATGCGTTGGGAGGATGATTTCAATAGGGCGCCTGGTTTCTGGCGACGGAACGCATCTTCTGCATAGATAGGATAAGACTACTTGCGCTACACAAAGGAAAGCATAGACGTAGACACTAAGGTAGAGGTACGTGAATCTATGTCTTCTTCAAACCTACATATCGTACAGGGTGGTGATGTTTTCTGTACACCGTCTATGATACACGCTCTAATATGGAGCGATGGAGCGAATGTAGAGACTACGATGATTGCTCAGCAGCCTTGGCGGCTTCGAGTCGCGAACTAATGTGAGGGGTAGCGTGCGTTCTGGGAGCCTGTGGCTTCATGATCTGGCGAAGGATAGCGCGACGTGGCGCAGTTATCCTGTTGCACAAAACAACCGCACCAGTCAACAGAGCGAGAGCGCCGGCTTGATGTGCGGACGCTAGCCAGGTAGGGACCATGTAGATCAATGTGCTGATGCCGAGAGTAACCTGAAGGACAACGAGGTGAACCATTCCTTGGACACCCTTGTGCTGGTCCTTGGAAAGCTTACTTCGCACGCCCTTTCCAAAGCGAGTGTATGCAAAGAGACTCATGATGGCAGTGAATGTAGTCGTTGCGAGGATGCGGTGGTCAAGCTGGACGAGAGAAGGGTTCTCGAGCATGTTGCGCCACCAAAGATCCGATTGATCTGGGACGTGGCTGTAAAAGGGATCGAAAAGTTCCTTCTTGGGTGGAGCGAGACCAAGACCCATCCATGGGAACTCGTTGTAGATCAAACCAGCATCGAGACCAGCAACCAGGGCACCTGACATAGCAGTAGTGAAGACAAGAGCGGTAAGACCGAAGACGGAGCGTCTGAAGATGCGGAGAGCAGGATGTTGCAGAGCCTTGATAGTCTCAGCAGCCTTGGTCGGGTCTGCTAGCATGCGATGCTCCTTGAGAATCGAAAGACCAGTGTAGACCATTGAGCAGTAGACAGTGAAGGCAGCACCCAGATGGGCAGTCAGGCGATACTGGCTGACACGGGGATGGCTTCCAGGTTCGAAGAGGTCGTCCTTGAGTCCACTTTTGACCATCCACCAGCCGATGGCACCCTGGCCACCGATCATACCGCAAATTCCGATAAGCTTCCAGGCCATTGAAGGCGCTACTCTACGACGTGCGATGAAATAGGCGGTTGGTACGAGCATTGTGATGCCGATGACACGACCCCATAGACGATGAGCCCATTCCATAAAGTAAATCTGCTTGAAGTCGGCCATGTCCATGCTCGAGTTGAGCTGTTGAAACTCGGGTGACGCCTTGTATTTTGTGAACTCGCTGTCCCATTCGGCCTGGCTCATAGGCCAGAGGGAGCCGGTGACGGGACGCCATTCGGTGATACTCAGCCTGTCCAACTTTAGCAGGTGTGACGGATGCAGTGACGTTGTGCCTACCCAGACTCTGTGAGACGAGTCAGGCCACCGAAAACGACTATGCCGAAAACGCTCGCAGCACTCCCCAGCAGCCAGTATGCAACGCTCTTGGAAGTTGTCTTGGGGAAGCTGCTCGACTGGCTTTCAGTCTTGGTCGCAGCTTCCTCCAGTATCGCCCTCCCCGCATTCGATCCCTCAATGGTCGCGGTATTGCGGAGAGGCTGGGTCGATTTCCACCTCACCGATTGCAGGGTGGAAGATCTCGATGAAGATCGTGAAGCGGAGACTGCGGATCGAATCGGCGAATTGAGGCATGGCGTAGATACGAAGAGTCGTCGTGAGAGGCGTGGAGCAGCAGTCCGCAGCTGCGGAAATGCCTTGTATATTGAAGCCATGACAGCGGCACGTAGAGAGGAAGAAGGAGGTTAGTCAGTCATCATGTCATCGACTTTGAGTCTTCGGTGGTTCGATGGCCCGGCGGCGCGCCAAGAAAGAACCCTGCATATCCACCGCCGTTGACAGGCGGAAGCGACGACCCACTCCGCAGGTTCGCAACTGCATCACCGGACCCCTCAGAGTGATGATCGCCATTTGGCGTTTTCCGCGCTGGCAGCGTGATGCGCCCAGCCTCCACCGCATTTTGCTAACGTTATCTTCCTATTCTCCTAGTCCTTTCACCGTCTCTGTTTCGCGTGCGTGACCGCCCCGTGTTATTAGACCCGGCGTGCACTGCGTTACCCCACCCGCTCTGTTCGCATACTCCGTCGCTGTCAAACACCACGACCCATGTACTTCAAGAGCAGTGTATAGCATAGCATGGACCCCGCCCATCAGCCACCCACAGGTCACGGGAGCGCCAGCCTCGACCATGACGCCCAGCCGGAACTTGGTGGATTAAATCGCAATGAAACATGGCCGCTGGTTGAAGCAGAGAGTACAGAGGGCGGCGCAGGCTCAAGTAGCACTCCATACGTCAGCCTTTTCTCACCGAATGTACCCGCCATACCACCCTCTGCACCATCCGACCTCCCTAGCAGCCCCAGGAACCACGTGAGCCACTCTAGGTCTCTCAGCTACTCGCGCTCTATGCCATCACTGGCAGGCTACTCCAGCATGACATCGCGCGCCTCTAGGAATCACGTCTCGCCTGACCGACCACCCATAGTCCAGCTACAGACACAGATTGATCAAGCCCAAAAGAGCGCTGACGACCCAAACACACCTCTCGAAGAGCAGGGCAAAAGGCGCACTACCCTGGATCTTATGCGTGCCGAGCATTCTGTTCGCACCGACATCAGCAGGTTGTTCAGCGAGAGTGCGGCTATGCCAGGAACCAGAGCGCCTTCCTACAGCAATGCGACAGGTCCGCTGTATCTCCGTGGTGAGAACCCCTACGACATCGGATTGTGCACCCGCTAACATTGTCAGCCTCAGGCGAAGCCATACCGCTCCCAGATCACCTCTACACCCGCGGATTAGTCGAAGGACGACACTCGGACATCACAATCATCGCCTTCGGTAACCGATACCCCCTGCATCGTCTCATTCTTGACCGCGCACCATTTTTCACGACCGCTCTTTCAGAACCATGGCTCGAAAGTCAGTCCAAGGAAGTCAAGCTACATCCAGAGGAGATCGATCCTAGCATAACGCAGGCATCGTTTGAGCTGGCCATAAGAAAGCTCTATGGCGTGGATATATCAAAAGAGTCGGATGCCGAGGCTATCGGTCTGTTCGCAACTGGCTGTTGGCTGGAGATGCAGGATCTCATCGACTCTGCAATCGAATCCATACTGCGGCAGATGGCACCAGAGACGCTTGCATACCTCATTCGTTTAGTCACCTCCAACTACTACGGCCGATCTGGAGACCGCATACTTGAATCAGCCAAAGCAATGTTAAGTAGGAATGGCTGGGAAATGCCACTCAAATACTGGGACGACATGCCAGGCGACATCATCCGCGAGCTCGTAGGATCGGACGGCTTCTTTGTCGACAGCGAGTGGGACCGATGGGTGCTCTCCAAGCGTCTTCTTGACCGCCGCCTACGACAAGCCGCCATCGAGGCTGGTCTCATACAGCGAGGACAGAAGCCTATACCACAGGCGCCCAACTCTCTCCGTCTCATGGCCGTTCGCTTTGACGGAGTTTATCGACAGAATGCCTTGACGACAGCGCACTCCTCTTCTGATGCGCAGGCAGACTGGCTTGCTCTTTACACCCTGCCCGACATTGAGCGCATACTCGTGTTGCTAGACGAAGGCATACACTACATTCACATGGAATACGAGCAGCTTGAGTTCATCAGGAATGCCCGTGACGTCTTTGGCCTACCAGTGATGCCTGAAAGGGTCATCTCTAACGCACTGTGGCAGCAGCTGGCTCTCCGCCAGAGAGTGCTCAACACGGATGAGTCTGCTCAGGAACTCGGTCTATGCCAATCAACGCCTGACCCCGAAGTAGCGAATGTGGCAACTAAGTCCGGAAGCGAGCCGACTAGCAAAGGAAAACAAAAAGAAACTACGATTCCTGTTGATGAAGGCGATATCGAATCAGATAGCTGGGACGGTAATGGCAAACCACGGAAATTCTGGATCCCAAGCTCAGACTGCAACATCGTCCTAGGCAACGGGGCTGATCCTGTCGTTACGACCTCAAACTCTTTTCAACGCCATGCTTCGCGTCTCTCAGCCACGATCCAACCAGAGGACGCACAATGGGCTACTGACTTCGCATCTACCCCGTCGACCTTGACCAACCCAAACACCCGCATGGACTTCGCGCAACGTCCGATATCAGCTGGCGGTGGTAACGCTGGACAGCCGAAGCCAATCGCCTACACCGAATTCCCTCCATTCCGCTTTTCGGCCGAGTTCCCCAACCCGCGCTTCCTTAAAGAGAAAAAACGGGTATATTCGAGGACAGTATCATATGCAGGCTCGTTGTGGAACATCTACATCCAGAAAGTCCGCTCCGCAAAGAACATCCAGTTGGGCGTATACCTTCACCGTGCCAAAGAGCGAGAGGTAGACGAGACTGGACACATCAGTAGTCTCAGTCAGCAGAACAATGGATCCGTCGACGAGCGCATTGGTCAGCTAGAGCGCGAAATGCTCATGCGTAGCGATCGACGTGATCGCCGGCGTAGCACTCGAGTCCCGTTCATGGATCCTGGCGCAGAAGAAGACACCTCCGGTAGTGGCGGAGACGCTGACCCTTCTCTCGGCTCTCTAGGACTGCGCAATCCACTCTTCTCCAGTAACGGTCTCGGTCGCCATCGCAGTAGGCTACCGACCCGCGGCATCCCCCAATGGGGCTTCCACAATCTAGCCTCCTCCCCACCTCAAGACGGCGATGCAGTAGACTCACCCTCTTTCCCCAACCTTTCATACACGCCTTCCGACCACGAATCTGATACCCCCTCTACTGACGACGAGTCTGACGCAGCCGCATACATCAACCCCTCCCTTGCCTCCAAAGTCCAGCGCAAAACACGCGCCATCGTCCCCGCACTCCCACCCTATGTCGACGGCCGACCAACCATAAAAACCTATTTCAAAATCTACAGTCCCTCCAAGGGCGGAAGGATGTTAAGCATCTATGAAAGCGCGCCTGACCGCTTCAACTTCAGTCAGAGCTGGGGATGGAAGAGCAGCACTTTGATGCTGGATGAGATTACGATTAGTGGTGGAGGTGATGATACCCTGGCTGGAACTAACCCGGCTGCGAGCAAGAAGACGGACGGCAAATTGAGGTTCATGGTTGTTATTGGGAATTTGTAACAGGCGTACATGGTGGGATGGTATCAAATTGTGTTTTTTTTTTTGGTATGCATCAGCGATGGGTGTTGTGGTGTTAAGATAGTCTTCATCTAAGATGAGCTAGGATGCTACAAACAATCATGTACACTCTCTTCCGAATTTTCTACGCATGTACATGGAACACGCACCCAGCCCTGCGACAGTCAAGTATACATATTCTACCCATCCCTATCCGATTTGATCACAGCGCTATACAAACCATTCCCGCAAACCCACGCCGTAACACCAAAACAACACATTGCTAGTCTTGCCTAAAGACTGAGAAATCACCAACATGGGTTCTTTCCTCTCATCCGAAGACACGCCGCCCCGTCCAGCTAAGAGGCACATGCTATATGTCGTATCAGTATATGTGTATAGACTTGGCCAGAGGAAAAGAGGTAAAGCGAAAAGTTTAGATTTCCCCATTCTTCTGTACGCTAGTAGCAACAGCAACATATGATGGAGACGAACTATAACTGAATATATAGATCCGTACTGCAAACCAAGGTTGATTATCAACCAAACTAATAGCTACAGCTGACACATAGCTTCCAAACCCATGATCTATGCACTACTCCTGCTCGTTATCGCTAGCTTCACTGTCGCTATGAATCATGCCATGCAGTCCTTCCCTCTCAGCCCCAATCAGTGGAGCCCGCTCACCCTCTTTCCTTGCAAAATGGCCTCCAATACTAACAGCCAGAGTACTGAAACCATGTATCATTGTACTTCCAAGCACAACAAAGCAAACAATCGGCCAAATCATGGTAACCGTTCGTTGTTTATCTGCTGGGAGATCGTTTGGTGGATCAGGAAGAGGCAATGAAGTACCGGTCTCGAGTTGTGCGCGAGCTTCAATGGCAAGGAAGAGGGCGCCGACACCCATTGGTCCGAAATGTCCGACGAAGAGGGCTTCAGTGGTGGTTTTTACAGATGGAAGGCATTTCATCTTAAACAGAGTGAAAACAATCGGAATCCTGCGGAAGAGCAGAACGAGTGCGAGTAGGAGCAACAGTCGGAGAGGTGTGATTTCATCCACGCCGCTGAAACTCTGCCATGGGATCATTGCGCCAAAGAAGATGAAGAAAGCCGAATTGATCAACAAGTCGATGACAACGGGTAGGTTGGTCTCCTCTGTTGGAGCATTTTGGTTGTGCGCGAAGCCACGTCCTGCGAAGAAGGCCACCAGGAAGTCATCAACGCCAAGAAGTGATGCCAATCCGATGGAGAAGATGGCCAAGAGAAGGTAGAAGGCGAGGTATGAGGCTCTGCCCATCCACTCACGGCTGTGCGAGAACTTGAATATCGCGTTGAAGAGGTAGCCTAGTGCGATACCCAACAGAACACCTCCGACACACTGGTACAGTACTGTGATGAGGAACCACTTCTTCAGTACCCCACCAACAGTATTCTTCAGCAAAAGACTGAGACCCAGGTACAAGAACGGGAACGACATGCCGTCGTTGCATCCACTCTCTGCGCTTAGGTAATCCCTGATTCGCTTGGGTACTCGGGTGCTGAACTGACTGTTTGACAGCACTGAAGCTGCGAGGACAGGATCTGTTGGGGTGAGACACGCTGCTATGGTCAATCCAGTTTGGAAATCTGTGTCGAAGATGAACGTGACAAGCATGGCACATATCAGCCAGCCAAACGTCATGACAGGTCCCAGGAGAATAAGCAAGGCGCCCCATTTTCTTTGAAGGTAGCCTTTTGGAAGCTCCAGACCGACTGCAAAACATTGGATTCCGACGATGAGGCGCGTCGTCTCTTGAATCCAGTCATCCTGCAGCAGTTAGTATTGTCCGCTTGCATGGCTGCGGTATACTCACAGAGAGGCCCCATTCATAAGGCGTGAGAAGATTCAGAGCACGTGGTCCGACGATCTATCAAACGTATAAGCAGAAGATTCCAATTTTGAACATGTCTGCTACTCACGATACCAAAAGCTGTGGCTAAAGGTGGTTCTGAAAGATGCAGACGGTTCCGAATCATAAGCGAGAACAACGCGTATAAGATGAGAAAGAAGGTCAGGGTCACGTATGTAACGTGAGGCCCCGTAGGCTCAAACTGAGACCAAGCCATGATGCTTCAGCTGGCTGTTAGAAAATTGCGCGTCTGTTTGTCGTTGGGTGCCGTGAAGTCTCTGCGAAGCTTGGGCTTGAGAGAAGGTGCTATGTGATCGCCGTGACGTCGAGAGAATAGGTAAAGGCCGTACGGAAGCGGCACGCTGTAGAAGACAGCGAGTGTTTGTGAGCGAAGACACTCAGGTGGCAGATATCATGGCAACGGCCTTGCGGGGTGGATGCGTGAATAGAATTAATGGCGCGTTGGATCAAGAGTTCCGACGTGAAGGATCACACTGCATGGATCCGCATCGATGACGAAGGTTGGTTGGATTTGGCAGTCACGCTCGGACCGCCCTGCCGGAAGAGGTGGCACCTTGCATATGAGAACCACACTATTGGGCGTCTGATGTGACATGGGTAGAAGAAGATCAGTAGAGACGACGAGTGTGAGTGAGTGAGTGCATATTCGTCGAGTACTATGGCCCTATCATGTATGTGCACCGGGCGCAAAAGCGACATATGCGGCTAGAGCAGCCACAATCTCCACGTGAGCACGCGAGGTAATCAATTCCGCTACTTTTGTATCAAGCGCCTCCCTCGAATATGGATATGCCCAGACGCCGCTCCCACGCGGTGATGCTACTCAATCTGACCACGACCCATCGCGGCTGGTATTAAAAATACATGCAAATTACAGTGAAACCAAGGATTGTTATTAATGGGGGTTCTTGGCTATGCGTCGTCCGGCGGGTTGTTGAAGAAAGCGAATCGTATCCTGTGAAGCTAGAGGAGAGTCAGAGAGATGTAGTGTGGAGGGAAAGGGTATGCATACCGAAGGCAGTTTCGGAATGACGACTGCGAGCGTCGCGAAACAGTTGATGAGAAAATACGTCAAGTCGTATTGCGTGTAATGCGTACTGACGAGAAACAGCACAATGGGAACGCTGAGAAGGAACTTCTTGGCTGGTGTGTATTGGTCTCCGTTGTCAATCTGTTCCCACATGTTGAGGTTGTCGTAGGCACCCGAGTTGAAGTCAAAGGGCACACCGCGCACGTAGTGGAACATGAGGTAGGATCCCGCCACGTACGAGAGGTTTACTAGGGTCCACGATGCTTCCTGCGACATGCCGGGGATGATATCGAACAAGATCTTGCCGAAGAAGATGAGGACAAAGTGGATGGCCCAGGCGCCTGCACATGTTAGCCGGGGACAGGTAGAGAGGGCTCGTTGGCGTGGGCTCACCTTTTGCATTTACCCATTCGGCGTTCAGGTTGGGGAGGGCTGACTGGTCGCTCAGCTGCTCGAGCGACTCGGGGGGCTCTTTGTAGACAAGACTACTGCTACGTCGCCTCCTCGCGTCTTTTGCAGCATCCAGAGACATCTTGGAGTAGGAAGACAGCGGGTCTGATTGGCGGGAGCGCGGGTCGCCAGCAAAGCTCAGGCGGGAGGTGCGATTGAGGAGTATGGGTGACAGTTTGGCGGTATTGATAGGATCGTCGGGCGGCCGGGCGGTGAGAGGGGGGTAGAGATGGGCGGTGGTCGCGTGAGAGAGCTACTGGAGAGCTGCCACGGGCAATGGCATGTCAGTGAGGGCCAAAAGGAGCAAGGCGGCGAGGTGGGCCTTCAGGGTCTTACTGTGTACGCAATATGTACCTTCCGGGCCGTCCGAGCGTTGCAGCGTTGAGCGATTGTCGAGCAAGACTGTGAGGGTGCAGCGTTGAGTTGGTCTTGGTGTAGTTTGTCGTGGTAAAGGAGCAAGGGGAATGATTTCCTCACTGGGCAGGCGTGAAGACGGAAGCGTGGCAGGTCGGTCCACATGATGCTCCAGAGACCGTGTTCCTAGCAATCACCGAGGCCGTGCCCAGAGCGCAGCGCAACCAGACAACTCCAGACCACCACCAGCCAACACGAACGACACCATCCACACCTGATCCTCAACCCACCAGCACCACGCGCCATGGCTTCTGAAGCGCCCAACCCGATGGACGCCCCGGCCCCAGCCCACGCACAGGATGCACCCGATGCAGGCGATGCGACCATGAAGCCCGTCAAGCGGTCGTGGAGGTAATGACGCGCCGACCCCAACACTGCAGTCCCCAGCTAATTGTGCAAAAAGACGCAAGTACCGCAAGATGCGCATCAAGTTCGACGAGGCCATGACGGACAGCGACAACCTCATCAAGCAGGAATGGAAGGCCATGGGCACGGCGCGCCGTCTACAGGAGAACAACGACCAGATCCTCGACATCCTCCTTGAGCTCAATGAACAGACACGCGTCAACCCGCGCCTGCGCTACGACCTGCGCCACCTCTCCCAGGCCGACACCGCCGTGGATTCTCTCGAAGTCGGCCCTGGGCCGGAATTCGTCAAGCAGCAGCTGCAGGCGCTGAGGGATGACGTTGCCGCCAACAGAATCACCCCGGAAGAGTACGCGACCAAAGCAGACCAGTTACACACTTCGCAGGCCATACAGCAGACGCTCAAGTCGCTCGCCAGTCTCCAAAGCAAAGTCCCCCACACGACGCGCGCCGACCTGCCAGACCACCCCATTGAGGGCATCGACCTCAGCGAACATGCGCCAGGCTACATGTCCCCTGCGCACGAAGACGAGTACCTCCTCGCGACCGACCAACTCCTCGAGCAACCTGGCTTCGACCAGACCCTCCAACAAGGCCGTCCCGTCCGTCTCGCCTCCGCTCAACCCCCGCTCAGCGAAAAGGACCTTACTGTGCGCAACCCCGACAGCGTCTACAACTGGCTACGCAAGCACCAGCCACAGGTCTTCCTGCAAGACAAGGACGCCGCGCATCACGAGAATCTCTCGGAAAAGTCTGCCGCACCAAAGACCACCAAGGCCAACGCAGCCAAAGTGAAACGGGAGTCCAACATCGGAGGAGGCACACCCGGTCCCCGCGACCACGACGACGAAGATTCCGCCGCCCCCGAGACCGGCAAAGGCCGACGGAAGACGGGCGGTGGCGGCGACGACGACACAGCCTACCGACCCAAGGGCGGCAGTTCTCGACCCGCAAAGCGCAAGCGGGAAGAGGGCGATACGCCCGTGGGCAAGGGAAGCAGGAAGAAGAATCGCGCCAGTACCGGACAACCTGCTTGACCTACCTCCCAATAGGCCGCGCAGTAGATCAACCTTGTTACCTCCACAACGCCGCCCTAAATGCAAGATGCTCCTGTTGCATAAGCTATGAAAACAGGATCGCCTCATCTGCAATATACATTTGCTGCATAGAAGATTATACGACAGGGGTGCTCTGCAGTATTATGATTCCTCATGGCGACGCTCGGACGTTGCCTTGCCCTCGGTATAAAGACCACGACTATAAATGTGTTCTCTCCCCGTCGCGCATCAAGGCAACAGGAAAGCCTGTCTTCGGTAGAAAATTCACTTAACTTCGAATTGGAGTGGGAGCTGGCGTTTTTTTTCTTGTGGGAACCATTGGCGTAAGAGAGCGGGTTTAGATATACCCTTGGGAAAACAATTACTTCCAGGAGATTGAATGCACAAGGAGTTTGGGGGCCAAACTGGATATTCGGTATTCTACAACCAGCATACGGAGATATAGCTGGTTCCAGCTTTGTACTTGTACAACCAACGTTTCATATTCATACAGAACATTTGATCAATGCAACTACCGCAATGGCTTTCCCCTCGCACCCCCAACCATGACCGTCTCAGGGGCTGGCTGGCTCTCACTCATAAACGGCAAACTCGTCTCAAGCACCTTCTTTCCGTCTACCAGCAAACCGTTGCCCGCACGCTGGTCCTCAAGGTAGGCGGTCTTCTGCCTCTTCTCCTCGAGATACTGTTTCCTTTCTTTCGTCAGCACCCATTCCTTGGGGAACTCGGCCCTCTTCTTAGGTGTGTGGTGGCGGAAGTCAAACGGCACGTCTTCAAAGCTATCTTTCCCTTCTTTGCACTCCTTGATGAGACTCGAGATGGTGTCGCCTAGGAACCTCTTGTTCTGGGATTGGGTATCGAACTTCTCGCACGAGAGTTTGATGATGGAGGTTGAGGGGTTGTACCGAGGTCCGGCTAGCTTGATTAGCTTGGAGACTTGGGTGGGGGTCAAGGAGTGTGTGTTTGAGAGGTCGTCGGGCGAGAATTCGACGACGACTTTGTTGGATGCGGGGTGCGATTCGCCAAGGTAAGATGTGTAGCGGAAACGGAAGGGCGTGGCTGCTGTTGGAGGTTCGAATGGACGGGCGAGGTCTAAGATAAGTTAGTATACGAATGCCACCTCATGTGTGTTCGGTATAAAGAGCACTTACGACTCAATAGTGGCAACTCCCACGCAATCAACCTGGCATACTCCCTCAACTCTCTATGTTGCTGCAACTCTCCGTGACCGTGACTCGTCAAGTCATCTCCATAGTAATCCTCATCCGGCCCCATACTCTCTTCTCCCTCGGCCCAGAATCCCGCGAGCGTCTTCCTCTTGTCGTCTTCCTCGATCTCGAAATCTTCGTCTGCTTCTAGACCAAAGTCACGGGTTTGGGGTAGTCCGCGTTTTCCCTTACGGAGCGCATCGGCGACAACGTTGGGGTCGATTTCGGCGAGCGATGCGCGGAGGTTTTCCAGCATGGCGGTTTCTCGCTCAGGTGTGTTCATCTCCCGGAATGCTTTCGACTTTGTGGTATTGGAGAAGGCTGATTTGGGCAACTCTGGGGCCAATTCGTCCAAAGTCTCGGTTGGTGGTTTCGCATCTGCAGCAGTTGCAGAGCCCTCTTTCGTAGGCTCATTTGCGTATTGGACGGGCGTTGTGGAGAGCGGCCGTTGCCATTGTGCGGATGTGTGCTTTGGTGCTGCTCGAGTTCGTATCCGTGAGGGGCATGCCCGTGACTGCAGAAGCAGTCTTCGTTGTATTGACGCCATTGAGTGTGGTTGTCGAATGGCTGCTGTCGTCGACTTTTCGCAATGCAGCGACGCTTGGCGATGGAGGAGCAAAGTGCGACCGTGCACCGGGCCAATAAGACCTCTCCGACCTCCGCTCTTACCCTGGGCGAGTATCATGCCTCCCATCTGAACTACTTCCTTCATCTCGAATTTTGGAACTATGGCTCGAGCATGATTCTGCAATAGTCTAAATCACATTCACTGATAACCAAAATCTCCATACATCGTTGTCTCATCCATAACACTCACCATGGCCGACACCTGGAGATGGACACCCAGTTCGAAACTCTGCTTCGTTACCACTGGCGCTACTGCGCCATTTACTGAACTCATTAAATCAGTTTTAAATCCTGCATGTCTAGACGCTTTACGAGGATCTGGCTTTACACATCTCTTGGTTCAGTACGGGTCCGCCAAGGACGTCTACCAGGACTCCTCCATGCTTGCTCAAGCATATATGCGAGATAGCAAATCTACCCAAGATCTCATCATAGACGGCATCGATTTCAATCCAGATGGCCTGCAATCCCAGTTCCAATTAGTTCAGCGGTCAAGAGGACTGGTAATCTCGCATGCTGGTACTATTAACCATACATCACGTATCTAGTCACCAACTAACAAAATCCAGGCTCGGGCTCCATCCTCGAAGCACTCCGTTACCAGATCCCACTCATTGTCGTGCCCAACACCGAACTTCTGGACAATCATCAAGAAGAGCTCGCAGTTGCAATGGAACGTAACAATTACCTTGTCCGCGGCGACGTCACGTACGTGCATTCTCTTATATCGGTAGTGTCGTCAGCTAACCAGTCTATAGAAACCTTGCGCCTGCCATAAAGAAGTCTGATGATTTTCGATTGAAGATGTCGCAGTTTCCACCTGTGACAAGTGGGAAACATCGCGAAACCAAGAGCTTCGCGGCTATTATGGATGAGACAACAGGTTACATGGACTAAACCAGCCAGTGTTCGCGCGTGTTACAACCTCCTATTGTCGGATCGGCCGACTCAAGGATGACTAGAGAAGTCGGTTTACTGCTTCAACGTGCTTGAAAGACCGAGCCACAACAGGTGGGTGCAACTGGAAAGCGCGCCACACGGTACTTGCGCTTGACCGTGATGTTTTATAGTCTTGGGGCGTCGGTGGCCCTGGTCACTTGTTGAGGCAATCGCTTCCCTTTGCTGTCCTTCTGAGCGACGTTGCAACTTCCGAATGCTTCACGGTTTACGTATGCCTCATATTTGTATACAAGGTCACAGGGTTACATCCGGATTAGCTCTCTAACTTTTCATTTCGACTTCACTTTGATAACTGTTTGTTTTCACACCACCAATTGGCTTTCTTACTCTGAACCATTTGGACCCGACGCATCCCATATACACGGGTAGATTGTACGATCACATTACCACCGATATGCGTACGCAGCTTTCCATTACAGCAGCGCTGGCTACTGCAGCTTCACTCGCAGTTTCTGTGCGAAGGTACACATTCTTTCACCCGTCCTCGTCCATGTAATCTAATCATTCCTATAGCACTCTTCATGATCGACATGTCGCCTTCGATTGGGACACGGGCAAAGTTCGAGGTGTTAATATTGGTGGTTGGCTAGTCCTTGAGCCATTCATCACACCATCGATCTTCGAGCAACACAGCTCAGCCGATTGGCCAGTCCACGATGAATGGACACTTTGCGAGAAGTTGGGCCAGAGTAGTTGTGCTGATGTGTTGAAGCCGCATTGGGACAACTTCGTCTCGTGGGATGACTTTCGGAAGATCAAGGATGCTGGCTTCAACATTGTTCGCATACCAGTCGGTTATTGGAGGTAGAGTTTTGCCAAAGCTCTACACATAAGTCATGTTGATGATTCCCTAGCTACGTGGAGCCCTGGGGCCCCTACACCGGAGGTGCAGCTCAGTATCTTGACGCTGCAATTGACTGGGCGAGAGCGACTGGTCTGAAGATCATCATTGATCTCCACGGCGCACCCAAGTCCCAGAACGGCTTCGATCACAGCGGCCATGCAGCATATTGGCCAGCCTGGGGCGACTCGGACAGTCTGAGCCATACACATGCTGCACTAAAGCAGATTGAACAGAAATACGCTACACCTGAGATGCAAGACGTTGTGATCGCGATTCAGTTCCTCAACGAACCGTTCCTGCTCAAGCTCGATCAGAATGTGGTCAAACAATTCTATCACGATGCATACTACAACTTACGGGATATCAGCGATACACCTGCTATACTACATGATGGCTTTGAGAACCCGTCTTGGCTAAACGGTTTTCTGACCAAGCAAGACAACGATGCGCGCAACGTTGTTGTAGATCACCACGAGTATCAGATCTTCGACTCTGGGTTGAACGCCATGTCTGTCGACCAACACGTGGCTCTTGCCTGTAACTCTGTACGTCGCAATCTTACCACTACCGCTCCACCATGAAGTGCTTGCTAACCCACCCTTTAGGTCAGCAACTACGACAGCTCAGACAAATGGACAATCGTGGGTGAATGGTCCGGCGCCTTCACCGATTGCGCTCCCCACCTCAACGGCTTCAACTACGGCTCCCGCATGGAGGGTAGCTTCCCTGGGTCTTACTGGATCGGCTCTTGTGCCGGCAAATCCGGCCCTGTGTCTACATGGTCTCAGGACTGGAAGGATAGTGTGCGTCGCTATATTGAGGTTCAACTCGATGCGTATGAAGCCACGACAAGGGGTTGGATCTTCTGGAATTTCAAGACTGAGGGTGGTGCAGGAGAGTGGGATTTGTTTCAGCTGTTGGACGGCGGTGTCTTTCCGCAGCCGTTGTGCGATAGACGATTTGGAAAGGCTTGTGATAATCTTTGAGGCAGGGGCGTGATGGGTGTGGTGGAGTAGGATGAGAGACGGGCGTGTGATGATACGGGTGATTAGCAAGGTGGTATAAGGTGGTACTCGTGTATGTGTATGTTGTATCTTATTGGATATATACTGACATTGTGTGCCAATAAGAAGGGTCACCTGAACGTCGTTTCCCGTTTCTCCAAGTCACGTTGTTGAGTTTGTGCGTTGCTCATACTCGGACGGACTCTACCCTACCATCTGATCCGGCGGTGTAGAGTATGATTGGATCTAGATACGCATCATAGGTAACAATCAAATCACCAGGGCGTATAGCTCAGTGGTAGAGCGCCTGCTTTGCATCTTAATTGGGCAAACTTGCAGGAGGTCTGGATTTCGATCATCCATCCGTCCACAGCTGAGTAACGAGTCTTCGGGCTCGCCCATCTTTTTTTTGTTAATTCATGCCCCACAGATAAATAATCTTAGAAGCCTTGCTTGTGTATGCTTTAAACGCATCATAGGTAGAGAACGTACAAATGTGGTACTTTCCAAGAGCACACCACTCGCTTTGGCAGCACTTACCATACGTCAGATTTGGTCGTTGCAGCATGTAGTTTCGTCTCACCCTTCACGACCGATATCTCATCTCTTCATCCCGTTTCTTTACTCTCACCAAGAAAAACAGAGCTTCTTCTTCACTCGTTTATGATTTCCGGACTGTATTCTATCTACACAAAAACCTTTTTGTCCCTACTATCTGTCCGCATCCGTCTGTCATATACACATACCACTAGCGTTTGAAGTATCGGGATTCAGTCGAGAGCAATAACTGTCTTTTTGTTGGTGGATCGATACACGTAACCACGAACAGCAACAGATAGAATCCATCGCGCGACATTCTTGCAGTCTTGCCGTGATGCGATGACGATTGCTTGGTAGTCGACATCTAAGCACTCATATGGAGTACTTGTTACGTGAGGCATTGCGGTGCAGGATACTAGTATAAGAGGAGACGCGCATCTACTTTGGTCAGGAATTGGGAAAGTACGTATTCCGATTCGGAGGAGTACTGAGTAGTACACTGCGTCCGCGCGAAAAGCGTGTTCCTAGCAGAAGGAGGATGTCTCGGCCGTATCACGGAGGCACAACCTTGCCTGGGGCGATGCGTGCAGAGACGCGCGAACTCTGCGAGAAAGAAAAATCGTTTTGCAAGGAGAAATTTTGCTTAGAAAGCCTGAGAGGTTCAAAAGTCCAGAACCGCGTATCGTCATCTGCAGTTCTCCGCACATCCGTCATTTGCTGCTGTTACGCGTGCGCAACGGAATACGACGTGGGTCTCCCCGCTCGCTACGGCCAACAACTCCTGTCTCCTGTCTGTGTCACGCGCTCAGATCCTACTGTGTACAAAGTCTTATCGGAGCGAAGGTTGAGGGACAACGCTCATATTCATGGGAAGTTCCAATTCCAACAGATTAAAGTGTGTATTCATACAGCCGTCATCGAATGAGGATCGCTCCCACTGCCGCCCTGACTGTCGAGGAGTGCCGAGCCAATTGCCTTGGATTCCAAACGTCCGGTAGTGGTTTTCCTGGTCTTTTAGCGTAGATTGCCGGTGCCGCGCGCGCTCGCTAGTTGTTAGTGTTGGGAACTGCAGCAACGGTTTCGCGCCAAGTACCACGTACCAATTTTGGGCTGTCACTGAGCATTGGGCGGCCCTCAGTGCTTCATTTTCATCCAGAAGATAACAAACCTGCATGTCCCTGCTCTTCAACCGCACAGGCTCCGATCGTGACTTCATCTTTCATTTTCAAAGTGGTGGTCAGAGAGTGTTGAGGTGTGTTCGCCCAGAAACACATCCGAGCCTTCGGGCACGAACATCCCCAGGTAAGATCTAGCTCCTTTTGGAAAGCTATCTTGGGCACTGGTCGGCTAGTGCTGCTGACATGTACCGAGCCACGGTCGAAAATTTCGAATTACGTTCATCGAAGTTCCTCAGCTTTTCGCGCTGAAGTTCAACAGACAGTTGGATGACAGATCGCGATCATTGCGTTGCTTCTCCCGAGCGATTGACCTACCCTGTGTTGCCTAGTGAACTACGAAAAGAAGACCAAAACTATGTCTTGTGAGATGGTTGAGTATGGCAAAGGCTCCTTTCATAAGACGTTTAGTCTACTTCCACGACCCGCATCGTTCATGCAGTGTCAAGACACTTCGTGGGGAGCTGCGTAATGCAGACGAAACGTGGAAGCACAGACGAAATGTGATGGGGAAAGTCAAGAATGCCGTCCAAGACCAACTGTCAAAAAGCTTTTGATGGATTTTAGAGTTCCGGACCGGTTTGCGACGCCCTGTTTTGGTAAGCTTCAATAGCCCCAAGGCGCCTCATTACCAACGGCTTTCACGCGAGCACTTCTGGAAATTGAGCACATTTGATCGATCGTGGTGGGTGTGTGGTCTGGACCTCGTCGCTAATGACCTGCTCCACCTTATTCTCCGAGCATCCCAGCGATCGTGTTTCGCATCACATGGGACGCCTCGATGCGACGATGAGCTTTGTCGTCAAGTGACAGGTATCGCGAGCTGTCTCTATGGAAACGTTGGAGCTTGAATAGAATTTACTGACATGTACATTATGCAGCCCAACAGGATCTGAATGGTGGACGTGGTTACGTCTAATGTGTGCGCATGTAGCTAATGTAGGCGAAAAATGCACCCTGGTCCTCAACTTCCACTGATGCCCCGATGACCTCAGCGGAAGAACGTCCGAACGACAGCGTCGCCCCGCTTCATGGAGCCCGACCTAGCCATAGCCCAATCAGCGCATTCACCGGCGGTCGCTGGACTATTGACCGAACGGCTCTGCATGGATCAACCGTTTTTCTGGCGTAATTCGAAGATCGCCCCGCCTTGCTTTGCGACTGTTAGCGGGGCCGGGGCGGACGCGCAGCTGTGTTTCCCAGTTTCAGTTGTATTTGTACCCGTCCCACCCGTCACAACATAACAACAACAACAAAAAGCAACCCAACATGCCCCTATCAACATAAACACCCACGAGACCCGCACCCTGAACGTTTGAACCATTCCAGGACCACTCCACCAGGACTCAACCCCAAGTCAATCAGGATGACAACCACCATCGGCATGTCATACGAGGACCTTCGGCCGCAGGCTGTGCGGCCGAAGAAGTCCTTCTTCCAGAGGCTGAACGACACTCACGATCAGCTCATCTCGCATATGCGATCGTTAAAGGAGGACCCAGTACTTTCAGTCAAGCAAGGGGAGCGCACGAGAGCATCATCGACGACTTCGCTCACATCAACACCCGAGTCAGACCGTGAAAACTCCCAGGACGCCGCTCGCACTACTGAGATCGACAACGAAGACCGGATCTCAAGTGGCTTCTTGTCCCCACCACTCTCACCAGTTGAGGGCAGCTTCTTCCCTATCCAGCAGTTCCTTCTGCCCAGGGACCGAAAGCCCAGCAAGGAGTTCATTCAAGGCATGCAAGGCTACGTACACTGGAAACAGGCTACTTACGAGTCGACCCTCAGCCTTCCCCTTTCTCCACCGGGAACGCCACAAACCTCGTACTCGTGGAGCTCCTCCAGGAGCACAAAGAGCGAGATGTCTGACGAGCAAATGGACGACTGGCTCGACCGCCCCATGGACGCGGAAGTGCATCGCTACCGCAAGGTTTCAGCCTCGTGGCTGGAGGGCTCGAATGAGTCGAAAGAGGATGAGAAGATGATCCACGTGATCCAAGAGCATCCCGATGAGGACGATAGCGCAGCACGGGAAGAGCGCCAGCACATTTCCGCTATGTGGCGAGAGACCTGGTGTATGCAAGATTCGAGAGAGGGCAGCTTTATTGAAGATTCACACAGCGAGGTTGCCCCAGAAGCGACAGAGGACGTTTCAGCAAAACAGAACGAGGAGAGTAACATTCAGTCAAAGTTTCTTTCGCTACCAGACGAAATTCTGCGTAGCGTCGCCCTTCACGTACCTCAAGAGCACGCTCAGCCATTCCGTCTCAGCTGCATGAAGCTCAACCAGCTTGTAACAGCATCATAGAACGTCACCTGAACCAGAACAAAACATTTCATTTGTCTTTACATTACACTACACATTGCGTCCGACATTTGTCGAGATAGCGCCAAACGATACCCATAGAGAGGCCAGAGAGAGAGCTCACGCTCGCGGACGATGGACTCGAATCAGCAGATTTTTTTGACAGAATAATAATTAGAAGATGTCTTCGTCGATGAAAGGAAGCCCATAAGGCGCACAGGGGAAGCGAGTCCTAGAAAATAGACTGCCAGTATGCCGCGTGCTACTATGCTCCAATAGTTGAGATCACTAAATAATAAAAGCATAAAACATTATTCTCAAACACTGCATCCACTCTAGACCATTTCCTTTGCTTCTGGTCTCCAAAACGTCCTCCCTTCCGGATATAGTTCCTGCGAGTGCACCGATTCGCTCACATCTACCTTCGTCGTGACTGTAATATCACCCAATCCACCAGATGCTTGCGCTTTATTATTGTTCAGCCTCGTAATGCTTTCGGTGCTGCCTCTTTCTGCGACTGGAGAGCTGCTTCCAGATGAACTTCCGCTCGTCTCTCGAGCTTGCTTGGTTTTGGCGTCGATCGTCGTCAACATGTACGCTTTGCCAGCCGCGCCATAGCTTGCATATTCGCCGTCTAATGCCTTATTAGACGATAACTGACCATAGTCTCTGGCTGCGGAGCGCTGCTTTGAGCCTGGTGCGTATGCGCTTGAGTGGTAGCGAAGCTGTGAGGTCTTGCGAGAACCACTGCCGTATGTGGAAACGAGTATAGAGCGGAAAAGCGGTTTGAGGCAGGGCAGATTGCCAGCGATGATGCCAACGTTGCATTCAATGACAGTCCAGATGGTCATGTTGCGCGAGTCCCACAAAAGGTCGCCCTCGCGCCCGTAGGCGGGTAGGTAGGAGAGTTTGACGAAGGCAGCGGCCGTGGCGAACGTTCCGAGGCCAAGGATACATATGAGAGAAGCTTTGTGACGGCGATTCATCTGCACGCCCCATAACATGGGAATCTAAATGGGTTCATTAGCAGAGTATGTAACCGCTTGGAGTAAGGTGGAGACCCACAGGTATGCCGACTGAAAAGGCAATGTCGGTAAGGATGTTCAGCACGATGTTGAGAAAGCCCAAGGCTTGTCTTGTTTTGACGGTCCAACATGTACCCTTGACGCGTTGGTCCCACATCAAACGGATATCCGTGCATTGCAGTAGAACTGTAAGGACACAGCCGACCGTATAGATGCTCATAAACGCTGCAAATAGTCAGCATCTCCATAGTTGCAGTCTGAGAAATGGCGCTTTTACCCATGATGCCGCTGATTAGGCGTTTGTAGAATTTCCCGACCGCGATTCTTAAGAGGAAGAAACCCACCGAAATCTTTACAAAACAGATTGCGAAGAGAAATACGGGCTGAGAAATGAGGTTCAGCCTGAGGCCCGCTATGAAGTCCTCAGGCTTGATGTAATCGACATGCTTTCCTGCTCCATAGTGGACTTGGGGGATGACGAGGCATTGACCAGCAACGCACTACAAAGCTGTCAGTAACTATACCAGAAGTAAATACTCTACTGTTTCATACCAACATCATAGCCAACAGCATCACATAGTCCTGGTGGCAGATAGATGTCAGTGGAGGTCACCCATGTTCACTGCCGAGCACTCACGTCCCAACCAACATTCCTGATCATCCTAATCCTGACGTAGAATCTCGCAATCGTAGTAAGCACGGCCACGATGGTGACGGTTAGCGTAGTTCCGAGGATGGTCGGGCCCTCATTCTCGTAGGGACGCATCGGCGGCATCGCTGCGCCGCTCTGCTGCATCGTGGAGCGTACGTCGATTGGGAGTAAAGGATTTCAGAACACGCGATTTTCTCAAAGAACCAGCAAGATGCTTGTAATATAACACCAGCGATCGGGAAATGGAGACAGACGTCAGGGGTTTCACATGGCTTTCGTGTTCTGAGACCAGCAGCTCCTGTCTGCGATTCCTTAACGCGCCACGCGGAAAAGCCGAGAGAATACAGTTAACGGCAAACCTTGTTTTCAATAACCCATCACTCAAAGAGTAGATGGAGGATGAGCTTGTCGAGGCTGGTTCCGGACAGGAACAACATAGCCTGGCGAGAAAGCACTTGGACTAGTCTCGCTAACGAGAAAGGTGGCTGTGAGTGACTGATTCGAGACGAAAGCATACCTCGGCAGGGCAAACTGACGGCGCGGGAGATGGTATGTTGTGACAGACATATATCCCTGCAGACGATAGAGTCTCGTGTGCAGGGTCTCGAGCAAGGTGCTGGGTACGGTAACCTCCGTGTGATATGAGAATCCGTGTGTTTGGTAGCACTTGCTGTAGCTCGTGCAGCAAATGTAGTGATATTAATTCGCAGTACTCCATCAACTAAGAAACCTTTCAGTTGTTCTGCGCTCGGTCATTCGGCTAACACGCTGATACCATCGATGAGTTGACTCGAGTCCATAGCTGAGTCGCTAAGCCACGTGGGTATCGACGTTACCAAGATGTAATAGTAGTGTATGAGATCTAAGATGCCGCATGAACCGTACCCTCAATATCGTTAAAGCAGGTGATCGAGACTAGTAGTCCGCATGTCATACCGTTTACTGCACGTCTTTGAAACTAAAACACTGAAGGATGCTAGTCGTGCAGCACGGGTTCTTGGAAGGCGAGCTTGTCAATCCGAACAAGTGCCGACAGGAGCAGAAGGGGGTCTGCGGCTCGTCTAAGTACATAGACGTGACATGCTGATGGATATGAGACTCAATTCTACTTGTACAGTCGCGTACATATGGGTAGAATCTATCACAAACCTGTTCCCAAGGACTCACTTTACTCATAAGCTTCAGAACACTCACTAGAATATTCCTGATATGCCTCCCCCCACATACCGAGGAAGTTGCGAAACCCGCTGGAGAATCGGTTAATATCCTATACGCTTGTCGCTTCCCAACGCCTCATCCGGAAGGTCGCAATACCCGGTAGGCCTCTCGGAGCTCAGAAGATGGTGCTTAAGCCAATGGTAACTCTAGAATGGGTGTTTCGGTGCGGCTGGACGTTATTGTCGCGATCGAGATTACCCGGTAGTTTGGAGGCCTTGTCCTCGGCGCGGTTGATGGAGTTGAGGAGGCGGGACGGGGACGCGGCAAGACGGATCTCAGCCTTAGCGGAGCTTAGCGCTTCGGCATGATTTGCGCCACCAATGTCCAGCCGCATCAGATGCTTCCCATTCTTCACTCAACTCGCACGACATCCGAGAAGCCAATCCCAATGCAGAACCCTGAATCATGGAAGGATGAGTATGCTTTCAAGGAGGTTTTCTAGACCTGAACTGCCGCCTGTAAGAAAAAATGTTCCTTTCTTCCTGCACGTTGGTGGGCCGCGGCTCAACATGCAGGGCTGTGGTGTGATTGCCTGCAGACGTGGAACAGATTGGTATCAAGGCATCCCGACATAATTTCACACATTCAAAAAGGCGGTTGGGGTACAATGTCAGAGTTATATGTTGCATAGGACCTCAGGGACCACCTAGCTAATATCATTACTCGCATACCGCATGGATCAGATCGCCTTTCGCTCATCATGTTCCCGCGCACGGAAACATACTGGGGCTCTTTAGCCAAACGATATTGGGCCAGCGGGGTTGCCCAAAGATCCGGCAAAGCTCCACTTGACATCGTAGTGCGATGTGAGTTGTCCGGCAGACTACATCCGGGTCTTCCATGGACATGTCGCCGAACGATAGCTCTGTATACGGCACGCTTGCGGCAAAGGCGCGCTTGATAGAAAGTCCGCCAATCTAGCCTTATGGTCCTTGCGTTCAGGGCATAACGTCTGCTCGGAGATGCGTATACACATGCGCCAGGCACCGATAGGTTATGGCCCCACCCGTGGCATTACCTTGCCTCGATGCTTGGACGTCAGCTTGAGAGACAGTAAGGTTAGCTGCGGTGTACTACACAATTCTAGCAAAGATCAAGTGGCTCTGGGAGGTTCTCGCCCCCAAATCCTGGCACCGAGGCGTGGCAGGCCTATTTTTGAAGCGGTGTAAGATTATTCTCTGATATATATGTGTAAGAAAACGCCTTCTTCTTTTTGCACCACAGCACAAGGCCTCATCTTCCGATCAAGCAACCACGCCCATATCTTCCATTCACTTGGTCAGAATACAATATGCGTTTCAACTCCCCTCTAGCGCTGGCTGTTCTTGCTGGAACGCTGTCGAATGCACTACCAGCTCCTCAAAATGCGCCTGTAGACCCGTCTTCGCTACCCACCTCGGCATCGAGCGACCCTGCGATTGCTAGCGAGCAACTTGATCAACTGTTTGCGTTCGCTCAACAACAAGCCAACGACGACCTAGCAGCAAGTTCGTCGAAGAGAGCCACCTGCAACAAGAACACTGTCGCGGTGCGCAAAGAATGGAACGCCCTATCGAACACAGAACGCAAAGCCTATACCGATGCAGTGCTTTGTCTTCAGGCGAAGAAAGCAAACACGCCTGCCTCACTCATCCCTGGAGCAAAGTCACGATTCGATGACTTCGTCGGTAACCACATCCTAAAGACCATGGAAATCCACTACACCGGCACTTTCCTCGCATGGCATCGGTACTTTACTTGGCAGTACGAGCAAGCCCTTCGTAACGAATGTGGATACAAGGGTTACCAACCCTACTGGAACTGGGCAAAGACCGCTGTCAGCGGTCTTGACAAAGCGCCAATGCTCGATGGATCTGCGTATTCCATGTCAGGCAACGGAGAGAAAATCGCTGGCCAGGGCAATGTTGTCATTGCTGGCAGAGGCGAACCAATTATTACTATCCCACCCGGTACCGGAGGTGGCTGTGTAAAGAGCGGTCCGTTCAAGAACATGAGTGAGTATTCCCATTACTACAGCGCACTCTCATCGACGTAAACTAACCGAGATATCCAGAGGTTAACCTTGGCCCTGTTGCTTTGAGCACCACCAACGGTACCGAAATCGCCAACGGAGATGGCCTTTCATACAACCCGAGATGTCTGACGCGGGACTTGACCGACTACAGCAACAAGAAGTGGGCTAATGCGGCTGCCATTGCCGACTTGATTATCAACAAGAAGGACATCTGGCAGTTCGAGATGGTAATGCAGGGTGTACCAGGAACCGACAGTCTGGGCGTACACGGCGGCGGTCACTACTCCATGGGCGGCGACCCCGGCCGCGACTTCTTCGTATCGCCTGGTGACCCACTGTTCTACCTTCATCATGGTATGATCGACAAGGTGTGGTGGACTTGGCAGCAGCTTGACCCCAAGACCCGTGTGGAGAGCGAGAAGGGAGGTGTTTCCGGTACCGGCACGTTTTTGAACAACCCACCTTCGGCTAACACGACCTTCGATACTGTTATTGATCTTGGCTACGCTGCGAGTGGATCACAGAGGATGGAGGATTTGATGAGCACGACCGAGGGGCCGTTCTGCTACATCTACGTGTAAACACGAATGTTTGGTTATGAAATATCTAATGAGAATTTATATAGACATTAATCAATAATACTACACATATGAAGACCTGACGAGTGCTTGAAAGCGTTTAATTCATCGAATTTAGTGCACTACACAGCATAGAACGCGGCTTTCCACCTCCACCGCCACATCCTCGCAAAACCAATCAACACACCGCCACCGATCATACAAGCACCCGCTACCTTGATCACAACCTTCTCTCCGTTCTTGTTTCCCTCAAGCAACGCTGCCGCTCCAACAATACCACCAAAGGCACCCAGCCCAGCCAGCGCCATGATGATAGCCACACGCGCAGGCATATCATCCTCCCACCTCCCCTCTACTTTCTTGCTGAGAAACATCGCCGCAACAATCATATGGAGTGACAGTACCGCACCAAGCGCGACACCATATGCCCCAGCAAGTAGAACAACGACGTAGAGCCGCGGATACAGCACCGGCGCAAGGCAAATCGCACCAGCGAGTATCGAAGCAGCGACAAAAATGTTGACAGCTCCAACCTTTTTCAAACTCCTCAAGTTTGCCATCACTGATCCCGAAACAGCCGCGACACCCAGCATACCGAGTATCGCATACGCCGCCGCATCGGGAAAGAAAAGCCCAGGCACTTGCGTCAGCAAAACGATGTTGAAGACCGGATATATCAACACGCCCGCAAAAACAAGGATATAGCCCAGTATAAACCACATTCCACCACCTCTTGCTTCTTGGAGAAACCCCTTTGGCATACAAAGATGGAGTTTATACCTCTGCGTCGAAAGTTCCTCATCCTCAGGCTTCAGTCCTACTAGGAGGAGGAACGCAGAGAGTAGCGTAGCGCCCATGACGCCTCCACTGTACACATACGCCAACCCGCCGCCGCTGTTGGCGCCGCCAAGACCAGCATCTTGGAAAGCAAAGCGTGCGATGACCGTATACACGACCGCGCCAGCAAACGCAGCAAAACCCGACTGTACAGAAGCCAAGGGTACATCTTTCCGGTAATGACTCGCAAGAACCAACGTACTGATTGTAAAACACGTCCCTAGTGCTCCTCCTAGAACCAGTCCCCGTAAGAGTAGAACAGCAATGTAGTTCTTCTGAACCGTATAGCTGAGAAACTCAGAGGTAGTCGCTACAACGATGGCTACGCCGAAGAGCAGATTCCAACCCCAACTCGACCACCGATATCCGTGTTGCCGATTTGCTAGCGCGTTGTAGAGATGGCCGACAGGCAACGGTGAGGCGAGCAAGATGAAGATTTGCAGGCCGATGACCACAGCGAGGGAAGTAAGCGACTTGGTGGGAAATACGCTGGTGAAATCGTGTTCTAGCCTTGAAGCTGATGAGAGAGGGATGCCGAGGACGTTGAAGAGAACAAGCGCTTGGGCGTAAATTCTGTGATTGGTAGGTTAGCCCGTATTGCACTGCAATACCAAGAGAGGGGGATGAGTACGATCGGTTTCGGTGTCTATGAGCTCGCTCGGACGACGAGGATACAGCATGAAGTGGGTTGCCAGCGACGCTGCCTTGGTTCCATTTCTTCCTTGCTGCGGGCTCAACGAAGTCGCCTTGTCGAACGGCGGATATGTTGGATGGTTCGGGAGTTGATCGGCGTGGCATTCTGAGGGGCTGTCAAAGATGGACGTGGAGCTATCAATGTTGTATGGTGAGTGATGTGGTTGGTGTTTCAATTCGAGGATTCTCTGGTAACGAAGGACAGAGAGGGAGAGAACGAGAAGGTGTGATCAATGTGCAAACGAGATGGAGTACAAGCCATAATTGACTGATATAGAGAGAGCGTTGTCGTGGTGGCCTATCAAACGCATCAATTATGCGTCAATCCCCTCAGTAATGTCGATTCGTAAATGTACCATCACAAGAAAAACCTCAGTACATCGTTTTGACAAGCGAAGAAATGTCATTCAGTCTCCCTATACCGCCATTAGTTTTGCCAGCTACCTTGACCAAAGAAAATTCCCAACAGCGATCCACACATGGTGATAGCAAAACCCATGAAACAGCCCAGAACGCCAGAAGCAAAGTTAGCTTTTCCCATGCACAAAGTCGACTTAGAAGATGGAGTTGACAATGTTACCACCAATCGTCGCACCAGCACCGAAGATGGCAGCATTACCCAGCTTCTTTCCAAACTTCTTGCCGTTGGCTTCCATCTTGCTCGGCTCGGCAGGCGGCCCCGCTTGCGCACTGCTCGCAACATCGAGGGGCATGTTACCGTAATTGCTGGGAGCAGGCGCCGAGGGAGTGTAGGCAGGCATGACGCTCTTCTCCTCCTTGCGGACGTAGCTAGCGGGGAAAATGCCCTCCATGCCGGTGCGCTCGTTGCGTCCCTTCCACCACTCGTTGTTCATGTACTCGGTGACTTGGACCTTGTCGTTGGGCATGAGGGCCAGGTCGCCGGCGTCTTGGGCGTTGTACTGGTACATTGCTGAGGCATAGGCGAGGACAGGGGGGCCGGCGGGGGTAGCGGGGACAGAGGGGTAGGCAGGCGGCGGGGCGTTGGCGGTGTTGTCGGCATAGTATCCAATGTTTGTGTTCTTCTTCTCCGGGGGAGGCGTGGGCTCGCTCTTGATGGCTAGCGACGAGAGTTGTGCGGTTGGCACGGCGGGGAGCGCGCGCGAGCTGTTTTCGGCGCTGACGGGCAGTTGCGAGGCGATGGTGTCGTGCTGGGCCGAGGTGATGACGTTGGATTCGACGAGGAATTCGAGGTTCTGCGCATATTCGTCAGCTTGAGGTGGCAGTCAGGAGTTCGGGCAGCTTACGTTCTTGATGTCGCGAAGCGATCGGTTGATCATCGCATTTCTGAAGCTGTCCGCCATGATGGGTGTGGGTTGAGAATCTAGATTACTTGGGACGCGCAAAAGCCAATCGTGAGTAGGCGATCAACTGGATTGTACAGGGAGGAATGGGCCAGAGAATGCAGCGACGGGAGTTGTGAGTTGGGTCGACTTGATACGAGTAGGAGCAGACTAGCGGCGCACCACCTCGGAACATGTGCGCCGCAATGGGGCTGTGCTCATGTTGGCTGCGCAACCCGTGCAGCCTGCCGACTTTACTTCTTCACCGAAACCGCCATTGAACCTAACCTGACATTGATCGTTGAGACATGTTGCTTTTCCCATGTTTCCTCACTAAACATCGGCTCTACACTGTCATTCTTTCCACGCGCGTCCGTCAGGGTCTAAACGTGGCTTGACTACTCAGGTACCAGAATGGCCCCACTCATCCGCCGTCTATTTTTACATGTTTACTATCTGCACTCAATGCCTACGACTGCGACAAGAAGATCTGCTTGTACATCTCCTGCCTCTTGTTCTCAAACGCATCAAAAGCCTTTCCAACAAATCCCACCGGAATCTGATCCTTGCCCTCCACCAATCCCTTCCAAGCCTCATCCGTAAACTCAGTCAGCGGCATGCCAATGTTGCCCCCATCTTTAATATCCGGCTGGTGTTTCGCATCGTGCAACTCCGTCTGCACAGCTGGCGGGAAGATCTCAATGACCTTGATGTTTCCGGGTCCGTTTGCTAGTTGATGGCGGAGAACAAGGATCATGTGATGCAGCGCCGCTTTGGAAGCGCAGTAGTTCGGACAACGCGGAAGTGGCATGAGCGCAAGTCCAGAGGTCGTGTAAATGAGCGAAGTTTCCTTGTCCTGCTTCTGGAGGAACGGGATGAATGCCGTGGTAAGATGCATGTACGACAGATAATTCGTCCTAAACTCCATCTCCAGCATATCTAGATCCACCGTCTCGGGCTTGGAAAAGTCGAAACCGCGCTGGATGCCCGAGTTGAGGAAAATGGAATCGAGGTCCGGGTGCTTGCTCGTTACATCTTTGACAAACTTTGGGATCTCGTCGAGCTTTGTAATGTCAAAGACGATGCTCGAGACTTTGTCGCTGCCGTACTTCTTCTGGAATTCGTCGAGCTTTTCTTGTCGCCGTCCAACGATGATGGCGTGTTTGCCGTCTTCTACAATCTTCTCTGCGAGTGCCCAGCCAATGCCGGATGTCGCGCCTAGCACGAGAACCTTGTTGTATTTAAGAGACATGCTGTAAGTTTGAATTGAGTTGTGTATTGATATGCAAGTATACGAGGCACGTCTGGGAATCGAGCGGTTTTGTAGTGGCGTCGAAGTTATCATAAACACATCATTAACGCCGCTGCCACGCAATCTCTACCCTGTTTGATATGCACTATGGACCCCACCATAGCTGCATCTCGGTGGTAACGGACTTTACAAAACAAAAGTAAGTGATGCCATGGTGCGCGTGGGAGATCTAGAACCGATACGTCATGGTGAAGATGTGGATCGGGCTCTCGGCAGTTGCAATGTACCCAGGTACCTCGCCTTCGGCCATCGCATTCTCCGACTCAACACCACCAAGACTGAAAACTTCACAGACAAGAATCATATGATGAATAACGAGTGTATTGCGCTGCTACTTTCTAGCAAAGCGGGGTATCAAATTATATTATTAACTAAAGCCGTCACATCCGCCACGCGCAAGCATTATGAGCACAGCAACTTCCGCACAAAAGCATTGCCCTTCTCCTCGTCCTCGTCCTTGCTCAACTGACTGTTGGCGCGCGAAACGTTGACAAACTTGGGCCATGTGTTTGTGAGAACAAGATACTTGATCTCGCTCTCTGCGGCATCGAACACCAACTCGTTGAACGAGTCCGGAACGTCAACATCTATGACTGACTCGTCCCCGTAGAGCTCGCCCAATCGGGATACAGCCTTCAAGTTCGCACGCCCAAGTTTATCAAGACTGATAGCGTTCGCCGAGATGTGGGTGTTGCTCTTGTCGTTGATGGGCGAGTCCGATGCATCATCGGGCATGACATTGTCAAACGGTGTAGCGTCGCTCGATGAAGAGGAATCGGAACTTAGACGACGGCCGAAGAGAAGCTTTGCTGTCCTCTCGAAAACAGTGTGAAGGCGCTTCATCTCCTTTGATGAAATGTTGATAGGAAATTCGGAAAACTCGAGGGAAATGAAGTGAGCGTAGATGCGCGTGGCAGCAAGGAACTGCTTGCGGCGGTGGTCGGTAGTGGATGACTTGGGTGAGAACCAGTAGAGGCGCCAGTCTGAGACGTGGGTTAGGAAACTGACATTCTCGCCTATTGGTGTAAAGTTAGTATATTTATCTGCACAACGGTATGCGACAAACTTACCAGAAAAGTCCTTCAAGGCAGCAAACTGGAGCAGTGGCATGGCGTTGGACCTGAGTGCGTTCTCCAGGGCAGTCATGGTCAAAATGTCAGACTTCTGCGAGTCGAATGAGCGGTCGCCGACGCTGACCTCGCCACCAGACTTGAGTGTCGTCGTACTAGAGAACTCGCTAGGGCTCTTGAAGGGTGCATCGGTAGACGCGACTTCCAAGTTTGCAGTCGCCTGACGAGCTTCCCAGTTGGCAATGGCATCAAGAGTCTCTTGACGCAATCTGTTGCTCCTGAGCACATCGACGATTGGGAACGCGATGGTGCAGATCTCCATGATGCAGAAGCAGACAGCGAACCATACTGGTGGCGGGAAGACGGCGTTCATGGGAGCAAACGAAGGAGTGTAAAGGCCTAAGAGCCAGAGCGGAGATGCAGGAAGTCTACAAAAGTCAGTGATGAAGACAGACCCACAGCAATCGTAACATACCCAGCAATGCAACAGAGGATGGTTTGGAGACGCCAGCCGTGAACATCGCGAATGCCGCGCGACTTGAAGAGGATCCATGGGGCGTAAATCCAAGACCAGAATAGCTGCCATACAATCGACAGCCACCACTCCCAGCCCTTGCTGCAGTTTGCGCGCACTTCCCCGCCAGTACCTTGTACGGTATAGTTGATGATACCGTAGCCGTGGTGGAACTTTTCTGAAGCGAAAAAGACGAAGAGAACGAGGGCGAGCTGGTTCGTGGGTTAACTACAGTCGCATGACCAGTGCAGAGTTTACTTACCTGAACAGCCATGCCAATTCCAATGAAAATCAATGTTCGCTCAATATTGTCTGCCCGCTCAACCCCGTTCATGATCCTCTTCCATCGGCTGTTGACGACTTCTTGAGCCTTTTTCTCGTCGATAGGCTCGTGGTCTTTCAGAGAGCTCATACGAGCAAACTGCTTTTGACGACTGGCGAGGTGCAAGAACTGACTGTTCGAGGCGTGGAACAAAGCCATACCCAATGGGACTGTGATGGACATCTACTCGTGTTAGCAAAAATTCATATTCATGTCGTCGTGTGACATACCATCCAGAATTCAAGAGAGCATGGGACCGCTGGGCCGATCGGGTAGGCTAAACAGCAGAGGGAGCCATAGATGTGGAGTACACCAATACCGGCAAACAAGAGTGGCAGCCTTCGCATCCGAAGAGAGGGGTGCTTGCGATGAGCCCATAGGAAGCTGACACCAGTGAAGGTTAGGATGTTCCAAATGATGAAAATGGTGATGTAGGTCCATCCGACACGATCGAGAGGAAGTGTGTAACCCATGGTGTCCCGTAAAGAAAGTGATTAAAGGAACGTATTGAGTACTGCGACTTGCTCAGCGAGACTGGTGTCGTGATAAATGCGAACAGCCTCGACCTTATACAGGCAGAGTCAATCAACAGAAGTTTAATGAGAGTATTGTCGGCGAGACGACAGGTGAAAGGGTTCGCGGCATGGTGCAGGGTACGAAGATCGACGTCTTGTCCCGAAGATTCATCTTGGACGCGGGAGATGTTCAAGGGTGCGCAATGCTGATAGAGTTGACAGTGCTGAACCTGTCAACCAACGATGTGCCGCTGGTGGACACCGGATCGTAGTGCTAGAGTCGGATAAGGCTTCGTCTTGTGTGGAACCGGTTAGTGCAAGATCTGGTAGCTGGCTATCCCGGCCAAATTGCTGATCCTCATTTAATCGCACGATACCCCAGGGTCACATCCTTTCGCGATGATGCGTCCTTGCTTTTGCACGTTGGGCGCGAAACACGTGGTTGGTGTACCTGAGGATTGTTTTGTTTTCACCGGAAGGCGATTTTCTCGGAGACATAACACCCTGAAAATCCCCAAAAGATTGGTTTTGCCGATGCGCAGCGGGGGCGCAGCGAAGTCATAAAGGCAGATTCCGTCGTCAGTTCTTGGTTCTGCACTGCGCGGTCTCGTCGATCTCATGTCTCTCAGAACATGAGTTCGCCGACCTGGTCCCGATTCGACAAACCAATGTTTTCTAACGGCCTATGCCGCCTCGCCGACAGTACTTTCCATCGTCATGTGTATGACTCGGCGATTGTCACATGGTTGTCTGTCCTATACCCGGGTGCGCGGAAGTCCGGGGGGCCATGTTTCTCACTACAAACCTCCTGTTAGCTTGGTCCGAGCGTCCGATTATGCCGGAACCGTGGTGGCGTGGTTATGTTCTGCTGTAGTTCTGAAGATCATGAAGAATCCGATAAACATTGCAAGAGCCTATGTCGAATAAGGCTGACAAGTAAACTTTCCCAATAGTCGATATGAGCAGGCGACTGTCAAAACGCCACAACTGACCTAGATGATCGTCATGACATGCCGATAGAACACTCCCTGAAGCACGTCACGTAACTAGACCGACCTCCTGTCACCATGCATAGCGGCACTTGTATGAATGCGCGTACAGTTATCCTAGGTGGAGATATTGCACAATGCCATCGGGACGATAGGGATCGGAGAAGCACCGAGCCGCCGGCTCGAACCAGGTATATTGATTGAGGCGAGAAGGATGATGGCTACACAGTAACCGGAGAACCTTCAGATTCCAAGCATTCGATCACTTACCCCAGGCACACAATGGCATGGCACACCTCAAGGTACATGGGTCACGGACCTCAAGGTGTGCCAAGCGGTCGAGACTCGTATGTTCACAGGCCAGGCGGGCAGTTTGGGCTCAGCCTCGCGCTCGTGCTCCGGAAGTATTCGATCGCGAAGACTGTACAATTAGGAAGGTGCTTTGGTTCATCTGTGCTGTTCTGCTATTAGAAGTCCGATGTTCTTCGGAAGCATTCATGTCCACAACCATGACTGCTGTGTTGACCTGGTTTGACTTGACACGACGATAGATAGGGTCAAGGCGTTCTGTCGTACCATAGTATGCGTTGCGCGCTACTATGGCAGTCGATAGGCTGCATGGTGCATGGTGCTATGAGCGAACTTTACCACACCGTCACGCATCACGTTTACCAGAATTGCGGGGTAGGAGCGCACAGCTTGACCGGACAGGCGAGAACAGAGTTTTCAGGACAGGGCAACTCGGTGCTTTGGTGTTTCGTTGAGAGGGGGGAGGTCAGGAAGGTGGAGATTGGGTACGAGGTCTGAAGATGAGAGGCGGCTGTTTCAGCTGCCGAATGCATGACGGTAATCCTGCCCCACGCGCACATGGGTAATGACTCGCGCACGATTTCTTTCTCCCCGCAGCCCACTCAGCCATCTTCGCGTCACCGTTTTGCAACAACCATACCCAAAAATGCCGCCTTCACCCTGCGCCCTGTGCATGGTGAACCGGGCGCTTATTCTCCGACCCAAGGATCATTCCAAGTTGTGCAAGACATGCTTCATATCCGTCTTTGAGACAGAAATTCACCATACCATCACCACAAATTCGCTTTTCCAGCGCGGAGAAAAAGTCGCCATCGGTGCTTCAGGTGGTAAAGACAGCACTGTCCTCGCCTCTGTTCTCAAGACTCTCAATGAGCGCTACGACTATGGCCTTGACCTCATCTTACTATCCATCGATGAGGGAATCAAGGGCTACCGGGACGATAGTTTGGAGACGGTGAAAAGAAATGCGGAGCAGTACGAAATGGAGTTGACAATTTTGGGATACGCGGAACTATATGGATGGACCATGGATCAAGTGGTGGAGCAGGTGGGCAAGAAAGGCAACTGCACGTATTGTGGCGTTTTCAGAAGACAAGCGCTTGATCGCGGAGCGTCACGGCTGGGAGTCAAGCATGTGGTGACAGGACACAACGCTGATGATGTCGCCGAGACAGTGTTGATGAACTGTAAGTATTATAGTTTCGGCGTTTGATTGTGGAGTATGCTGACTGGAATAGTGCTCAGAGGCGACCTCCCCCGACTGTCGCGCACCACTTCCATCATCACATCTACCCCCTCGGCCTCTTCTGACCCTGCCTCGAATACGAACATCAAGCGTAGCAAGCCTCTCAAGTACGCATACGAGAAGGAGATTGTTCTCTACGCCCATCACAAGAACCTGGACTACTTTAGCACTGAATGCATATACTCGCCCGAAGCCTTTCGCGGCAGCGCACGAGCTCTCATCAAGAACCTTGAGAGGGTACGGCCCAGCGCTATCCTCGATGTTGTCAGGAGTGGTGAGGACATGGCAAAGCTTGTACCCGGTAGCGATGAAGGATGCGGGGGTGCTTGTGCTAGCAGTATGCCTGTTGCCGAAGAAGAGGAAGGTGGATGTGGAAGTGCCCAAGGGCGCAGCACAGGTGGTGAAATGGCGAGTGTGGAGGCACAACTGAGACAGAATGAAGCCGCAGTTGACGGCAATCTCGAGACCGAGATCACAATTAAGAGCGTTAACAGCAACGGCGCAGTACCACTAGCGAACGGAAAGAAAGCTAAGAAAGGTTTCACACCCAGGAAGACGGCAAAGCAAGTCATGGGCCAGTGCAAGAAGTGTGGATACCTCTCGAGTCAAGAAGTCTGCAAGGCCTGCGTTCTGCTTGAAGGACTCAACAAGGCGCGACCAAAGAACAAAATCGAGGTCGGTTACGAGGTCCAAGATGTAAGCCTCAACAGTGTTCGCGACGAGCTCGAGGCTACGACTATCGGATGAGAATGAAACCACAACCAAAAGAGATCCTTTTACGACTGCCCGTAATGCGCAAGGCACCGCTACGGCCTTGATCAGATTACCAACCGCTTTGCGTGTTCTCAGGTATAGCGACAAGCTGTACGACAGTCTGTGGGAAACAGATCTGTTTGATATACTGCACAACACCAACGCCGTGTTTGCAGCAGCTTGTCTATTCAAACTTACCGGAGCGTCCCGAATCACATCTAGATGGGCCGGTGGCTTGACATAGTCGGTGTGCGTTACAAGCCTCGTGGCTGACAGACTCGTGTGACGAGGTGTGAGCGTGACGAGGTGTGAGCGTGACCTGTCAGAGCAAGACAAGCGTCTCAGTCACACGAGAGTCAACACTCCACTACCTCGCACGAATGATCTTACGCCCTCATGTCTCACTCGGAGCTGTGACCATAGCTAATTCGCACTGCATCGGTGCTGTCGCACTCAGCGGGAGAGCGGTACGTACCGAGTTGCCTTTGTGCCCTGGTACTTTTGTGTTGTAGCATCTAGGAGACTTGACGTGTTGGTTGTATATTCCCGGGTCAAGCGTTGACAGCATAGCGACAATGTTAAACATCACAGGAGACCAGGAAAAGGCTTATGAAGAAAGAATGGGTGCTATTCATAACAGTGGAGGTATAGAGCATCGTTGTAAAACGCCTCCCATGGTATCTCGGAAATCCACCATACCACCCGTTTACCCGTTTCCAATCAATATCCGTGAACGCCATCTCTATGCAATGCTTCCCATAAATCCAACACAACATGCAAAGACAATAAGGAAAGCAGCCTTAGTCTGAACCATCGAAGTGTGGCCGGCTCCACTCTGAGCAAGCCGTAAGCCGGGTGAACGTCATAGCTGGAAACCAAACTCCTTATTCATCTTCCACGGCCCATCGACCGTGACAGCACCCTTATCAGCGTCAAAGTTGCCGGTAGCGCCAGCCTGGCTCTGGCCCAGCACAACGACTTGGCCAACGGTGATGCTCTCTCCATCGGCACCCGAGTACCCGAATGTACCTGTCGCGCTGAACTTGCCACCATCAAACGAGAAGGAGATTTCGCTGGTACCAGACTGCTGAATGCTCTCTCCGTCATCGAGGTACAGACGTCCAGTCGCCTTGCCATCCGCATCAGGCGCAACAATGACGAGGAAGTCTTGTTGACGCACAGCCTTGGTCGTGTTGGCGCTGGTGACACGTTGCGGGACGATGGAGCCACCGCGGATGTGGACAGGAATGTCACTGTAGCCCAAGTTGCTGACAGTGACGTTCTTACCCTCACCCTCGACCTTTGCGTAGGTCCAGTAGTCGTAGAAGGTGTCCTCGGGCAGATAGTACGTGACGGTGTCGGAGTACTCAGTTACAACGGGCGTAATCAACAGCGCGTCACCGTAGAACCACTGCTGGTCGAGACCAAACGTGTTCGTGTCCTCTGGGTAAAGGAAGAACATTGGGTTGATCATAGGTGTACCCTCCTTGCCCTGGTAGTAAAGGCCAGTGTAGATGTAGTCAAGGAGCTTGTAACGGGTATCAATAGCCTTCTTAGCAGCTTCAGCGACAACGGGCCACTGGTAGAACTCCTGTTGGGCGGCGTCATTTGCTGCGTGGTTACGGTAGAAGGGCTGGAAGGCTCCCATGACAGCCCAGCGAGCGCACATGTACTGGTCTGCTTGGCCGTTGAAACCGCAGATATCAGAGCCAACCATGGGCATCTGATGCATCGAGACGAAAGACAGCATCTGACGGATAGAAATCCGGTAGTCGTCCCAGGCTGAGAAGTTGTCACCAAACCAATGGGCAACCTTGCTACCAGATCCAGCGAAGGTGGAGCGCGTCAGCACGAAGGGACGGAGCGCGGGACGGCGGGCCAGCATCGCTTCGCGGGTAGTTCCCGCCATCATGTGGCCGTACATGTTGTGCGTGTCGTACTGGTAGGTACCGTCGTAGTTTGTAGTGTTCATGGGAATGGTCTGACGAGAAACGTCGCCCAGATGGCTGTTGATATGGTACGCGGGCTTGAACCATTCACGGTCGGGGAAGCCCTTCATGTTGCCATTGGAAGATTGGCGGGGGGAGACAGACTTTGAGGCACGAACTTCAACAACAGGCGCACTACGCTCCGAGAGATCATCAGAATCACGAGCCTTGAGCGTGCTTCCTGGTTGGAACGAAGCCGGGAATCCAGGAATAGGACGGCCAGTGTTGGGTCGTGGCGGGTTCGTAGGCGGTGGTGGAATATTCTGATCGATCGCTTGCTGACGGGGGTTGCAGGTGGTAACATCCTGGCAGAAGTTGGAGGCTTCGTTCATGTCGACCCAGAGACCATCCAGATCGATACCGTTCTCCGGGTTGAAGTTTGCCTGAATCTCACCAGCCCACCACTTCTCTGTGTTGGGCGCGAACCAATCGGGCCATGCGACTTCACCGGGCCACTGTACGCCAAGTAGATCGGTACCGTCTGCGGCCTTGAGGAAGACTTCCATGTCGTGACCCTTCTGATAAGTGACGTACTGACCGCCAACAGCGTGAATACCAGGGTCGAGAATCAGAATGTAGCGCTGGTCGCGAGAGTGAAGCGTCTGTACAAGCTCGCGCATCTTCGAGAGAGGGAAGCGCTCGCGGTCAGTCGTGAAATCCTCGCGAAGGTACATGTAGTCGATGTCGGTCCACATGACTTCGAGGGGAATTCCAGCAGTCGAATAGTTGCCAACAACCTCAGCGACCATGTTGACGTCCCAGTATCCATACTTGCACTGGTGGAAACCAAAGGTCCAGTACGGGTACATGGCGGAGTAGCCGGCGATGTCAGCGTATTGCTTGGAGACCTCGGCGGGCTTGCTACCAGCCATGAAGTACAAATCAATGACTCCACCGATGGTGTTGTACTCAAGGTACTGGTAGCCGTTGACCTTTTTTATTTCAACTTGCATAGGGCTGGAGTTGAGCATGAAGACGCCGTGAGTCCCCTTGTCACCGCGGTGGTCAAAGTAGACGGGATGCGTTCCGTACAGGTTAGCATTCCTGGGAATGTTGGGTGATTCCGCATTAAGCAAGACACGCTCGTAGTTGTCCGTAGCGAAGCGGAAAGAGTCGCTGTGCTCCCCAAGACCGTAGAGGTTGGGGTTGTCGGGCAACTTAGTACGCAGGCGAACATACTGCTTCTCAAAGACAAGGGGAACAGTACCGGTATCAAATAGAACCTCGCCATTGTCCCTACGTTTTACAGCGAAGGAGAATGGGCTCGTCTTGATACCAAACTGAAGTGCAGCACTTCCAGCGGACGCCTTCTCGTGCTTGGGGCGGGGAAACACTTCCTCCTGAACCTGGTAGACTTGTTCGTCGGCGTCATAAATCTTGACGTGAAGACGGTCGTCTGTTGAATATCAGTAAACATATCAAGTAAAGGTAAAAGACTGTTGACTTACCGGTCTGGTACTCGACGAGTAACTTCAAGTCCTTGATATCATCACTGTAGGCGTTGCACGCCGCGCCAGAAAGAGTAAGGTCGGCCGTCAATCCTGAGTCGCTCTCAACAACGTTGGAAGCAGTGTAGCCAGGGCAGGCGTCGACTGCTGCACGACGGTTGAGGATGCTCGTGACATCGGCAGATTGCTGCGCTATAGGAATCGCGTGGGTGAAGCTCGAGCAGGCGAGAAGCCCGAGCATAAGAATATTGACCATTATGTCGAGTTGCCAATATTATCCAAAAGTTGAGGAGCGCTCGTTGGTAAGAAAAAAAGAGCAAAGGCTCGTTTGCTCGGGAATATATATGTTGAGGAGGGCCTGCAATGGAAGGGCCCGTGCAGACATTCACGATATCGGTAGGTGTCGGTAGCCAAGGTCAAGTCTGAGACTCACAGTATCCGCTTGACCCACAATCCTGCTCTTTCCGGTCTGTCTCGTTCGTCCACCTGACGTCTATCTGGGGAAAATGCTCATTACTAAAGCGCAATGACGCAGTGAACTGTGACAATATTTCGCCCGCGGTGTGAATGTGGGGAATAACAGTTGTCATGCAGAGGACCGGTCTCGAAGACGTACCTGCAGGAAAGACCCATATATAATGCAGCGAGTCCATATTCCCGCCGAGGGTTGTACACCGGCGCGTACACGATACAAAAAAGCATGTAGTTGTTTGGATACTAGCATCTGGCTAGGAAATGAGGGATCAACAAGTCACATCCAATACCGGAAAGGCGGCAGCTTCCCCTAGAACTCCGGGGTAGTGCTCAGATGGGCGAGTACCAATCCCGGCGTGCATCGCCACACTTTCCACTACGTGCACACATGCCTGCCAATAGATGCGCGGTTAACAAGCAAAGATCCCGGGTGCGATCGTCATAGGTGCTGGTGTCTTGGCTTAGCAGAATGTACCCGTGACGGCCAAGCCGACCTTGGATACAACAACAGGAAGGACGCAAGAGATTTGCCAATCAAGAAAGTGTCGCGAGGCCCGCATTTCATGCATCTGAGATGTCTTCGTGACGTCGGGGAGTTTTGGTCGGATCAGTCGCTGAGTTCGCGTGAACTGCGGGGACGCCGCTCCCGCGCTAAGCTTTTTAGCGTGATGTCCATTGCCGTGTCACCTGGACTCGAAGTCTGAATGATAGCATCTTGACCTTCCATCCGCGAGCATCAGTGTGGCTGTAGGCTCCCTCCTTCTTTTTCGCACTTCCATCAACGATACACACCGCTATGTCGAAGGCCTGAAGCTGCACACCGTCGCAATCCCCATGTGATCGGATGCCCGATTCAATTCCCGAACACCCGACCTAACCGCTTCTTTTTCGACATCATCACTACGAAAGCTATCCATCGAAGCCTAGTCTAGTTGTGACACTTGCATCTAGCCAAAAGATATACTTGCAAAAGAGTTCGGAATGTCACGGATATACGGCACATGAAAAGATCTAATGAAAGCTTAAGTGTAGGAGGCTTTCTTTGCAGCCCAAACTTAAAGCCGCTTGTATCCTCGTCTACGATCATGCGCCGCGGACAACACAGCACCACTTAGGCGTCAGGCGTTCGACTATACGCACTCCAAGGCTCCTCCTTCCGCGTTTCGCCCAACCACCGATCCAACGCTGACATGTTACCACCTTCGCGACCGCTATCATTCGCCATGCAACCCAAACTTTCGTCTGTGACTTTCGGGCGCTGACCTCCGTCTCTCTGTATGGTAAACTCTGTTAACCGCCAAATAATCGAACAATCATTGGGAATGGACGTACCGGTTGCTCTCCATCTACCGATGCAGTCTTCGGCCCTGCCATCTTATTCGTTCCGATCCCCGAAGTTACAAGACTACAGCAAGATGCTTCGGATTGGGAAGTTGCTGGAGCACTACCAGAGAAGGAGACGGCTTTCTGTAAATTCTTAGATGATATGCGCCGCACGACGGGGCAATTTCTGATTTACTGTCGAACTTGGGTTGCTCATTCGTAAAAATGAGGAGCTACGATTTGAAATACCTGCGCTTGAAGATTGATGTACCTACATCGTGAGAAGAGCTCCAGCTTAATACTATCTCGCTCAGGAACCTGTTGGATGAGAAGCATGGCCGCAATGGCATGGAAGCTGTGTTGCTGATTCGAGGCCGCAAAATAGTTTTGCCTATATCACGGCCAATTGGTTCCCACGAAGGGCCGCAAAGCAGGCAAAACCTACCTATTGTGGAGATACTGCAATGTGATCCGTAAAATCTCTCATGGTGATGCTGGAGTGCGATGAAGTCGTCTCAGGGTTGGTGGCCACATCTATGGCTATGCTACTAATATAGCGTGTAATGTCATATTTACATGATTTTGCTTGGGAATCGAGGACCAAAACATATACATCTCCTAACATTGGAGGCCGCATTCCCAGCACAGGCTCACTAGGAGATATCCGTCGCGTCAACATAGCATCCAACTCCATGATTACTGGAGGCCACCAAAACCATCGGTTGTATAGTGTTTGATTGACTGACTTCTGAGCGGCTTCTGTTGTGCATATTATACGGATTGTTTGATTGGAGGCCGCATCCGTTGAATCACGGAGGAGCTTCAGTTGTCAGTTGTCGGCGGACATGAGCTAACTTAGTTAGGCACCGACTAGCGATTGGATATGAATCAAGGCCGCAGGGAAAGTGCTCAGACGTACCTCCAGCCTGATGACATTTGTATCCAGCCATCTGACCTTGCTCCGTTCGTTTCTCGCTCCATTTGATTCCGATTCCTGCTATTGACATCATAGCTCGGCTGATGTTCCTGAATGTTCAGTCCACGGGAGACCTGTCCAAACGGTCATCGTGTAGATATTCTAAGTTCTTTCAATAGTTGGATTATCCCTCTTATTAACATTGCGAGTACAAGTGAATAGGGAAGTGATAAGTATATGCCCCATACTCCCACTATATATATGAGAAAAACACTGCCAGACTATATTCTCCGGTTCATACGTTCTACGAGAAAAAGTTGAGGCACTAGCCCAATGTTTATGGCCATTACCTAGAAGAACGAGTTCCTTTGCCATCAAAGTAAACCTTGAAAGAAGCAGAGCACAACCGATCTCCAACCGAATCGAGTCCTGTCCCCCTCGATATGTCAGCGAGAGATGACGTAAAAGGTCACATGGCTCTCGCAGCTTGGAACGATAATACAGGTTCGAGCCAAACATGGAGGAGATGTGAAAGAATCGAGATATCGAACTCTAGGAATCCAGTTTTCATAAAGCATGGTGATTAGAATTCAAAGGTAGGGCGTGTGAGAACGAATCTAGAAAGTGATAGGACATGCAAACAGCCGAAGACTTTCTATGAGATAGATACAAACACTAAAGCATGAAGAGGTTTACCTCACATCAGACATCCACAAATATGCTTATCTTGTTAACACGTACTTTGCACTCTAGTTAGAAGCACCTTACATTATATACTCTGGGTCTTGAAACTGCAAGAGCACGAACATCACCATGGCGAGATTGACGCCATACAAGGTTCTCCCTCTTTGTCACAATTCTTTAGGAAGAAACTGTTGAAGATTCTTTTGGAATTTTATCCTTTATAACATATATATCGAACGTAAAAGGGTATGCGTCAAGGTTCGAAAGGAGAATAGAAGTCAACATCCACTTGACTGCCGATGAATGGGCAGGCTTTATGCCAAAGGCAACATTTTTAAAAGAATACGCACGTAAAAGACCGGAACATCCTGGCTCGCGGTGAATAAAGCCCTCTGGTGCGCTTTTGTGGCGATGAATAGTAAGTTCGATAGGAGATGACGAGATGAGTAAACAATAGGTGAATAGACGCAAACGAAACGACAAACCAAGGCAAAAAATCACAACATTCTCATTCCACCCACGACGATATCTGGTTCACGCCAGGAAGATCTGATGGAACGAATGGACCACGAGCTGCCAAAACGTAGGGGATGTCTCCACGGTAATCGATACCCTCAACTATCGTGACCTTATTAGGCAAATATGCCTCGATCTGGTCTCTTCATGGCGGACTTTTCTGAGTGGCGGATTGCTTCCGTCTGATCTTCCTGGTGTGAACCAGATATCGTCGTGGGTGGAATGAGAATGTTTGGCCCGAAAAAAAGTGCGCATACCTCCTATGCCATTTCTTTTTTATCTCATGATAAAAAGGTTCTGACACAGTCTCACAGGTATCAGGCCGCACCTTCAATCTATGAGGACCTCGGGAGCTAGTATCCCCCCAACCTTCCCGTCGGGGGTGTATTTTGATCATGCTGACATGATTACCAGAACCCCGCCTCTCCCGGATCCCTATGTCAACCAATATCTAGCATATTGCCTGGTGAGACAAGATATAAGCCACCATCGAGGTACGACAGCGGGTAGGCAAGCCGTATGCTAGATGTTGGTTGATATAGGGATCCGGGAGAGGCGGGGTTCTGGCAACGGTTAGGTCCATCTTGCAGCAGCAGTATCCTAAGTATTGGTACTGAGCCCTGTACTCGTTTCCAATAAGACGAGATCGCTTCGACCTCCAACCGTAATTCGCAGAACTTGTGATGATGACATTGGGGTAGTGGTAGGAGATGTGGCCATGATTCGTGTCGATGACTTTAGTTGTTTTTGTTGGCATGCTTCGTCCGTACATGGCGCTGTAAGGAGTCTTTCCGTAGATATTCAACACCGCAGTCCGGACATGCAAGAGAGGTTTTGACCTTCCGTGCAAGACAAGACGATGATGTCTCTTGATGCCGCTTGAGGTCTTTCTTTAATGTAAAGTCTGCTTTACATGGGCCACATTGGAATCTGAATGATGGAGCGGTACACTTGCGGTAGCGTTGGTGTTGCCTTTTACAAGTCGAACAAAAGTGAACAGCACGAGCTGAGCCAATCACTCTTTTGCCAGCGATATCGTCGTCTAAGCTGAGACCACTACTAGAGGGGCTTGACGAAGATGAGGGTCCAGGCCCAAGTGATAAAGGAGTTGAGATGTTCGAAAACCATTCTAGGTCTGGTTCCGGGATACTACTTGGTGTCGGTGAATGGGAAAAAGGCATTGTGACGATGGGGGGATTGTGCGGAATTATGAAGTTCGTGCGAGACTGCGGTTGGAAGTTTTCGGCCGTAGCGGCGTCGTCGGCAGATAGACTGCTTTCTGGAAATGGAAAGTTTTGAGCTTCGTGAATATCCTTGGTTGACAGATCGACGTCAATGGGCTGCTCTAAGTCGGAAGACTCAGCACCTAGATATCCCACTGAAGGTTCCATCCACCATGGAAATCCAACCCCTGAAGACTCATTATTACATTCCAAAGAAGTACCATATGGCTGAAAGTCGGCAAACAAGCCTGATCCGTGTATTGGGTCATCAGGATCGAATTGTATTGCTCCTGCTGCAAAGGATGGATGATAACCGATATGTTTTAAGCGATGATCACTGCTATACAATCAGTATTGCCGCTTCTGCTCATGAAGCTAGGTACATACTGCTGATGGCGTGTGATGGCGTAAGAGGCCTAGTACTAGGCCACCCCGCTACCAAGCACCGTCAATGGATTAGGTGAGAGACAATCCCAAACCTCGTTGAGATTTTTGGCGGGTGCGTATGCGAAGGTATTATCGGCTGGACCTGAGTATGGGCCAGGGCGGCGAAGCCGCCCTCTTTTCTTGGGTGAGTTGAAGACAATAGATTTTGCGAAGGTCGCTTTAATAAGAAGGAAGATGGGGGGAGGTAGAGATGCGTGCTCAATATATGACAGCTGAGACCTCGTACTGGTAAGGCTAGCGCAGATACTCGCGGACGTCATACCAGCGTTTATTGGTGGCCGCCATCTGGAGTTTGCCTGGAACCTGGTAAGGCTGGCACAGGGTAGCCTAATCGCGACTAGTCTATGGCCCCCTCCTAGGAAAATCAATCTGTTGTAGAGCATATCCCACGGAATCGAATGACCCAGAAGGTTTCGAAAATTACCTAGAGAAACAGTTGTAGCTCGTCATTGGATATCACGCCAAGTGCCAGACATCCTCAATCGAATAGGCAAGGTTCTCAGTCACACCATACACTGTGGACGGGCGCTAGTAAGAGTGACCCCAGCCTGTGTCTACCTGCACCGTATGATAGAAACACAGGAGGAACTTGGCCTCGGCCAACATCCACCATCGTCCACGCTTGCTTACCTAGGTATGATCCTCGTCACTTTTATTTTGAGACGTGAGTATGCAGACAGCTCGGCATTCACGACTCTGACATTGACCGGTGAGAGCCCAAGTTTCCTGATCAACCAGGACGAACCGAAACCGCATGAGCTTCACCGGTCGGCGTGTCATGAGGTTCTCAGTATTAGAACAGATGCAATCGAGAAAGGCGGCCACAGCTCGTCATTGGCATCATTGCTAGGCGCGATCCTCACATTTTATAAAATCCCAGCGATGGAAACAGCCTGTCATCCACATCGTGTGAATTGTTTGGCCATACGGGACTGTGCTCAGGATTTGGTCGGTCGGCAGCGGGGCCGGGCCACCGGGAAGTGGGCAGATAAGCGGCACGTCGCGAAATAGAACCCCAGCCATAATTGAGGGCCCGGCTTGTGCTGCTCATGATAATGAACGGATCTGGTGTGACGCGCTTCAAAACGAAGAAGGTTCGTTCCAAGTCGTATCTCAAGACGTACGCAAAGGACATCCATTTTGTTTGATATCAGCCATTCGCAAAGACTAGGATAGTGCGTACTTGCAAGGTTATTGTAAAAGCGATGTGTGAAGACACAATGAAGTTCTACGTTGCAGAGCGCGGGACGCGATGATGGAGCGCGAGGCTGGCAGCCACGGTTACGCTAGATTTAGCCGCCGATCTGAATCGGACCACCAAGCAGTGCAGTACGGACGCATACCAACTATTCACAAACTCATCGCAATCTACTCAAAAGCTCGTCGCATAATCAATACGAGGGTCCAGTCCCTGAACATCATGGTTCTGATGCGCAGTCATCAGCGTCACGACTCACGCGACACTGGATGGACTAGGTGCCGCCAACGATGATCTTTCATGGCTCCCAGCCGCTCAGGTACCAGCAGCATCTTCATGCAAGACGCAATCGCTAAAGGTCTCTCGGATACTGAGAAACGCATCTGGTAGATACGAATGTCGATTCGGACGCATATCGCTGCGACACCAGAAGACATAGACTAGTCGCCAACAGACACACCACGGGCCGAGACGAGACGCGACGCGACGCGACACGACGTGATAGCCAAATACTCAGCGCAAAGTTCATGTACCCCTTTATACACGGTCACGCCGCTACTGGCGGTGACCGAGGACAACAAGGTGGTCGGAGACAACATTGTGGTATAGTGTGAAGGTAAGCATACGTTGAGGCACGCAACCAATCTGACAGAAGTCTCGGAGTAAGCTTGAGAATACAGAGTAGACCAGGTTCGGGTCAACGATATGATTGATCAGCTGAATAGAGCGTCGTTAATATGCAGATTTACACAAATCCGACAACCGAAGCCCACCATGTGTCGAAGTTCTCTTTGCGCTTTACGGACAACTTTAATCGGTGATAATACTGTTTCGCTGTTGTGATACCCCGTTACATAGTATAGGTGGTCTCAGAGCTGCGGTCATATTTGTCCGTTGCCGTGCCTCACTCCGCAGGCCATAGTAAGCAGACGCCGTGCTGGATTGGTCATCAACGACCTCTTCGTACAACACTCTGAAGAGTTGCGTTACTACAGTTGCACAATAACGAAGTATTTAATACTTGATCTCGGTCCTTTTTCGGTTCAGACATAGTCAAACTTTATTTGCATACCTCAACCTCGAACAAATCAGCCGTCTCTACCATGTCTTCAACCACCGTCCTCATTACTGGTGCCAACCGTGGTCTTGGCCTAGGCTTATTGCAGAGATACCTCGCCCAACCCAACCACACGGTCATTGCTGGAAACCGTAATCCTGCGCACCCTTCGTCACAGGCACTGGCTCAGTTGCCTAAGGGTGAGGGCAGCAAGCTCATTGTTGTCAAGATCGACGCTTCGATTGAAGAGGACGCCTCGATCGCCGTCAAGGAGTTACAAGACAACCACGGCATTGACTACCTCGACATCGTCATTGCCAATGCAGGTGTCGCATATACCTATCCTTCTGTAGCGGAGCTGAAGCTCGATGACCTCCGTGGTCACATGGGGCCGAACGTTTATGGATTCGTCACCCTCTACCAAGCCACACGGGCGCTGCTCCAAAAGTCACAGAGAGAGCCCATCTTCACACCCATTGGGTCAAGTGCTGGCTGTATTGTGTGGGTTTATCCTCCTGATTTCTCTCTATACCCCATCGTGTAAGCTAATTGCAAGCAGCAACCAACTCCCACTCCATAACGCGGCTTATGCTCCTACCAAAGTGATGGTCCACTGGCTCACGATCCGTATCAATAGCGAGGATCCCTGGCTAAACGCTTTCGTCCTGGACCCTGGCTGGGTGCAGACGGATATGGGTAACGCGGCAGCACATTTGTACAACCTCAAGGAAGCGGACATAACTACTGATGCGTCTTGCGACGGCATGTTCAAGGTTCTCAGCGCATCGACCAAGGAAAAGGATGGTGGCAAGATGATTGGCTGGGATGGCGGTGTTAGAGTTTGGTAGTAGCGATATACAGTTACGATAACCTTTCTGTTAGAGAAGAGCATGGTAACGACCTCATTAGCTGTGAGACATGAACTTGAGGTCAAAAGATACCCTAAAGGTAGTCAAATGAGTTTCAAACTTACGCAGACCATGTCAATGAATGCTGTAGACTACTACCTGAGGTGCTGGAAATGTGGCATCATCGAACACGCTGTTATTCTCCGTGTCGAACTGTGTGAATCCGCTCACAGCCGGAACAGCTCACTTGTTCTCCTTACACTTCTCCAGACTTTTGGTTACAACTCCCTCAAGGATCCTCCGCGCTTCGTCAACCAGTTCATGCAGCTCCTTGCGGAACTGCTGGCCTTCGGGAGTGTCCTGTTCTTTCCTGTTCTTCTGACGCTGGAAAGCGGCGCGAATTGTCTTGAGCATCTCGACCACTTCCTTGCGCAACTTATCGCAGGTGTTTTTGATGAGTTTCTTTACATCCTCTTCAACTCCTTCGGCGATCGCAGCGAAAGGGCCATCAAGACCAATGGCATTCTCTTCAAGATAAGCGTGGCGGACGTCTTTCAGCTTTTTGCCTAAAAACGTGCGTCAGTGAAAGTGTAGTAGCATATGGAAATGCATGTCGTTACCTTTGCCCGGCCCCTCATCAAGAGCCGCCCCGTAGATCTCATCCATTGCTTTGAAGAAATAGCCTTTGTCTCCAGGCTTGACGGCCTTTTCTTTTATAGCGATCAATCCTTGGTGAAGGTCTTTCCTTGCGTTTTCGACCTTGAGAGTGACCTCCTCCTCGTAGCCGACACGATTCTTACCGAAGCACAGCTGATAAGCGTCACCAGCCAAAGCCTGGGGGTCGTCTAAGACATGTGTCAGTACAAAAGGAGATGATGAAATATCAGTGAAAGTACCTTTCAGTTGCTTGCTCAAGTCGTTAATAACGGTCTTGATCGTCTGTGCCATTTGGGCCTTCAGCGCTGCAGGTGCGGTATCGAGCACGTTTCGGAACGCGGCATCCATGGCGGTTTTTGCAGGTGCCAACAGCGAAGCATTCAGATTGTGATTGATCTTCAACTTCTTCTGTTGGTATGTGCCTAGATATCGTTAGCGAATAATTCAGCATTTCCAAATTTGTGCCACACTCACCTCTCTTATTCACCAATGCCTTATGCGAGGCCGCATTTATAGTGGCGAGTTCTTCGAGCTTCTTCTCGGCGTTTCGCTCGAACCTATCTTGCAGTTCATGGCTTGAGAGTGCGCTTGTAAGTTCATTGGAAAACGCCTTGACCCATTTATTCATGACACCACGAACCCGTCCTTCGGTGCCCTTTATGGTCTTATCAATGATCTTGGTAATGTGTTCTATCCTGGCTTCAGTGCTCTTACTGCAGCTCATCTGGACAATGCTCAACAACATTGGCACCTTAAGAGCACAAAATGCTCTAGAACGGCGAGGCGTCCTTGTGAGGGTATTCCCGCAATATATCTGCATGCAGCTGGAATTTGAGTGTCTTCGAGCTTCATCGTGGGAGCCTTCTCTAGGTTGGTCATGTTGTAGCCACGTCGATGCCGCATATACATTCGATTGGAGACGCAGAACGACGCAGCGCCCGCATCATCGCCAGTGTTGTGACTGTAAATGCGACTCATGCTCGCGGCTACAAGCCTATTGCGGCATGCAATACGTACGTCTTTACGCCTGACAGAGTTAGCTTGGCCAAATGCCAATGTAGAGCAGGGCTTACCCTTTCTCCAGGGAAGCGACGAGTGGCATTGTAGTCTTCTTGCGACTAGCCAAAACCTTATTTGCTGCTTTGAGGGCGTCATGCTGGCTGCGTTGCTCTACAGTGGCGCTTCCAAGATGAACACTGGACTTCAGTCGTTTCATATGATGCTTGTTGGCCTCAATCTCGTCTTCGATAGCTTGCAGTTCGCTGGTAAGATCTGCGAGCTTCTCCTCAATAGGTGCAATGTTTTCCTCTGCGACAGGATCTAGCTGAAGCGTACTGCCGCCATCGTCATTCAGTTCCTACAAGACATGAAGTAAGCATGAGTATAACGAACGATACAACAGGTGCACTTACATCAGCTCTAGTCGCTAACAAGATGACACTGCCATGGTGCCGCCTGCTATGCGCATCAAGGTAATGCTGGCGGAAAGACTGATCGCTTGTCGCACGCTTGATGTCCACAACTACGATAGTCATTTCACATTGCTGGAGGTATGCGGTGGCAGCAGTGACGCGGTACATGTTGATATCTTTCGTGCCAGGAACATCGGCCAAGCATACACTATCCTGTACCAACGGACTGTCGACATAGTATCTGTGTTTGTTATCAGCGGCATAACTTGCATGTGGAAAAATGTTAATCTCTACCGTATGATCTCGACGAACGGCCATGGACTGAACTGTAGCACCTTCCCTTTGTAGCGTGCATTGAGAGCTCGCATTCGAAAGGGTCGAAGTTGCTCACGCATATCATTGTGCGTACTAGATTCGAAGGGGACGGACAGCTCTCCATCTGGCACAAACATGCTGTGTATGTCAACCGTCCACTGCAGGAATTTCTCCAATACTAAGTTGCCTTTTAGAGCTTTACTGGAAGACATAAAGTCCTCAACAGACTCTGGAGCGACGCGGGAAGCGAACAGGTGCTCCAAGCACTCCAATGCAGCATCTTTGCGCGCTCGGTCTTCGTCGGCGACACTGTCCTCGTCTTCTATAAGCCTCTGTCTCGTGGTAAGCCACACCTTGACCCAGTCCGTTACTAGGTCAATGCAATACTCGAGGCAATAGAATTGAACTTCGGCTTGCACTGCGCCGATATTGGTAGACAGAGTCTTCTGCCGGAACTCTGTAACGACATTTGTACATGCTGCCCCATTGTCGCCCTATAGGTCCGTGTTAGTGAAAGCCGCTCATATTTCAATGGACAATAAACTTACCTCTGGTGTCAGGTCTTCACCAAGAAGAGCATTTGTTGTAGCGGACTTTCCGGTGCCAGTGTCTCCAGTCACAGCAATCCGGATTTCCTTTTGGTACAGGATATTACGATTCTTCAGAATCTCATTCCAGAGGTACGTAGCCTCTTCACTAGAGACTCCACGGTTCTTGGCAGCTTTTAGAAAGTCTAGGAAGACCTGCAATACAGCTTGAGTATCTTCCTCGGCTTGTTTGAAGCCGGGGTGGTACATCGGTAGCTTTGGACGACGCTGTTGAGCTGGGTCGTACGGAGGGACTTGCGAAGGGTCTTTCTCGTCGTCGCTGTCTTCATCGTCGCTGTCAGAGAATGTGTCGGAGACTGACACAGGTTAGTGTAATTCGCGGCGAGTGCAATGTACATACTCTTTCGCTTTGCAGGTACAGCTGATTCTGCACCGCCGGAACCCCAGCTAAGGATAGCACGATTGGCATCAGCTTCGATGTCTCGAAGCCTCTGCATGTGTGGTGAAATGATGTGAGCGTCTAGGGTAGGATTATTCGTAGTGCTTGAGGAGGAGAGTGGAAGCATTGTAGCGACGGGTACGGATTGAGCTGGGCATTGTGGCTCGAAGATAGGACTCTGCGTGCTCTCAGGTGTCTGTTGTTGTAGGTCCTCCATCTGAGTGACATCTGCGGACATCGTCTATGGTTAGCCAAAGGCTGTAACTGGAAGGATAACAAGCTGAAATCAAAGCCAGGCCTGGATTGGGTAGATTTAGAGCAACCAATGTTGTTCGCCGTGAGCAAAAGTAGAAAGGTCGAGAGAAAGAAGATGGAGAGTGGGGAGAGCTGAGAAAGATGCCTATGAAGGCCTATAACGGCCCATACTGGCACCATCTTCCGCCTTCAGGTGAGAGAGCGGATTTGAAGTCGAAGTCGCCTCGCTTTCGGCAAGGTAAGAGAGCGACAGCCTCTTCTGATATCGAACCCATCGCTCCTGTTATGTCAAAAGTATGCTAAGCTCCGGCAGAAGATCTTAACATGTAGCTTTTGACAGTCTTGCTACAAAGAGGTGCTACACCCTCAAGGTGTACAAGATGCTGTGCTTTGTAATATGCTAGTGCAACATACCCGGCCAACAATTTGGTATGCTGTGAAGCCATGGCCCATGGTGAGCTCTACCTTTATCTCTCCGTTTGCTCAATCTGGAAAAGTCACCGTGAACAAAATATGCGCAAAAAGCAGAAGTGTCAGCCGGAAAGCTACTGGTGCCTAAGTGTTGTATTGCGACGGTCACTGGACTTGTGCTTCAGTGGGTGGTGTGATTGTCATCGCCTGGCTTGCGTTTCGCTGACGGCCAATGCAAGAATCCATACGTCAACCCACTGCGAGTCTAGACAACTAGCACCTGGATACCGCCGGCGGAGGTTGTAGCGATATAACATCTATCGTAATCGGGTCATTTGTTCCACCAAGGGTTAGTGGATGTTGAGGCTCATGGGTAACAACGCAGGTCAGCACGCTAGTCGCTGACCTCTGGTCGTACCAGCCACAGGTACCGGCGGACGCTATGGACCCTGCCATTTATCCTGAACTGCCACACTTGTGCCATGTAGCTCTCCTCGACTCTTTCTCCGGATCTCTCGACGACTTGTTGGTTGTCGTGCGCCGCCATGGCAATTCCACAATTGCGATACGCGTCAGCGCCAAGGAGATGGTGCCGATTGCCGCCCCCTTAGCCCCTTCGGTCGTCCCGTCGGGCCAGGATAAGGAAACTTGCAGACATGGATGCTTGGAAGGATTGCGACAACGCCGGAGGCCACATTCACCATTTCCCTGAATAGCGTCTTCTCTTCTGGCTCCTGAGTTTCGTATACAGGACGCAGATGCAGACTTCGACGGTCTCATAATAAACTTCCGCCGCCTTGACGCGACGCCACATTCTTTTGCAACTCCCAACATCTGCCCACCATGGCAATCCGTCCCCTCAACTCGAGCCTTATCTTCGACAGGCGCGTTATACTTGGTCTGACAGCAGCTGTCATTCTCGCCTTCACATTTGCCTTCCTCTATTCGCCCGACCTACGCCCCAGCTCAGAATGGCTACCACCTCTTAGCTCGAAACCTACGTCTACCTTCTCCGCGCCGTTGAAGAACACCGAAGATCCCAATATCGTTGAGCTAGACTACCTAGCTATCAAGCCCAATGTCACGGACAAAGTCAGGTCTTACTGGAACATCCCATATGCCGCAGACGCAGGAGGCAAGAACAGGTTTCGGGGACCACAACCGGTGAACAGGACGTATGGCATCGGCAGGGGCGAGAAGCCGTTGGTGTGGGATGGATCACTGGGAATGTGCCCAAGAATCCAGAAGATTGATCCAGCTCAGAGGAATAGGGACGATATCTCAGGACCGGACGTCTTGGGTATCCAGACTCGTTCTACCGAAGACTGTCTGAGCTTGAACGTCTTCACGCCGTTCGATGCTGAGCCAGGTGACGACCTGCCAGTGTTGGTCAACATCCCTGGTGGCGGCTTCCATCTTCCAGGACGCAGCAACGGAGGCGAGATGGTAGAAAAGGCACGACGCGAAAAGGGCGTAGATGGCAAACTCGACAAGGGCATTATCGTGGTCACCATGTACTACCGCAACGGCATCTACGGTTTCCTCCCTGGCGAACAGATCGCAAAGGACGGCGACTACAACAACGCGCTTCGCGACCAGAGAGCAGCGCTGGAGTGGGTTCAGAAGTACATCAGGTACTTTGGAGGCAACCCAGACCACGTAGTTATCATGGGTACAAGCGCAGGCGGTGCGTCTGTGATGCTGCAACTCACCGCCAACGAGGGTGACAACTACTACCCTGTCCCCGGCACAGGTCGCAAGCAGCTCTTCCACGGCGCCATCGCCCAATCTCCTGCGAGTCCGACCTTCTTCACGCCTGAGCAAGCTGAGAAGTTTTACAACGAAGTCGCAGACGGACTGAATTGCACAGACATCGCTTGCATACGCGACGCCGCGACAGGCGATCTCTACTACCAAAATTACCCCATGAACTTCCCCGGCCGCGATACTCCACCCCGCTGGATGTGGGCCCCAACCACCGAGCCAGCTGGCGGTATGTTCACTGAACCTGCCCCAGCAGCCATAATGAACAACCGATACGCAAAGGTCCCAACCATCATCGGCTTTACATCCAACGAAGGGTCAGACCAAGTCAAGAAGGCCACCGACAATGAGGGTGAATTCAAGTCCTACCTCAAAGACCATTACCCGCTCCTCACCGACGAAGACCTGAGCACGCTCGTCAGTACGTACCCTAACGACCGACACTGGCCCGACAGCGGCGCATGGTGGGACGCTGTAGCAAAAGCCCAGGGCGACATCCGCTACATTTGCCCTACATACCTCGCATCCAACGCCATGTCCGAACACAACCCCGAAAACGTGCCTACGTACCAATACCAATGGGACGTAATGTGGGGTGTTGACATCGAGAACGGATACGGTACTAAGCACGCCGGTACCGTCGGACAGGTCATGGTACGCCGCCAAAACGAGATTTCAGATTACTTCATCAGCTTCATCAAGTTCCTCGATCCCAACCGCGAACATCAGGTCATTCCTAGGAAGGATGTTAAGATCGCCAAGTGGGAGCCGCTGGACAACACGGGTCGCAGGATGTTCTTCACAAACATCAAAGAGGGTGGTCACAGGGGTGACGGCACGAACATGCTAGGCCCGATGCGCACAGAGATGCGAACCAGGGACGACGAGAGGGAGAAGAACTGTGGTATCATCCGTGGCATGTTCAGAAGACTACAGTTTGAAGGTGTTCCAGCACTCAAGCTGGACTGAGTGTTTTTCGTCGTATACTGTTGCATTTGTAGGGGTTTCGGAGTACCATTGCGATAGAAAGTTTCGCTGTTCCTCTCAGTTGTATGAATACCATATCATTTTCACGTTCAATGTCGGTTCAAACGTGCAACAATGTTTTCACTCGCTTGGCATACTTATTAGTTGGTATCAAAAACTGTGCTACAAGCTAAGTACATGATGCTACAGTGAACCCCAGCCACAGTCTAGATCTTCTCGTATTCTACCCAGATCCACACACCCACATCGCTTAGCTTCCGCGTGTCTCCACGGATCCCGCACGATACGATAAATACAATCCGACTGCCATACCTCTGAGCCGCAGTTTGTGCAAAAAGAAAGTTCGAAGAATCCTGAGAATTGACTCAGGCACGTTGTCCCCTTCGTGGATCGAACACGATACCTCCAGATTTAGTGACTGAGACTTCAGTCTGGCGCTCTCCCAATTGAGCTAAGGAGACGGGTTTTTGATGAAGTTCTCGTGGGGATCCCTCCCTAAATCTCAAGCAACATCTCTCAGATCTTCTTTACGTGTGCGATTAGGTCTTGCACATCGCTGTGGCTCAGACTCTCATCATCATGACTCATGCCTAGCTCTTGTTTCTTCTCGTCTAGACTTTCTCTCTGCCCGTCTAGATCGCGCTGGGAGTCACGGTCTGGGGTAACCGCTTTTGTCTTTTCGTCCCTTAGTACTCGCAAATCGCCGGTTTCGACTGCAAACGGGCCTGTTGGTGGAGAATTAGTGGGACCACCACTCGTCTTTCGCGCATGTTCGACAACATCCGGTAGATCAGCTTGGGAGAGACTACCATCATCGACACTCATGCCGATTTGTTGCTGCTTCTCTTCCTCTTCCCGCTTTAGACGGCCAATTGGATTATCGCCTTCTAGCACGGGTGATTCTTGCTGTTTGGAATCTTTCCTGCTCACCCAGCGGACAAGTTCGTCGACGTCGTCGTCTGTAATATGCCTCTTTTCCTTGATTGGTTCAATTTCCTCGCGGCTTCTTGGGCGACCACGCTGCTCCTCTTCGTCAAAATCGTCAAAAGTCTCCTTGACAGGCGTAGATGCTGCAGACTCGCCGCTAGTGCCGTCGTGGCGCTTGAACCAGCGACCTAGTTCTGGTACGTCAGACTCGTAGTGCTCTCCTACATCAGAGTCCAGTTCCGCTCGTTGCAAGTTCCTACGCACTGGGCCTGCTTTAGGTCCGTCGCGATGCGATATCCAGCGTACGAGGTCATCTGCGTCCTCTTCTTCATCTGAAGATACTTCTCTGAGTTCGCTGTCAGACTCAGTGGACGCATCGCTATACCCCGAATGTCCGTCGTTGATTGAGCGAGTCTCTTTGGCGTCAGATTTTCTGCTGGCGAAACGAACAAGTTCATCAACATCCGACGGCCCAAGGCTCTCGTGGCCACTATCCTCTTTGGCCTCCACCACACTGTTGTCTTTTCGTCTTTCACCGTCACTGGGTGGATCCCGTCGACTGACCCAACGTACCAATTCTTCCACGTCAGAATGATCGATGCTCTCTCCATCACTCTCATATGGATTCCTTTGTTCTCCTTCCACGTCTGAAGAGGCCGTTGATGCCCGATCATTGAATTCGACTGGTGCGCCATCTTCCCTGATCTTCTCCATATTCCCCGCATCTTTTGTTGTCATCCTTCTTACCGTCATTCTCAGTCTGCTTCCAATTCCACTCTTCCCTGATGAGTCCTTCTCGGGTGTCCCCGTGCGGTGCATCTGGCGTTCTTCGTGTTGCTTATGCCACTTGTCTGCCGCGTTTTGTTCATTCTGACAGTCTTCTTGTGTGACAGTCTTCATTTGGTCTTCAATTCTTTGTTGGAAAAGCATGCTGCGAAGAGAGTGGAATCGCGCCATGTGAGGCTGTTTTTGTCTGGGCTTTGCGGAGTTTTCTCCGCTCCCACGTGCCGAAGAAGTTTTAGAGTGAATTGAACTTTTGCCGGTACCCGATTTCAGAGAACTTCTGCTTGGTGACAATGATGAAGGTCGAGGGTTCTGGCCAGCGATATGCTTTTGTTTATCTTGGCTCAGCCGCTGAGGCTCGAGTGATTTCTTGGTATGTTGAGTGGAACGTTGCTCTTCTTGTTCAGATATGTCTCCTTCGCTGCTATCGCTGTCTGAGTGGTCGTCGCCTAATCCTTCCAATATCTGTGTGACTGCAGGGGACATTAAGCTGTTCATGCGACCCAATTGTTTGCGCTGGTCCTGGGGTATTTGATCTAGACTCGCAGCTGGCGCGGCCTTCTGGGACGGCGGGAGATCGAAGTATGACGCCATGACTTCTAGGATAGTTTTCTCCTCTCCAGTAAAGATGAGGCGTCTTTGGGTTCCGATGAGTGTGCGTACGTATCGATGCGCCAGATATGGAGCGGGATGAGAAAGGTCTCAGGTGAGAGGCAGTGCTCTTGGGAGGCTTGGTGAGCTGCAAGGTGTTAGGGTTGCAGTCCAGGCTAAGCCCGATGCTGCAAGTCTATACCCCGCAATTCTGTGATGTCACGGCTTGTGGTTGGCCCACAGTGCTGAATCAGCTGACCTAGTGAAGTGACGATCGGCGTGCGTGCTTGGGCGACATCACCGTCTTGGAGTTTGAGATCTAGCGCTAACTCCCTGGTGCAACAGTTGCGACAGCCGTTGAGATCGGAGGCTCTTACTGGTAGTGACTAATCGCGATAGGTGGAAGAGCCTACCGATGCTGCGACAGGTGAGGTGAGACGGCACGGCAGGTGAGGTCGCATGCATCTTCCCGCCTATCGATGACCGGTGCTGTCATGTACGGCTCGATCCGCACGATCTATGAGCAAGCACTAAGAACAACAAACTGGACGCAGATACTTTCTCCATTGCAATCCCTTCCTATTGGCAAGACTAGATTAGCCAAAGCTGCCAAGTGCAGTGGGCTGACTTGGAACGTAATGTCCGAGCAGACAATGGACCTCTCGAATATTCTACACGACCTGGCCAGTACGTCTACCGTAATGTTTAATTCCCTCCGCCTGGTTATATATGAGAGCGTTAGGTGTACCCTCATGGAGCGTGCTATCATCGATCGCACCCTTTGTCGCGGTACTAGCAAGATGTTCGCACAAACCTTCTACCCGTGCTCCCAGACCCGCGAAATACGCAGCTACGCCGACAACATGCGGAGTGGCCATACTCTGGACATGTTGAAGATCGTTAGCGCATGTAGCATTACCGCATCTCTTCGGAAGGTTACTTACGGTTCCAGATATAGTGTTGATGCCTCCACCAATCCAAGTGCTGGTGATCTCAACACCAGGTGCCAGAATATCGACCCGGGGACAATAGTTGGACCATTCGATGAGCGTACCATTATTTGCTGTAGCGGCCACGGTACATACAGTAGGTTCAGATGATGGAGATGAGTAATCAGCCAACGTGCCTTCATTGCCTGCGGCGACACTAAGGAAGATACCTGCCGCAACGATAGCAGCAGCCTAAATTGGTGTTAATGCATCGATTATGAATGCTGCGGACTTGTCACTTACAGCATCATTCATGACTTGAGATTTTCTTCCCCCAAGGCTCATATTGGCCAAGGCTCCTTTCGGGCAATCTCCGGCGTCCATACGCTCTTTTGTATCCGTGATAACAAACTGCATACCGGCAAGGACGCCAGCATTTATACCGGTACCGGAAGAGTCCAGCACTCGGACTGCGAAAAGAGTCGTCTTGTTTGCCACACCCCATGTGAGGGAACCGATTGTGCCAGCAACATGAGTACCATGTCCCGCACCGTCAATCTGGTCTCCCTCTTCGCTAAAATCTGCAAGGAAGTAGGCGCCTAGTAGAGCGTTAATACGTTTCCATCGAGTTATACTGCTCATACATACGGCCCTCGAATTCTGGATGAGTGGTCTCGATACCGGTATCGACGACATATCTGTGTTCGCTGTATAAGCAAAGATCAGAGAATTCTAAGATGGCTGGCGACATACACGCATGTGCCTTCGCCAGCAGTGGAATCGTAAAGGTAATTATTCTGACCAGGCTCAATGTGCGAGATTCGACCCAAGCCCCACGTAGCGTTCACCTGTGTCTTCGTTTCGAACATGTGGACCCTGGCATCTTGTTGGATATAGTCAACCTAGTCATGTTAGTATGTACATGTCAATACAGATGTGTATCTTGCATGCTCAGAAGCCTGGAGTCGAGTAAGTTCATGATCCGAGATGCTGCCAGCGAAACCCCTGAAGCCAGACATCGTGTATTTGAAATCGATATTGGCGGTAATTGGAGCTGTCAGGCCCTCCTCAGCTTTTGATGTAACATCGCCTTTGAGCTTCACAATGTATTTTCCAGCAACAGCATCTGTACTGTCGACCTTGATCAATGGAGCAGCAAATGCCGAAGAAAGCAGAACGAGAAACAGCGGTGTATACATGTTTCGATATGATTTGGGTAGAGGTGTTGGGACGAGTGGAAAAGACTTTGAAGAGAGGGCGAAGGATCGGATGTTTCTGGTTGAGTTGTACCTGCATCAGCGGCAGAACTGCGTTTTAAACACCAACGTTGTAGAACATGCCCAAGTGCCAGAGGCGGCAGACTTCTTTGATAGCCAATGGCGTGGTTCGGCAGATCACGTATAACGAACAGAGCGCGTGCACCTACGTAGTGGGACGTTTTACGAACCACGTTTGAGCATGCTGTTCGACGACCCCACTTAACGTTACAACACCAACAACGGTACGGGAGATACGGTTGTCTGATGGTATGTATGCTTGTGGTTGATAGATTCAGCGCCGATAATTGTGCTTGTGGTTCTTTGGTGGCATCATATTGCCACATTCTCTACTGCTTGGTCGGTTCGTCTTAAGATGATCATCTTGCAAGTTATTCAGTCGGTCATCTGAAGGATTTAGTGTTCTCCGAGGAAGGTACGATGTTACTCGGAGGGGTATAAAACACCAAGATAACCAGAGGGGTGGACTTCGGGAGACAACACGCAATCGAAACTACGGTGCTGTATGGTGCCGAAGAAACCTTTTTGTTGACGACATGGTCTCCAATGCGCCAAGATGTGAGCTTAGCATCCCATTAAAGGGACACGAATCACGAAAGAAGGCTTTTGTGATTCTCCTAGATCCATGTCTTATTGCATGGTATATGCGGGCGGGTAAGTCTGAAGTCGAACAGAATTCGATAAAGAACAGGTATCGGTAGTACCACCGCAGTCAGAGCGTTGTGGAACATAACATGCTTTGTTGTGATTTCCTACATGTTATCTTTGTCGTACCCGATGGGCGCTAGAATGTCGCTTCTCATCATAGGTGGAAATGATTGATCGGGAACCAGCAATCTAATCATCAGCGTCACAAGTGCTCGTCAAGAAGTTAACTCGCGGGACAACATCAAGCAGCTGATAAAAGTGTTGTTCAGTGCAAGGTGAAGAATGATGCATGTGCAAGGCACCCATGTCAGGTTGTCAGATATGCGCCACTGCATCGTCAGACTATGCATCCGTAGGCTCGCATGTTGGTACGAAAGGTATCGTTGGAGTCTCGCAAGAGTTTGCTATTCCCGTTGACAACCACTCGTTCGTGCGGGAACATAGTAGCCAAACCATGCTGCCAGGAGCATGAGCATGCGGGCTTTTTCGTTCCACGGAGGAGTTTTGACAAAGAACAAAGACTAGTCATTCGTATGGTGTTGTTTTTGATGCAAACATGTGACACAGACTCAGTGTAGTTGTAAGACTAGATGATGGAGCGACGGTCTTTGGAATCGCCTTCGAAAGACAGGCATCATGGAGCACTGGCTATGGTTCCTAGGGGTGTATACCGCACGAGGTCCTTTAAGCGACTTTGTACATATGCTTTCTCTGGATACAACCGAGTATAGCGGGTCCTGAGTGTAACACAACGCACACTATCGGCGAATAACACAACATGCCTTCTTTACCATCCCAGCCGGTCAAGGGGTTCCGTCGATGCCTGAGCTGCGATGATGATATTTTTGGTCGAGAGTAGAGGACCCTCCGAGGGTTTCCTGATTGGCAATTCGTGTCCGAATAAGACACGGAGTGACAGGGTTATCTTGCGAAATGAGGTATCTTGATGAAGCTGCGTTGATTAGATGCTCTTCATGAAACAGCAAGTCGACCCGGAAACTGTAATGCTATGGTGTCGACAAGCTGGTTTCTAGGGTGGCGTTCGAAGAGCAGCATATGATCTACTACGTGTGAGCAGATGGGGGCAAAATGGGCAGCTCGATGGATGGAAGGCCCACTTGCTGAGCATGTATAAAACAACAACCTCCATGCCACCCATTTCTATACGACTTGGCACTTGTTGGCTTTGCTTGGCAGGGCGGTGCCGCACGGCGTAGCCGTAACTCAGCTGGCGAGAGCCAACGATCGCGCGCTTACTCCGCTACACGAGAAGCTCTCCCATCGCGCATTCCGATACATATCATGTGTGAAGTACTTTGCGGCAATCTAGTGCTGTTTATTTTTTCGTTGTTCTTTGTTTTGTTCGTTAACAATCAGGATTGCGGCTGAATCTAAAGGAGTAGTTGCGCATCAGGTACGTCATCCAAATCCAGATCCGCTGACGCGCGTTGTTCAAATTCGGGTACAGTTATACTCCGTCGCGATCATCGGGTGCTGTCTATAGCCAGGCTATTCAGCCATGTTCAAGGTCGTATCGTTGTGTAAGTAATTATGCGCAAGTAGAGCGGCAGTTGGGATACAGAGTTGGTGGTGCTCGATTGTACGGAAGTCTCCACCCATCTAGGCCCGTGCATCACGGCGGAAGGATGACGGCTGCTGCAGCCTCAGCCGCGATATCTCCTTTTTGGAAATGTGGGGCGAGATCGAATATTCCGATGACCACGCTGATCAACCTTGGGCCAACATAGCATCGAGAATGCAGGGAGGGTTGAAGCCCTGTGGCCGCATGCAGCTAGCTATGTGTGATCTTATGTGGTACTTGGGGAGGCTTCTGTTGACAACTGTCAAACAAAGAACAGATAGTACCAGACCTCGGGAGATATTCGTCTGGTGCAAGATCACAATGACTCACGTCGTAAACCTACCCAGGATTCACATCAGGATCGCTGGACGCCAGATCATTTGCGGAATAGATTGAAAGTATTTAATTAGGTACCTTGTTAGTCCACAAGGATGCATCTATCAGCAGACCCTGCATAAAGCCATCTAAGGGCATGTTGATGGGGCGCCGTTATACTAATGCACAGGGCTGCGCCTCCGGAAGCCACCTAGGCCGCAGCATAGTCAACTGTACCCCCTCAAAGTAACTGAGGACAATATGAAACACATGAGGATCAGCAGTAGCCTGAAGCCTGGTTCGTGGCTGAAGCCACCAGTGCAAGTACGTTAGTCGCGGTGATACAAACTCTGCTTTCGTCACATCGGTCTCCGCATTCGAAAACCGCGGTAACGGGATTGTACTCGCATCTTCGTCATCCGGACTTTGTTGGAACGATCATGATCCTGGTCATCAGCATCTAAGGCGGGGCATGCACGGCATCTGAGAATGGCCTGAATGATTTGACTTAACAACTTGAATATGCACTGATGCTACTAGCTACGAGCTGGAAGAATCTCTGCCACATTTACAGCAACCACCATCATAAGTTCGTAAGAAAAGAAGGAGGGAAATCTTCAACCTCTATCAATGCGCAAATGCCTCAGATAACAATGCAAAATGCTCATGAGAACCCGCTATGAAAGCAATAGCTTAACCGCTGGGGTTGCCGTTGAAGGCAAGGTAGTTCTTGGTGCTGGAGGGAAGACCAGTGATCTTGTTCCTCAGCGAAAGAGCAGTAAGGCGGGAAGAAAGGGCGGCAGGGGTCTTCTTGCCCTCGAGACCTAGGATGTAGGCACCGAGACCAGCAACGTGGGGAGTGGCCATGGAGGTACCGGAGATGGTGTTCTTTGTAATATTAGCTTTTGATCTAAACGTCCACATAAATGGTTGAACTTACAGTGCCGCCGTTGAGCCAGGTGGAGAGAATGGATACACCGGGAGCAAGGATGTCAACAATGGAACCGTAGTTGGAGAAGGAGGCGAGACGGTCCGAGCTGTCGGTGGCACCAACAGTGTAGACAGTGGGTTCCGATGCAGGCGAGGAGTTGGCAGCATCTTGAGCCTCGTTACCGGCAGCAACAGCCATGAAGACACCAGCGGTGACAGCGTTGGCTGCAGCAGTGTTGACAGCGGTAGAACGGGATCCACCAAGAGACATGTTAGCAACAGCACCGTTGGGGCAGCTGCGAGTCTTGACATCATTGGCGACGTAGTTGATTCCGGCAATGACACCTGAGTTGGTACCCTTCAAATGGTTAGCAAGGCATTTGCACTGTGAAACGCATATCCACTTACAGAACCACTGGCGTCGAGGACCTTGACAGCGTAAAGCTTGGTCTTCTTGGCTACACCGTAGGTCTTGGATCCAATGGTACCGGCGCAGTGGGTGCCGTGACCGTTGCCATCAGTGTTTGAGCCATCGCCAGCGTAGTTGGCGAGGAAAGTAGCACGGCCCTCAAACTCGGGGTGAGTAGTAGAGATACCAGTGTCAATGACATAGGCGCAAGTACCAGCGCCGGCAGAGTCATCGTAGGTGTAGGAGCTGATACCCTTGGCCTGGTGGGAGATACGACCAAGACCCCAGGTAGAAGAAGACTGAGTGACGTAGGCCTTCTTCTCGAGGTGGATCTCGCCCAGGTTGGCCTTGACAACGGCATCCTGCTCGATGTAGTCGACCTATATTATATCAGTACTCTGAGAGTCATTTTCAGGGCTGATAAGCTTACACCGGGCAGGTTCTGAAGCAGCTCAACAATGTCATCAGCCATATCAGCAGTGAAACCACCGAAGCCGGCGAACTTGTAGACATGGACAGGGTCCTTCTTGAGAACCTTCAAGGCAGCATCGATCAGAGCCTGGAGGTTCTCATTCTTCATCTTGACGATGTATCTTCCGGGGATAGGACTGCCAGCACGGGGAACGATGACTGGGGCGGGAAGGGCAAGAGCCACGGGCAGAAGTGCGAGAAGAAGTGAGAGCTTCATGTTGACGGATTGATCGAAGAATGAGATCGTTGGAGCGAAAGACGAAGAAGACTGCTGATGATGGGCTGAGTGTTGCTGTGCTCGTGGCCTGGTGATCTGGAAGGGCGTCTGATACCTCTTATATAGATCCCTTTGACAACCTGGTGTTGAGACGAAATGGCAGGAGGCAAATGCACCTTCCAATTAGGATTAGCAACCACCGACCAAGCGATCTCGTGCCATGCCGACATACCTAGAGCAATGGTACAAGGTGTTGTTGGTCGCTAGAATGGCTTGAGATGGCGTTTGTACACGTTCGATACCTTATTGGGTAGGTGCTACAGTGTGTTCCGGCACTACTACCAAGGTTGCTTCCAAGACACCGGAGTAGTGGTAATGGAACGGGCGGAAAGTCTTAGAGAAGGAGGAGGATACTGTGAGGAGCGGGTCAGATGCGCAGCTCTTGGCATGATGCACTTTAGATTAACATGCTTACTAGTTTAGGGATGTGAATAACGTCGCGTAGAGATTCAACGTAGAAAGCCTGCACGATGGCGCGATTGGACGAGGGTGGATCGATCTGCAGCCCCTTGTGAGAATCCTGATAACGGCGTAGACGCGATGAGAGGGCTGGTGTCGAGCCAAATGTCAAATGAAGCTGTTTCATGCAGTATCGATGCCCGGGATTCATCAGGTGTGTCCTACAGGATTTGTCTGTGGGTCGCAGTTCCACAGGTCCTATTCGACTCGGGCATCGCTCGCTTACCCATCTCGGATCAAGTGAGCCAGCATGATCTGTGTTTCTTTGGTATCCCTGAACCTCTGTCCCAAGGGTACGGGACGAGCCGCCACTGTGTTGGTAGGCTGTATGTACACTCACATGCCGACGCAACCTACAATTAGTTACTGTACAAACAGCACTAGTACAGAGGGATCATCGAACTGGATCTACGATTGGCGGGAGCCAGAATTGGTCGACACAACGACATGAACAAGAAGAGTGGGTTAGGGATATTGTTGGACAGCATTTGGGTATATCGTTACCTTCAGCCTTGTATCCTTTTCCATAGCTGCATGGATGTCCAATCTCCCTAAAGTGGATCACCAATAGAACTAGGCCCAATCACAACAAAGTTGTTTGCGTCTTTGACTTCTCGGCAGCTGGGTGAATTGCTCCTATACCGATTCCATTTCAGGCGGCAAAGGGACGTGATTTTGATCTAGACCAATCAGATACTCGATCTTAACTTTATTTAGCGGGCTTGGCGGGACCGGCAATGTAGCCATCCTATCACGGCGCTATCCGGCAGCACTGCATCGTGGCATCATGCTTTTTTCTAGTCCTGGAATGCTTAAACGTATTGAACATGCGGTGCTCAACTGTTATGATCTGCAACAGCGACAGCGCCCCCATCCGCTGGCTATCCAAGGCCCGCTAGTAATGAGCTTAAAATCACGTAGCTGCTGAAACCACCTCCTTCTTTAGGAATTAGCACGACGCAGACCAATATAGTTAACCTGGCCCTTAGCCACACCTCAGATAAGGCGACAACGGGATAGGAGAAATGGGCGAATGATGAGCCACGATATGTTGGGTAGCGCTCTTGCATGCGGAATGATGCGATCGCTTTGGAAAGTTGTCATGTCCCACGCTGGTCGCGTGCAAGGCCCTTGTTCGTTCCGAGCGGGTTTAGGCCAGAGCCAGAAACAGTAGAGGCACGAGGCCTAGACAGCCAGCCCACTCAACGGTGAGACTATGAGTCCAAGGAAAGTACGGCGGAGAGGCGGTATTCCAAGCCACTTCATAGCGACCGCGGGCCTTTGCTGAGCTGGCGCCTCTGGCTGTGTCGATCACGATGTGGCCGGCGAATGTGGGCGAGGCGAAGCGTCTCCTGCCTTTTGCGTATGGTCTCCGCTCACTAAGATGACCTACCAGCCGTCTTCGCGGCTGGCAGAGCCATGAGAGGTAAAGGGGTGTGGTGTAGTGTTTTGAAGTGGTTCCCCTAAGGAACAATCGGCACGCTTCCATTCAAAGCCCAGAGGTTGATCGGTGCCGAGGTGCTGCCGTGCGCACGTGTCTCACGCACGGTGCAGGCCGAACTCGCTTTCAATCTCACGGCATTCGCTGTGGTCACAACACATCACCAGCCGCCTTCGGGCAAGCCTTTCTGTCTTGCCCAGCTCAGTTCGAGTACCACGCAATGGCCCATTCTTCGACGATTCGCCATGACCTTCTCTCAATAAGGAACAGTTTACTGCCTAGATGACTACTGACCATCGGGTACTGCACCACGGATGGTTAATCACATGCGAGTACATGGGAGTTCCTCATGATGCATTGATAGCCGACCGCATATTTGCACTTGAATGTACTGACAAGACTCTCAAGCAAAAGTGGTGACAATAAACGTGTACTAACTGTTGGACAACTCACCGCAATCATACCTAGGGACGCCAGACAATGCTCATCGAGCTGTTGGTCTACAAGCTTGGAAGAGGCAGATTCACAAGTTACCCCAGCTTATGAAAATAATACAGTTGCTTTCAATCCCCGCTTCAAGTATTGTGCATAGGCCATGCGATCCTATCTTTGGAGCGCCTTCGCACCCTTCACGATACATACGACTTCGTACAGATGCGCACCACGTTTGATCTCCAATACTCGCCGTTCTTTCTGCAGCCCTAGTCACTCCAACGGTTAGCCCCCCAAGCAGGATCTCCCGTGATCTCCTCGTATCTCAGACCCTGCGACGATCTCATGCGGGAGATATGGACCTTCCTTGAGCGTCAAAACTCCACCCGATGCCAAGAACGCAATCGCACCCAGCGCTTACTTCGGACCATGACCCCACGCCTCCGCCATGGAGTTGCTGCATGGTATTCGTTAGCTGCACGCGCGAGGAATGCTGGCTTGTGTTAGCTTACATCTTCTATATCTAAGGCGCTAAGCTCTTCTCTTGGCTCAGGGATTACCTCTTATCCAACTATCATGCAGGTACACCTGCTGACAACGCGGGCTTTACTGCTGATCGACTGTACAGCCAACTCCTGGCCATTTCGCCGACCACACCCACAGCAACAAACCCTCGTCTCGAAATCCAAGGTCACCTTCCTCATCCGTCTGAATCAATAGTCGATACTCGAGAGCACCTTGTTGAGGTCAGTGTTGCGATAGCGCCACACTCGCCACATCTCAGCCATTTCTATGCAGAGGTGAACTTGGCAAGTGTTTACCTACAAGGAAGCTTGATCGAGCTGTTCAGTGTTCGCAGCTGGAGGGTAATGTATGCTCCTTTTCCGCTCGTCATCACAGGTTGTAGTAAAATCTGTAGGTATCGTTGCAAACTCAACGCCACAGCATCAGCATCACTAGCCACAGAACGTCCTATGTTCCGAATGTATCAATCATAGGTTCTGCGCGCACGGAGAGCATGGTAGCTATTTGGTAGGACTCAAGCCTTACCTTAATCGGCGATGTGAACCGGTGGTAGCAGAAGGTGTGTCCTTCATTACGTTGGAGCCGCCCACCACCCCATCTTTTCGGTCAAGAACCGAGAGAAACGTTCCGCCCAGTTCCTGGTGGGTCAAATATACTTTTCGAGCTTCCAACTCAGGACTCGTACCACGGGTGATCGGTAAGAGTCTTTTTGGCCTCTCGGAAGTCATACACGTACGGTCTCTGGAAGCTCCGTTGGGTTGTATAGCCACGTATAAGGCTATGCAGTGGCTGGGTTGCTCACTATATCATTGGTGGGATTAATCAGCTACGTAGGCACAGCTCAGGCACGATTTGGCATCAAGTACATGGTTTGTTTGCAAGAAGCCCACACTTGAGACAGGTGTACGACGTTCTAGTCCTTTCTTACCCCAAAGCAATACGTACGCCGATCAACGGCCATCAATCTCCTGTTCCTCATCGCCGATCCCTACCAATCTGCTTCCTCGTCTCCTTATACCTGTTTCTGCATCTCGCCTCTTCGTACCCCCAGTCTCTCGCTATTCTGATCGTCCCGGAGCACGACCTACATACTCCACCCTGCATCATGCAAGCAAGCAACTCTCTAGTGGATGTGTGTGAGCGCATATAGCGCCACCAACATAGGTCGACCTCCGTTCCTGACACGGGCCGGCCCATGTTTCTGGAAGGAGCAAAGAACCATGCTCACGTGCATTATCGAAACACCTTTGCATCATGCAGAATAAGCCTCAATGAGTGCTGGACAAGCCTTGATAAGAAGGCGGATGCGGTCTTGGCGGGGTTGGCGACCTTCCGCTCCTGGATGCACCGGCGGCTACATGTTTGAGGTACTCCAGTGTCCAGAGCACATGGTATCCAATCTGATTGAATCAATATGAGCCTCGGCAAGCCGTACAAAGAGCAGTATCGGATTCGTAGCAGCTCGAGAAATCCTTGAATTGGAGCTCACGACATCAGAAGTCAAGCAAAAGGATATTGTCATGGTCATTCAAGCTCCGCTACGTGTCCAAATAGTTTAAATTTGCCAAAGCGTCCCCGCGTCATACGAGTTCGATCATTGTTTCTTGTGTTTTATGGTATCCGTCAAGAATACTGCGCAGTATAGGCGTCTTCTTATCGAAATCTGTATAGATGAGCATTCTAGAGTCTGCATCGATGGCAAAAGAACCGACGCGTTCGTAGCTCCCACTTTGAGTCCGGCTTGGTGTAATCAAGATGGCCTGTACATATCCTTCTCCCACTGATCCGTAGCAGCAATGGCGAAGGACGACTAGACTGACTTCGCAACCTAAGTCATCTAGGTCCCATTTCGTAGTATCGTCAAGGATCATAGTATTATCGTATGGCTCCCACGTTAAAACAGCCGACTCTGGCGGAAATATCAATATTGGGCGACATCTCAATGTCATGGAAGCGTGAACGAGCTCTCCAGAAGGCCTTTGGTCTACAAGTAAAGTCTCGATCGCAGCCATGTCGTAAGCTGGTTTTGACTTTCTATTGATACCAGACCACGATACCCAGCGCTCTACAGGATGGCTGATACTCGCCCAACTCCAGGTTGGTGCACGCCAAACAGTAGACCTCAGGGCTTTTTCGGCTGAGTATGAACTGATTGGGATCGGCTTTCGTGCCCAGCACATGTCTTCGATGAAGCGACCTCGCCACAAGCCAGCGACCAGGGTGTCGTTCATCGCTCCAGCGACATCCTGTGCGACACCGTTCAATGCAACGAGTATATCTTTTGCCATGGTAGGGCAAGTCCAGAGTAACTGCGTCTGAAAGCACACCAGTATTCGTAAATTCTGAATAAGTAATCAAGGTCTGTTTCGATCGTGCCTGAGGTTTTGGGGATCATCTTAATTTTGTAATCGTTGACCCACCATTTCAAGCCTCGGCCTATGAAGCCATCGGGCGAATAAGATCTTCTCTCAGAATGGTAGTTGTGGCCTGGATTTTGTTCGCTAGTCAATTCCTCATGGCATTCCCAGTAGATCAACTCCTGCGTGAAATGGAAGATTCCGGTACTCAGGTAACGTTCCTGCGCAACCCATGCTCTTTTGTTCAAAGGTGCAGTATTGAGGATCTGTTCAGGCGTGTTCACATCAGGAATAACTGTATAGGCCACTAGGGGTTCTCTCGTGTTCTGTCCATGAAGGCGATCCCTGCTGGTTTCAACTCGCATAGATAAAAGGGCTTGCGGATCTCTGTTGAAGAAGAGACCGGCATCACTATTCTGAGCGGCGGAGGCCGCAATGCAACATACGGCCTGACTATAGACTTCTCGCATACGAGCAGCCTCTCTCTGCCAGTCTTCCGGATCATCTTGTATAATACACCTAGGGGGCGTTAGAGATACCAAGATGAGTTGCTTCATCTGCAACGTACAGCGAATCGATCCAAAGATACTGAATCTGCATCTTTCGAGCTACGTAGATGGCATCCTGGAAGGTTTTAGGAAGATCTGTCAATCGTATGCCTGCTCTAAGGCGCGCAACTGTTGCTCGTGTTAGTTTGAAAGGCTGAGAACCTCCCCAACAATGTGTCAGCGCGATATATGGCATCATTTTGACGCAGTCTTCGTTTTGAAGAAGGCAGATCGTCGAGGCTTCGGCGTAGCCTACGTCAAGCACTCTTGTGGGCACAAAAGCGCTCACCTCTTGTCTGCTCTGCCTGATCTTCCAGCATTCGGTATGCGTAGCTCGGCACCGCCTCAGTTGTGACAAGGCAAAGCTGATACAGGCTTCGCTGCCGGTATTATCGGCAGTGAGACTCGTATCTACATCCAATAGACCTGAATGAGCTGGCAGGTGCCCTTGCGACAGGTTGGTATCTTTTTCAGGCACCAGGTGTAGGGGAACGTAACTCCCATTACAAATGAACCAGAGGGACATTCTCTCTTCTCGGTCTGCCTCGAATTGAGTTACATATTCCGTTGGAGCGACCTGGAATGGACCGCGTGAGCGATGACCTGTCCGGGTGTCAGTCAGTGGTACATAAAGGATCCCAGACGGGTTGGTCATACGCAAGTCGCGATCAATCTCAACTTTTAGACGTCTACATATTCCGCAAGACAATGCAAGGGCTTCCTGAAACGACTCAGGCGTTGCATGATGGGTAAAATACAACTTTCCGTTTGTCTCCTCTGTGCGAAGTAAAGTATTTCTTCCTGAGAGTAGTCTTTGACACGGACCACAAAGCACTTGGTCTGACGAAACGAACAGCTTTGAGGTATGGAATGTAGTAGTGTCCATTCGTAAGGGTTCATGTACGCGGACAAAGTAGGCCATGGTGGATCGCTAGTCAGGCAACGGCCAGACTCAAAGCCGATGTGCTCTTGTTCAGAGGTATATAGCAAAGAGCACGTTGGGATATGCGGGGTTAGGCGCTGAAGCCTCGAACAGGGGGCTGACATAGCCCTGCTAGCCTGCCACACCAGCATATTAATACCCAGTAAACATAGTATAGAACATGTTGTTGCGACAACACGATGCTCGTTGTCCATGGTGTTGAGGTTGTGCGTCCCCAGAGATGACCGGACCCACTTCCCCTTAGCCTAAGCCAGGGTCCAGCGTGACCGGGCCTTCGTACCTGCCTGTGCTCAACTTTTACGAATAGCCAAACAAACCTCAGCATGCAGTCGCTCCCTTCTCTCTCCGCCATGAAGCGGACACAATGAACTCGTCACGCGCATTCACCCGGACGACGCAAAACACCTTCCGCAAACCCCTCGACTTCCTCAGCAATCTCTCGCGGAACCCGGTACAGCTCCCAAAGGACAGAAAGAGAAAGGACAGCAACGTCCACAGGCGGAACACCAGCGCCAGCTCAATCGACGACACGGACCACTCTGACGTCGAGTTCTACGCGCAGATGGAGACGTCACGGCGGAGTCACTCGACGCAGAACTCGCAGTCGGAGCTGCAGCCTGCGGTTCCATTGATCGATATTGGGAGTCGCAGCAATAGCCCATACCCACGCATTCGAAGCGCCGCACAAAGCGAAGACGAAGACGATGAATACGAGCCCGCGAGCAGCATACGGCCGTTGGTTAGCCACGACGTGGGCAGAGGAAGCCATGCCTTTCGCGGCTTTTGGCAACAAGGCGGGCCTGGGGCTTTCTTTTTCAGCACATGGAGGGGCTGGCAGGTCTGGGTCGGATTGCTGGTCTTTTGGGTTGGCGGATGTAGTTTTGGGCTACTGCTGATGAATCGCTTCATCATGTTGACGGGTGTCTACAAGTGAGGAAACCGTTGAACTGCAGGTTGGATGGTTGCTAACAGGACTAGATTCCCATTCCCCCTCACCCAATCCTACGCCCAGCTCATCATCACGCACATCCTTCTAATACTTGTTTCGAGTCTTCTACGCTTCTCTAGCAACCCTCTGCACTTCATAGGCTTTGGTGCCGCTGTGCCGCCTTCGCAGCCAGCTGCGCCCCAGGGAGGAGCATTCAGAGGCAACAAGAAGCCTGGCATATATGCCTTTGCAAGATGGCTGTCGAATGGATCGGGAGGCATTGCTGGTGGAGGCCTGTTTGAGTTTGACTGGCAAATCGCGAAACAGGTGCTACCACTTGCAGTAGTCTTTGTTGTGAAGGTGCTGCTCAGCAACTTCTCGTTTGCGTATGACACCTGCAACTCCACCACATTACTCAGTTCTGACATGGCATAGCTACGCACCTCTACCAACCTACCAACTCGCCCGCATTGGCATAACCCCCCTCGCCATAATCTTCTCCTGCATCCTCCAGAAAGAAAATGTGAACGGCAGCATCCTTTCCTCCGCCCTCGTTGCAACCCTCAACCTCTTCTTCGCGTCCTACCGCTCAAACGTTCGCGTCACCTGGGAATCCGTCGTAGCTGGCGTCTTCTCATCCATCTTCGTCGCCCTATATCCAATCCTCCTTCTACGCACATACCGCAAGATTGTTGCTGGTTTGGTACCTGTAGGCGATGTGCTCACCGGATACCCTAGTGGCTCAGAAGAGCCAGGCAACAGGGAGGAGACTCGCGCTTTTTACCGCACCTTACACTACACATCACTGGTATCCCTCATGCTCCTCACACCCATTGTGATCCTCTCCGGTGAGGTTCCTCATATCTACCACAACATTCCCTTCCTCGACGTACCCTTCTTCTGGGCCATGATGCTGTTCGGCGGCATGGGCTCGTGGGCTGTCTTCTCAGGCACATTATTGCTTGTCAAGGCAACGTCTCCATTGACAGCGACGTTTGTGGCCGTTCCACGAAGCGCTTTCCAGCTCGTTGCTATCACTCTGTTCAAGAGCCCATCACAGACTTGGATTGGCGTTATCCTATGCTGGATCAGCAGTCTGTGGTTCCTTGTTGCGAGACGGGATGAGGGAAGAAGTAGGGATCGGTTGAGATTGGAGGGTCGGTAACAGGTGCATGATGTTGGCTTGGCACATACGATCTTTTGCCGACCTTCATGGTTCATTTCCTCGTTCTAGGATATAGCATTCATATATTCATCTTGCATAGCGTAGCATCTGATACCATTATTGATTGTACCTTTCACCACATTCTCATCTTCCTATGAGCATTGCAGCTTGATATGTCAAGCTTGGTAATCGAGCCGTTGAGGTGACGCGGTTACAGGAAGCGCTATGCTGGGTATGCATGACCATATTAGAAACGAAAGACCTATGCGACAGTCCCAGTGTTGCATTCTTCAGCCAGTGAATGTAAGCTTGTTCATTTCCTGCTACTTTCTAGTCTATCAAAATAAGGATACCACAGTTCGCATCAAACTATCTACTGAATTTTGAGAGCTGAGCCAACACCAACACCACCCTCACCGCCACCCACACCTCCCCCTCGCCCCATCCATCCTCCTCTTCGCCTCACCAAACCGTCTCCTCGCCTCCTCAAATGCCCTTCGTGCCTTAATCACATCTATCCTTCGTACATTGAACTCGTGTGTCGCCCTTTGCGCTGCCTGTATCCGAGGATCTATTATTCTAGGTGCTTCGTACCTGCCTCCCATGAATTTATTCCATATGCTGTTATTGTCAAGTTGTTGGTATGTACTCGGTCGGTTCGGACATGGTGTATCTGGATCGCCAAACTCATGTTTCAAACTGTTAAAGAGTGGGGTAAAGGAAACATTCTGAGAGGAAGTGGGCGTGGGAGTATTTATTTGTGTTGTGCGAATTGGGGGAAGACGGGCGCGGCGTTGGGATCGGGGAGTGTTTGGGATCGTTGAGGGGGTTATAGTTTTTCGCGAATCTGGGGGCGTGAGTAAACCAGGGAAGTTGATGGAGAGTGGTGTGACGGGCTCATTGTCGTTTTCTGGAACGATAGTAAGCTCTTCCTTGAAACGTTTTGCTAACTTTTCAGAGTGTTTGTCATCGTCCCTATTGCTAGTATCCACCTCGTGTCTAATCGAGTATTTCCTCTTCCTTGCCTCCTCTTCCTTGACTGGAACAGGGCCTTGCATCTCGCGGCCTCGACTCATTCTCCTCAAACTCTCACAAGCTTTTTCTACATCGCCAACCTCCAGTATAGCAAAGATGTTTTTACTCTTGCCGCTGTGTGATCCTTCGCGGATGCGCGCCTGGAAGTAGGTATTCAAAAGGCTATGCGCACGATCTCGTTGGCCGATCGTTAGTGTGGAAAGCTCATGGACAGCTTCGAAAATTCCTGCTGGGAGACAGTTGACTGGTACCCCAGCAAGGAGCGAGGGGGGGAGAATGTCCTCATCATGAGAGCCGTTTTGAATGAACCAGTTCTTTTCAATAGCTTGAATATGGGTGTTGATATCCGAATGGCGTTCGAAACCGGTCGAGTTTGCAAGGTTCGCTAACTCCATCTTCAGTATTGTGAATTCTAGACCTTAGTCGAGGAGAGATGCTGGGATGTAGATGCGGTTCACAACGCAACGTCACGACCAGAAACACAACTTAACGGTGACTGATAGCGAACTGCTATGCAACAAAGATTCAGTAGCTACAAAGGTTGCGCAGTCATTCTCGGCTTTGTCCCAATCCAGCTCTAAAGACCGGTTTCTGGTGGCTGGTTGCGCTTTGTCTCTCAGCTTCAGAACAGTGTGACATCGCTTTTATTGTAACACAGATCGTACCGGAGGCGAACGTTCTTCCGTTAGATACTTGAGACGTGTTTCAGGTTGCTCGACCGGTAGAACTGCATGCTGGATGTGAAGTAGAAAGGATGCTTGTGGAATTGTAAAAGTATATGAGACCACTGTAGAGTTTGGACAAAGATAGGAACTCGATTTATACACCAGCGAGAGGCTAGGTCCGCCTGGCGGCTCTGAGTATATTTGCTTGGGTAGTCTTCGCAAGTCAGAGGTCCGCGTTGTTGCCCATAGTGCTTGTTCACTGCTGCTGGTCGATACTGCTTTATTGAGAAAGGTCTCAACGTGCGTACGAAGCCATGGGAAATCTGAGAGCCCATGAGACGCAGGAAACACGATTTTCTTCATGTGAATGTAACGCTGTCCGTGCGATAAGATGCTGCACAATTGAGGAAAATCGGCGGCGAGGGGGCTGGAGTGATGACGAAGGGCAAGTGGGGCTTGAGACACGTCACGTCAGGCGCGACGTGGAAAGCACTATCAACGCCACAAACGTTAAGAGGAACAAGCTCAGACAAATTTCCGATCAGTTGACTTTCGCAATCAAAATGGCATCTCCAATCATGTGAGCACTGTTCCGCAGCTCGAAATACAAAACGCGCTTGATGGAGACAAACAACAGTAAAGAGACGACTACCGAATACTAGCAATATGACGTAGCATTCCAGAAATAGCATCCTGGTGCTATTGGAAAAGCCTGCAGTATGTTGCAGGATCATGTACCTCCCCGACCTCCCGACGAGCAGCCCCTCAATGGAAGCTTGCTGGCTCCCACGCAGTTCTTATTGTCTGTTACCACGAAGTATACTTCCAATCGAGCTGAAAAGGTTGGGTATGCCAAACGTGCCTCGTGAAGCATTCGGGTTGGACGTCTTTCGTGAATCGTGTTTGTATGGACAGCTGCCATTCGTGCAACCACCTTGGGTCTTCTCCCATCTACATGGAGTTTCTGATTGAGGCCGTCTTCCCTGGTTCTCCTCTCTACCTCGTCCAGCCGTCTTGATTATGTCATCGAGAGATTGCTCAAGACGCTCTTGAGGACGTTGATTTTGAATGGGCGATTGTAGTTGAAACGGCTTTCCACATCTCTCTTTCCTACCTCCTCCTTTTGTTTGGATGATCTCGTCGAGTGACTGCTCGATCTGGGTTTGGCAAGGCTGCTGCCGAGTGGTTGACTTTGAAGACTGATGTGCACTATTGCTGGAAGAATCTTGACGAAGAAATAAAGGATCATGACTCCTCCTACAATGATCATCAGCAAAACAAGTGCCCTTCATGAAGCGTGAACATGGCTCATGAGGGTACTGGCAGCTGAGACCCTTGTTGCATCTGCCCTTGAGATTGTTTTTACACGCAACTTTCTTCGAATCAATCGTAGCGCGAGGTCCCTGAATTGCATCAGATAGGATGCCTTGCTGACGATTGGTGTTGCCATCCTTGATGGAAGCAATGTTGGACCCATGCGATATGATGGGTTGGCCGTCTTTTGTAATCCTACCCATGATCGAAGGGCGTTCACGAGGACCGGTTGTTAGGGCTTGGTGATCGGGTAATCTCATAGTGTTGCTAGCTTGAGAGGCATGGGCCCGACTCTGCTGTCCGCGTTGGAACGGGTTTACCTGAGAGAAAGCGCTGGATCGTGGACTAGAGTCAGAGTCGATGATCATTTGGTCAACCTGTGAAGACTGTCGCGGCTGACCACGTGATGTAGCATCTGTCAGAAAGAAAGGGTCGTGGCTGCGGATACAATTCCCGCCATACCTACAATTGCCTTTCAGCCAGAACTTGCATGCACTATGAGGCATCATGCAGCTTTTGCCCGCTGGGCAATGACCGTTCTTGTACGCCGGGCAAGCCGACTTGAAATTGCTATTTGACAACCCAAGCAATTGTGAGGGAACACCACTGCCGATATGAGCACCGAAGGTATTCAGCTGCCCTGCGATGCTAACTCCAGGGCTAGGAAAGCCGGTCTGATCGGATTTTGTCGGGTGTTGCTGTGATGGGCCAATTCCTTGGACGCCTTCCATTGGTACACCGCCGTCTCCCGGTCCATGCTGATGTGAAGTTTGTTCAAAAGACCCCGGCTGGGCGGAAGAACTGCCAAATGATGTGCCTAGTGAGCTCTGAGGCTGGTAAATACTACTGTTGGCGGTCTGATTACTACTGAACGACGAGCCCATTGACGTGCTGAGCTGCACAGAATCGATTGGTGACAATGGTGTCGAGGTAACCTTCGGCTGCGTTTTCTGTGCCTGACCGCCAACTAGACTGTCTAGTCTGGCGTTAAGTCTTTTAATATCAGTCGTGTTGAGTGAGATCTGGTCCTGATACGATTGCTCGCGCTTCGCTAGGGCTGCGGCCTCTGAATGTTTCTTCGCAACTTCCTGAGCGCGTTCCTTCGTGACGGCCAGCTCAAGCGATCTGATGCCTTTCTTCATCTTTATCTGCTCGGCTTCGATCTTTTGTAGCTTTTCAGCGCGGGCTTGTTCCTGCTTACGAACTTGTTCTTCCTTCTCTAGATGCTGTCGTTTGGCCTTTTGCTCTCGGTACTCTACCGTCTCCTGTGCGTTAGGACCGATGCTGGTCTGGACAATTTTATCCTCTGTTGCTTGCTGAAGAGTTTCTTTCACTGCATTGACAAGTTCAGGCGGAAAAATCGAGGTGTTGAGGCTTGTGGGAAGGAATGTAAGCCAACCCTCGATGTCGTCAATTTCGGTGACAAGATGGCGGAGGAATTGGTAAGGTCGTGAGTATTCTATCAGATTGCGGAGAGCCCGGAGGCGGTGCAGTGGCAGCGGTAGTGGTAGGTACGGCAAGATCGTGCGCCATCTTGCTCCTTCAGCGAGAGCCTTATGTAAACCATAGAGACACTCGCGGACCTCAGCAATGGAATCTTCGTCTCCACTGAGCATGATCTTTTCGATGACCATCATGTCGCGTCGTACGTCCTCGTAGTGCTTCGCGAAATCCTTGACAAGCTCTTTTTTCTCTTCGTTGTTTCGCGGGAGAAGCAGTACAAGACGAGGAACCATGTGACGGGCTACTGCGTCTTGCTTGATGGCTCCTTTCAACGCGGCGTGGCTGAACATCTCGATCAAATCCTCTCGCCAGTCGTTCGCAACGTCGATTGTATATTGTTGAAGGCCAGCCTCGTGTAAGCGCACCTTGTACGCGCTGAAGCACATTTCTGCCATGTACTGGTAAATGTTAGAGATAAAAGGGGAAGTCGCATCGACATATCTACCTTAGGGTTGTATTTGTCCTTATTGTCACGGCTCTTCGTTGAGCGCGCTGGTGAGGAAGTCACATTACGTTCAGCCTAAGCATCGGCATCAGTACACGAGAACGTAGAAGAAGATACGATTAGGAGTAACTTACGGACTCTAAATCGTTACTTGTGGATATTCGCTTCCTCTTTTCACCAGCTAGGGGACGAGCGTAGGTCAGGTAGCTGGCGCGATTGGCAGTGTGGAAGTGAGCCATTACGACAGTCGAGATAGGGTAGCTGGATGTGTACAATGGTGCCGTTCCGCGATTGATGAACATCTTGCGTGCCAAGATACATGAAGACCTAGTCTGGGGGACGGAGATGATCGATAGAAAAGGATCAGGTACGTAGCAGTGGGCGGGGTGTCTGAGTTTGGGCTATTTGATAAGTCGCTAGTTCACATTTAGGAGTCGAGTGAGTGTTCTGAATAGTTTTCGCGTGTAGAGGGAAAGGCTGATCAGTACCTACGCGTAGTGTAGGGTCTGTGCAAAGTGAATGTGGATGATGTCGAGACAAAGACGCAGGTTGAAAGACAATGACAAGAGGCAACCGAGAACAACAGATCAACGGGAGGTACCAGCGATTCATCTTGCCCTACAGTGTTCATAAGGCAGATGCTCTAGCCCAAGTCATCGTACACCGAAGCAGCAAGATTGGTGATGGCTGTGCTGTACGTACAGCCCATCGTGACGAAGCTCAAACATTACGACACAGGAGAGTACGTAAGGTAGTTGTTGATTTCTGGTCATAGGAGAAGCAGATGAGCAGACTTTGAGTTGATCAAGATGATGGAAAATAAACAAGATATAGCAACCTGAAAGATATCAAGCCGCAGAGAAATAGATTTCCTGGCTACACCTGAGTAGTGCGGCCTGCATGTCTATCTCATAGGTGTTGCATAGCACGATTATTTCCATGAAGCGGCTGCAACAGCCTGATGCAGGTTATTCCCATTATTCCCGAGTCTCGTTTCTTTCTCTGTGGTTTCGTCACGATAGGCGTTGGGGTAACAAGGCATTCCTATGCTCTCAAGGCAGCAAAACACAGTGAAATGAAATGAAAGGAGAGAACAAGCAGATGGCGAGAATGGTAAGCAAAGAGACGGCCCGGATGAGCTTACGATGGAGAGTGTCAGAGTTTGGAAAGAGACATGGTCATGGTATTCGGATGGCTTGGCGATGCTGGTCTAGCGCGAAATGGCAGGCACGGGATGCGGAGAGCTGACCGCGACGGCAAGGGCGACTGAGGCAGGGTCGCTCATTCTTCAGTCGATGTTTGGACACATGCATCGCGACAATGCGCAATCCTGTCGCGTGTGTTTCTTGTCGGTCAGCCAAGCAAAAGTGCATTCACGAAGATAGGCCGCCGTGCGACAGGTGCAAGCAGAGTGGACGCGCGGACCGCTGCGAATTCCCAGGTGCGTGGAGCTTCTGTCATCCCCTACAGCGGCGTATTGACGGCTGTGATAGCACCAGGAACGAGTGCGATACACCGCAAGCCTAAGCGACCACGGCCATCCGAAGATGCAGGAGAGACGCCGACATCGAATAACTCGAGTACGACGGTTGTAGCGCCCCATCAGGGCCGCAATGACGCACATCTGCCGAACGGCAACAATGCCGCACAACAGGCGTCGCCGAATACGGCATCGTCACTACTCGACGGCCTAGATCCATTCGAGCTCCTGACAGACGAGGTCAAGAACAGCTACCTGCGATGCAGTTACAAATGGAGTTTCCACCACACGCCGACCTTGCTGCGCCGGATTCGCGATCGCACCTTGGAGCCATGGATGGCCTGGGCGATACTTGCGCTGGCCATCAGGTATGCTATGGCCTTCATCCACATACTCGATCGCCAAGCTGACATGGCTTAGATTCGTCCAGAACCCGCCGTCGCCCTTCAGGTCGCAGACTGAGGCCAGCAATGCGTATGCTGCCCACGCTCGCCAGATCTTGCAACAAGACCTTGAGACACCCTCAATCAGTCGCGTGCAGGCCTTGTTGATGTTGACAGGTCACGACTGGGGAGCTGGAAACGGAAGAAGGGCGTGGATATATCTAGGCATGGCGATACGCCTGGTTGAGGTTATGGACCTGACGCGTGAGACTGGCATACCGCGAAATCGCGTGCCAACACGTGAGGAGTTTATCGAGGCTGAAGTGCGCCGACGGACTGCCTGGACGTGCTTTTTGATGGACTCCCTGCTCAGTGGCGGTAAAGGACGCAAGAGGTCATTGACTGCGGCAGACATGAAGATTCAACTACCCTGCGAGCGCGAGGACTTTGTCTTTGGAGAGCCAGTATGCACGCCTCAGCTGGACAATACACAGCGCATGCCACCAGTGGCATTGCCCTTGGGGGAGCTTGGCATCATCGGCTATAGCATGCGTGCTGCTAACATCTGGGGTAAAGTTGCGCGTTGGGCCTGCTCTGATGAACTCAAGAGCGAACTGCCGTGGGCATCCTCTTCACAATTCCAGCAGCTCATCTACGAGCTTGAGGGCTGGAAGGCCTCGCTTCCACAGCGCTTGCAGTACGACCTCTTCACTTTGCATAGTCATAATGCTGTCGAACAGGGTCAGGCGTACTGCTACATGCACTGCATACACTTTATGAGTTACATGTTCCTGCATCGCGCTTATCTACCAGTCCTTGGCCCCCAGCAAAATGGAGCGAATCCTGAGGAGACACCAAACTCCTACGATGAGCACCGGGACATGTGGAGGAAGTGGGAGAAGACTTCACGCAAGGAGCTGTTCAAAGACTCAGTTATGGTCCTGGACATGCTAGAGGAAATGCGCACGTTCGGTGTGTATTTCCTGAGGGGCTTGGTGCCATGGATCGGCTTCACCATCTACACGGCAGTCGGCGCAATGCTGTACAGTTTCAACTTCCCGAGCGGCGACGACGATCCTCGCTGGCGGGAAAAGGCGCGTAAGAGCGTGATACAGGGCTGCAACTTTCTGAGGGAGATGAAGACACAGTGGCCTATGGCTGAAACTTGGGTGGGTGACTACAAAAGATCGAGATGAAACATGCTGACAATCCCAGTACGATACCATCCGACGCATGCAAGCGTACTATCGCTCTGTACTTGGTCAGGACGGGCCGGCATCACCTGAAGAACGACAGGCCTTGCGACATGCCATGATAGACTATGGCGCGTTACAGCCTTCACCTGTACAAAAACCAGCAGGCTCACCAAGAGATGTAATCATGTCCAGCAGGTCCCCTTCACAACAACACAACGACGTAAGTTCCCAATGCCGCATCCACGAGACTCCGCTAACACACTGCAAGCGCAAACCCATGATCGTCAACCTCACTAATCCGCCCGTCACAAGCCCGTTGCCAGCCACAGCGCCCACGCCTAACAGCTACACTTCCAACTTCTCATGGAACACCCCTCCAGCGGTGCCCCCATTGGAAGCTGACGAAACTTTCAACCTTGACTCGTTCGACCTGACCAATGAGGAACTGGAGGCCATGATGATAAATGCGACACAAGACTTTTGGGCAAGCTTCCCAGGCGAAGTGGGTGTCGGGTATCAGTAATAAGTGGGATAGGGTTTGGTATGGCGTTATGGTAGCGAAAAAATGGCGAAGGGGCATGTATCATATCTAATGTATGCGATTAATTTTAATGGTCCAAGGCGAGTTTCTCGTTGCTGGTTATGACCTGCGTTGCAAACGGGACGTCATGGCCTACCGAGCCTGACTTGTGTTTTTGCCACTTTGCAGACTGACCACTTCTATTACCACCAAAAGAGGTGATCGGAAATGAGGAGCAGCATGCGACGATTGAGAAAGACAAGGCGAGAAGGATCTAGAAACGGACTGAGACTTCCCAATCTATCATTAGGATTCCACGGAATTATGCGTATTAGGCCACCATCAAGTCCTAGAAGCATTTCAAAGCTCAGCAGCAAAGCTTAGCACTCATCCTAGACGGTGGTAGATGTGTACCTGACATGTTACTTCTTTGGTCAACCTGATGCGGTGTGTACAAGGCGAAGACGGAAGCCGGCACACTGGCGGCTCGTCATGTGGGACAATAGGCAAAGGGGGATCCACGAGCTTAAACTGACAACATCTCACATCTTTCAAACGCGCTCTCCTGCTGAGGATTTCATTCCTCGCTGAACATCGCAAGTTGCGACCTAAATGTTGTTGTTGATACAGTTGTCTTTCGGGCCGTCTTCGTCTCATGGTGGCGATGTACCTATCCGGACTAGCGCGGTTACTAGATTTAGGGAGAACGGATTTCACGAGCCCGAAAGATTGCATCGCTCACGCTGCGCTCTCGACGTGCAGTGCTTCCTATGCAGCCTCTTGAGAACGCTATGAACGCATCTTTAGCCTATTGGTGGCTCAGGTGTATGCACCGCCGGGGTGGTCTAGCGTAACCCAAGGTTTCAATTCCGGGATCGTGGTCGTCGCCCACCAACATGGCACTTTCGCTCGTGCCTTCTTCCAAACGGCTCAACCCTATGAAAATAAGATTCGGATCTGTTTGTGCCTAGTGATTGGGCGTTGAGTATCGTAATTGCGTTGCACGTGTTTCGATTACATTGACGAAGAACACTATCCCATCTTGCTTACGAGTTCACAGCAGACATGCTTGGTGCTGTCAAGACGGCATTTCCGGCCATTCATGCCTCATACGTTGTCGTGGCGATTGCTCTGGGACCAATCTGGCTGACGGAACCACCGAGACATCCTCCTAATCGCTGATGCGTCGTCACCATGATCAGATATTTCCAGCGGCAAAGTCATTCACAGCTACCGCGCACTGCTTCTCCGAATACTTCCCGCTGGATCATCCATGTACATATGCCAAGGGACCGAACTTGCTGATAGTCTCACTGCAAGCATGAGATCGTCTATGCCATTGACGAACACGACAAGGAGGTGTTACCTTATCGCGACTGGCGGGCCAAGAGACCAGCTATGCTAGTACGCGGAACCCAACTTGTGGATCGTACCACCAAGGCATACCCGCTCATGCAACGAGGTTGGCCCGCACGGTGGAAACGGTTCTGGGGATATCATCCCAAAGTCTGCAACTGCTCACTGTGCAGGACTAACTGTACCAAACAACCGGCAATTGTACCAAAGCTTGTACTTTAGGTGTTTATATGTGGAAGTCGCTCAATAGCCACAGATATCCGTCGGTCACCAACATCGTAAGGTGGCACCATTTCCCTTGCAGATCGTAACCTAACAACCTCTGGTCCTCACAACACCATTGAGCTACATTTGCATCATTCTTCAAGAGCAGGTGTCTTGATACAGGCTCACTGTTGGTCAGAACGGCGACCTCGGCCTTCGCGAAGTGTGTGCTCGGAAATCGCGAAGGAGTTGGTCCCACTAGACGATATCCACAACTCGCGATATCAGTCGCAGAGATCCACCGGCGTTAATTTGGTTTGGCTTGCATGCTAGAAGTGCCAAGGTCATTTCTTTCAAATTTCTAGGCCTGTCCGTCAGCTTTCGTGTACTGTTCTGGAAGGTGTATCAATGCACGAGCAAATAACAGGCGTGGGAGAAAGGTCAGGACCCGGAGCAGTGGGAAGAACTGGTTCAGCTCGTAGGTAGATATCGACGTCTGACAACCGTTGAAGTTACCCACGTTCAGGCGTGCGATGATCCTATTGGCCGGCCATCCCACACACGACTACTCCACGCCCCAGCGCCACGAGGAATGCCAAGGTGAGGCCAAGAAACATAGCAATTGTCGGCATCGGCTTGATATCTTCTTAGAGAGGTCGAGCACCAGTAGCGCTAAGCTCCGCCATCCATCACCAAGTTGCTTGAGTACGCTAGTGGGGAGATCCTGATGGCCTTGGCAGAGAATCCGCCTTCCTCCCTCTGCCTATCCAATCACAACTTCATTTCGAGCACACGTTCTCTTGGCAGGACTTCTCACGTTGCGGCTTCTGAGTGGTGGCTGCATTTTAGCTGGAGATGCAGGCTGTCGGATGTCACCCACCGGTCTGGATCCTGTCGCAGATGTGAAAGGCTTTGACGCCAATACGGGCCTAATCCGCTGCAAAGGGTTGCGCAAAGGGCCTGTATCAATATATATACACGTCTCACAGACGCCCTCCCTTGATTTCAGTATCCCAGCTCCAGCTTCGGACCATCACTCTTTCTTACTGAGCCTACTGAGCCCCTAGAGCATCAGTCAAGATGGCACGTCTTACACAGTACAACTATGTTTTCGCCATCGGCACATTCTTTGCCATGCTCGATGCCTACAACAACGGTGCTAGTATGTACAGACTGCTACTACTGCCTTATCCTCACACTAACACTACCCAGACGATGTTGCCAACGCATGGGCTACTTCAGTCTCTTCCCGCTCGGTTTCCTACCGCCAGGCCATGATTCTCGGTACCATCTTCGAGATGGTTGGTGCCATTACCGTTGGTGCCCGTACCGCTGAAACCATCAAGAACGGTATCATTCCTCCTACTGCCTTCAAGGGCGATGCTGGTGTTCAAATGCTCGCCTTCACCTGTGCTCTGGCTGGTGCATCCATGTGGGTCATGTGGTGCACCAAGCACTCGGCTCACGTCTCGTCCTCATACTCGCTCATCTCTTCCGTCGCTGGTGTCGGTGTCGCTGTTGCCGGTGCTGCCAACGTACAATGGGGCTGGAACAAGGGCAAGGGTCTTGGTGCTATCTTCGCTGGTCTTGGAATGGCTCCCGCTGCCTCTGCCTGCTTCGGTGCCATCATCTTCATGTTGATCAAGATGACTGTACACGTCCGCAAGAACCCCATCCCTTGGGCCATTTGGACCGCCCCCTTCTTCTTCCTCATCGCCGGAACCATTTGCACGCTCTCCATCGTCTACAAGGGATCGCCCAACCTCGGTCTGAACAAGAAGCCAGCGTGGTTTGTCGCGACCGTCACCATGTCTTGCGGTGTCGGTCTCGCTGCCCTGTCCTTCCTCTTCTTCGTTCCTTACCTATACACCAAGGTTGTCAAGCGTGACCACACCGTTCGCTGGTACCACGTTTTCCAAGGCCCCCTTCTCTTCAAGCGTCCTACCCTCGAAGGTGCTGAGGCTGCTGTTGTCCCCGACTACGCCGTCGTACAGGAAGACGAAGAGATGAAGAAGCCTGAGCACGGCAGCGACTCTGAAGTTGGTGTCATTGGCCACGACGGTGAAAAGGGCGCCATCAGTGCCGATGTTGCCGAGCACCAACAACTCAGCTACAAGCAGCTTGTCGAGCAAGGTCAAGAACGCTTTCACGCTAAGCTCAGGCAAAAGCGCGGACCTCTTGGCTGGGCTATGCGATACCTTCACGAGAACAAGATCCAGACTGGTGAGATCTACGAGAAGAAGAACATGCTCATCACCCTCAAGCGCATCCCCGCCATGATCACCGTCGGTGCTCTCTACGGTGTCAACTACGATATTCACGCCGCCCAGACTGGTATTCACGGTACTCCCGAAGGTCGCCGCATGGAGCGCGTCTACAGCCACGCTAAGAAGTACTCCAACGAGGTCGAGCACACCTACTCTTTCGTACAAGTTCTCACTGCCTGCACTGCCTCATTCGCTCACGGTGCCAACGATATCGGTAACGCTGTCGGTCCCTGGGCTGTCATCTACGGTGCCTGGAACACTGGCAAGGCCGCTTCATCCAAGGCCCCCGTTCCCGTCTGGCAACTTGCTGTTCTCTCCGCTACTCTTTCTCTCGGTCTCATCACCTACGGCTACAACATCATGAAGGTCATGGGTAACAAGATCACCTACCACTCTCCCAGCAGAGGTTGCTCCATGGAGATGGGTGCCGCTCTTACTGTCCTCATCTTTTCGCAATACTCGCTGCCCGTCTCCACATCCATGTGCATTACTGGTGCCACCGTTGGTGTCGGTCTTTGCAACGGTACTCTCAAGGCAGTCAACTGGCAACGAGTTGGTCTCTTGGTCTTCTCCTGGATCATGACAATTCCCATCGCTGGTACCATTGGTGGTGTCTCCTGCGCCATTGTGCTCAACGCTCCCCACTTCGGTTAAGCGCACACATCGGTGACGGATGATGATACTCGTGTCCATCGGAGGTGGATGTTAGTTTGCTTGAATACCCCTGTTTCTTCTTATAGCCATAGCGATTGCGATCATGATTTAGCATGCAATAGACTATCTTTTTGCCTTTGACATCAATGTTCGTCATGCTTTCATCGCTTCAATAGCGAAAGTTCAACATTTGCATAATCCTACTGAATCAGTACTTTGCTCGATCTATTCTCAATTTCCTTGCATGTACGCGACCGTCTAGGAAAAAGAAGAAGAAGAGAAGTACATGAGTATTCGCTGTGCGAGCATTCTGAGTGCTGACCATAGCAAAATATGTTATCTGATCCACAACCAACGCCTAACTCTTGCAAAACGACAAGATTGCTAGAAGCTAAGTTCTACTCCCAGACTTCTGGAAAGCGGAATCAGCATGAAAGAGGTGCAGTGACACTATCGCCTCATTAAAGTGCCTCATCGCGCGACAAGCCATCAAACCCACCCGGACGATTTCCACGACCACGTTCACGAGCATCACCCCGACCTCGACCACGGTTCTGAGAGCTATGACTACGACTGCGAGCATCCTCAGGACTTACCCGATCAGCGGCCGGATCTTGTTCTTCAGCACGCTCGCGAGTAACATGATCCAAGTTAGTCCAAAAGTTATTCCTGCGGTTCTGAGAAGCCACAACTACGCCCTGGTTGCCAGCCGCAATCTGATCTCGTCGGCCCCGGGTATCTTCATGAGTCCGGTCAGAGGGTGCTTGGGGTGATTCCTGATTCGGAGTCTTGTCTCCGAGAATGGATGCTATGGCCGAAGGCTTTGGGGCAGCGGAAGCGGCTGGAAGAGGATTTGAAGATCCGAACGGTAAGTATGAAGTTGACGGGGCTGAGGCAACCGGTGCTTGAGCAGGTGGAGACCCGAAAGGCACGTACGGAGCCTTCGCAGCTGGAGGAACTGTCGATCTGGCGATTCTAGATCGCCCCGGAGAGTTGGCGTTGGCATCTGGCACAGAAGCTTCGGGATTCATGATACGATCGAGAACGTCTACTTAGCGTTAGTAAATCTAGACTATATCAATCATGACCGTAGCTGACAAGTCCGACAAGCACAAACGCGTCTGTGATCTTCAAGGTACTCAAAGTTGTCTTGACTTACCTTGGGTCAGATTGCTGAAGGTTTGCACAGTTACCCTCTGTCCCTGGATCATCCCGCCACTCAAATTCTTAACAGCCCAATCACGGCCCTTAGTAGTTTGCATGAGAACAAGCGCAGAAACCATCCAGTTACCTCCAATTTGGGTTCGATCAATCGACTCGGGACGATACTCTTGGAGAAATGTCATGACAGCATCATTGTCGGCCTCAGTCGGCAGATCTGTGATCAACAGCACGCGGTTTCGTGGGTCTTGCCTGTTCTGAAGATCAGGAGCAGGGACAACATGCTTGATAGGGGCTGGGCCTGAAGGCTGCTTCCGCCGATCTTTGTTTTTATAACGTGGTAGAGAGGCCATCATGCGCTCCATGAGAACTCGACGAATAACCTGCTCATTGGTGTAATCCGCGCGAGAGCGTTCTTCTCGAATGCTTTCTTGTTGCTCTTGTTGGACGCGTGCTCCTTTTTCGCGTGTGATACCGAGGGCTAGAATATTCGAAATCGTGCGATTCAGGGCTGTAGAGAGCGACTCGGCTGCGGCGGAAGCAGTGTCAGTATCCCTAGGCCGGGCGAAACCCTCCTGACTGGCGTTGACTAGATCAATAGATCAGCAAAGCACTGGCGAAGGGCTTGACCAGACATTGAACTTACAGCTATAGTTACCAGTAGGCGCAAGCATTGTGTTGACGCGATGACCATCAATGTAGAGGTCCCCATACCTCTCAACAACAGCGTTGCTGTCCTGGACAGTCGAGAACAGAACGTAGACGCTGGAGTTTGTCCCCACTTGTGGATCGATGGTGCGAATCTGGTCGACGACGACGCAGCTCCCGAAGAGCTGGCGGATGTCTTCCTCAGCCACGTCATAGGGTACGTTGGTCAGACGCACCACGCGAGCATTCGGAAGGGTCATATCGTAAGTGGAGTTTTCAATCTTTCCGGAGTCTCTAGTTGTGAATGAGTTCTCAAGAATATCAAGACACTACGTGAGAAACAGCAATAATGGAGTAACGAATCGCAACTTCTGTGGGTTGAAACAGCGCGGAGTATCTGAACGGGGCGCTAACAAGGTGTGCAAGAAAAGGGTACGTGCGAGGAGCGCGACTGACTCTTTATGTCAAGTAGTGAAAGAGTCCCTACGGCAGTTGTTTCTGGTGCCAATTCGAAGCTGCTCGTCGGTTCTTGACATGAGAGAATGTACGACGACGATAATGAGGAGAAGCAAACCACAAAGAAGGAGTAGCGACTGGTAATATAGCGTCAAGCTTATCGTGCATCCTGTATGCTGTATTCGAAGTCGTTTTGCGTGCTCTTATTGGACTGGAAAGTGAAGTACAAAGAAATGGCTGCATATAGGAACTTTATCCCCACCGTCACCGTTCCAGAAGACTTTGAGAGTTTGATATAACAGAGATAATGATTTAGTCATGAGAGGAAGTGGGTTGAACATTAGCACACCAAGTTGTAAGAAGCTACGCATGATCGAAAGAGCGAGGGAAACCATTTGGAGCTGTACGGAAAGACATGTACACAGTGTGCTGCAATCGAAGATGAGACCAATGTGATCTTGAAAAATGAAAGAGCGTCTGAGCCGTGGATGTTGGTAGATCCTGCTGGTCGGGGGGCGGACTAGCGCCAGGCTCGTGCACACGTGCTGACGACGCATTAGTTTCGCGTCTGACATCACTTTCAACGTGTTGGATCTACGCGTTCCAAGCTCCGTGTATCGATTGCATGCGAAATTCTTCTATTGAGTTATTGTATCTATATAACACACGTCTACTGCGCTCCGTGTACAAACAGCCTCTTGCCTTGCACCTCCTGGAACTGCTTCTCGCCAGGCTCGCCCGCACGTCCACCAAAGACCAACTGGCCCCTGAGCTTCCATCCAAGAGGGATGTCCCACTCCTGTGCGGCCTTCTGGTCGATGATGGGGTTGTAGTGCTGGAGGTTGGCACCGAAACCCTCAGCCTCTAGAGCTACCCAAAGAGCGTACTGGTGCATGGCGTTGGTGTGTTCAGACCAGTCACCGAAGTGGTGGGCGTAAAGAGCTGCGATGAATGTAAGCATGAGCTGGGGAAACGTGCTCGGGGTTACTCACGGAAAGCTTTGCGGAGGCCCTCGACGGGTTCAGGGTCCTCGTAGCACAGAATCTGCAAATATGTTTTAGATGGCGCCCGACAAACACAAGGTGTGCACTTACGGTTCCCTTAGCAGCTCCGAATCCCTTGACCTTTTGCTCGGTCTTGGGGAACTGGTCCTCAGGAGTAAGAGGCTTCAAGACCTCAAGGACGAAGTCCCAGAACTTTTCGTGGTCCTTGTTGAGGAGCACAACCAGACGGGTGCTCTGTGAGTTGAAGGATGAAGGGACGTGGAGGAGAGCCTTCTCGGCGATCTCGGCGATCTGCTTGTCGGAGATGGGTGACTCCTTGTTGAGCTGGTAGTAGGTGCGACGCTCCTTGACAGCGTCCATGAAAGACTTTTGGGAAGACATGATGTGTGGTGTGGTTGAGAAAGTTGCAGAGTTGTGAAAGGCAGGCGTTAGAATTGGAGTTGGGGCATGTAGCGACGATGTGCTTTTGTACCCACCACTGACCCACGCACGATGCCTAGCAGCGCGGAGGCTATTTTTTACTACTTGCGCCATCGACTCGGATAGGGATAGTGTCGTAGACGTTGGAAACGTGTCGTGATTCTGGATGGCCGGCAAGTGGAATACTGGCACCATCTGCTGCATCAACCAGGCAAGAAATAGGCTCGTTACGAGACCCATCAATACAGAGCGTGGGGCAAGGACAGCCATGACGATGACGTGATGACAACGTCGGAAATACCAGCAAGTTGCGAACACCGAGATAGCTTAATCATGGTGAGTTTGCAGTCCTTAGAATTGCTTGCACGTACTTCCAAAGTGGATACGGTGTGCGGGAGTTGGATTTGCCGGGGATTTTCAATCCATCAGTCAGCCGCGCATTGTGGCGCGCATGAATTCCGCATGTGGGGTCCCGATCAGATCATATCACTCATCCGACATCCGAATTGCGAAGCTACGTGATAACGAAAGACGAAACAATATAGCAGGAGAACTATTCCATTATTACTAATGCTTCTTCCGTCTAGGTAATGCGCTCTAGATAAGACACAATGAATAGCATCAAGGTGAAGCTTCAAACCTGTAGCATCCATACCGCAAGCCATGCGATGCCCTCGACCACAATGCTTGGTCAACCTTCTATCATATTAGCAGCCGAAGAGCTCGTACCGAAAGAAGCAAAGATGGCTATGCGAAGGCACGAAAGTGATTACACCTTTACATAGGATAAGCCAACAGCATCAGCCTAAATATCGCGATGTTCGCGATGCGCAATCGGCTCGCGACTGTTCATCTTCTCCGCCGTGTCTCGCGAGGATACACCAGCGCGGTCCTCAAACAGGCTATGTGGAACCCATTTCTTCGACGTGCGTGGGGTCGTCTCCTCAAGCATGCGATCGACTTGCTCGAGGGATAAACCCTTAGTCTCAGGCACCAAGAAGTACGCAAAGAGAACGCAGACAGTGCATGTAGCACCCCAAACGAAGAAAACCTTAGCCTTCATATTCCCGTAGGTCTCATCAACCATGTAGGGGGTGATGAAGCCGATCACAAAGTTCCAGAACCACTGCTAAGTTAGCAACCAATTCGTAATTGTTAGGGGATCTGCGTTACTTACATTGCTGGCTGTTGAGAGAGCGACGCCCTTGGCACGTATGGGGAGAGGAAAGATCTCGCCGATCAGAACCCAAGCACCTGGACCCCAGGTCGATGCAAAGAAGAAGATGTAGATGCAGGTAAAGACGATGAGGC